TTAAGAGCTCAGAGGGGGGGCCCTCTGCCAAAGGGGACACCAAATTACGAACCCTGTTTCGCATTTGGCGTGAGAGAGCGAGAGAGAGAGTGTGTGTGTGTGCGTGTCCGCGCTAACCCTGCAACCAAAGCCCCATACATGCATAACACCAAGCCGTCGAATTTTTTGAACTAATTGGTTTGAAGAGGAGATCTTGCCCGGGTTTTTCAAAAGGTCGCATGCAGGTTTCTTTTTCTTTTCTTTTCTTTTCTTTTTTAATTTTCTTTCTCGCGCGCTGGAGCACCCGACTTGATTAATCTATCTGCAATAACTATATACAGAGTGTGTTTTGTCGATAGAGTAAGGGATGATGGAACGCCGGTTGGCCTTTTCTTTTCTTTTCTTTTCTTTTTTTGTGTATGCAACAATTCATGCTTCTTGACGCCTTGGGTGGCTTGCCAATGGTATTTTTTGAGTTTTTTTTGGCTCTGTGATGCGAGGAGATGGATGCAAGGGAGTCTAGCGTTTTCACAGAGATCGTTTGCTGCTGCTGACTGACTACATCTATCTGTTCATGATTGATATACGGAAATTTTTTTTTGCTTCTCCCTCCCCCGCTCCCCCACACAGATATTCTCTTTCCACTTGCATCACGGACACATGGCATATGGAAGAGAACTTATGTAGGGAGCTTTTTTCAGGACGATATATACAGAAACCACGAAAACCCCGGAACCAAGGAATAAGCAACACCTTCTTGGCGTTTATGGGGGGATCTGCTTCAATGGCGACCGGGGGATAGAGAGAGGGCAAAGGGACTTCTCCAGGATTCGTTGCTAAACAACCAGTTACGCTCCTAGCATCGAATCGGATTGACGATAGACAAGAGTGTTCAAGAAGGCCAGCCAGGATGGTATTTCGGAACGTCCCCGTACCCGATCAATCTGCCTTCCAGCGAGACCCAGTCGATTGTTCAGTTCCACGCGTTTACATGTTAGTGGTAGAAGGAAAGCTCTACCACAGCGCGACGCGGCAAAAGGAGTTAGGACGACAGATACATCTGTAAGGTTGTTTGTTTAGCTTACTGCTGCCGAGCAAAGACGATACGAATATATAAAGGTGCAGGCCAGCTGTAGTTAAAGTAGGTAATGACCTCGGTATCGCCCAAGGACGCTAAACCGTGCAAGGCAACTCGTTACCCACAACTTCCCCCACACTTTGCTTGCTCTATCCCAGCTGCCTTTGGACATTGGAGCTCGGTTTACAGCATTGCTGGCAAGAGGAGAAGATAAGTGGAAGAATTGGAATCACAAAAATAGGAACAAGAAGAAACGAAAATTACTAGTACATCTGCACAGATCAGGCTTCTCTGGAGAAACTTGGACGTCATTTTTTTTTAATTTTTTTGCCTTTTTCGATTGCTTCTGCTCTTCTGCGCTGCGTTACTGGCCTCTCCTGGTAAATACAGATTCGCCAGACAACCACACATTGTCCTGCTGCTCTGCGTAACTCCCACCGCGACGACAATTATCTGATATCGAGCTGTTCTGCTCTCTGTTCTTGCTCTCTATTCTTGGTTCATTTCTATATTTAGTTAGCCACAGCTTGCTGAGTCCTGACCAAATGCAGCTTGTTCCGAGAGAGGTGAGCAGCTTCCTCCAGTACGTTTGTATTATGTATATTTCATCTTTGTCTTTAACTATTTTAATTTATTATTATTACGAAGCCTACACCTGCTTGTGATGCGCAGTCTGTTCCATTGCCTCCTTTTTTTCCACTTTGAATTTTCTTGCGGGCATCGAAGTTGAATATACACTGACTGACCACTCCTCCCTTATAGCTTGACAAGCTCGTCACCTCCCAGCTTGGCTTTCTGGCTCAGCGGCGTCTGGCTCGTGGAGTTCGGTTGAATCATGCGGAAGCGACGGTTCGTAAAGATTTGTTCTTTATAACCATGCGTAAAACAAATCCCTTTTGAATATACTGTTTTGGCTTTGTTTCTGATTCGACTAATTGGCATGGGAGAGGGTTTTCTAGGCATTAATCGCATCAAACATACAGGAGGTACGTTTTAGTCATTCGATACTATTTGCTCGATGACAAATTTACATTCAATTTCATACGGAACTTATCTCTGACATGCATGTTTCAGCTGATACGTGATGGCCACCATACTGTGGCCGACCTGATGGCCATCGGCAAGATGATGCTGGGGCGACGTCATGTTCTGCCATCAGTGACCTCCACCGTTCATGAGGTCTTTGTGGAGGGCACTTTCCCTTCCGGCACGTATCTAGTAACCATCCACGAACCTATCAGCACCGAGGACGGCGATTTGGAGAAGGCCTTGTATGGCAGTTTCCTGCCCGTGCCTTCGAAGGATATTTTCCCTGATCCTGACCCGGAAGATTATCACCCTTTGAAAATGCCGGGGGCGGTTATTCCTGTCAAGCAGTCCAGAATTATGCTAAGTGAGGGACGTAAAAGAATCTCTCTTAAAGTAACCAGTAAAGGGGATAGGCCCATTCAGGTTCGTTGGTTTCTACGCCCCGTCAAGCTTTCCCTTATCACGCTGCTTTTAGACGCATGCTGACTTGCATTTCCTGGCTGAGGGTTTTCTTAGGTTGGCTCCCATTACCACTTCATCGAGGTCAATCCGCATCTGGATTTTGATAGACTCAGATCGTATGGCTACCGCCTGGATATCCCCGCGGGAACTGCTATCCGGTTCGAACCGGGAGATTCCAAAACGGTGACTCTCGTTGAGATAGGTGGAAACAAGGTGATTCACGGGGGTAATTTTCTGGCCAGTGGCAAAGTGGACCTCACCAGGGCAGATGAAATTCTTGAGCGACTTCAAAAAGCCGGGTTCGCGCATACACCTGAGCCAGCGAGTGATATTACCCATATCGACCCGCATTCGATGGATAGGGAATCGTACATGCGCATGTTTGGCGCCACCACCGGCGACCTTATTAGACTAGGCTCAACGGATCTATGGATAAAGGTAGAAAAGGACTTAACTTCGTTTGGGGATGAGTGTACGTTTGGCGGGGGCAAGACCTTGAGAGAAGGCATGGGCCAAGCGTCCGGAAGATGCTCAGACGACGTACTGGACACCGTTATTACGAATGCACTTATTGTCGATTGGACTGGGATTTATGTAGCTGATATCGGCATTAAGGATGGAAATATTGTCGGTATCGGAAAAGCGGGGAACCCTGATGTTATGGATGGGGTCTATCCGAATATGTTTGTTGGATCTGGTACTGATGTAATTTCTGGGGAACGAAACATAGTCACCGCTGGTGGCGTGGATACTCACATTCATTTTATCACCCCGGATCAGGTACAGGAGGCTCTGGCGTCAGGTGTCACCACGATGCTGGGTGGTGGTACAGGTCCCAGTACTGGAACAAACGCGACCACGTGTACGCCGGGGCCGAACCATATGAAAAATATCATCCAGGCCTGTGACGGCTTACCAATGAATTTTGGGATCACAGGTAAAGGGAATGATTGCCAGCCCCAAAGTCTGAGAGAGCAGATTCGTGCTGGAGCTGCAGGTCTGAAACTACATGAAGACTGGGGCTGTACCCCAGCGGCAATCGATACATGCCTCTCGGTTTGCGATGAGTATGACGTGCAGTGTCTCATCCACACCGATACGCTTAACGAATCTGGTTTTGTCGAACAATCGATCCAAGCATTCAAGGGTCGCGCCATCCACACCTACCATACCGAAGGCGCGGGTGGAGGCCATGCGCCGGATATCATCTCAGCCGTCCAATTCCCTAATGTCCTACCAAGTAGCACCAACCCTACACGCCCATTCACTTTAAATACTCTAGACGAGCACCTGGACATGGTCATGGTATGCCATCATCTTTCCAAAAACATCCGTGAAGACGTCGCATTCGCCGAGAGCCGTATTCGTGCTGAAACAATTGCGGCAGAAGACGTGCTGCACGACCTGGGTGCCATCAGCATGATTTCTTCAGATTCCCAGGCTATGGGTCGCTGCGGTGAAGTGATTCTTCGCACGTGGAACACGGCGCATAAGAACAAGCTTCAGCGTGGCCCCTTAGAGGAAGATAGAGGAACGGGCGCGGATAATTTTAGGGTGAAAAGGTATATCAGTAAGTATACAATTAACCCGGCAATCACGCAGGGCATGTCCCACCTTATTGGCAGTGTTGAGGTGGGGAAGGTTGCAGATCTTGTCATGTGGAAGTTTTCGGACTTTGGAACGAAACCAAATATGGTGTTGAAATCTGGTATGATTGCTATGGCGATGATGGTATGTAAACCGGATATGTCACTCCTCCAGAAGGAAATGGAGTATGACTCTGGATGAGTGTGATAACTAAAATTGGTGTATTTGAATAGGGCGACGCGAACGGTTCGATCTCAACTATCGAACCCATGCTGATGAGGGCGATGTATGCGGTGAGTTTGCTCTCCCATCGTCTGTCGTCTGCCTTTTCGCTCTCACTCTCCCTCGTCTCTCGTTTGTAGTTCGATCACTAAGAATAGTAAATTCACAGGCCCACCTTCCCAGAACATCCATAACGTTTGTCTCCCAAGCATCGAAAAGCCTGGGCATCATTGATTCGTACGGGCTCAAAAGGCGCGTTGAAGTAGTGAAGAATTGTCGAAATATTAGCAAGAAAGATATGAAATTTAACGATGTGATGCCTAAGATGAGAGTTGATCCGGAAAGTTATGTAAGTCGTTTATTCTTCCCCTTCATCCCCTACATTACCCAGGCCTGGCCAGCCAGTGTTTATCCTGTATTCCCCGGTCCTGTTGTCGTATTAAGAACGTGGAAACTCTTGCTAACATAAAACCTTCCTTTTTCCCCGCCCCTTTTTTTTTCGGAAATAGGTTGTCGAAGCGGATGGTAAAATTTGTCGGGCGGAGCCAGCTGCGCAACTGCCCTTAACGCAGGAACATTTTATTTTTTAATTAAGTTTTTTCTCAGCTTCTCTACTCTACCAGCCCTCTTTTCAGCTATTGCAATTGGTTATATTTATTGGCAATTGATAGTGGGAATGCTTTGAGAGCTACGTGGGAAAGTGATATACAGGACAGGACCGTCCAGCACATAACGTATTTTACCCTGGTTAGATGATAGTTAAAGCCGAGGGAGCCATACATATATTATAATTATACTTGTGTCACTTTCGAGAACATCCACTATAGCCAGTTTTCGAGGCTGAATAAATAAAATTCCTTTTCGTTTGAAGAAGTCTAATATCAAGTGATGTGATGTTTTATCATATCTACTCCACTCCAACCACGATAGGTATCAAGCAAAAGGAGAAAATGGCTGGTCTCGTGAAGATGTGCTGCTGGTACTAGAAAGCAGAAAAGCAGAAAAGCAGAAAAGCAGAAAAGCGCGAGAAAAGTAAAAAAAATTGGAGTCAATCCTGAAACTGGGAACCAAAGGTAACCTAACAGCTAGTCGACCTTCCCATCCCACCCCACGTACAGTACAGTTGCAAGAGATAAATAATAAAATGAACATGCATGAGAATCCAGAAATGAAAAACCCCGCCCTTGTTAATTCCTTAAGAGGGGAAATTTTGCTTAGTTCCCCCCACCTCCTTTGACGCCCTCATTATTTTTTCAAAAACAGCTGGGAGATCGTAAATATACATGTATGTACAGTACATACACAACGCAACACAACACCCATTCTCTATCCGCGCCGCGAGCGTTTATAGCTCAACCTCATCCTCGGTATGGTTATTGCCTGCACTGACAGGTGAGTGGAGAGTAGACCATGCCTCGTACGTGCCCTTACGAGCTGCATGGTATGCGGCCATACGGCGCTTCCTTCTCGCGCTCGTCATATCTGTGTCTGTCATGGATTGTTCGGAGTCAAAAGCGGAAGGAGACAGCGAGCAGGTGCTCTCATCGTCGAGGAGATTGTCGGCGGGACTGTCATTGTCGTCATTAAGGATATTGGTGCCGGTGGGTGGTTGGTGGCAATTATCGTCTTGGGTGGTCTGTTGCTGTGGAACTGGGAGGGAAATGGATATGCTGATATTTTGAGGCTGCGGTTGGGCTTGTGAGATTCGCGGGGGAGGATCGCCATTGGCAGCATTTTCGTTACTGTAGTCTGGAAATGAAGACGGGAAGTGGAATTCCAGTTCGTGATTTCGGTGTTTTTCTTTCAAAATGTGTTTTATGGCGACTATTTGGGAGTTCAGGGATGACGATTGTGAGTCCATATTATATGATTCTAGGTTTGTATTTTTCGACGTCTGCTGAGAGGGCAGAGAGGTCGCTCCAGGACAATTACCAGCCTGTTGAAGTTGCAATCCAGGTCCGCGACCCGAGTCAGAATCATGTTCCCTGTTGCTGATTGGTGGGATAACTGAAGGCAGCTCGTTATTTTGGATGAAAGAGATAGATAGATCTGTCTGCTGTGTTGAATTTTTTGTCGATGAAGAATCACTTTCCAACTGCTTCCGTTTCAGTGGCCGGCTGCTAGATCGCTGGGCACTCATCGTTCTCATGAACTCATCGTGGGCGAAATTTGAACTAGAGCATAGATGGCCAAATAGCGTGCTTATGGATACCTCTTCGTTCCACGTCACAGGGTCTATTGTACAGGGGAAGATGTCCTGTGGTTTGAAGGCTCTGATTAAATTGCAGAGTTCGGCATAGGAAGAGTGACGGGAATAGGGAAAACGCTATTCATATGTTACTTCGAGGCATCCACAACGCAACAACGCATTAAGCGTTGAAATACGAAAGTGGTTAAACAGGGTCGATTGCACTCTTACTATTGTGTTTGGGAAATTATGACCCGGTTCTCCCTCTTCATTTGGGGGTATTTCGACGGTATTGGGGTCTGATAGGTTCCCTGTTGTCCCTCGACTTAGAATACTCACGAGTTGCTGGACTGAGATCTCTTGATCCTCCTTTATCCCGTAAGCGTCGAGTGACAACGATTTTGATTTCGACTTATGCGCTTCTGACAAAGCCGCTATTATCGACGTACGGATTTCCTCGTCCTGAATACGCTCAGAACATGCGTTCAAAAGTTGCTGGAAGGTAAAATCATCCTGTAGCTCCAACTCATGGCTTTGGTAAAGGTCACCCTTTCCGCCTCCAGCTCCCAATTCAGGAACCTCGGAACCGTCATTCAAACGTGATACAACGGGTGTAATGTATACGAAGGGGCCTCTAGAAATGGTGGAGCAGATCATACCAGGCTCGCAACTATGGATTCTAGTTCCGTGATCGAGGGTTAAACAACCAGGAATTTGCGAATTACCAAGCCTGAATCCACAAAGGAATGGCGCTTCATCAATACCAAAACCGCTCGCAACACGCGTCGCTAGGGATTGATACACTCCCATTTGATATCGGTCAACGTGGATCTAGTCCCGTTCGTCAATTTCTACTCTCCATGCCAGAATGAATAGAAGATAATGCATATTACCCGGGTATTAAGGGCAGCTGACAACGCTAGCCAGACATCTTCGTAGCCAAATGTCCATACGCGTAGATAGAACAGAGTATTGTCTGGATATGTTTGTACTTTCTCTAAAAGTTCTCTGATTCCTTCCGCTTTTGAAGCAAAAGTTTGGTACGCATCAGATTTCGTAGCGAATGTTGTGTCAAGATATATCTTATCAAGCAGCTTGCTTCCAAGGGTATATGGAATGAGGACTGGGTTTCTGATGAGGTTATCAACCCACCAAGATTCCGCTGTGAGAGAAAAGTCAGCCTTGCCAGCTTCAACGAGAACTAGATGGAAATGATAGATCACGGCTATGCTCAATAAGCATGAAAACATAGCAAGCGATCGGATATAACATCCACCCTTAGGAAACACAGAACCGAAAAATGGAAAATGGAACATTTACCCCGAATGTCGCCGGTATACAGAATTGCTTTTCCATTCCCCTCTATGAGAAACATAACAGCACCGGGACAATGGTTAGCATCGAAGAGGGTGACACGAATATTGTTTCTTGGGCTCAACTCGATCTCTGTTGGAACCTGCAGCGGAATGGGACGCTAGTTGAATCCTATGTTAAGCGAAGTCGTATGCGCATCCAAGGTCAAGTATGAGGAGCCATGCATACCAACAGTTTAGATAGGTGTTTGTAGTGCTGCTTCCTTGACTCCAATATCCCCTTGCTAAAGTTTATGCGATGGGGATACTTCTCAAGGCGGAGAAGGATCTGGGTTCAGAGTTAATGACAAATACTCAGTCAGCAGGGAAGGATGCAGGTTACTCTACCTCTCGCGTAGCAGCAGAGCAGTATATGAAAGGTGCTCTCAACGATTCCAGGCCCTGAAGATGGTCGCTATGAACATGGCTAAGGAAACATGCCAGGGGAGCTGGTCGATTGGGGTTCTTTCGAAAATAATCAACTGCTCAAACAAGGGTCGCAGGTCAATATACCCTCATCTAATTTATTAGAAAAGGCACCGGTGTGGGGCTCTTTACTTCGAATTTGAGGAAACTCTGTGATATTGGTTAACAAATTTCGAACCGAATCATATGGTAGGTATGTCCATGTAGCTAAGATTCCCCAATTGAAGACTGCTCACCTTCTACGATACCATCGAAGGTTGACATTGTTAGCATGCGCTTCGGCTGCAACGCAACATGCTTTCGTTTCGAAACATTGGCCTGTTAGCAGCTTGTAACAGGAGTTTCTACACTCTCCGAGCACATTGACATAACTTTCTTGCAGGCATCCATTAACCCTACCCATCACGTGATCCAAAGCCAAACTGGGAGCGCCGGCGTTAGTGACGTTTAACTAACTTGGTTAAAGCGTAGTTATACTTAGACGCTTCCCAAAATAGATCCCCCTTGCTGATGCTAGGGTATAAATATCACGATTGGCCGCAGCGAGAAATGTTGCAATGTTCCGACAATTTTCCTTTTTGCACTATTTCCCACCGGCAGCAATAAATTGTTGCATCGAAGCTGATCCACACATAGTTGTGTGAGGGCAAACAGCCAGTCGTGGACGACCAAGATAAATTGACTGCCCTCTTCCAATGGACCTGCCAGAAATGGTGACCATCCAGCCTACTCCGAATACGCAGACGAGGAGAGTTGTGCAATGCCTGTCCCATATTCCCCATCCCATTCAACTATGAAGGCCTATTATCAATGGAGCCTTCCCCGGCAATGAAACATTTTACCCCTGTGTTGCGGGCAAGGAGGATCGTCTCTATGCAGTCCAGGCTCATGCCGGCTGCAGCAAGAAGGGCCTACTTGGGACAGGACCAAGTTTGCTTCTGCATAATGGCAAGAGCAGTAATGGCCCTATCCTCGCTGCTGGGGGTGAATGATCTCAGTGGGCGAGTAGCACATAACGCTTTCAACCTCAACCGTGTTATTCAGCTTCCACCCCTCCGGCCAGGAGACTGCCACTTCACTACTGAGATAATGCGCTTCACCGTCACTGGTAACCATATTGCTGCGTTCCATTTTGCCATTGAGGTTTGCGCTGGCGGGAAGATGGCGCGGGAAGCATTCGAGTGGAGAAAGTTGAAGAAAGGCGATGACGATACTAAGGGGCGCGGATTCCAACTCGTACGACTTGGTGCGGGCTCCGAAGATGCCAGTCAAGGTTTATTTTCCTCCACTTTATCTCCCTCTCTTGGTGAGACCGTTGCTGTGCTTGACTGGCCGAAGGGCCTGTCCAGCCTTGCACGTGTGTTCCCGCTCCAGATGAAGGGCAGTGGACAGCCAAATATATTGGGGCAGCGCTGGGTATTTATGGTTCTTTAGATTGCGCTGAGGGCATGGGGGTTGCATGTGGGTGGTAGTGCCAATACGGCTATTGTAGGCAAGGGGCAACCATAGTGACCAAGTCATTCCATAGATAACCTGAGTAGAAAGGGCGAAGATGTAATTAATATCAATTCAGTCGCTTTGGGACAACTTCAACGTTTGAAGACCTATAAAAAACTGAAAAGGAAAAATGCGTCACATAATTGCTACATTGCAGTGAGTCAGGATGTTTCCTTGGGCGTTCACAACCCCTTTCCAACTGTGAACTGGGCTATATGAACGAGTCGATAACTTGTTTCCCCTCGAGGGTTAAATGAATCGTTTACAGTTCGAAAACGAACAGGCAAACGTTGAGATTCGATTTCAAACCCCAGAGCCCAAATGTAGAGGTCGTGCGGCCATCGTTTTTTTGGTGAAAATGGGTACTCACTCAACCGGCGGGACATGGTGTGATCCAATAGCTGAACCCAAAAGCATCCAGTAAATTAGAGCATCCCCAGTCCTCCACGATGCTGTGACCCACGCATCGTTATTATTAGTTTTGAGAGGAATTACAGGATACTCAAACAGACATCATAATAACGATGCATGGAAAAGTACAGCGAGACAAACTAGCTGAAGAACTGCGCTGGCTTGCCATCCGTTGCACAGGTACTCGCCCAACACCAAACTAGAGACATGTTTTAGCCAATCACCCAATAAATTGTTGTCGGAGTTTAGACAGTAGTTATAGGTGGGTCGGGTTACGGCGTGTTTGAACCCAACCCTCACAATAACCAGGTTATATGCAGAGGCACAGTCACTCAGCCATCAACACCACTGCATATAACCTGATTATTGCTGGTGTGTGTTCAATTTCATATTCATACATACAGAATACTTGTATTTAGTAAAAGAAATACTATTAAATTCAGATACATGTGACTTTGCACACAGAAAGTTATATAATCACTAGCTAAATGATCTGCTTGACTTCATCTCTACTAAAGAGCTACTGATCTCAGACACTGTATAGAAGTGCAAGTCAACTGTCTGAGTGTCATACACAGTTCATACAACTAGATCTAACTCTATAATAATAATATATATACATCTATAATAATAATGAAGAAATGAAGATCAAAGAGAGAGAATAGAACAGAACAGAACAGAAAAATAAAAGCTTTATATATACTCTATTCAATGAGAATGGAATTATTCTGTGCATCAGACTGAATATCATGATTCACATCATCTGCTACTGATGCTTGTAGCTGTGATGACTATCTATCATAAAAATCATTATATATATCAGACTGATTCACAGAGTCATGAAGAGAGCAGCACACTGTATGATCACATCATTTGCAGTTGATACATACTTCTTCAAAATAACTGTATATATAGCAGCACAATGAGAACAGTTTAAATCCAGAGAATGTACAACACTATATACAGTCTGTGACAAGAGTTCTATCACAGAATTGAATCAGAATGACATTGATGTACAATGAATAATGAAACAACACTTAATCAGCTCTGATACACATACAGATGTATAATATATCAAAGTCAGAGACAGTAAGCAGAGTATGAAATTGAGAACTATGACAAAATATACTCAGCTGAGAATTGCTGATATATATTATATTATACTCTGATCATTTCTGCCACCCATCTTGATATTCAGCAGCTGAATGATATAAGTCAATCAATTTAGTCTGAGTCAGATTCTGCTGAGCAGCAACAGAATTATACAGAATAAGAGCTCTTGCATTATAATCAGCTTTCTATACTGTACAGTAGAGAAGCAGAGAAATACTTATATTATTCACAGAAAAAGAAAGAGAAAGAGAATACTATTGAAGAGCAGAAGAGAACTGATCTTCTTTTTTGTGAAAAAAAAAAATCAAAAATCTTCTCTGACTATATATACAAATCTCTGTCAGTGTTCTTCTTTTTTAATATGATGAAATGAATATTTCATGCAGTATACAGAGTGAGAAAAAGACAGAGTGAACAGTGAATGAGTGATCTTGATGAATTTCAACAAAAGAATGATAAATTCTGATGCAAAAAAAGTTATATATATCAGTGAATGATGATGAAGAAGCTGAAGAGAGGAAGAGAAAAGAAATTGAGAAGAGAGACAGAGAAAGAAGAGATTTTATAATCAACTTGTTGTTATTATTATTGTAAATGAAAGAGGAAAGTAAGAATGTCTTGCATACAAAAGAGAAAAGAGAGAAAGAGAGAATGCTTACTCTTGTGAATTCTGCTAAGACAGTCTGTGTGTATAAATAAATAAATACTTAAGATTAAAAGATATACAATATAGTATAGTTAATATACACAGATTATCTTCTTGCTCTTCTAAGAAAGACAGAGAGTTTATTCAGACTCATTCTTAATCATATATATATCAACTCAAGCTTCTTCACAATCTCTAGAACAGATCTTGATTTCATCATATAGTAGCAGCTGAGTATCTCATTGATGATTATCTTTCATTGAAAAAAGAACATATATTTACTATTCTTCTTTCTTCAGCTAGATTCATACAATAACTTCAGATACTGCACAGAGAACTGTTCATTCAATCTCTATTCTCATTTCTTTCAGAAATTATTGATCAATTGAATCATACAGAAAAGCTGATATATTCAAATATCATTCTCAGTTGATAATACTGTAGCAGAAGTGATGACAGCAGCAGTAGCAGTTGATAAAGAGAAGAATGAAGATACAGATGCAGAGATGAAGAGAATCTTAATAGTATTTTTCTATACACAGATAGAAACAGAGGCAGACTGAAAGATTCAGAATTCAGTTGTTATTGTATCAATTCTACACTGAATTCTATTAATCTTCTTCTTTATTTATATATCTCTGATCTTTATCTAATTCATCATCACATTGATCTGTCTTTATACAGTGCTCAGACTCTCAGAAATCTGTGATACTGACTATTGAAACATCATCTTCTGTGAAGAAATGAGAACTGACTCTGCAGCTCATACAGCATCTGCAAACTGTTTATACTCTGTATACTGAAACACTGAATCAGTTCACAGTAAATAAGTTGAAAATTCTCTCTTAAGAAGAGCAGAGTTCTGTAGTATCACTATATAAAGATAATTTAACAGTTATAAAAACCTCTGAGCTGTAAGATCATCTGAATCAAATGAATTTCCACTATTAAGCAGCTTCAGACTTATATCAGAGATCTCAGAAGAAATAATATAAAAGAATCTGTTCTCAAAATAAAATCAGATAAGCTATTTATTCACTTATAGTCAGAGGGATTTCTTCAACAGCTCTGATAAGATGACTGTAGCTTATAAAAGATAGTAATTATTTAGCAAGCTAGAATTGAACTTTGTAATTTCTTATACAAACTCTCAATTGATCTGACTGAGATAGCAGCTGATCAAAGAGTTATTATTTCATTACTCAGCTCTGCAGATACTGCTTTTATTTATTTCATTAAACTCTATCTTCTATACATCTGTGAATTATTCAGTATAAGTCTTCTTTATCATCTCTGATATATCTGTATATATAAAGAGCTTGTTTATTCACTCAAGATAAGTTCTGTAGAAGATCTACTCATACAGATTTCCATTTTTGAATAAGTGAATATTATATTAGAGCTGACAGTAGTGAAACTGAGACAGAGGCTTTTATATAATATTTCATCTATAGAATAGATAGAATGCAATCTGTGACATTGAACAAAGAATATAATTCTTATATTATACAACAGTTGAATATTCAAGTCTGTTGTTTTGATTTATCTTATTATTACTCATGATCTAAATAAGAGATCAGCAGAGTATTGATTTCTCATTTAACAGCTCAATTGTAAACAGATTAGTCAACTGCATCTCTCATCTAAACTATTCTCTCAGCAGTATATGGTGATTTATAAGAAAGTCAGCTGCTATACAGAGAAGAGACTCAACTGTATATCTTTCATTTCTCTATCATCTCTTTCAGTACTGATGTATAAAGTTTATTATATTCAGCTCAGTATAGCTGTTCATCAGAGTGTCTACATCTCTATTCATAAACTTTATATATCTTTATATATATTCTATAGATCTGTAAGTTTTTAATATATCATTCAAGATCTGATCAACTGAGTGAGAATGAAAGTTCTTCTATCTACTCTACTGTATACAATATAGATTAACAAAAGCTGCTTGATACTGTTTAATCAGATTCTCTTCTATTGTCTACACAATCTCTTCTCTCTCAGTATTTATATACTTTCTTTTGAAATGACTCTTTCTGAGTGAATAATTGAGAACTTTTTTATTAAAGAATCAGATTGTCTTCTACTCAGAGATAATCTGATTATCTGAAAACTTCTTTTTATTATATCATTTCTATCATACAGATAGTGGAGATTGAGCAGCAGTGAGAAGTTAATCTATCAAATTTCATCTCTCTTCATACACAGAAATAAAGAAGAAATAGAAATAAAATAAATCTATATATTATCACTCATTTATTCTGCTTCTCTATATACACTATCTATATATTCTTTGATCTGCTTTATCTACTGATTCTCAGTGTATTCTCTCTCTGTGCTGTCATCTCTATAATAAAATCATACTGTAGCTGCTTCTATACAGCAGCTGCTTCAACAGCAGTATCAGCAGCAGAGATTATTATCAGTCTTTCTTACTTATACAGAGATACAAGGATTTCAAAGTAGATGAATAAGAACAAGAATAGTTAAGAATAGAAATCAATACAAGAGCAGGGGGAGAAGAATACAGTAGTGGAGTGATAATTATTAAATACACATTCAGAGAGAGGCTGATACAGTCATTGTACATAATATTACAGAAAAGTTACCTCTTTTATATGATCAAAGAAGGTAGCTCACCATACGGAACATGTATGGGTTATTCAGGGGCCTTGGCTGAACACCATAGGAACACATGTTCGAACACAGGCAAATCCACCTTCATATAACCACTAGTTATCATGGGGATGGCCACATTCCCCGGGCCTGAAGCTTGGGTGGGCCCAATTTATTCCTTTATAAGGTGTAATATTTTCAAAGAAACGCGAAAAACTCTGGAGTAGCATCGTTAAATACGTGACAATTTTCTATTGGAGACCTGTATGATGAGTACGAATGCATCATTAGAGTTGAATAGGTCTTTCGACTGGTTAGGCTGCTGTTAGACTGCCGGGAAACTGAATATCCAAACACGACAGAATTGGATATCGATTTCCTTAGATTGGCTAACTCACTAAGAGTGGTCGCCCCATTTTGTGAGGGGATATGTATGCACAGTTAAGTTCCAGAGGCAAATTTTGCCAGCGTCACCGCTAGAAAGTTGTTTGACAAGACCCGTCCTAGCTTCTGACCTGTCGCCTGTTTCCATATTCAGCCGGGATCAAGTAATGCGAGGATTAGCCAGCTGGAGCGGTTGCAACGGGAGAATGATTGGGTACGAGACGGTGACCGAGATAGAGCTTGTAGGGTTATGCCCCAGTGACGGTAAGGCAGTATTGGAGCAATGCTGCAAGCGAGCATCCTTGGAGAACATGTGCTGTGACCTGAATGCTTTGAATTTGCCAGGAGGCATTATCCGATGCTTCAATAGGTTGGTCGGACTGCACCATTCCCTGCCACAACCACGCTGTCGTTTTGGCCTTTAATATAAATAGAAGATAACAGCCATGTCCTTCCCCTTCCCCCGTCATATAACACGGTATGAGCCAGGTGAGACTTCTTTGAAGTTTACAGGTTCCTGGAGCTAGGAGCTGTCTATCATACCCTTGTTAGCCAATCCCGTTAGGTTTCAGACGTGGAGATCACACCCATATTAACTAAGTTCGGAAGCCTGTGGGCGAAGCTATGATTCAAATATCAGCAAGAGTCTAGCCATCGGGCTCCATCCGACCCAAAATTTTTCGTTTCATCCCGGTGGGCGATATTAATTTCAAGCGCCTGCTCGCAGGGTGATCGGTTTGTTGGGTGTGATATGTCTGGGGATTGCCAACCCATTCGAGGACGTCCAACCTTCACAACAGACAGCCACCTGCGGCACCACTACCACGGTTAAGTTCTAACCACCACCATTGCCACCAGCAAAACCGGTTTAACCAACCGATCCAACAGGAACAAAAGCAGAAATAAACCACATGGTGGCCTCTAAAAATCGAACCTGTGTGCCATCCAAACCTTCACGTGCGGCTCCCATTCCCGCCAGTTCAAGCGCTGGCCAGGACCCTTGAGCCTTTCTTGTAGCAACATCCCAGCGATTCTGCGTCAACGACCAAATAAATACAGTGGTTATATTCACTACCTCTCGACTCTAACCTCTGAGCCTTTTTAAGCGTTATTCCGCCTCTGAAACCTCACCGAGAGTTTACCAACCTGCGATATCAATTTACCCAGAATAAGAAAAAACTTTCCAAGTAGCTGAAGCCCGTGAAGAACTATAGGAAGTTCCTTCCGAGGGAATAGGCGGACGCTTCGTGCCAGGTCTTGCGGCGGCTATACAAGCTTCCTCTGATAACACTTGAGCTGGGAAGCTTTTGTGATGAAGTGAGGTGAAGCGAAGCGCTAGCTCGATCACAAACTTCTGTGAATTGCCTCCCATAAATCAGGTAACTCGACCGAACTTGACCTTCAAACCAACCAACTACCTCATAAGAAGAATCTTCGACCTCTTCCCCCGTTTGAACCTTGTTCCAATTCAGATTCTTCTCTTGTGAACAAGCGTATTATACGGAACGACCACCACAACATGCATAAGCCGGTGCTATCTCAGCTTGTGTACAATGCCATTTTCCCGAGGCCGCGCACAAACGAACCATCCACATTTGCGTCCCTTATCACCCGACATCTTGTTCCTGAGGTTCGCATCGAAACTTCCACTTTCTATGGCACCCTTGACTGTATTGAAGCCCAATATCCTGGGCTCGATTATTCCTTCCCCCCGCACCGAATGAGGTTGGGTCGCTTCGCATGGCATCAGAAGTTGTTCAAGGCGTTCGACGAACTAGGATTGACGGAAGCTGAAATCGCTTCGCTTTGTCGTTGGGAGGGTACAAAGTGGGCTAGGGATCGTTACGAACGGGATAAAGCTGTCCAGGTTAGGGATACCACGACAGACAATATTAGGTGTGCTACTCCGCCACTACCACCGTCGGTCTATATACATAAATACGTAGAAGATAGCCCCCGAAACCACCAGCTTCCGGATCTTAAAAACGAAGACAGGTTCCCGGAATTAGAAATCATATCAGAGCTGCACAGCCGCGAGGAAGACGAAGAAGAAACGAGTGATGACGGTGATGAAATGGAAAGTTATGGGGTTACGTTAAACCAACGTCTACTCCAGGCAGCGGAAGCGCGACAACAAGGAGCGGATGTGTCTCTTGATGAAGATTGGGAGCAGTGGCTGAAGGAAGCCTCTGAACATAATGCATACACGGGAATGCTTCATGCAATTCGATCTGGCCGACCGCTAAACGTTTCGCTCACCAACGTACCTTTGCACTCGCCGCCATCATCATCAGACACCGCCGCTGACGTTCGCAGCCATGGGGCATCCAGTGCGAGCAATTCTAGCAGGCCCGTTCCAATGTCAAACAGACGTTCCGGATCGACAACTATAAGATCTAGCATCGCCGCCAGATCCGCAGTTGACTCTTCGTCAAATCCCGCTCCGGAAGCTGCGAGATAGCTGCAATGATAGACTCCTACAGCTCTTTACGACATTGATCTTAGTACCTGCGGAAATCATCTGATCGGACTTTATCCTGGCCCTGCAATTTAAATACTCTCGGTTTGTTACCTCTGGACGGATGACTGTTTATTTCCTTTCTCTCTGATGCATTTTTCCGGTGTGTGTTTCCACCGCCGGTATATTTCTCTTATTTCATTGTCAATATGGCGTTAATACTGGGAGATTATGGTACATCTCCGTCGTTTCTTCTATCTCGTATGTTTCTGCAGGCGGCTCCCACAAATAGATTTCTATGATTCCCTTAGCTTCTTTCGAGCTATTCAGCGATGATGACGGTTTATTCCTAGATATAATTTAGTTCTCATTGTTTGATCCTATGCCCCCTCTTTTTTCAACTTTTGCTTCTGCTGTTATCCAAGTGGGAAGAGTTGTGCTAATGGGACTGATCTCCAACTTCTACCCAGTGCTCACGGAGTAGCACATTTTCAAGGGTATAATTGTCTCTAACAATGGGTTTGATTTGTTTTAAATTCCATCTCCTCCTGTGCATGCACTATGTTTGTCGCGTTCGCATTTTGCTGGTAACTTAGCTCATAAGTCGGGTTCTGTTCCAATAATCAACATAACTACTGTATTTCCCTGGCTTTATTTTTCAAAATCGGGATTCTATTCATCTATTGCCCTTTAAACATAGGTGCGAAAATGGGAATTTGCTCTTTAGTAGACAATTTTCTAGAAAGCATGTGACTTGGAGCTTGGGTCTCGTCAACGTCTCTCCATTATCCATCCAAAGTCACCCTAGAGGGTATTTATAATGCATTTAAATAACACAACAAAGAATAGGATCAATTAAGTCTTGACCATGGGTAGGCCGAGAAATTGTGCGATCTATGATTATCCAAGCCTTAAAACACGATTTGACGGCATTGACCGAAGATGATCAAGGCAATATTCTACAGCAAGTTCGACACCCAAGAAGGTAAGAGGCCGGCTTTATATCTCATTTATAACAAATAGTCTCGGTCCGTATTTTTCTTGTACCCTAAACTAATACGTGTATTCTACGTGCAGGCCCAAAAGTTGTCCATCAAGTCCCCGATGGAGCCATTGTGTCGTCCCCGACAGCGCCTCCGAACCAACCACCCCTAATTGCTTTCTCTGACATATCCTTCTTTGTGATTCCGCGGCAGGAACTATGCGGTAACCTAATTCACGTATGTTCCGGTGGATATCGTATTCTTGGCTCCCCTGTCTGCATGACCTCCCCGAAATACGACCGAAACGAGTTCATATTCAACTTCTGCATCGTGTTGGCGGAAGATGAGGAATTTGGCACTTTCAAAAGCGTGGTGCAGAAGCTGGCGGATCTTATGTGCGGGCTGGAGGAGCAGTCCGGATTTTTGTCGAAAGATTTCTCGAAAGGTGGAGAGGGCAAGGTTTACAGTTTGTGTGAGACGTTGATGGAAGATTTGAATAATTATTGCGAGTGTATGATTCCGATTGGTACGCTATCTTCTCTACATTTACGAATGCTATCTCCTCTAGTTCCGAGCAGTTTACTTTCGCCCCTTTAAATGTGCGATCGTTGACTGATACCACCGGTCATCAGATGAACTCAACACTCTGAATATCAAGTTATTTCCTATTTATCCCTCACCACCTATCGTCAAAGCTTGGCACGTACCGCTATTTACTGTTCGATACGAAGCCTTTATGGATGAAAACTGGGATCTTACAATGCAGAGAGTAAGTTTTATTGCGGTTGACCTGTCATGGGCTATCTTCTCGGGAGAACAATTCTTAACTTATTTTCTAGGTTGTACCTTTTATCAACGGGGTTAACAGTGTTCGCATAATTTCGGTACTTGCGGATACGGACTTCTCTCTGACATGCAGCGCGATCCGTCATTTGATCTACTACGGCTGCATATTTCTCCTTGACATTTTCTCATTCTCGGCAATATACGCCCCAACGGCACAGTTTGGTTCAACCATTGCAATAGACGAAGATATGCAACGTGAATGCGCACGATATGTAAATACTCGTTTTGCTCCCACCCCAAGCATAACTGCGCCACCAACTGTGAACCCATCTACCCAATCCGCCTTATCATCTAGTTCTCGAAACAGACAGAAGGCTTGCAGTGAGGTAGACCATGATGAAATATGGCCTTTGGTCGCTAACTCTGGCACTGGCAACAAAAGCGCTGGTATCGTTGACGGAGTCGGATTAATTGAGCTTTACGCCAGCCTTAGACAGGGAAAGACTGTCAAGCAGTTTTATATCGAGCACATCCACGAACTTGCTAACATTGATTTAAGACGATTCATAACATTTGGCGTCATAAAGGGCTTCCTGTATCGCGTCCATAAGTACGCCTATGCAACAGGATATCTAACGCAGCAAACAAGACAACACAGGCCTGGCCTTGCTTCCACGACTTCCTCATCTTTTGTTGTCAGCAGTGGCCCAGACTTAGGAGGGCGCCGTTTGTCCTCGCAAAGTCGTCGATCAATTAGCTCGCGAGATGGGGGTCATTCCGCGACACTTTCGCCTATTAATGACGACAGCGCCATTGAGGACGATAGGGATGATGATTACGCTTTAGGAGACAACGAGGAGGTCGGGATTGATGATAAAACGCTGGGGAATTATCTCGATGGAGCCCACTGCTTCGATCAGATATGTACGGAGCTGGAAATCAGCGAGAAGGAACTCACCGATCGGTTAAGGAGGTATCCGTTTGAAGTGCAAATTATTGACCGGTAGACGGGATATATTTATGGTGTTCGTTGTTACTGTTTCCTGATATTTCTGGAAAGGTACTAGACACTTGTGCTAAGCTTGGGCGATTTGCCATTACCATAGGTGTGTTTCATATACCCAGATCCTTAGGCAATGTTGGAGACATGTTTGCTTTTCGGTAAGGATGCCAACACCGTAACTCTCAGCTCTTCAAAATGCGTATCACGAAGGGAAGGACGATGAATGTATGGACAAGCATAATGACTAGACTGAGTGTCAAGGCACGTCAAGGAATAGAAGAATAAATAAAAGCTTGAGATCGCTTGGAAAAAAATATGAATAGCATTTGAAACCCCATACAAACTCTTACATTCTCCCAACCGTTATTCCCTGATTTGACAGTGCGCCTAAAATCATTTCCGCCCTAAAGCCATGCCCTGAATATGCTAACTCCGGGTATAAACCGTCAAAAAATCATGAAGTAAAAAGGAAAACAAGGAAACCATGAACAATTGCTACAAGCAACATAAAAATAATACCAAATCCACAGCAGGCCTCCTTGATGAAACAGGAAACCTTAAGACATCGTAGTAGCAAGCAGAAGCGAGAGAATTATCATACATCGTTTATTCCTGTTCCTCATCCCAACCCTCCAACTCCGCTTTCTCATATTCCTCCATAACTGCCGGGTCAAAGATACTTTCATCTTTTCCGGGGACTGTTGTTTTGCAATCTTTGAATACAGGGCCAATGCAATCTGACCAACGCTTCCGACGATCCATAAGCGTACGGGCCACATCGCCAATTCCGGGCCTGCTCACACCCGCTCCTGAAGCATTGGGCGCGACAGGGTGGCTGCCACCTCCCGCACCACCGGGTTTGTGTTTAGCCTGCGAGCCCTTTTTGCTTTTGCCAAGGGTGCGTGTACGTTTAAGATATGCCTGCTGGACTTGAGAATCAAGGTCGTCGTGAATCGTGCTATACTCCTGGTATGCCAGGCGTTCGCGAGCGATTTCAAGTAGACGGGCCTTGCGCGCACCGTTGGCAATCATTTGCTTCTTCAACTCAGCTTGCAAGAGACGCAAGCGTTCAGCGATGTCATCATCATAGTGTGCGTCGTAGTCCGGGTTATCATCCTGGCCAAAAATTCCGACATAGCGGAGTTCAGCTTTCAGTCGCTCGTCCAATTGCCCGTGTTCCAGCTTGGCTGCTGGGATCTTGAAGCCGTTTGGGGAAGCATCCACAAAGGTTGTCGCAGAATTAAGGGGTTTGGTTTCGGGTTCTACACCACTTATAAGACTGTCTATGTCCATTGTGTCCCCATTCACGATGCCGTTCATGTTGGTATCCTCATTGTTCGAAGCAGTCCCAGCGGTATTTTCCTCCGGCAGAGTGCGATGTTCGAAACGAAGCAGAGAGTATAGACGGCTGACTAGGGGAGGAGCAGAAATTTGATCCGTTTCTGCAATTTCATCTGTCATCTGATCGATGCCACTACGACCTTGGTTCAAGGGAAGCTGTTCTCGATCTTGAGTAGTGGAATCGACGTTGACTGACCCGTCCTCTTCAGCCCAGATCTCAGTGTAGTGTTTTTTACCTCTGCGCGGCAAGAGGAAGGGAGTCGTCCGGTCACCCTATGTTAGAGATTTTAGTTTGTGGTCACAGAAATTACCGTCTATAACGGTGCACTTACCCTCTCCTTGAGAAATGCAATGTCTTCCTCCGTAAGAGGGCGAACATAGGGTTCAATATAGGTGGCGAATGTGTTGGCGCTGACTTGATTAGTAGGCTTTGCATTGCTGAAATCTTTGTCTGGAGGAGTTCCTGTCATCATATGGCTGAGGTCACTCTTTGGAAACTGCGCAACACTGTAAATCTCACGTTTCTCATCGTCTGTCATTCCAGGGGTAACATCTCGTATGTGATAGATAGTAGGATCATCGAACGCGAGAGGGTTTGGTCCGAACACTTGATACTGCGGAATAGGGGGGGTAGGTTCAGGCTGCTGAGAATCTGAGCTATCCGTCGAATTAGGCGAGTCAGCAGTTGAGAGCTGGTCCCCAGGACCAGTGGCAGCAGGAGATGGTGAGGGCGATAAAGAAGAAGTACTGGATACGACATTTTTTGCTTTCTTAGAGTTAGGTGAAGTCATAATAAACGAATCTTTCCCACCGCGGCGATGGGGAACTAAACTATCCATTAGATTGAAAATCGCTAAAAGATAGAATGCAAAAATGGTTTAAGATGGGATATGGTGAATGAAAACAAACTGCGTTGTTGCTGTTCACAGAGACCAGAAGTGAAACAAAAGGCAGCATGGTTGTGATCATGATATGGGAAAACGTTTGCTTACTGTCTGTCTTCAAATCCGTTCCATCCTGCTTGGCTACTCCATGGGCCTCGTTTGATAAAGGTCTCTCGTCCCTGGCAATTCCTCTATCCTTTCTCTTTTTAAGCTTTCCTCCTTTCGAGACTCGGCCCATATCCTCGTCATCGTCTGCTTCTCTCTTCATTCTCAGCCTTTCTTCTGCATCTCGATCAAGTTGTTCGCGTTCCCTCAACTCCTCAAAAACTTCCTTGCGTTTCTGTGATATTTCCCTTATTCCAGCATTACATGCCTCACCTCTCGTCTCAGCAAGCTGACTGAGGGTCTTTAGATGCTCCACCAATGACTCAAGTGCTTTCGGCTCTGGAATATGGCCACTTCCTCCTAACCTGTCAAGGATATCGGAATACTGTACTGACGTCGGCACTAGGATTTTTGAAATATCGTTGTCCAGATATCCGATTCCCGTGACAGTATTAGTGCTGGCGGAACTAGGGGTTGTGTTACGACTGCGGGACCGCCTCACTTCGCGGCCCTTTCCTTTGCTTTTGTTCGCAAGCGGGGGAGGCATATTTCGATAGTACCCCGTGGAGGTTGACTACCCGGGAAAGGGCAGGGAGTGGACCAGCGATTAGTTACTTATGGTATGTAATTTTCTTGGATTACTTCGAAAGACGATGACTGCATCATCTAACTCTAGGAGATTTCCTAGGTGTTCAAATTAGCATTCTCATCAAAATTTCCGCATGGCCCAGGAGGAGAAGGGCGATATCAAGACATTGTGTTGGAGCAGAATGGACTAGGACAAACCTATAGGAGACAGGATCGTATTTCGCGCAGGATCCCTTAACGGCTTTCATTTGGTGATGGCGACTTGTTTCGATTTATATCACACGTATCCTTTCGCCATATCCTTCGCGCCGCGGGTTAAAGTCGACCTTGGGAACCCATGCGGAACCCCGGAAACCCTAGAAAACGAAACGGCGGGTGGACTGATTTATATCACGTGCCGAATACCTCATAGAATGTCTTGGCAACTATGTCAGTTTTGGAAGAAAAGTACGCTAGTCCTCAATAGGAAGTATAGGGGAGCCTCTATGAAGCAGTGTGCTCTTCATCTTTTAACCGCTTTACTGCATCGAATTAACAAATCCGTCCAACCTCCACGCTTCATCCATTAATTGCTCAAGTTTCAACATTGCCACAGATGGCAGCTGGCGACTATGCGTTGTATTGTTAATACAACAGCTTGTCATACATTCTGGGTTTGATGGTAAAACCATTGGCATGACGCCTTCTATCCAGATCGAGATTCTGTCAGTCTTTGTCTAGTTTTCAGTAAGAGAGATTGGCTCGTTGAGCTCATTCAGGCTCTGTAGATGCAATGCCTGTATTTTCCCCTCCAAGAAAAACTGCTCGCTGGGAAACTTGCATGACCTGTGCATCAGCTCCCGATATTACACTAATGATATTTATTATCGTAGCAGGGTCTCCTGTGTACGGTACGTTGGGCGGGCGCATAAGAGTTATCTGATAGCTGATGGTATTTTCAACGAAGTGAACTGTTGTTCCCGGGACTGGAATGTATCTCCCTTCCTGAATACTTACACTAGTGTTTATGTCTTATTTCCTCAGCCTGGAGATGGCTCGGATCTGCTGGTTTTCTGTGTGCATTTGCTATTTGGTCGACCAACTGACTTACAGGGGAGTTCCATCGTTCGACGCCTCAAGAAAGTCAGTTACATGTTGATCTCCACCCGCCGTTAGTGGCTTGTAGCGGCGTCTCAAATGCCGCTGGTCTTATCTAAAACTTTCAATTTAGGAGCAAGCTTGTCTTCTGTCAGCAGAAGACAAAACTTAAGTATCGATAATGGAATATTCGAGTATTTGATCTTCACGAGTCCCCTACCCGCCGCTTCACCAGATGAAATTAACATGTCTACGAGACGCGCCCTACACTTAGCGGTTGGCCACAGACCTGTGACAACCAGAGAGCCCTATGGGATTAACTAACTTACCTGAACCTCTAGTTATGTCGGGGGTAAATACAACTGTTCGAGATCTCGCTAAAGAGACAGCAACCATAGGCTGGAACACAGTGTCCTTGGGTTTTAGAAATGATCCGGAAATAGAATGACAATCCCTGTGCAGGAGAGCTGCGAAACAGATGATGTCCCAGGTCAACAAAGTCCATGCATCGTCATCCAGATGCAGGCGGATTAAATTTTGGCTTCGCAGAAAGCCAAAACTTCGAATTTAAGCCCTAGTCTGGGACTAACAGGAGCTAGAATGGCCCAAGCCGGTAAATGCGGCATAGGTGCGGAGGAAGTGCGGAGAATTCCTAGCTGGTGGGGCTAAGTGGCTTATTTGTTAGAGCTTGGGAAGCTTAGACAACGCGAAATGGGCACCTGACAAGCAAGCAGAAACACCCCCATGTTACAAGTACGGCGACCACAACACCGAGCAATTGCCAATAGATTCATGATACTGGAGACAAGACTGCTCCATACTCTCGACAAACCCATCCTTGCTAGAGAGGGATTCCGAGGGAAACGCAGACGTCTCGCCCACGTTGTCAACTTCTCCAAGTAGCCTCCGACCTGAGTCGGTAGCTACATCTGTCACTGCCTGTCCGATCCTGACGTCCACTCTGGCTCCAAAAAAGCGCCATGACTTCCAAAGCCCTGCATGTTTTTCTCTGCCTCGCAGTTAACTGAGGTGAATGAAGCATCTATGTTCGTCAATTACGTTGGCCGTTATTATCTTCATTCTTCCTTGTACATGGTAATTATAGCCACCAATATCCACCCCCTGACGACCGCCGATATTCTCGTTTTTCTTGCTCGCGGTCGTTGTGACATACTATATTCGGAATTTGGCTTTTAATACGTACTTCCATTAGCATCAGAATTGAATGAGATTTTTTACAAAGAATGAGTACGGCTCCTCCAAATCACATCCGGTTATGGAAGACTAGAAGAGGTCCATGCAGAGCCAACTTTGCCAAATCCATATTTTTGAGGGGAATAACTTGACACGGCTTTGCTGATATGCTGTCATAGCTGCAAACGCTTTCGATGCTGTAGTCCTCGCTATCCCGCCAGTAGATAGTTTGCCGTTAACAGGGACGGTGCAAGTCAATGTGAGAAGAATATTTCTGCCCCTATCCAGTCTTAGAGACAACCTCTACAGCTACAGGCTGACTATTCCTGTAAAATCCACCAGCCCAGCATTTCCTTTGCGCTCAGTATAGGTGATAAGGTCCAGACTCTATCAACAACAAACGTCAGAAATGGCGACGCGATCCGAGGCTTGCTCTACGTCCCAGAGCTTGACTCCATGGACCCATGCCAACAAACAACGGCGAGTTACATACCGGCCAACGTGACTCGCCTATCTGATCTTCATGGTACAAGAAACTTTATATCCATTGCTCCTTGGGTCTCTTCTGCATGTACCATATCTTTCTTGGCAGTACAGTCCCGAAACCCTCCCGAAGCTGCGGTCTTTTATCTTCCGGATGCGTCGACTACTACCCCTCCTCCAGATAATCATCCGGTCTGGGATTTAGGAGACGATGGCGCGTGGAAGAATATGAGTTTTTACCCCGTTTACGCGATCCCTGGCTTTTACGGTGCCACTATAATGCATGCACTAAGTGAGTATTCTGGGAATTTAACCAATGCCCCCTTCGCAGATGACCTTCTGAGGACATTGCGGGGTGACGAGCTGATTCGGGTATCCTCAAAAATTGCGCTAAGTAAGTTGTTGGTTCTTCTTCCAACGTGAGTCTGTAGAAAGCAATTTGCTGACCTGTCCATTTAGAAAGTCCTAGCGATGACCTCCCAAGCCTTTGGATTTTCCTCTTGGCTGTCGTAGCGATTCTAATTTGTGTTGCTATTCTTTTATCCCTCGGCATGCGGCTCATTCAAACTCGCCAGCTGCGTTCCTTGGAAAGGAGAGTCGCAGCGGGAGAAGTTGATCTGGAGACCCTGGGTATTAAGCGGCTGAACGTCCCGCAAGATATCCTGGATAAAATGCCCCTCTATATCTGCGATGGGTCAGGTAGAATTGAGCATTTCATACCTCCGACTGCGGAAACGACGCTAGAACCCGAAGGACATTCCAAATTACCATTAGATAAGAAGAGTTTTCTTCAAGCTATGTCGAATTGGGTGTGGATTTCACGGGTATCACAAACCCTCTTTCCGCGTAAATCACCATCTCCATCATCGGCTCTGCCTCCACCATCTCCAAGGTCGCAAACCACGACGTCTGATAGCAACCAGCAACGCCATGCTCAACCTACCTTTTCACAAACAACCTGTCCAATCTGTCTAGACGACTACGATTGGGGTGAAACCACAGTCCGCGAACTTCCATGTCAACACATTTTTCATCCCGAATGTATAGATAATTTCCTCTTGCAAAATAGTAGCCTTTGTCCAGTTTGCAAAAAAAGCGTACTACCCCGTGGCTATTGCCCCACAAAAATAACCCGTGCTATGGTACGTCAGGAACGACTCGCTCGAAGAATTCGTCCAGTGCAAGCGCAAACGGCAGAAAATGGTAACGCTGGCTATCACACGACAGAGCCCACTGCCTTGGGTAACGGAAACCAGTTGCCGCCGCTTGAGGCTGCCACTGAGCCTCGCGTTAGCAGTCTCCGAAATTCCATTGTTGATGTGCTCAGGCAGACGAGAACTAGCACCCACGTCACCGTGCCACCTCCTACAAGAGATAGATTCTCAAGGGAGCGACAGGAAGAAATGCGTAGGAGAGCTATGGCTATGCTGGGCGATCGGCCTATGATTGCAGACGAGGAGAGAGCGCAGGACGCTTCTCGGTCAAAATGTAAGTCCAACCGAAATCCTCACAACCTGTAACTATCTCCTCCCTACCTATATGCCCTTGGGTTTGGTTCTGTCCTCTCTAAATGCGTTCGTGCTCATTCGTGTTTTTGTAGTGCTCAAGTTGCTTCATCTATTGTTTCCAGCAATACGGTAGCCGAGATGCCAGCGTTCTTTTTGCCATACTTGGACCGCTCACGATAAGCTTACCAAACGAATTTTTTTGATATTTTGATTTTCATTTTGCATATGAGTCCGATTTACAGAGAGCTGCTAAGCGTGATACCCCCGAACTTTTGTTTAATCTCTCGATGGTAGCTGAATACTTTGAGCACCATTAATATACCCGCTCTTAAGCACACAACTGTACATACCTGCTTGTTCTTTGCCATCTGCAAGTTTCTTTTACTTTTTTTCTTTTCTTTTCTTTCTCTTTTGCTTCCCCATTCCCAGTCGAAACCTTCCAATTGACAAAGCCAATATATTAACCAATCCCCTTCTTTTCTTCTCTTTAGCCCATTTTCCTGAAGTTTTACCCCTTCTTTGCCCTTTTATGTGACTCACCCTATACCGAATTCTTAAATACCCAGATTCTCAATGCTCGCTTTGCGGAAAGGACAGAAGCGTAGCTTCTACATGCGTATGAGTCATACTTGAAGATTTTATTATTTGTTTATATTGCTTTGAGGAGTTTGGTAAATGTGGATAAATGTATATGGAACTGTGGAATGATAATGTATAATAGTTTTATGCTGTAAGCATTTCATTGTTTATCATTTTTGGGCGATGGCATTTAAACCAGGAGAGGGGTGAGGGATATCTACCCCCATCAGGGTCCATGCAGATGCCCCTAACAGCTAAATCCGTTGAACCAGGAGGACCAAGTCCCTGCGTACAGGACACTGAGGTGAAGATTTTTGAATAATGGGCGCATCAAAATCTCCATCCTACCCGCCATAACATGTGTTTTGATTATAGTCCCTCTCAGCAATTCGACCAAGGTAAGTCATATGGTCTGACAGCATGATATCCGATAGGATGGGTTATAGTGGCATGGGATGTACCGACGGACAAACATGTAAATCCACGTAAACCCGACTTAGAGAAAACAAACGCTATCCTGAAAGAGATATAGTCACGCGAGATATCCTTCAAGTCGCAATTTCTTGTACGGGACGAAGAGCGGACTCTGAATGTTTCGTTAAAGCGATGAGAAAACCCACGAGCGGATTGGCCTGGTTGAGGATATCCGGCTCGTACGATAAAGTGGTAGAGGGGACGAAGCCCGCATCATGAGGCAAATTTATCGTGCTTTCCCTTAACTCTAGCGTTCAGGATCGCCTCATGATAGGAGCCTTCCTTTCTCGCTTTTTTCAGTCTTTTCACTTCGTGATCTTCTAATCTTCTCCCGACTGCAGCTTCCAATTCCTTGCGGCTAATTTTCTCAAACGCTTTGGACTCTTTAGATGCCTTCAGCTTCGGCTTGAAACGAGCCTGCATACGGACGCGACATGTAGTGTTGAATGAGATACTTGATGCATCGCCACGGATTTCGACTGCTAACGCAGAAGCAGACACGGAAGAGCCTCCAGGCTCCTTTATAGATAGGAAGGCTTCCCTATCGCCACCAGCCACCTGGAAAGAGAATGTGCTAGGTAAATCGGATGAGGGAATTGGGACGAAAGATTCGCAAGCGGATACAGCGGGAGCATTTGCGCTTAATATTCCATATTTGTCGCAACTTAAATACCTATAAAGCCGTTGAGTGATTAGCCAGATTCCCTGGAAATTCAAGCCCCAAAACCATCCCCTGCCTCAGGATTCGATGAAAGCATCAAAAGATGAGGGATAACTCACCGACCATGATGTCCCTTGAAATTGATGCCTTCAGCGCCAGCCACTCTCGTAGCAACCCACACTTGTCGCACGTCATGCGGCTCCGCTGTGGCCGGGTCTCCTTCTATTAGGTTTTCTATTTCTTGAGCAAACACTTTCCCATTACCATCGCATGCGATACATGTGGGTGGACTAGACGGTAATACTATAACAACTGGACCTAAAATGTCTGTTGGAACGTCCGCAGAGAGCCAGTTTTGATCCTCGTCTGCGGCAAGGGCTTCTTCAGGAACCACTTTGGACTTGTGTGAAGGGTCAGGGCGTCGGGCCGAAGATTCGTCATTGGGATCGGTATCGGTCTGGTGGCGCTTACGCTTCTTGGGCTTTTTATCGCCTTTGAAGGTTAGTGGTTTGACCATTGTATCGTTTTATTTGGGCTGTTTTTGTTATCCTCGATTTTCTTCTGCGATTTTCAAAGCGTGGGTATTTGCAGGAGGTCCGGAATCTGTTCGCCACTAACCTGTTTTGATTTAAACTCTTTTCAGTCTCGGAAGCTTGGGCCACTGCGGCTGCAAAACCTTATCACAACCGCCCGTGGGACATTTTCGGTTTGTGCCTGAATCCAGCAACCGTTCCACGGAAGAGTTGGGTATGGGAGTATGCGGGCATGGCTTCGATGAGTTGCCCAATTTCCCAGACTCCACTCAGGCTGGCAAGAAATCGGCAAGACCATTCAACACTCGTCGGCACCCACACAGCCGCCCTGTGCTACGGAGCGCCGGTCTTGGTTTGCAATGAAATATACCCGACTCAGCTCCAATCGAACAGCAGCACAAGCATATCGATTAGGAAGGCCCTTTCCGGTTGGGAATTTCCGGATAGATGTTGTGCACATGTATCGTGGGCATGCTGTCGATATTTTGGCAATCTCGAAAGGATAATTCAATATATTGGGCATGCACATATGCTGTGGTTGTACTCCGTACACGATTGGAAGATCAAACGCTGCCTTCATACGCTTAGAAGCGACTAATAGCTATCACAAATCTCTGTTTTCACCTCTAACCGTTGAAGCTTCCCGAATTCCCTGCCGGTATGTATGATAGAATTTGGGACGTGCACGACCATCAAACAGTGTTACACGTGGAGCTTGGGCACAAGGTCATCTTTCCGCGCTTTCATATTTGACAACATAGCCAAGTCGATACCACAAATTGCCATAAACGTTATATCCACTTTTTACCTAGTTCGGCTGCCAGGAAGTTGATATGCGTATCCGAAAATTTCTCAAAAGAGATGACAGCATTTGCTCCATTCAGCGTGTTATCTCTTTTCCATTTGCTCTCTAACTTTTGGGGGAACGAGAGGAAACACTACAAAGACAAGTGGAAGACCACTAACTCAAAAGAAGTTCACAATAATGCCGGATGTGGTACCTATCGCCTGAGCATCTGCCGGCTACGTGTTGCTGTACGTGTGGTTTTTCGTTCTCCCGTTGTCTTTCGGTTCATTGAGAGTCACTCACTTGATTAGGTTAACAGGACCGACTCAGTACCTTGACAGTACGTGTGTGATACGACTAAGCTCCCTCCTCTGCCAACTACAGATATGACCCATGGAACAACAATTAAACTAACAGTGAACGGTTTGGGAATCGCTCATATGCGCCAGGTCTGCTAGTTCCATATCGAAAACTTACCCTGGTATTTTCGCCCAAGGTCCTCAAATTCGGGATTGATAAAATGCGCGAAATGAATGACCATCTGTCGAAGATATATAGTTATTTCCACTTTGAACGATTATTCTACGAATATCTATGATACCTTTTGAAAAAAAATTAAATTAGCCGCCTAACCTATACTCAGTATCCAAAGGAACTATACATTTCCCATAGCCTGTTCAATTAAACGATGGAACCGCACCGATCAAGGAAGAATTTCGAAAAGATTTCATAACAAAATGTGCAGCCGGGATATCATCTTAATCGAAGGTGATAGCAGCCTTAATAGCGGATTTATTCCTCATTGACTCTAAGCATTCAGCCCATTGTTCGAGCTTGAAAACCTTGTTCACAATTCCATTAACTTTAACTTTGCCGGTATCAAGGTAATCGATAGCAGCAGGGAATTTGTAAGTTTCACTGAAACTTCCAAGAATAGTAATTTCGTCGCCGACTGAAAGAGAAGAGAGGTGTCAGCCGTCAGCCAAACGCTAACCAAGCTAGAAGTATATTTAAAAAATAGGGAAAAAACGAAAAGACTTACAGATCTTTGATGGTGGCCACGAAACGCGGTCAGCGTGGGCGTACACCCCGTACACAACGAGCTTACCACCGCGGCGGCAATAGTTGATGGCATCTTCCAGAATCTTGACACTACCGGTGGCCTCGACGACAATGTCGAATCCATATGGATTATCCGCTTTCAGTTTGGCGAATTGAGCGCTAGGATCTTTGCGTGAGAGTGCAATGTATTCATCACCGGCGTTGAGAGACTTGGCCAGATTCATTTTGAGGCCTTCAGGCGCAGCAATTACGACTTTGCAGCCGCCGTTCAGTCGGAGCATTTGGGCAAGGACCTAGCAGAAAGATCGATGAGAAAATAGGTCAGGGGAAAGATTGTACTTTCCTCAGACATCAGTGAAAACTTACGAGACCAGTCGGCCCAGCGCCAAACATAAGGACTGTCGAGCCCATCTTGGGAGCAATCTTATCGACACCATGTGCAGCACATGATGCCGGTTCAAGCAACGTGGCATCAACATCAGAAAGGTTTTTGATCTTAAATACCCGACCAGCTAAAAGCACGCAGAAAATGTCAGGAGCCGTTTTTCCCCCTTTTATTAAACTACCGGATGTCTTCAGCAGTTGGGAACTTTATCTTACCTGGATAGGCACAATATTCAGCGAAACCTCCGTTCATCGTCACACCGTGAAGTTTGATGTGCTCGCAGAGAAGCTCCTCTCCCCGTCGGCAGTAGAAGCACGATCCGCAGGTCTCCGAGTTATCGGCGACGACTCGGTCACCAACATTGAAACCTTCGACCTTGGGGCCGTAGGCAGCGACTACACCAACAGTTTCATGTCCTAATTTGCAGAGATTCAGCATTTGAAATCCAAGAGTTGAGAGAAATTTGAGCCAAAATATGTGTCATACCAGGAACCAAAGGGAACTATACATGTCACTAAATTAGCTTCCCGAACATACGGCGAAATATACTTCAAAATCTCCAAATCTAGGGGGGAGATTCTGAGCTTACCTTTGCAAGGAATTCTCCTTCGTGGATATGGAGGTCTGTGCCGCAGACACCGCAGGCTTTGACTTTAATCTACAAAATGCAGAGTCGGAAGAATTAAAAAGAATACTCAACACCAATGACGAGACATATCGAATGCAATGAAAAGATTTCGCAAGAGGCCTCCTACCAGGACATCATTCTCACGTAGGGTTGGGACAGGGATATTGACGATTCCGAACTCCTCTTCCTTGGAGTACCTAAACTCAAAAATTTGAAAACATTGTTAGCAAACGACGGAGGAAAGTTCGATCAATCGCATCCACACTATCTTCTCGAAGGGTAAGCCCCACTAGGGATCGGATCGCTTTGGTGGGTGATGAGAGCTAAATGGAACTATACTGACTGGAGTGCCTTCATAGTCTTGGGGATTTGAGCGGCCATTTTGTCTGAGAGAGGTTCACTACTCGATCTAGTGTCAATTACAAGTGCTAGTTGAGTTCGCCGTCATCTAGTATCGACTTAATTGCGGACATACCTTGGGATTCTGAGGCGTGAGATGAAGATTAGAGTATGCAAAGAATGAAAAGTGAGAGGAGAGGAAAAGGAGGAATGAGGGTAGTTTTAAAGAATTAGTGAAGTGATGAGTAAGTCGAGGTAAGAAAGATCTGCCCGAAATCAAAGTCATTATGGCTGGACCAGCTTGTTGAGAGGGGCGAGGTCGTTGGCCCATCGCCAGGTACTGAAGTGAACTTAGCCGCTAAAAAATTAGCAGGTCTCGTCATCGGTACAGCGTAATTTACATTATGTTGAGCGATTTTCACCTGGGTTACGTTCAACACCTCGATGAAGCTGTAATTTATTTTTTTGGCTCTGTGAGCCTTGCCTCGGCGATTCCATATGGCACGAAAGCTTCAACTGGCCGTGTTTTCTTTGGATTTGGAAGGTTTATAGGAACCAATTCCAATTGATTTCGATCCCCTTTGTCTCAGTCAAATGACATACGAAAGCTCCGTCTTTTCCACCAGGTACACCACGCGGGAGAGGGCTGTTAGTTGGCGAGTGCCATCAGTGCTCGTGGTGACAATGATTGGGGCTCCGAAGCAATGTCCCTGGGTCTGAGGGCAGGGTTTACCTGCAAGGATTCTTGTCAGCTATGGAGTCAATTGTGGATAAAGAACCAAGACGACAGGCGGGGAAGCATTGATAGTAGTAAGCACCCTGCGTTTCAAGCTTTAGCAACACATAACCCCGTATTTGAAGCGGTTTTTTACCCATCCATTAAACCTCTTCGCAGAGCCATCAAAACCCTACGCCAAATTATTCGATCAGCATTTACTAACTACGACCTTGCGATTTCTAGCCTTCGCATATCAGATTACCGGTCGAGAAAGCTTGAGCCCTTTGTTTTGTCTCTTTTTTTGGACCAAAAACTAGATAAATAGTAGATAAATAAATAAATAAATAATTTTTTTTTAAAAAAAAAAAAAAAAAAAAAAAAAAACAACCTACCACCGGGAACTTTTTTGTTCTCATCGCCACCTAAATGATGACCTCCTTCGGCTTTGAACTGCCCCTCCAAGCGCAGTTAAAGCGGCGATGGAAATCCCAGTCCTAACCTACACTGCCGGAGGATCCAAAAGGAATTATAGTGATGACATCAACACTGCCCTTCCGTGCTCTTCCGTTCAGAGAATTAAAGGCTTTGGAGGACGGTTGAAAATGCATCCATCATCATTGCAGCTCTTAGTGGCAGGAACAAAAAATCCAGGAAAATCTAGATGAAAGCTTAGGAATGCCTCCGGGATCTAGTTAGCCAAAAACTTACAACGAAGAAAATACAAATAACTAAAATATGGAGAAAAATTCTTTCGAGCCACCTGACCTTCGCTAGCTTCGATTTAAAACCAACCCCCCATCTCACACCGGTACATACACTCACCTATCGAGCTTGACAGCTATCTTGGGGGGTCTTGCGGTCGGTCTCGGTCCTCGCTCTACCTGCGTTGAGACCGAAAAAAAAGGTTAAAAATACAACTCTAGTCTAAGTGCATGGGTGTGTCCAGACTCCAGACCAACTGCCACGAGTGGCTATGTTCAATCAAGGATGGATCCTGGGATCATTATACATAGCTCTACTCGTGTTGCCATCCCGCGAATTCATTCTGTCTCTTTTCAGCCCTCAACATTCAACCAGCAATGATCTCGGCAAACGGTGGCTGATAGGCATTGTAGCTTAAATTCTTTTCAGCTAGCATAGCCGGCGTAATACCCGGCCGGCTACTGCGGTAAATAAAATAGCAACTGCCTACGGGGAATTTAAGAATTGAGTACCTGAAATAAACAAAAAGGTTACCTGTCGTTCTTATTATATTCCTAATTGGAAAAAACATCCAACGTTTCACCTTGATCAAAAGTCTAACCCCTAGATTTTTTGGCAATTGACAATTCGCGAGATTCATTACTAGAGCTGGGTTGGGTCGGGAATACCCCATAGGTACCATCTATATCCGCACGCTTGGTATCCCGGGTATCGAAAGCGCTTCCCGGTTCTTTGTTTTAGACTTTTTGAGCACTCGTGGAAGCTTCCGTAGTCGATAGCAGACCATAGTATCTAGGGTAAGCGACAAGCTTGGGCGAGTAGTAGGATTATTGCGCAAGACGAAAAGTGCTGCCATTCACCGTTTAACCCGATCTTAGTTTTTTAAGTACTCCAAAGTGAACACACAAGATTAAAAAAGGGGCAGGGCAAGAAAATAATGAAAAGCTAATAGCAAAAGCAAAAGCAAAAGCAAGGATATCACTTTCTTTCCCAATCTATCAACCCATATCAAAACACCAACGCTAAACAATTTGTGCTCATATTCTCATGATGAGGGCCAAAGAATAGAAGGGTAAATCAATTCCAACGGGCTCAGAGCAAAGAACGGACAAGCCTTGACAATGCGTAATAACTCCACGCATTGCCCCAATGCACACGAAATCGAATAAACCAAAGAATATAAGCACAGCGGAAGAAAGATTGAGCTAAACCGCTGAAGGGTGATCAAAAAAAAAGGTGTCAAGGAAAACATGGGCTAACAATAAATAAGCTTCAAACAAGCCACAATAAGGACGAAATCATGAGGGCCCTGGAAAATGGGAGGTAAGCCATTTATAAAAAAAGGCCTCATTGGGACTGTAAAAATAGGGTGAAACGATGGATATTTTTTAATCTGTTATTTTAATCCGAAGCCTTCGCTGTCCACTACAGCGCGCCACAGTTTCTGTTCTAGCTTCTCTCGGCTTTTGTAACGATATAGGGAAATGAGATTGAAACATGTCCTCGCAGTTGGGAACCTATCTGAATCTTGCCCAAGGCATACAAGACGGATCGAAAGATTCGTTGCCCCCATAGCAGGTATACGGTCGCTACCAGTAATGAAACTGAGTATTTTGCGTTGATCCCGGGGTGAGACCCGGGAGAAAAAGTCCCAGAACCAAGTCACCACTGGCTCTTTTTCAGGGTGATCTGTATGCCAGTGTTCATATACCGCCACAGCCTGTAACGATGGGATATCTAAGGCTTCATCCGAACCGCGTACAAGGAGCTCAATCTCTTCTGGACGGAAAAGGTGCAACGCATTCCCTTCGCAGATGGTGAAAAACCCTCGTTTGAAGGGTTCAAACTGACGTGACACTGCAGTGTCTAGGAGATACTTGACATAAAGATCAACATATTCTCGGCGGTTAGAGTTAGTAACCGGTCTCGTTTCTCCGCCAGGACGTAGTGGAATCACAAGTCTCTCTCCATATCGTTCTATCTGGACCACGAAATCCAGGCAAAAAGTTTCCTGTACGTCGCCTTCGTAATTAAGCAAGTCGCGCAGACCTTTTGCGAGAGCAGGTTGATATTCTGCCAGGTCATCCAAAGTACATTTGAAGCTCTGCTGGGGAGTGGATAGGGCTGGCACGTTATTCGGTGGTGCACACGCAAGGAGCTTTCTAAAGGCAAATGGCGGCAAAGCGATGTCGAGAATGGTTGAATTGTATATGGCCAAGCCCAGGAGCACGCCCACTAAGAAGAACTGTTCTGATGATTCGAAACAGTATGGGTTGAAATAACAGTATTGTGATTGCTCGTCATAAACAAAAAGCCCTAACCAATTAAATCAGCTCCAGTTATTTATGGAAGGGCAAAAGCTTTGGAAGCAACAAACCATGAAGAGGATCAAAAATTTCTCGAACCAGAAGTAGAAACCACTCTTTACGAAGGCCGCCAGCATCAACACCCTCCTCGCCGAGAAATTCAATCCGTAAGCCCTTCTTAATTTCCCCTTGGCCGGTGCCCACTACCTCACTGACACTGCGGAGGCTGTCTTCTGCCAGACATTCTCTCCGCACCTTCAACACCAAATATTGGCTTACGCCGCGGCGACCCAAAATACTGTCAAAAAAAGCTTCCCGCGCTTTCTCCTCCATTTGCCGCCGGGCGTCGTGTTCGAGAATCCGTATTTTTGCCCAGATGCTTAGGAAAAAAGAGTATTGACAAAATGAAAATTGACCATTACGGCCCTCCCAAGCCTCAAAGTCCGCAATAAGGTCAGAGTAATCCAAGAGTGTGTTGTAGAATGCGCTAATGGGAATAAGGTGTCTACGCCCCTGACCATCGTGCCTCGATATTTCTTCTCCACCAGGTCGTGGTCCATCGCGCCTCCGGTTGTGGGTCACACTGTTTGCTGAGAATAACAGTGCCATAACTTTTGCTGCTGCTTTGATTTGCCAGTCTTTGCTATAAGTAAGAGCCTGTGGGCTTCCCGGAGAAAGTTTCGGGGGGTTTTCTCTATTAATAGCAGAGTGAAGTTGAGCTGGAGTGGTGTTGCCAGCAGATGAAAATGTGGGGACGTAATCATCTAAATTATCTTCATTCCTGTGTTTGCCCACGTTACCTCGACGTCGTTTTTGATCCCTAGTTAAGCGATAAGTGACAAAACTACCGATGAGCTCCACAATACGGCGGAAATGGCTTTCTGAAAATCTAGAAAACCAGGAAACCAGCATGTGATGACAATCAACAGGCAAATTCGAGAGTATGCCTATGATCCGCTTGATAATAAGAGGGCGCCGGTCTGGTACTTCGCTGGATGTACCCATTGAAGCTGAACGAGAGCGGTGGTGAGTTTTTTTGTTGTCTCCCAAAGTGCCCTTACGATCTTCAGGGATGTGGTGATCAGGCTTTCTCTGAGTCTTAGAAATCGGTGCTGATTCTGGGTTTATGCACAGGCTCGAAGAATATAATAATGGATTCTCAAGTAAGATTAAAAGGAACCGGATATCGTCCGGTCGCCTTAAAGGACGTCTCGGTCTCTGCAGTAGATTCTCCGTAACTTTAAGCAGGGTGACCTGGGCATGGATTCGCGACTCCGTAATTTCTTTATCTAGAAGAGAAACATCTGCAGTGTCCCACAATTGGGCTAGCGCTAGTTTCCCCGGACTGTCAGTTCCATCAGGCTTCATTTCTGCCCACATTTGAATCCATGATTCCCCAGCATGGATGATCTCTTGATACCATTCAGCAAGTTCAGCCCAATTTATACGTGGGGTCTTTGTGCTAGTTAATCCGCTGGCCATTTCGAAAGTTTTGTCCCTTGCATAGTCATCACTTGAACGAGTGCCATGGGTACGATTTCCAGTCCACCAGGAACCATTCTCTACAACATCACTAAGCAAAAGGGTCTTTGCGTCTAGTTGAAAAATGGGTGCGTTTGCCAAAAGATCAGAGGCTGTATCTGCAGGAAGGTTTGTTGAGGGCTGGTTCCCGTCGGATGCCGTTCGAGGACGATTTGTCCTCACTGTCGAAAAGGACGAGTTTATAGTATCACAACCATTAAACGAAGCCATGATATAGTTTTCCAGGGGGCGAAATATCGACGCTGACCGACTTGCACTCAACCCAATTTCGTTGCCGCGGGGAGATTGACTTGACTGTGAACGGGTACGTCTCCCAGCCGGTATAGTCAAACTATCTGATCTGCGGATGTGATTATTGTACCCTGACGGCTTGTCTGTATCTGACAGAGACATTCCTTGGATATCCCCTCCCAAAAACGTCAGATTCCCCGATGAAGAAACTCGTGAGATAGGAGTATGAGAACCAGGGGAACGTGATGTTTCCAAGGTAGACAATGGAGAGCATGATGGAGTCCGCGAATTGCATTGACCGGCGCCATAGGACTTTGTCTCGTTAGAGACGCCGCGCATCCTTGAAATTGGGGGCGTAGCGACTGAATCCCGTTCTTTTTTTTCCTCTAAAAACGATCGAAGATATGAAGATAGACATCGGTCAATGATATTCCGAGTTTGTTCAAGCGATAAGTAAGGCACTAGTAAAGATTATCCCAAGACGTTAATTGAAGTGAACAGTGGGGGCAGCAGGGAACAAAACCTACCTTTTCTTCTGAACTGTGGGCCAAAGGGACTCTCGGAGTTGCTGAGAGGGGCATTAGACGGTTCGATACATGGCTCTAGATCATTCATTGCGGTACATTTCCCACATCTAAAGCCCTTTCTTCCATGGGGGAATGTATTGGTATGGTCGCATGTCATACACCGCCGCGACACGTAGTCTTCGTTCGCACTCAACGCATTCTTGCGCGGGCTGATGGATCGTGATGTTCTCCCATGATGAGGGAGGCCATCAGCTTTGGGGTGTTCTCTAGCGGCTTGCCGCTCACGTCTCCTCCCAGAACCAAACAGTAGCGGAAAAGGATGGCTGCTAGAACGGGTATGCGTACCGCGCGATGGCGTAGGAAATGGGGAGGCGCTTTGCGGGGTGTTCGAGTTGGAAGGAGGGGTTTCGGATCGATCCGTCGGCGGGTTGCGTGGAGTTGAGCCATCAACCCGCCTCAAAGGAGATGACGATGCACTCAGCGGAGACGGCGACGGGAGAGGCTTCGACTCAGGGTGGGATATCCAAGGCGGAGGAGGCATGGGATTCCAAACAATTCAAGGAGGCTCGAATGCCAGGACTTGGGAGTCCTTAAGCTAAATTCCCGACAGGTCTTGCTATAGTTCCGTGCTATTCTACAGCCAGGAATGGTTAACTCTAATTGAGAGCAAACAACTACTCGGAAGATGTCCAGGAAACAATGTCCAGGAAACGATGTCCAAACAATCGACGGAAAGGAGGCTTGTGCTTGTTTGATCCGCGAAGATCACGAGAGAGGGAAGCCGCCGTTTCGCGTCAACAACCACGATACGTTGGACGCCGTAATTAATTTCTCTTAAAAAAATACGGCAGTTGCGATTGTTGAGTAGTGATTGTCCACGTACATGTACTATGTATGTCAAGAACAGCCCTGTGTCCGTCCCGTCGTTGTCGTCATGTTGTTTTGAACCCTCCAGTTTCTGGCTCCAAGTTTCCAGCCGGCGGCAGCTCGACGGCGTGGGCCGGCGTTGGGTGGGCTGGACTTGCTGGGCACTGTTGATTGCTGGGATCAAGAAAGCAAGCGTCTCCCAGAGAGCAGCCATCTGGGATCTCCAGGACGAATGCGTCTACACAGCCAGTTGGAGTGGGATGTGGGATAGGACATACGGCATCAATCAATGATTACACGGCGTGACACCGATGATACGGGTACAGACGAGACATGTTTCATCAGAAACAGCTGCCCAAGTGTAAAGCAAGCTGCAACAACGTCGTATTACATTATCTGTAACGGTATTGATACTAATTCAATTTCCTTTTTTCTTCTATTTTCCTCAAACATTTATTCGCTTTAAATAAACTTCCAATTTCATTCTCTCGTCCTTTCAATCAACCATCTCGTCACAAAATGTTTGTTCTCTCCATGACCTGCAAACCTTTGGTGGTGGGGTCGAGACGCTTCCATACAGCAAGCATGCCTTTAGCCACTTGACTGGGATTCAGGGATATGCACCTGTCCATCTCATCCTTGGTTTGCACAGGGACGATCAAGTGGCTAAATACGCCAATTTTCCCTCTTCCATAGCTTTCAAGGAGGAGTGCCTGCCAACGTCAGACCTCTGGAGATAACTTACAAATGGAGGAGGGGTATTTCGTTACTCAGTAATTGCACATTGATCAGCGATAGGGTAAAGCAGAACCAACATTCACTGCCCATTATCTCCGACTGTGGGGACACTGTTTCTTCGCTTGTTGAAAAATATATGGAATCAGCCGCTATCTCTTCGTAGACCATTTGCTAAAATTATTTCCCTCTGATCTCAGTCCCAAGCAGTATTATTTTGGGAAGTTAATCCGACGACCAGAAAATACGTGGCTGCCGAAAAATTTCATGTTTGCTGTTGGAAAATTAGGAGAAAGCACGGCGTGTTCATTGGATGTATCAAGGAAAGAAGGGACCAGAGAAAATTTTGAGTAGCCAAGGGTCTGCGGGAGAATCAGGAGCTGAACGAGGAAATATATACCAGGGGAACATGCCTTGGATCCATTCCCTGGCTCTTGGGAGGTTTGGAGATCGCAAAATGCCGGTTATGTGATGGCAGTTTTTCATCACAACATCGAAAACAGGTGAAAAGAAAAGAAATTCGTTTTCTTCACCCCAATGAGGGCTTCGATACTCACCATTTTCTGCCAACCAACTTCGACTGATTACAGCCGCCAAGAAGGTGCTATTATCGTCGCAAATCGAACACCTGTTTCGTCCCACCTGGCTCATATTGTGTTGGCGTTGAAGATATTGGTTGAGGCTCTGCGCTGAAAGTTCAGCCACGGATTGGAAACTACATTTTTGGCTTGAGGCTCAAACATCCCCTCGTCGGAACGGAATAATACGAAGCAGAAGGCGCCAGTTACTGGATTGTCGATCGTATTGAGCTTCAGCAATGGCCCGGCTGGCGGATTGATTCATCCTGTGGCGTTCGTATGATTGGATCTCAAATTGCCACAAGCCCTTGTAAAGCGACGAAAGAAAGATCTGACTGACATCAAACAAAAATTTCGTGAGATAGAAAAATTTTCACCAAGGGAATATGTGACACCGAAGCGGGCAGAGTTCCTCAATCTCAGACCTTGCATGCAGGTAATTGCAAATTTCATACACCTGCGTGACCCATCCTTATGATTAGGAAATTAGCTGGAGTGTGTTCTTCAATCGCGAGCCAGTACTCACGATGTTTGTCTTCCCTTCCGGGGGGATGTTTCGGCTCAAAATCGATAGGTCACCCCGAATAATCAGGAGCAACTCCATGCTGTTATTCCCCCATTTCATCGAGACAGGCTTGACGAAGGCAACCTCTTTGCATTCCCCGTTCTCTGGGCCTGGAAGTCAGCTTGTATCCTCCTGTTGGGTATGTGAGGTGCGAGATTGAGAACGTCCATTAGGCAACATGTTTAGAGCCAAAATTTTGAAGACAAAAAGGAGGAATGGCCCTCGAGGGTCTGGAACAACTCTCCCGTGGCGGAATCCCAGAGCTTGACAGTGTTATCCCTAGAACCGGATGCCAGCAGCTGACCATCCGGTGAGAAGGCCATCGATTTAATTCAATCATAATGGCCCTCGAGCGTCTGTATCTCTGCATCCCAATATTCTTCAACTTTTGTTAATTGGCCAAGCCAGTTAAGTCTTTCCTTTTCAAATAAATTTCTGATTTTTGAGATCCTGGGAGCAAATGCAAGTCCTGAAGAATAAAGCTGAAGTGGTGCAATATCAATAATATATCTATTTTCAAGAATGAATCGTTTTGCATCGTGGAAAAATTCCAAGATTCCAGGATATTTATTAACTCTCCCATTTTTATGAGCATTTATGCTTGATGAGAGCTTTCGGCAAAACCTACCTACATGACTGACTACAATGTATTGATGATTTTGACAACTTCAGATATTATACCCAAGATACTCATAGCTTCCACCCAGTGAAGGAAATGCAATTTAAGAAATGAGAAGGCATCAACCATCTCAGTGATTGGGTGCTGTGCCCAGTAACGGCAGGCGTAGTGCAGCTCTGGAGATAGGCGATGGCTAACAGAATTTAAGTCGACCTCACCACGTTCCGTACCATCGCCTGGTAAGTTGCAGATGTTCTTCCTTAACTTGTGCTGCATGACCTTTAGACATTGTACCACGAGGGTTTGGTGGATCTCCTTCTCATCTATCCATAATGGGGTCTTCTCAGGTGTGTCCGGATGATGTAGAAAGTCTCGGAATGATAGATGAAATGGTCTGATCGGTTTAGTCTTGTCATTGGGTATAGAAAGAACTGAATGGAGTAACTCTAGCCTGACATGAATCGATTCTTTGGAAATACCAGTGAGCCTCGACAGTGAAGCAACCGGAAGTGGAGACTCAAGAATGATGATTGTCCCAATCATCCCTCGATGTTCTTCAATCAATTCTTTTCTCTTGACCCCACTCTGCTTGATCAAAAGTCGATCAAGCACAGGCAAATTCGTCCCATCAAGGCCAGAATTGCAAGTCCGGTGTGAGAGGATCTCTCTTAGACTCTCCGGAGGGTGCCATTGAGGATCTTCAAATGTGCGGCACATAGTGGCTGCAAAGATAGACAACGGAACCGACATTGTAACTAGAGACGCAATTACCTCCTGGCCAGTCAAAGGAAAGCTTGATTCCTCTTTTTGAGGACTCTTGCCGGATTTCTGAAAACCTGTGCTCCAGGAACAAGGATATGTCACGTTTGATAACAGAGTCGGGGATCTCATGTAGTATAAAGTCCTGATGATCGTCTGCGATGTCCTTAAATCTAAGCCTGATCGGCAAATCAGGTCTGCTCGTTGAAAAAAAAAAAAAAAAAAAAAAAAAAACCCGTACTTGTACTGAGTTTGACTCCTGGGCCCGTGGTAAGAGTCGAAGAATATCTCGTACATCATCTTCACGCTCGCATTCATCCAGTGCGTCGATAACAATCACCATGCGCACAGCGTGGCCCTGTTCCATTTCATGCAGTGGCTGACGAACAAGCTTTTCGAATTGTTCTCTGAGTGATTTGTTTGAAATATAGGGGTCGGCCTCGATTGCTTTTTGGATGTAAGGGGTCAATACAGATCTGTACAGGTAGGCTGGTTACTAATTGCTCAGCGAGTGTTGAGAAAAGTTTCCTAGTACGCCCTCGGTCTTCTCCACCCCGTTTAAAGAAGAAACTTGCACCAAGTGAACCTCTCTTTTTAAGATGCTTTTCAACTGTTCGTGAGATCGTTGACTTTCCAGTCCCTGCTATGCCATTCAGCCAGAATATGCATTTTCCGTTCGGTGATTCCACCCAGTGGTCGATTTCCTGAAGCAGCTCTTTACGGGTTCCTTGGAGGCATTCATCATGCTGAATCCCATAAGAATCAAATGCTGCACCTTTTGCGATCTGCAATTTATCTAGATCGATTTTTCGGTTGATAAGGCCGGTGATCCTCCTGAGTGAAAATTAGCTATCTGTACGTGTGCATGTAAGAGGAGGACCTGGGATCATGCAACATACCTACGACTGATCAACTTGAAGAGCCAAATTGAATAATGATTTGTAGCCCCCAATATAACTATTTATCTCAGCTACCTCTGCCTGCCTCAAAGGCCATTTAAACGCTCCAGTAAATCTTTTTACTGGGCTCCGTGTTGTTTCTGGATCGATCTTCTCCTTCAAATTTGTGAGTGTTGAAGAACATTTGTGATGTCTACGAATAAGCTTTGAGAGGTCGTAAGCTTTGAGCCACCTGGCTCGCGAAGAAACTTGAAGAACTTCCGTGTGTTAATCTTTTGTTGTAGGTGGAGAATATCCTGTTTCACATTTTTTGCTTTCTTGATATAGCCTCCACAAAGTTCAGCAATCTTTCCGGTTAACGTGATCACCCCTAACGAAATGAAGAATGCTTAGCTACATAAATCTCAACAATAATCATATAAAATTTATATATAATATGTAATTTATATATGCATATCTACATAGTATATTTTAGAACTCTCATGTATTAAAAGTCTGTATTACGTGCTGAGTTATAGGCTGTATTAGAAGTTGATTTTCTTAATAAATTACACATATAAATTATATGTGATGTATTCAGATTACTATATTATCATTAGCAGAACTGTATGAAATTTTATAATAAAAATTTCAATCACTATTAGAGAACTATATAATTAGCTTAAATTCTGATTTATATATAAAAAGATTAAGTATTAAGAAAGTTATTTAATATTACAAAAACTAACATTTTTCTCATCGAAAAGTGAAAAATATAACTAGTAATTAAAATACATCTCTCATAAATTGATATGAAGAAATATTTAGAACTTTTACATATGTCATCTACAATGATTGATGTACTTATTTTAATATTCTCAATTCTTTATAATAGTTAAATTTGATAGCAGATTATAAATTACCAATAAAAAATTAAAAATGATTAAAAATGATTGATATGGGGTGGATAATTTTGGCGATTTGTATGGGAAATGATGATTGTTAGATGGGTGATCACGTTAGTTGAATGGCCGCAATAAGGCTTGCTACACAAGAGAGAGGTTCCATCATGCAAAGACTGCAAGGAACAGTATTTATCCAATGATTACTTTAAAGACAGGATGCAAAAGCCACAGGAACCGGGTGGAATCCCTTTTTCATAATGTGGTTGACATAAAATTTGACTTGTGGAAGAGGAGAAGATCCTGAGGGGATGAGAGTGTGCAAGAACCCATCTTTGTTGCTGCTTGCGAAGACCAATCATCATTCATCCCGCAGAAAAGATTTGAATCAGAACTGACTGGTACACAGCAAACGACTCAAGAAATGCATGATACCAGATTCTCTGCATAGAAATATAGGGCAAGTTAAACGAGACGTGATGAATCTGCTAAACAGACTAGGACCCGCTCTGCCTTAAATTTCGGGCCGAGCCGACCCAGCATTCTCACATCTACCGAGGAAAGCCCGAAATAAGATGACCATTTTCACCAATTTTGTTTCGCCAGCAGCTGACCATGGCACCTTCATAGGTGGAGGATTAAAGCAGTCGGTCATACGAGCGTAGCGTGGGTTAAAACATTTAATTTTATTTTCATATAAGGCCAGGTCAAACGCTGGCGCATTGCATACCCAATAGTTGATGTGAGCAGCGAGGAGGCTTCCAGTGGTATATGATGATAGAGCACTGGGTAACCGCCTAGCATCAAGCAGTAGGGATAATTATGCTTCTGAAGAGCAAATGCGAGCAGAGTCTACCTAAAGTCAAAAGGCTTTCAAGGCCCCTCAATGCTACCTTCTCATTTGCATTTAATGTTTGCAGTGTCTTCATAGACATTCAATAGCCTTGTCAAATGCTTGGGTGACGGGATCATAGAGTTTTTCCGGCTTCGCCGGAGTCCCAATTACCAACCCGTTACAATACGGGAACAAGATTCCTCTCAGCTCTCTACAAAGACTTTTAGCTTTGTCACACTCTGGTGGGAACTCCTGCAAAAGGTCCTCAAATCTATTCGCGTCCATATGACCGGTTTTCACATCGGCGATCTCCTCATAGCTCCCTGTGTACCACTTCTTTAGTCGGCTTTTTTGAGGCTTTTCTTTCGAACGACCGTAACGTTCCCATCCATTATGGGCACACTGCCATATAAGCACATAGAAGAACGACTCCAGATCGTGCCGATAAGTATGGTCAATGATAAGCAGCACTTCAATCGCCATAAATTCCATCGTGCCGGTCTGATGTCGTGCTCCTGTCGGCCCGCTACCGAGCTCCTTCGCAAGATCAAGGTCAATCAGCATGCCTGAGTAGCCATTGTTGATTTTAGGATCGGTGATGATTATGTTATTCTCTGATATATCTCTGTGTAAGATTTTTCCCTTGATGTACAGGGAACGATGCGCTTTGATCGCATCACGGAGTGCTAGGAGCAACTCTTTGAGCGAATCAAACTTACAGATTGCTCTGCCGGCCGGGGATATCGCCAAGCAGCGCAGGACTCGATTTTCGAATGGTTCTTCTCCATCGGTGGCGTAAAGGCTGGCTTTCTGAGTCTCCTCCACAGAAAATGCTACCTCATTTCCTTCTGCTGCGCTATCCAACCTAAGGTTGCTCGACCGTGAAAGTTTGAGAGGCTTGGCTGCAGATTGGGTAGATTGTTTTCTCTTCTTCGAGGAGCCTGATGACGAACCTTTGGCGATGCTTAAGCCACGGAGCTCCGTGAACGATTGGGACAGCTGGAGCTGTGGCTGAGATTGGGTAAAGGAGGACGAAGTGCTTGGTGCCATGCTGCGAAATTGATAAACTTTCTTAAAGTCAAGACCTTCGCGCAATTCTGCAATGCTTGTGATGGATCTGTATCCAATCATCCTGGCCACACCCTCTACCTCGCGTTGATGCACTTTTTGAAGAAGTTCCACCTCGGGCTGTCGTCTGGCAGAAGTCCAGGAGAATTTGACAGCATTTTGTGACTTGAAAGCACCATCATCTTTAGTTAGATAGCAGCACGTGCCGCGGCAGACCACCGCTAACTGAATTGAGATGGGCATCGATTCCAGTCGCAGGAGCTTCTTCCCGCTAGTGTCAATATCCCCAACATAGACAGTTCGCGTCCCGTCGTCGTGTAGCATGGTGAATGTATCTAGACCCAGCTCCTCGTCACTCATCAGCGTGTATCCGATGATCGCACGGAAGAACCGTTCAGGCTCGTTACGGATGTCAAAGGAGCCAGAGCTGTATGGCCCCGATCGATCAGTCACCCACATCTCCATCTCCGTCCCGCAGAGAGTGAAGGAGTGAACGAATGGACGGGTCGGCTGGGCGGCGAAGACGTCTCGTACATACCGCTCCATCTGAAGAATCGTGCCCTTCTTATTGTAATTTGACTGTTTAAGTTCACCGACAACGCGTATATCCTTCCAGCTATGTCTTGGCACAGGGTCATCACCGGCTCGCACCTTCATCAGCACGTCCACCTGTCGTTCAGCCTCGGAGTCTTTGAGACTCTTTTTGCCTTCGGTAGAGAAATACATCCCACGAGTTTCGGTCAAGAAGGTATTCTGTAATCGGAACCACCAGTCTAGAACATCATTTTGAATTGGCGGGTTTGGGAAATCCGATAGTCCAGTGTCGTCTCGCTCCTGTATCTTCTTATAGATATCGATGAACTTCTCTTCCCAACTTGTATTTCGAAAATACTTCGCATCAAATCCCCCAACATCTTTATGTGTGCATGTCTTGATCTCGTCAAAGAGCCTCTCTTCCACCAGTTTGCGAGTTTGCTCGTTACCGCGCTGAGAGGACGACGTCGACCTCCAAGGGGTACCGTCTGATGTGGGAAGAACTGTCGCAGGAGGGGTAAGTTGAGAGACAGTCTCAATAACTTGATGAACTGCTTTCCAGATATCAACGTCGGGAGCCTTTTGAATCACTAGGCGTACCAGGGCTCGATAGGGATTGTAGCTGAAGCCTCCCTTCTCTTTCCGGAGACGCGTATATAGGTTTGCCAGGTCCGAATCCGCTTTTTGATCGTTTATTTGTGACGAAAGATTTAATGCTGCATCAGTTCCCTGTAATGCATAGACAAGTTTCGTTATTGCACTTCGATAGAGATGGTCGAGACTGTCAGAGGCACCATCGTAGAACATCAACCGTGAGTCGTAGACTTTCTCTGCCTCCTGAAGTAGGTCACCTAGCTTGTCGAGTGAGTCATTTAATGGATATCGCTTGATAATGTCGCGATCATCCTGTGAGAGATCCACCATTTTCGTAGGCATATCTGCTTCTGCAGAAGAGAAGCATGTCGGGCCTTGGGAGAGACGGATTTACATCACGTGATTTAGATAGCACTATACAATCTGCATGATGGAGCTCAATATAGATATCTTTACTTTCTAGTATAGGAGTATGTGCACAAAATATAGTGCAAAACTTTGTTCCAGGCGGATAGAGTTGAACTCCCGATGATTTCTGACTCGTGAGGGCTGACTTTGTGAGGAATTTGGTGAAAGACGCGTAGAATTGAAGCTCAGGTTGTGTCAATAAATTATATACAAAAGGCATCACTCAGACGGCACCTCATTCCTTGTGGGTTTGAACCAAACTTAATTCACCAATTCAACAAGCGTAACTTAGATCTCTTCTTAAAAGGACGATTAACCCCTTGCTCATTCTGCGTTGACTGCTGCCACTTCCTTTTTGGAGGTTCTTCATAGAATGTAGTATTCAAGAGACCTAGACAATATCTAGTATTCCCCGACGGAATAACTGAATAAAATAAGGGGTAGCAGGAAAGTTGTCCATACACCAGTTTTCATCGTTGTCAATGACTGGCTGCGCTCCAGCGCCGATATCATAATGTCTTCCTGGATGCTCCTCTCCTTTTTCTTCAAAGACCAGCGACCATGATTTCCGATGCATACGTTTCGTATCTCGTCTCGCGCTCACACACTTGACGGTCGGGGCCATAGAAATCTCACAGCCGCTGGCGTACGAACCTCCGAAAAAGTCCACAAGTTGAACCACAGAAAGTTCACAGATACATGCTACACAAATGTAGCGATTAGAGTCCGCAAATTAGGCTGAGAGTGACACTAATTCTCCGACAGGCTGAGTTGATTGCTGCCCACATTCTCTGCATGCGTGATAAAAGCTTTTGTTTGAGAGCCGAAAGCTGCTGTAGAGGCCGGCTTGTAACAGTGTGGGATGGTAGGACATAGGCTTGTGGCCTTTCTTCGAGCCAAAAGAAGACTGACTAGATAGGCTGACGCGTCTCGGATGCTTCAAAGTCGCCCGGGCTGCGGCATATTGCAAAGGCTCAAGACTGAAAATAATGTCCGATCTTCCATCAGCTGGCCCAGTCAAAGTGTATTGGTGAGAGCCGGATTATTCAACCAACACATAGCGCAGGCTTGGAAGAAGTTCGGAGAGATGGTGGAGCGCTTCTCTTCACTGGTGTATTGTGATACTAGTTATGGAAGCGCCAGAACAGAAGGCTTGCTCTTGGATTGATTATTGTAGATATTTGAGAGGTGGACATGCACTTCTCATATGTGCAGTGATATATACCACCCTCACCCATCTCTTCATTGTAATCTCATACGGCGTGGCCACACTTTTCATCCCCAAGACCATGCTTTTTCTTGAAAAGTTTTCCTCTGTGTTCCCATAAAAAAACAAAAACAAAACAAAAAATGGAAAATAGTACGATCATCCCTGGGGTCGAACCGATTCCTTTTGTCACAGGATTCATATACGGTTACCCTGGCTCATTCACGTATCTTGACCTTTTTGTGGACGCGGTACAGCGAGGATAGAATCCCGAGGATAATAATGCCCCAGGAAAATTAATTATTGTGCGAAAAATGTGGCGTGCCCTGAGTGAATAGAATGCCCCAAGAAAGATGATCACTCTGCAACAAGTGTAACATGCCCTTAGCCAATGGAATTCCCATAAACGGCATGGCTAACCTAGTTTCCCCAGGAATTGCACGCAAGTGCTGGAAGCTGGTTTCCCTTCTCCAGGCCATTCTCAAATTCATGTAACTGGCTTTCAAGAGCTCCTGCTGCCAGAATTCCATTGCTGGTAAACAACCCCGACATGGCCCATATCATCATTGTCCAGATTCTTCTTGACACAGTAGATGGCTAAAGTAGAGCATATCATCATATCTTTGGAGAGTGTCAACAGTTCATGTTGGATCAACTGTAATGTAACTTGCTTCATTGCCTCAGAACTTGAGGGAATCTTGAAGCCCTTATATGACTCTTCACCAACTTTTATACATTCTCTGCATGTTTATTTGTTCAAACTGTGAACAGATCTGATATTCATTGCTGTAAATGGCTGGCCTGGAGAGATCCAGCAACAGTTTGAGTTAGGGGTTGTATGTGAGAGTGGTTCTGTTAGAAGCGCTGAGCATAGTTAGTATCTAACAAATAAAGGTTTTGATGATCTATGGTACCTTTGTGTCGATCCCGTCTTGGCATCGAACTTTAATATTCACCCTTTTGTCACCTTTCCCACGGCCTTGAATGGCTAGCAACTGTGTGCTCACATCTCTAAGTGGTAGCAATATGCATTATCATAACAGGACCGAAATCGTCATCAACGGGAGACACGCGAGTGGAGAATGAGCGGCCGCCGGATTGCATCCACGTTGCAGAAGAATCATGCATGTTGGGAGTGCTTAAGTTTTAAAGCGAAGGCCGCTAGAGAGATAGCCGCAATGATAACTAACTTATAGGGTGAAGACATATTAGGTAATTAAATAGCAGCAATAGGGACAACAATAAAGGTAAAAATAAATTGAAAAGGCTTCCAAGGTATGCTTCATTTGGTAATTTATTTTACACACGTTTCATTAATTATAGCTAAAATCTCGGTTTTATTTGTGCCTATCTTTCAGTGCTGAAATCACATCAAAATACTGTGCCTGTAAACACGTCAAAGTAGATAGTTAGAAACGGCTGGAAAATAAAGTATGATAAGTTGACTTCCACCACATTTAGTATTTAAAGAATAGGATTTAGTTGGGCTCCCAGATCATTGGATAAATAAATGGCTCATACTCACAATCGCGATGAAATCTAAGACGAAGGATAAACAGGAAGGTGGGAGAAAATAGACCGTCCAGTCCATCTCTTGAGCCTTAGAAGCAAACAGACCCGGGGTTGGGTTGCTTTTTTGCTCCCAATGCAGTAATTGCCCAGAACTTGGCATTGCTGAAAAGAAAATGTGATCCCAGGTTCACCTGCAACTCCCCAGTGATTCAATCTCATCCCAGTTTAGTCCGTTGAATCGCTGCATCAATGTCAACGAAAGACTAGAGCCAACCGGGAAAGAACAGATCATAAGCCCTATGATTGTCAAGGCTCTTAGGGCAAATCCGGGATGATCCAAAGTTAGCAAGGTGCTGCCTTGAGAGCAGATATCATCTCGCCTTTCCGCGGGTGTATTGAAGCCAGTTTATGAATTCCACTTCGATCTCCTTACAGTTTCTATTGCAAGGTTATGTGACAAAAGCCGACTTCCCGGCAATTTCCCCACCACCAAGAAGCGCATACACAATAGCGGCCCCTTCACACATCATGTATTTAACTCAAGAGTCCTATTATGCAGGAGGGAAGGCCAAGATGGGCTGCGGTGGGTATGGGTTGGGTAGCATTAGATCCTGGGCATGTACTCCAAGCTAATATCGAATGCTGAGACGGCTATGCAAACTGTCAATCGTGAGAACATGACAAGCTGAGAAGTAAAAATCAGCCACCAAATGCTATATAATGTCTTTCGCACATCTCGGGCTGCGGCACTTGTGTCGAGTGGACCTATTAGCTCTTTGGCTTGGATTCCGAGAGAAAAAGCAGTCTTAGGTATTGGAGAGGGAGTCTTTCACGGACGATCACACCCTACCTCCGGACACACAGGCAGTCATAGAGAGTCCGAGGTTAACGTGTTGCTTAAAATTAGAGTTATTTGAATAGTTTAGCGGAACAACCTAGAGTGTAAATCCCAATCGGGTTTGCAAAATATGCTAACATTATTCAGACGAAATGCCTGCGGGAGCGGTTGAATTCAATTCCCCTGCATGCATTGGCCAATGAATGATGAGCGTCTATTTTCCAACCTCACTTAAAAGATCAATACCTGACGCGGGGGGAACCAAATTCGAAAAGTAAAAGGAGCGCGACCTAAAACTAACACTTTGTTTCTCCGAAATTAGTATCAAGTAATTATGATAGAATAAGTATTCCCATACGCAGTAAACAAAAGGTAGCTCCCTGATAATGGTCCTGTTGGTTCAGCAGTCCTCAACTCTCATAAGGTATAGCGATGAGATCGAGCAGTAAATCACAAATGTTAAAGGGATAAATCGTCACGTCCTCTTTTCGCAAAAGGGAGCTTACAACGTGGAACTCACAGCCTGCGGCATTTCTGGAGTGACAGTCGTGAAATTCAGTTCTCGTAACTCAGTATCCTACCTGAATTCGCATACTTTGTTACCCAAGAAGTATTCGGTCTCTCCGACTTGGCCCAGAGACCTCGCCGGATCTAACAAGACGCTAGGATTAGTACCATGTGTGTGCTTGCCTCATACTGTCGAGGTCTAATTGGATATCATTATGACAGGTATCGCAGAAACTGGTCGATTTCCGTAGCTCATCCAGCATGCGTTCGACACCGGCTCATTGGGAATGCAAGGATAAAAACATCCAGTGTGGGGAAGAAGACCATAGCACAAACCCATCAAACCTTGTTCATCAGCCAGAAAACATATGCCCTGTTTCTTCACGTTAGTTTGGCTCAACGACTGCAGCCCAACTTATGCAAAATCTGATGCAACGTGTTCATCGCGCCTAAGGAATAAGGAAAAGTTGTTGCCTTTCGCCAAGGCAAAAAAATATGGCGTGGTGTTAGCTTAAAAACCGAAGATATATGGTCATAGCAAGAGTTCACTGTCCAGGGAAGGGCCCGTGCGGGGACACTGAGATTTCCGTGTCCCGCATGGGATACTAAATTTGACAGGAGTGAGATTGCGCGCTGTGCTGTGCGTGCTAACAAGGGTGAATCATGTGGATAGGCTGAGAAGATCCTTGGTGAAAATACATCTCCGTCCATGTAGGTAAGCAGTATCCTGGACGAATACGAGCACACCAGCCGCAACGGAATGAACCAAAGATCCGGAGGCTTGGACAAAGAGTTGGCTCGCTATTCCTCAGTGCCCTTCAGTGGCGATGGGCCAAGTGAAATGACACCGTAGGCGATACTACGGGAGGGAGGGTGTGGGTGTAGTTTTCAAGATAAATTAATACGAAAGCAATGCAGGTCAGCGCGAAAATGCACCAGCAAGCTAAAATCGCAGGCAGTGGGAAGGGTGAATATCATCATCCAGAGAACTAGGAGTTGTATGTTGTCAACGACAAGGAGAGCTCATGAAACGTGGAGAATATCGCTCAACATGAATCTCGGGGTTTGCGTGCCGGAATAAGTATTTATCCGGAAAATCAGGGACAATTGATCGTCGCTAGCTTAAGTCGACCTCAGCCATCGAACCGTAGTCTCCTTCATCTAGAGACACCACTGCCTACCACAACGACTGCCCCATTATGGCTCCTCAAATCCCTATGCTAGAAATGGCAGCGTATCATCGATATTCCTCTTGGATAATTCTGGTGGTTGCTCTGGTGGTTTGGAAGGTAGCCGTCAGCGGCCAAACCTTTCCGTGTGAAGCCGTTTGCAGGGGCTCTTAGGAGCCAGGGTGGCTCCAGGATTCTGCAACTGACAGCTATATGGCCCCTATATCCATGATATAGGCTCCAGCTGTGCAGATAACTTTCCTTACAACAGCATGTGACAATAGATGCTCATGGATTCCAAAAACAATGCTTTTACAAGGGTGAAGAGCTAGTTCGATCTGGGGAATGCCAACTGGGATATTTTGGCAGGATACGCACAACTCCGCCCACAAATGTTCCATTTCCATGACAATATGACAAATTTGATTCCCGGGTTGACGCTAGCTGTTTTATTTTTTTCTACATCTCGCTTCTGAGCCCCTCATTTCTTTCTTTCTTGTTTTTTTAACGAAGAGAACCCCATCTCGAGTCCTTTCGGAACCCTGTCCGTTAGGGATACTTCCTCATCGGCACGGAAATGATACTTGGTTGAGGATGGTTTGGCTTGGGCTGCATGCAGAAATTGAGAAGCGATGGACTCTGCATAATTGTCAGTGTTGTTGACACTCGTTTCTTTACACCCCAGCCATCTCGATCATCGTCTCTAGCACAGTATATAAAGCCACCTGTTTCCTCTCATCTTTCGGCTTTCCTGGTCCTTGAAAGGAAAACACAATCCTCAAAACATTGCAGCACAACTTTGGCTTCCTATTTTATATTATCCCCCCTTTTGCACCTTGGCGAATACGATGAAAGCTATAATCATTCTTACCTTTGTGGTGCAGGTTCTCACGGCTGTTGTTAGCCGTGATCCAGGGGCTGGTGATGATGCCAGCCCTCGGTCGTTCCCGCTGCCCCCTCTACCCCCTGCCACGGCGGAGGGGCCCGACCCCGACAAAGTGCAAATCATTGGCGTGACACATGGCGGAACGGGATGCCCCTCAAATTCAGTCAGGCATATCCTTTCGGATGACAGGACCGTTATGACTCTCATTTTCGACAAATATGTTGCGTCGATTGGTCCCGATGTTCCGATCACCGAGAGCCGCAAGAACTGCCAGTTGAATATCAATCTGCGGTATCCCGGTGGCTTCCAATACTCAATATTCTCAGCCGACTATCGTGGGTATGCAAACCTAGATAGGGGTGTTAAGGGTGTTCAAAAGAGCACCTACTATTTCTCTGGTCAGACACGACAGGTATGATATGTTACCATGCACCGCTCTCTTCTTGTGTCAAGAGTCTCTCCCTAAACCTGTTCCTTATAGGCTTCCACCATGACCGAATGGAACGGTCCAATGGAAAAAGACTATCTTCTCCATGACGAAACAGACCATGCCACCACTGTCTGGTCCCCATGTGGTGCCAATGGAGCCCTCAATGTCAATTCCCAGATTCGCCTAACCAGCAATAATCACAACGCTCGTGGTGTGTTGACCACAGACTCTATCGACGCGAGTTTCAGACAGATTGTCCATTTCAGGTGGCAGAAGTGCAACAACTAGTAGCTTGTAGCTTGGATGCTTGCGCCTCTGCTGCTATTCTATCGCGCCACTATATCAGGTAGAGATCGTTGTGATGAAGTGTGTATGGTGTTAGTCAAATACTGTATTGAGACTCTCGTTTTTATCTCTCTATCATGTAATTTTCTGGATGGAAACGAAAACAATTTGAAGTGGGATATATAATCTGATCATCTAGTCATAAGCGTATCGATCTAGTATTATGCCATTATCTGAATGGCCACAATGGAATATGATGTTTGCGGTCAATGATTTTTCCTCCTTTCATACCTATTTGCAGAGTGACCTATACATGTACGGGGTATTTGGTTTGCATGAAACTATCAGGTTTCTCAGGTTCCAATAATACTACCCACCCTTGGTCCAGCAACATTCATCAAGCAGAACTGAAAGTTTCAATGGAGAATATCCTCCAGTTTAGTTCCACGTCAGGATTTTACTTGTTTATATATAAAGCCTTATTACCCTTGCCCACATAGTTTGAAAACCATGGACATTCTCGTGGGCCTAAAGCGTGGCTGGGATCGGTTATGTAGCTCTCCCTTGTCTACATTTTCATTGCTTCCTTTTCCTTTCCTTGCCTTCTTATTTTAAAATAGAGACGATAACATAAGAAGTAATGTCGTCAGTCAAAGTTTATATTCGTGTGACTACTTAAATCACTGCAAGTCATACAAGTATTCAACATGACGTTAAAAAACTATTCCCCGTAAAACTACGTAGCAAACAATTCAGCCAAATCATGAAAAAAAAAACACACAAAGGTGTGTAATAAAGAATTTTGCGGTTTATTCTCGTTTTTCTTTTCGCTATATGCATTACCGAATCGATTAAGTCGTAGCAAACCATGCACATAGCTGGTGTCGGTGCGGTGCTGGGGTAAAAATTTTCTTTTCCTTCTGTCCTAGGATGGAAGGTTCCATAACGCCGGCTACACCAGATGAGGCCAGAGACCAAAGGAAAAAGCACATTCCAACACCGACACCAACACCATCGTACATCCCATATCCGTAACCATCGCCACTGCCAATTGGCCCATTTAACGGTATCTCCAGTAGCTTTGAGTATTGAGGCGTTTCCAGGTTTTCCGTCTGCCGGCACTGGTCTTGTTGTAACTGTGGCCCCGTCCAAGACCACGGGACTTCTTGCCAGCTGCGGTCAAGCCGCGGGATTCGCGGTGCTATCGGAGGAAGACAAAGTTAGGATTTATTTTTTTTACCGGAATGGTTCTTTCGAGTCCATGTATAAATGGACAAAAAAAAATAGACGTACCTTGTGCACTGGCTTGACGATCCAGTTGATACGAGGATCGCGGCGGATGGCCTTGTGCTGGGGATCGACGAGGATGACCTCAAAGTACTTATAAGTGGAGTCCTCGTTGATCCAGTAGGAGTTGAGGACGCGCAAGTTGGCGCAACGTCTTCCAACACGCTCTTCGGCAGTGCATCTCAGCGAACGTTGGTATTTGAGTTGGTTAACACCATGGTTGGTGGGTTTGCCTGTTTGTATTTAGAAATGCCGGTGTTAGATGTGTTCATCCTTTCAATTGTGTCATTCACTATTGAACTTCAAGATGAGATGAAGCACATACCGTAGGTGGCACCTTTGGGGGCTTGCCGCTTTCGACCTCCACGTCGGACACGGACACGGTAGATAACGTAGCCCTGCTTGGCCTTGTAACCGAGACGACGGGCCTTATCGGGGCGCGAGGGGCGGGAGGCACGATGGATAACGTTAAGTTGACGAAGCTATATTAATGCACTCTCAGCAAGGTTCAACGAGTGTATAGCAAGACACAAAAAAACATATTTTTTTGTGTCACAGTGATGAACAATCTCTCGCCGGAGGATGGAGTGGCGATTGGGTTGGACGCATTCCAATTCCAATTCCAGGTGATGTTTTTCTTTCTTCTATTCCCCAGCGAGGATCTCATCTTAAACATTCGAGGGGTCTCACCTCCCAGCATCGGACACGCAAGAGGAAGCGGATCACATCGGATTGCTTCTTCTTTTGAAGCTCCTCCACGTATTTAAGAGCACCCATCTGTGCGAAACAATTGTAAGCTTTTCGGATAATAAGGTAGATTGCTCAATGCCGAATAGAAGAAGCATCTCAGCATCTAAGAAAACATAAGGATCAGAAATCACATACCTTGTCGTCGTGGGATCGTTGCTGGTGGTTGTCGTGGTCGTTGTCGCTTCTTCACACAGCAAGCGATGTCTTGATCAAACTATCCACAGCCAGCAAATGTGTGAGGCGCTAACACACTTAAGCGAGCCGAAAACGAACATCTTGGCATTGTCACGTGTAATTACATTGTTAGTCATCGGGTTCGTATTCTTGGCATCAATCTGGTATGCTAACAGAGGAACATTCCTTCAATACTACTCTGATAGTAATAGTACAGCTCATGTTTCCGTATTTCACAAACAGATAAAGCTAATATAATAACCTCATTATACCTTTCAGCGAAACTCCCCTTCTGGCTACATATAATCCCATTTTCCCATCATTTTCTATCAACAGGCAAAGCCTTGGCAAGTGTCTTCATCCCTTTCACCATCTGGAATGCCATTTTACCCCAGCCATATGGTTCTTTCGTTGGGAATGGATCCTTTTCCTTCCCAATCTTCAGCATAGCCTGAAGATGCTCATCTTTCTCAAAAACTTTCGCCTTAGCCCTTCTTCCCCTTTTTCTCTCGTTGGATGGTGCAGATTCGCCCTTATCACCTCTTTTTTTGGCATCATCCTTACAAGCCAAAAGCTTGTTGATTTCAGCCTGAGATGCTTCCGCACCAATCCCAATCACCCGGCGAGTCTCTGCGCAATCTTCTTCCCACATTTCTGCGGGGTCTGGCGGCACTTCAAGCTTGGAGATGTACGCAGCGAGATTGTCATAGTCCTGAAGCAGTGATTTGGTACACTGAAGCAGGACTTGACATTTGTTGTACAACGGATGTTTGTCAGATGATACATCTTCAAGACAAAGTTTCTGAGTGTCCGATGCACAGCCAGCGGCTGATCTTGATGTCTTTGTCCCAGTCGGAGCCAGAGCGGTGCCAATTAACAAGCTGAATCTGGAGCGGAACTCTTCAGATTCGGATTCCCTTTAACCCGCAGACAACGGTTAGAATACAGCTAAGCAAGAAACAGAAACTGCGACCCAAAAAGGTGTGAAGCAAACTATTCATAAAGGGAGGGAAACCGGAAACCGGAAACGGGAATATGTAATGGGAAACATATAGGGATTCAAAACAAACCTTTCCCTCACTACCGCCTTCATAAGCCCTTCAAGCCTCCTTTCCTCCTCGCCAATGCATTTCTCTATCTCTTTGGCATAATTGTCCCTCTTCTTAGTCCTCTCCATTGCCTCCTGGAGGCCTCTCAAGGCGGCTCTATTGACCTAGTTATCATTCTGGGCATATCAAAGTGGGGCTTGCTAAACCCAAGAACTTCATAAAAGTTCTCCATGTATCGTATATTTGATGTCTCACCTGGTCAGCTCCGCTTCCCTGTCATCATCATCATCGTCATCACCATCGTCATATTCATCGTCATCGTCATCAACCTCGGTTGCGCCTAGGTCCAAACCCCCATTCGTATCCTCGTCAGGGTGATCGGTATTATCACCAGCATAGCCCGAACTTTCTTCGCGTTCTCTCGAGGATGAGTGTGTTTTCGTTCCCCCTCGAGTCGCAGGCCCAACCCGTAGCCTCTTATTCTTCCTCTGACTAGTCACAGCCCTTGCTGGAGCTGCCGGGGCTGCCGCTCTAAAAGTTAAGCAGTACACCCGCAACGCATTGCTGATGACAAGAGAAGAAAGTGATGGGATGGGTAGTAGGGAGAGTAGGGATGGTTGCAGTTTATCTCACCAGTTCTCTTTCTACCACGAGGCATTTCCAAGGTTGTCCACGAGGTGTTTCTTTGGTCACTCTGGCGTTTCTTTTTGGCGCCTAGGATGCTTTTACGGTGTCTAGCGAGGCTCAATTAATCAGCTTCCCACAGGCCATATGATGGGGACGCGAGATGGAGATCCGAGAGAAGGATACACGCTATGATGTACAGATAAGGGGGGGTTGAAGTCATGTGATATTTGGAATAGCAGATACATATGGAGAAAACAACGAATGCCATTTGAAGAAATAAATGCATATATTCATCAATAAGCCTATTCCTAATATCCCGGTTTCATTTCTATCGTTCTTAAAGCAAATCCTGATCTGCCTCCTCCCTGGACATGGGCATTCTTCTCTCGGTTAACTACATCAGTAGGACAAAAAAAAAATAAACAATATTCCTGTAACTGAAAGAGAGAGGGAAAGGGAGAGAGAGGAGAGGAGAGGAGAGGAAAAAGGAAAACTCCCAAGGAATCGCAAATGTAGAAAAAAAATATTAAATTTATATGACCCTCTCAAATTGAGTGCAACAATAACAAAGAGGAAAGGAAAAGAACTGAGAAATTGAAACCGAAATCAACAATTGCAATATTCGTGCAAGATCTAATGAAAGAAGGTGGGTGATGTGACATATACAAAACGAAGCAAAACGCAGTTGAATTAAAAAAATATATCCGAGTTCCCCAACACGCACCGATCCCCCCAGTTTTCAGAACATGAACACGATCTGGGAAGAAATATATATATATATATATATATATATATAAATAAGGCTAGCAATCTGCATGAAATAAACATTAAAAAGAAGAAGGGATAAATAAAAAGAAATCAAACTCAAAGCAGTTTCCCTCTCTTGTTTCTTTCACTCCACAATGCACCGGAGAGCTATGACAAAACGGCACAGCAATTGATCATAATGCAACACCTATTTAACACGCAAAGGACATCGAACAAGCTCAGACGGGATGGAGAAAGCAAAAAGGGAAATCAGGAAGAGAAGAGGTTACGGACAACCTGGTAAAAGTCCCACATCGGCTTGAAAACAAACCGTGGAGAAGGGGGGAGAAAGGAAGAATTAAGGGTGTGTAAAAGGCTCACGGGTTACGGAAGATATAACAGGGGAAATCAATAGATATTACATGCAAAGTAAGTGATGACTCACATCCAGGCAAAGGATAGGTGGTGGACATAAGTTGACGGTGGTGTTCCGGTGGTTAGAACGATCAGAGTCATCAGTGGGATACAATGGTTCCGTCCTCCAATCTGTCACGGATCTCACGCCAGGGGGAAAGGGGAGGGTTGTATATAGCGGGCAAGGAAAAAGATAAAGGACAAGCAAGGAGAAAAAGGAGAAAGCAAAAGTCAACAAATTACATAGACGGGATAAGCAACAGAAAGGAAAAAAGTGGGAAATGAAAAAAAATAAACGCACAAAATTCCTCCCTAAATTCCCAATATTCTTCCAATATCTACCCTTATATAATCTTAGGTTTTCTCACCGATCTTCCATGTATTTCTCAGGTTTTGAAACCCCGTCCGGATAATAACAACAACGAGGGGGAAATAGTAGCGCTGACAATGAAGAGTAAAAATGGGAATCTTTTTTGTCTCTCCTTTGAAAAGGGGGAAGGGGTAGGAAAAGAAAATTAAAAAGAGAAACTATACGCAGGAAAGAAGATATTGCTGAGTGAACTGAAAAATAGAAACAAGTGAAAGAAGCATGCAACGTGTTTGAAAATGGGTCCAAAGATCCGGGGAGAGGGCGAAGAGTGGCTGGATAATCTGCTTCTGGATTGAAGTGCGCTTTTGGTATCCTGATACCTGATACATTGAATATACTGCGTCTTTCTGCCCGCTCGTCGCAACGCTCGTGAAATACTTATTATATGGACGTTCGCCTTTCTTGTATACCATATGCTGGGCAAAATCAAAAGAAAAAGAAAAAGGAAAAAGAACAAAAGCTGTCAAATTATAAGCAAAAAGAGAAGTAAAAAAGGAGAAGCGGGGGAAAAAAAAATGACGAAGACAATCGCAAAAAGAGGCCCGCTCGCTCATAAATCCCAAGAAGCACGACGATGGAACTCCCCGCGCTAAATATATAAGACGATTCTCGAGCAACCACTGCAAAACGAACGGAGGCGATCCACTATCCGTGGCCAGGGGGTAGTCTATTTTTAAGAAACACAGGTTTCTTGTGAAAAAGTTTGTCTGAGGGGAGGCGGATGGGAGAGGTTTCAAACCGACATATCAAAAAAAAAAGAAAAAGAAAAAAAGAAAAAGAAAAAGGAATCAGGAAAAAGCAAAAGAAAATTCATCATCATCCTTAAATCTCTTGATCAGTTTTTGGCGTAAAGGAATATCTAGTACGAATTGAATTCAAACGCAATAAAAACCAAATGCCAGCTTTAGAACATAAGTGGAATCGACGAACCAAAAGAAAACATATTATAGAAAAAAAAAAGAAAAGAAAAAAAGAAAGAAAGAAAGAGAAAAGTGGGAACTGAAGCGATCGGGGGTATTTTATTATCGCGATATAGCATGTGACATTTAAGAACGAATGCAAGATAATATATGCCATATAGAAAAAGGTGTCCGGGTATAAACAAGCATATCAAGAACCGAGTGAAAGACCTTGGAAACGATTCATCCAGTCGCCTTGGGTGGGATGCGCTTGGCGGGCCACTGGCCCTAAACCAGCCGCGTTATGAAGGTCAGGTAAATTCGGATCCCCAACCCCGTAGCTCGATGGCTGAAAGGAAGAAAATGGGTCTGTTTGGGGTTGCACGCCTTGTGAAAAGCCAGGCATTGCCGCATCCGGTTGCCTGCCGCTCGCAAATGCCTGGTACGGGTCCACATACTGACTTCTAAGGTTTCCTGTGGTATCTCTCGCAGCAGCGTCTGCAAAACCTCGCATGGACGCAACTCCTTGACCGGCACTGGGGACAAAGGGCTTGAAGTCATGCGGTCGCCGTCGATCTGGGTGGCCCTCTTGAGTGAACCCTATACTGCTAGGGGGCTGCAGTCCGGCGGTTGGTGTAACAAACGATGCTGGATTAATAGCCGACATCCAAATTCTGGTTTTGTAGATTTTAAATAGATCTGTGACGAGCGAGTTGAAATTGATGTAAGTATCAGCGAAATAATAAAAAGTAAGCTTTTTCCAGTCCCTATATTAAACAGTGTCATTAGCTAACTGAATCTTCTTCTCATTACTGGCATTCTCCTCGAAAGCGTGCCTGAATTGAACTTACATTTGGAACTCTGCATCAAGGATTTCCATATTCAGCCGGTGCTCAGCTACCTTCTGCTGGCAAACACGCTTAGCTTTAGCTTCATTCCCTTCCTTTTCACGAAGGGTCTGGATTTCGTGGCTTTGGGCAAGCCGCTTGATCAGTTTGGGCTTAATATCTCCGCCTTGAGGTTCTTGCATTCCATGCTGGCCCTGTGGTCCCATACCACCCACCGCGCTGCCAGGGGCTCCGTTCATATTTGAAGAGACACTGTTTGGATTCACGGCATTTGGGACACCTGACTGGCTTTGGCGGGAGAATATCATAAGCCACTTGTAATGCTCCTCTGCATAGTGTTCTTTAAGTTCGCGCGCTCTCGCCCAGCTGACGTTTGCATGAGCAACCGTGCCAAGATCGGTACCCCGATCTGCTTCAACAATGACGAGATCACCAGTTTTGACCTGCAACCCAGTATCCTCTTGGATATAGAAGACGTCGGCCCTGCCGCACTTGAACGTGACAATAAAAAGCTGTTGGTTCTGGTGGGCATGCGCCAGATTCGAGTGTTGACGGCCAAAGGCGTTGGGCATGACATATGCCTGGTGGAGCGACGTGGATATCCCAGAGGTAGGAATATTATCGGAGACACGGAGGGACTTGTCGTGTCCAGGGAAGTAAGAAGCTATATGTAATGGGGCTTGTAAACGTTGCTGTTTCATTGTGTGACATGAATAGTAACAGTGATCCGAAAGAAATTGAAAATACTCACAATTGTTATCCGCAGGGGAAGCACTAACTCCCCCATTGGCAAAATTGGTAAAGCCATCTTCTCGGTTACCCATCGAAGCAGCTGGGCCAATAACGGGCTGATGGGAATCAGCAGGCGAACCAAGAGATTGCTGTCTCATGGGGATGTCGGCAAAAGAATGGCGGCGACTCTGGGGTCCTTCAGGCATGCCACCAAAGCCAAGCGAGGTTTGCCAGTGGGCCTTTTTAATGTTTTCAAGCGCACGATTCTCCAAAGAATTAAAGTTCGGGAATGGCTTATCAAGATTAGTTGAATGCTCACTGAGCCTTCTCCGACCATTGCTCCTGGTACTATTATAACCCGGATGAATCTCTCCCAGTTCATCCAAATCCTCGACTGCCAAATCGCCCTCCTCTGGAACACTTCCAGGAAGACGGTGCAGGTTATGACTCTGAGCAAGAGAGAATCCACTTGTTGCAGAAGCGGAAGACATAGCACGGTCACGGAATCGAGAATTATCGAGTTGTCCTGATGCGGCTTGTCGCAAAAGGGCATTTTCCAACGAAAGTTGTTCTATCCGACGTGCCTGGTTCAAAGAAGACCAATTATATCCACCTTCAGCACCATTTACATTGCCATCGTCTTCATCCTCACGAACACGACCAAGAGTGGCCGCATCATGCCCTAGTTCTCCAAGCATGCTTGGCCTGGAAGAGCGACGCTGGATTGAAGATAATGGCGCAACCGTACCTCTGCGTGTGGTTGGAGTAGCAATCGCGCCGTTATTAAGTGGCAGAGTAGCTTGTTGTTCTGTATCTAGCTGGCCAACAGAATACGACTGGGAGCGATATGTCTTCGGGGTAGGATGGAGTGGGATCGAAAATGGAATATTGGAGTCCCCAGATATCGTTTTGGCTAGCGGGCTAAGGATATCATCACCGCTATTTATAGTTGATGAAGATGGCATCATAGTGGAGGTTGGTGACTGAAGAACTTCTGTCAACCTTGATGGGGGTTCTTTGCGCGCATCTGAGTTCCATATTGCTGTTCCCCAGGGAAAAGGCCCAGTCCCGGTGGATCCCCAGCTAAGTGGGGCGTTAAGCCCAGGGCTAGTCGCACCTCCCCATGAAGTTTGATCAGCGGCTGGGGTAGTAGGGTTAGAATTTGCTGATGAAAAAGAGGAGCTTGTTGGCAGGGACGCCTTTCGAGCCAACGTGGTTGGAACATCGTTGATCCATGATATGCGCCGCATGGGTTTAACTACGGGGGCAGCTGGGAGTTGGTTTTGTTGGTGATCTTCATCCTCAGACGAAGCCAAAGCCTCCGAATCAGGGGTGGATCTTCGAACTCCAGGGCGGGTTTTCTCAATCAAGATTGAAGCATTATTGCCAGGTGGTGGGTATGAGGGATGAGGGCTCTTTGCTGCAGGTGTCGTGCTTTTGCTCGATGTACTCCTGCTCGACGAAGCCATGATCGCGGTACGACTTCGGAATCAAGGTAGAGGTAGAGGGTCAAAATCTGAAAGTCCTCTTTAAGTCACGATTAGCTGCTGAAGAAACTATGGTATATAAAGATTATAATGAGTGCGTTAACAAGGTGACAGTGGTTTGTGAATGACAGAAGGCCCTTGTGTCTCTCGGTAGGTGATATCAGGGAAACTGAAAAAAAGTGACGAAGTTCACGAGCGGTGTGCTCCGCCGTCCACGAAATCTAGGTCGATGACATCCACGGGGTATATGCCGAAAGTGAAAGAGAGAGAATACTTACAACTTGCCAACTTAATGGATGGCCTGTAATCGCAGCTTGCGCTGCTAGAGAAAACCGGAGGTAACAATGCGCGAACACGTAATCAAAGGCTTTAATTGTGTAGAGGCATGCGCATCGGTCGAGCGTCGCCTGATATATTGCGGAGTGTTGTAAATCGTAAAAGGAGAAACAAACGAGGTGAATGACTCGTGGCCAGTAGATCAAACAAACAAGGAATCCTAGAATCGTCAAGATAAAAATTAGCCATCGTATTCACATTATAGCCCCAAGAAAGCATCTCAAGGCTGCTATCGGTGGTAAAACAAGCAGGCTCAAAGTGAAATCCCCGACTGAGTCGACTGAGTCAGCAAAAGGAATGATTGCCAACCAAAAGAAAACCGCGCATCGCATCTCCATTGAACCGGACAATTTTATAGCCTGAACAGTTGAACAAGGATATTTTCTTATTGTATGAAGCACGTTGGACCGGAGGTGGAAACGGTAATCAACATCGTGCAACAAACGCGTAGCGAATCAAGATCTACACCCGTGATTGGAGGTAACAGCCGGGTCTCAAAAACGTGTGCGAAGTACGACGATCCAATTGAAGACGCTCCCGAAGCGCCGTAAGGAGCTAAAGGGTCTTCACGAAAGAACGCTGGAGAGTCGAATGAATTCCCAATGACGTAGTCCAGAAAATGTGGGTTATGGTTTTCAAAGCCTTTTCGACGGAGGGAACACGCGGGGCAGCCAGCAAAAAGATTGCAACTCCTGCGGATCTGTCGTGGGGCCCAAAGGGATTTCACTTGAATCCGACAACAAAGAGTGTAAAGGAAAGGCCCAGACCTTACCGTCGAACAAGGCAATTCCCTAAAGTTATGCGACAGTCGAACGAAGGAACGAAGAAAGGGATCGCGGGAAGGGATGGCTCTTGGATGCAGTCGCGCAACAATAATATATGAAAAAAAACTATCAACGGTCAGTGTCCGTTGCGCGGTAATTTGATGTAAAGGCACCTTCGAGGGGAAAGAAGGAGAACAAGCAAAGAAGGCTGTCATTACTCACCACTCTATGATATTGGCTGCGATTTATTGTAGGCGACTGCACCGGGAGGAGGTAAAGAAGAAAAAAAAATAGGAAGAATGTGAAGGAAAGAGAAAAGGAGAAAACAGAAGAAAAGGAGAGAAAACGTCAAGGGAAAAATGCAACCGTCAATCAAGTCCCTCGAGAAACAAATACGTCAAGCCCAAGTTGAAGCGACCAGGCTTCAGGGAGTCGGAAGGTAAAAAATGCCGCTGGTTTTCCGGCCAGAAGAGGTTCGGGTGGCGATTCTGAAGGTATATCCGGGACAAGGGCTATCTCACTGGCGACTGGTTATTTTTATGGTATTTATCGTTTTGGTTTTTCTCTTGTGCGCAATGAACTCTTCCGTGTAATCCTATCCTCTGTGGTTTTCTGGGTACGTTCTGTCTATTCGTAGTGTTGCAAATATACGAAGCAGAGGAGGAAGAAGTCGTGTGCGGTCGGATATAGCGAAGAGGGAGAAGAAAAAGCTTCCGCCTCTGGTGGTGGGGGGAGGGCAGGGATGAAGAGGTTTGCGTTGCGATGCAGGAGATGGAGCGATATACAGGATAGGTAGGATGGATGTCTATGGGATCAGGAGTAATAACTGCTGCGAACAAGCCATTCAACCGGTATCAGGCCAGACGCATCCTCAAGATCGAATCTGACAGCGCTTGGATGATCGGTTGATCGATCGGTCGCAGAAACAATTGATGACGATGGAGGAGGAGGACGGGGACATTTGGGGGAGAAAGAAACGCTGGGTGGCGGAACTCGGGCGGGACTCAGGCAGAGGGTTCAAGGCAGAGGAAACCTTGGAAAGTTTGGATAGAGTCCACAGTGACGGGCGCGGTGACGGTCTGAACACAAGCTACACCTCTTTGGTATTTCCGTCGGCGCTCGAATGGGGAGGCGCGGATCTTGGGGCTAGAGTTGCGGAGAAAGGAGAGCTGGGCGACAGCGACTGGGGAGACCGGGCACGGTGGGCAGTCTAAAAGGGCCTGGAAACCGGCGCAGAAAGTGGCTAAGACGCGCGCTGGAGGAGCGTCTGGCACTGGCAGAGAGATGGATGGAGATGAAGCAGGCCAAAAGGCTAAATTAAGTTGGGTTGCTGGAGAACAGGGTTTGAGGCCGATTTGGGCAGCTTTTCTCTATCTATGTATGGATCAACCGAATAAACAACCGGAATACACTGCTCGGGATACCTAGGTGGGATTGCGAAGTTCTACAGTTTCCCTGTCCACTCGGTTTCTTTCGATGAACAGAGTATCCATCCATGACTGAATCAGTAATGGCGGGAACCACCATGCAGGAGCTTGTGCAGTTCCTCTTAAAGCTAGCAGGGAGTTTGGCACCATTGATTTCCCCCTCGTCGTCCTGTCGCCTCCACAAGTACGACGCAGTCAATGAGAATGTGTATATATTAACTTATCCGTCAAAGCCCTTGCAATGATGCTCCATATGTCCACCGTAGGTTGACTGGATGGAATGTTAGCTTTGGGCCGTGGAAGCTTGCTGGATCTATCTATGAAATCCTTTTCGTTTAACTATATCAGGCCTCCTTTGTACAATACCGCTAACCGTACCCACCCAGCGTCCAGACCAAAGGGCTCAGGGTCCTCCCAGCCGTCGCAAGGATCGAAGAAGATCGGCTCCATGGCGAATTTTTACTTCCTTATATCTACGTCTTGTTCTCCTGGATTAAGAAATTTGCTTGTAGAGGGGGCCCGAGGGGCGAGGGCAAAGACGAGGCGGGGAGCCACAAAAGCCAAAAGAAACAGCCGAAAAGTAAGAGCGAACGCCTCTCGGGGTGGATGAATGGGTGGGAAGAATGCGGAGAAAGGCGTGGCTTGGATCCTCCCACATCAAAGCATAAATGTATAAAGTCCGTATCTCGGTCGCTTGCTCTGCAATTAATTTTCCTGCAAGCTCTTTCTTCTCAAAGAACATGTGCTTGCCTCCGGACTTAGAGAGCGATGGAGAAACAGCAGACGGAACAGGCGGGGCACCCTCTTCGTTGAGTTGATGGGATGGTCTCTTTGGCCTGTCTAGACGCTGGGTGGCACCAGCGAGGCAGAGGGACGGCGTGCAGTCTCGCCGAGTCATCAAGGACAATTATCCTGGCTTCTTAGTAGGCTGAATATAGCTGCTGAGGGGAGAAAAAGGGCCTTTCATTATCTGCAACTGCAATTAAATCGCCGGCTGCGAGATATGGAGTGTAGTATACTCCGTACTCCGTCCCCCGTATACTGTGTATACATGTACGTACAGTACATACATTCGTTCTTCCCCGCAAAATGACGATGGCCCAAGCAACCTTGGAATGGATTCTTGTAGGTTCATCACGGTGCCTTGCCTGGATCTTGGTTCAAATGAGGTAAGACGTCATCGCCAAAAAGGCTGCTGGAGAGAAAATCGTTTTTCCGGAACGGACATCCCTTTTCTTTCCATGGTTAAAAGGCATCCCTAGGTTTCAGCACCTTGCGCTGTAATTAGGATGAAGGATCGCGTGATGCTTTCAAGGTCCAGCCATCCATGGTTGAGCTGTTTCTGCCCGGAGGTAAAACTACGTGCCCCAAATGCATCAAAAGCATCAGCATATGTCTGTCCAGTGTGTACCTGTACACGCACAGTGCCTTGTACTGGAGCAGATCTAGATGCACGTAATATATAGTTCTTTACACACCAATACAAAACTCAAGCGGCAAATCGACGAGTGTATGGAAGCAGAGGGGAGAAATGAACAACCATGGCGGTACAGTACGGGGAGGCCTTAGGTACGACAATGAGGGCCCAGAAATCTCCACAGCACAGTCGACGCAAGTACAGTACATACAGCACAAACCCCAGTCCTCCTTACTAGCGTTTGCAAGGGATCTTTGGTCGAACGCGGGATCCAACAAGCAGTCCGTACTGCGTATTATATTGTATTGCACATTACACTCCAGCTTTACCTGATCAGATGCAGCACACGGGCACCGCAAGCTCCAAACAACACATGGTAATAACATCGGAGAAGGAAAAGAAAAAGAAAAAGAAAACGAAGATACACACAGATGACAAACGGGCTCAGAATGGTGATCGCGGATCTTTCCGTGCTTCGCCCAGGAGATCCCCGAAGGTTCAAGGGTTTCCCTTCCCCCCCAGCGCCTCCGCTATCAACTGACTGGACCAATCTCCAACCCACCCCTTGCAGAGAAGAAGATTGACCTGTCATGGGGTTGGCGAATGTCATCGAACCATGCACTATGTCTGGTATCACTGGCTCGCAAAATTACGTGAAAGTTGCTTCTTCTACATGCTATTTCGCAGTACTAACTATGGCAAAAATAAGATGATGCGCCCAGGAATCCGATAACAACCTCCCTGCACTGAATATTCCCCTTTCCCAAACGTCCGCCTACCAGTTTGTTGAGGAATCAATGCATGCTCGAAGCCCTCGCAATTGGGGCAGCCAATGCTTTGGAGAAGACCCCACACTGTCGTTGGCACTCCATTTATATCGTCCGCTTCCCTGAAAAAAAAAAAAAAAAAAAGGGCCACAGAAGTGGATGAAACCGATTTGCATTCAAAATCCAGATTCTGGCGAATATTTTAAAACTCGTTGTCATCTAACCATTGACAAATCAATATTCCTACCAAAAGATCGCACCAGAAGAAGAGCTAACGAGCAACAAGTCCAGAAAGGAAGAGGCCAATGAACAGCTTTTTTTTATTAATGACTGCTGAACGAACGACAAGCACCACCAACCTATCAGGAAATAAGGAAATGAATGAAAGGAAACTCAAAAAACAAGGCGGATGGGAATCGTCTTGAAGGTGTCCAGGAAATGCTTAACGGATTGGCAAGGGGACAGGGCGCACACCACGCAGGAAAGCAGGAAAAGAAAAACAGCGTCAACACAGACTCAGGATTCAGGAAGCGCGAAATCTCCTGCACCCCGCATTTTTGAAACCATCAGGTCCTGCACCAAAATATGGACTACGCAGTAGCCTCAATTACTTTTTCCCATGATCCATTAGCATGTAGCCAGAGCTATATGTGCAGTCCATTTGCTCCATGCAATACCCTCTTGGCGCTCTCTTATCAGTTCACTCGCTACTAGGCCGGGGACTCCCCTTGCATTTCCTTTGCTTGCTATTCGAGAGGGGCCTGCCGCGGCACATACGTCGTAGTGATCCATGTGTAGGAGGGGGGGGTTATATCTGCACGCTACTATGTAGTATCCACGCTACCAAGGGCATATCCCTGGCTCATGGGAATTTCTCGGCCCTCTCATTCTGTCTTTGTCTTTCCTGCATTCTCTGGTAGAATTTCGCTAGCAGCACAGGGGTTTCGATTGAACTTGTTGATGTTGTTTTTTGTGGCTGATGATAGTTTTACTCTAATCTGTTCTTCGCCACTTATGAAGCAGCAGACTGAGGAGAATGCATATATACAATTCAGTGCACAGCTCCCACGCAACCCCCTTAAATGACTCGAGTTAGGGGCAAGATGAACAGGCAAAAGACAATGGATGACGATGGCAATTTCGACTCAACAAGAAAAAAAAAGAATTCACATGCTACGTACGGGGCATGCGCAACCCACCTGTGCAACAACGAAGTAAAAAAAAAAAAAAATGCCACACCTTATAAAACTATCTAGAACTGCTTTTTCGCCATCCTCTTTTTCAACCTTGTATGATTGCATTGCATCCTTCCTCCTTACATCGACCAACCAATCACCTAACTTATAACTACTACCAAGACACCGGCATCAAAATCGGCACACAAACGCTTTCGCTAACCCCTCCTCCCACCTCGCCTGCCTGAGTCAAGCCCCGCTCCCAGTTCCGCCTTTGCTCCCGCCACCGCCCAGCTCGGGAACTAGGCCTTATATCATGATGGGTCTAGGCGGGCGCCCCTTGCTCCTCCTGTTCCCTCTGTACTCCGCAAACTTTGGTCATTCAAATCAAATCAAATCACACCTCCTCCAAAGCCTGATCTGCTTTGTTTTGTAATTTTTCTCACCCTACCCCTTCCCCTTCCCCTCCCCCTCTACCTTCCCCCCCCTTTCCTATCTTTCTTCGACGGTATCGTGTGTAGCCAACAGCTCGAACGGAAAACAATTTTCCGCTACAACGAATAGCAGAGAAAACGATTTCAGGTGTCCTGAGTTATATGCTGTGCCGCGCCGCTCCTTGCGTACGTTACCCAGGCTTCAGGGATTGTGTCTTTATTTCCTTCCTCCCCCCCCCCCTTTCCTTGATTTTTCATTCTTTCATCCGGCGGGATGAGACCGGTGGAGAGGTTTGCTGCATGTTCGTTCTTGGTGTAGCATGCTGGTATCTATCCACCTTTATACATATAGATAGTATATGTGTGCTCGTCGAATTCAAAGGTTTCCTCGTGGAAAGATGGGCCATCATCTCAAGCTGCTGATGCTAATGATTTCGGGGGAGAGATCCTTGTCTCGCCGTGGTCTGCCTGATATATCACCTTTTTGAAGGTTGGGTGCATTGTATGTTTCAAAGAAGTAGACGCGAGAAATGCTTATCCGTCCCGTTGGTTGATGATAACTTCTGGCAAATCTATTGCTATTTGGTAGCCTCACCTTTTTTTGAATGGTGTAGAGGTATAGACATATGTATATATGGAACTAGTTGATCATCCACATGAAGCCTCTTGGAAGGCATAGTTAAGGGGGAGACGTCCATCTCCGCTCCAACAATTAACATCGCATATCTATCAACGTCTCAATCCATTCGGTTGACGGTTGACGGTTGACGGTTGACTTGCCCATCCATACCTTTTTTATGGAACTTGACACGCATGTCTATCGGACAAAACTCCCGCAGTTTAAAGGCGGATCCCACGTCAAAGCCAACCAACACGGCTCTTCATAAATGGAAATCTCATACGAGTGGCTCCACAGCCAAGGCTCTCCCTCTCCCCATATGCCTTATATACAGCCAGCAGCGACAGCCCGCGAGGCATGAGCTGTGTGTGACCCATCTCATATCACACACATTCTCGCGTCTCAACACCAAAATATGCCCGCAAACGTTGCCCTTGACGTGCGTACCAAAATATGTATCTTGCTCGCTCTACCGCGAATGGCGAGGACGGCGATGGTCCTTTTTGCCGGGCAGACGATGAGGACATATGAGTTGACGCATATCTGTCTCTCGTTAGTGGATAGGATAGCCGAAAGGAGAAAAAAACTAGCACACCACCAGATCCAAATTCGACTCCATTTTGTTGTTGTTGTTCGTGGGGGGGGAGGCCGAAATCCCGGAGTGGATGGTCGTTATGAGCGCCGTACATCTGTTCCATCGCCTCTTCCCCGCTTCCCCTGATGATATCGTAGGCAAGTTGTAACAGATACCTTGTCGCTCTCATTTAATCTGGAGATGAAAAAAAAAAAAAAAAAAACTGTGTGGGCCTTGTTTTGACTCGGTAGGCGTATGGTGTATCCCAATAACACGAATACAATCAATCAATAGTTTTCTTAATCAGTATCACCAGGAGGCTGCGAAAGTGGGGGGAATAGCGATAATATGAGTGACATGAAGAAAAGACAAGTTATTCATAAATATCGACAAGACAATCTCTTCCTATCCGCCGTGACGCAGCTTCATTTATTGTACACAAACGGCAAAAGTGAATATCATTGAGCAAAAACCATGTTTAGATAAAAGACATGCAAACCTGAGGCGGCAGGTGTTTCGGTGTATGAATATGCCATACGGATATGCCAGGGTATGTGGAAACAGAAAACAAGACCCCGAAGGAGTAGCGGAGAGGGGGATAGTGAGAAAATATAATAGACAAAAACCTTTTCATTTTAGATAAGCCGTCCACTGAGTATGCGTCAGGCGAGAGAACGGAAAAGATATTCCGGTTACTCAGCCGCGTCGAGGCTGCTCGATGCAGTCGCTTGGGGACCTTTCTGTTGCCGTAATTTCTCCTCGAATTTCGCAAATTCATGCAAACCAACCTCTTCTTCCTGATCCAGGACATGGTTGACCCCTTTAACTTCCTCGATCTACAAATAAATACAGGTCAACTTCAATATCCAAACATAGAACTTCAAAGAGCACCTGCAGGTCCGAGTAGAGTTGGGGCGGGAAACATAACACAGGGGAAAAAAAAGGGAGGGGAAGGGGGGTAAGATAAAAGACAGGCCGCTCACATAATGCATCAACATAGACTCAATCCCATTCTTCAACGTCACTGTACTCGAATCACACGTCCGACACGCACCACGCAGCTTCAAAGACACAATCCCATCCTCAAAGCCACGGAACTCGATATCGCCTCCATCCTCCTGGATCGCAGGGCGGATCCTCGTCTCCAGCAGCTCCTTAATCATACCGACAACCTCATCGTCGTCCTCATTATAGCTCAGTGAATCTTCTTCAGCAGGGCCAGCTCCAGCCCCAGCCTCCGCGACATTGATGATCGGCTCGCCCGTAGTTACTGCTTCGGTGATTAGGCTGAAGACCTCAGGTTTGATATGCGCCCAATTCGCGTCGCCGGCTTTGGTGATGGTGATGAAATCCGGGCCATAGAAGACAGCGGAGACGCCATCGACATTGAGGAGCTTGGCGGCCAACGGAGACGGGTAAGGGGGTGTGAGGGTCGAGCGTGGCGAGAGGTATTCTACGAATGAGGTCGGGAAGTTTTCAGGGAGGACGGGGTGATTGGGGTTAAATTTTAGTGCCTGGACGAATAACAAAAAAGAGGATCAATCAGCTAGATGTTCCAATGAAATTTCTTTCTCCATGCTTGCGTTCTCTCTGTAGCCCCTCCGGAACTCAATATCCATTGCAGCACAGATTACAATCTCAAGTTGCCGTTTTGCTCACTTACATCAGCATTCGGAGTGGTTTCGGTCTGAATAAAGATCGTCCGGTTTCCCGTGGCCCCATTTATCTGTGGCGCCCGCCTCGCGGGTTGATGTCGCGGATCCAGAGTTGGTCTATGGCGTGAGGTCGACGAGGTAAGGACTGGGATCTGTGCTGCTTGGCTATGCATGCCAGAGACACAGACGGGGCCACAGCCACCCAAGGAAACGCCGCGGCCGGGCCGTGACCGTAAGATCGACCTTATGAATGACCTGGAGAGTGTATTTGTCGCCATTGTGTATATATATCTCTACACAGGCGGTTGCATATCAATATATATCGAATGGTTGTTGTATGTGAGATGGAAAACTTGGAGTTCATTTTCATCCGGCCAAATACAGCCGACTTCCGGATGACGTAACTTGAGATTAGTAATCAAGTTTCATGGACCAAAAAAGTAAAGAAAGTCTACATAGCTGGCGTTTGATCACGTCAAGAGTGGGCGAACTCGACCATCATCCACCTAGTTTCAGCGTGACGATGATATGCAATATGCATGTCTTGAATGTCTTGAATGCGGGGTTTACATCTCTTTTGAAACCTAAACAATAAAAGTAGCCGGAAAGTGGTTTTCGCCTGAATTGAATCAACGGTGTCAATCACACACATATATGACCAATAAATCTATCCTGCTTGTAGGTACGATAAGGAACAAAAACAGGGTCAGCAATGTAGGAGATGGTATGATAGGAAGGAAGCTTAAACGAAACAAGATAATTGCAACAGAATCACAGAGAACACCCATCCCAACGGAGTACAGGGGAGAATCATCAAAACGCAAACAGTTCGTAACATCATAACTGTGCCTTCATCCCTAACACCTGCAGACACGATTAGTACCAAAGAAAAACAAAACTCTTTTTTACCTTCCTGCATATATCCTGAAGAAGAAATAGAGGAAAAAAGAGCCCCACCCATTCCGACGTTTTGGTGGCTGCAGTAAATATAGAACGCATCATAAACCTCAGCCAACCGGCCAGCAAATATAAACGCTAGACAATATGGGCATTTCGAATTGTAAATATATATGTAGAAGGTTGGGAGGGAGGGGATAGAACAGCACCCATCCATCCAGGAAAGAAAAAGGAAGCAGGAAAAGAATAAGGCAAAAGGGAAAGCAATAAATCGATTTATACCTATGCGGGTATATACTGATTGAGAAAACAAAAAAAGCAGGAGTGGGTTTTAGGTTGGGGAATATGTCACATATTCAACAAGTTTAAATGGATATATATGTTTCCTGACACAATATGAGATGTTGGGGATGATAAAAAAAAAATTCCTTTTTGTTTTGAAAAATGGATCTCAGATCAAAATCCTCTCAACTCCTGTGTGGCTAGTTCCATGGACGGGGCCTGGGGGAGAGGAGAGGAGAAACATCTCTTTGGGACCCTTTCCGTTCGTTTTCTTGTCTCGCGAAATATCAAATGATATAGGTTTGTGTATTCGCCCTAGTCTCTGACAAAAGTTGCCACAGGGGCTCATGGCTCGTACGTAGAGTGGAAGAGGAAAGGAAAAAACCGGAAAAGTGAGGTCCGTAGTGGCTTCCGTCTCCATTCTTCGTTTCCGTTCTTCCTTTTTCGTACGTTTAATGCTCTGTTTATCATCCGTAGCTGTTTTGCGGGGAGAGGCATTATCAAAATGACAGATCGTAAATGTTCATGAACGAAGGATTCCAGGCTGCTGGATATTCAAGCTCGACGCCACCCGAACCGTTTGCGAGGTGGTTCAGCTCCTGAGGATGGCTCAACTTGCATACTCCGGTTATAAAGTTCCTATAAGATGGTCAAGTTAGCTTCAGATGTAGACTGTGGACGGAAAACGGGTGACGATTATATCTATTCTAGATTAAAAGGGGAGAGCAAGCCTTACATCCTGATCTCCCGGAAATTTGGTATCGAGAATAAGGCGTTGCACGTCTTCATTTTTCGGGTAACATGGAAAAGGGGTCCTTTGGCTATTGTGAATGCCCAAAACAACCTCGCCCATAATCTCAAATTTGCGCCAGTTTATACGATCATTATTGGGGCCGATAAATGTCTTGTTGCCTTCTTCAGCTGATACAAGGTCACGTCGATGAAGAGGCAGGAATGGGATCTTTTCCGCAAAAGAGTTATCCCAAGCTAAGCGGTAGGCGAAATGGCTCTTTTGCGTGCCCATCAGGATCACTAGGCTCATGAACTGTTTCTGAACCATTGGCGAAACTAGCTCCCTAGTTTGCGAAAGTCGGAAGACAGGCGTCCCGTTAAGCCCTGCAATAACGGCTCCGAGAGAGTTGTAATTATTCAATTGGCGCAATTTCTTAGCGATTAGGAGGAGATGTCAGCTAATGTGAAAATGTATATATATATAAAATAGTTGTAGGGTATACTCATAGTACTAACCATCGCGATATTCATGAATTTTTCCAATGCCTCAGCCCGGTGTTTGGGTTTATCTCGCAACAAGACCATGCTTGCGACGAACAACGCTAGATGGTTGAACTGGTCAATCATCCTGTTGACGTTACACAAACCTTTCGAGGAAGCCCTGTCGTCTGCAGATACACTCACGTGCCGGACGAGTTCCCGCGGCCTAAATGAGCTAAACATGACCCAGTCCATGCGTGTTATCTCGCGCGCAAATTCATCTTCAGATATATCCATGAAGGCTTTCCATTGATCCTTTGAGAGAACATATTTCGGATTCAACTCTAGCCGCTGTGCTTCTTGTTGGGCAGATTCAACACTTAAGAGGGTTAAGAACGATTGACTTGATATGCTGCCCGATCTATAAACGCTTGATGCAGTTGAAAGATTGGAAAAGTTCGAACCGAGTTCCTGATTTTCGTCACTTAGATCCAATGCGCTCATATTGTGTATGTTCTCATCGGAGGACCGCGCAACAAAAGTTGCTGGCGAACTTTGGACGGACGTGTCTAGAAACGTTTCAACATTTTCAGAACCATTGTCATCATCATCATAGGCCCACCCTAAATCATCATCCTCCACGAATTTTTCGAGAAAAGAGTTCATCTCCTTTGCTGCGAAGGCGAAAACAAAGTGCTTCTCTAGCGAGACGATAAAATCCGTCAAGCGCTTTCGGATTTTTGAGGCAGCGAAATCGCCGGGATACTCCGACACCCATTGCGATAGGATATTCAGCACTCGTAGATGGTCTGCATGCTGCATCAACAACGGGGACGGTGCTGACCCAATATTTTCGAAGCGTGAGAGTAAGGCCGAGAGGAGCTTTGTCGGAGTGGCGAATTTTCGATACAGACATAGGAATATGCTGGCAAATTTGGCGTCTTGTTTTGACATAGGAGGCGCTAAAAGGCGATCCACCAGCTCATCGAAAGTCATGCCTGGATCAGCCGGTTTGTCCTTGCCAATATCGGGGCTGGAAGGAGGACCAGAGCCCTTTGGATCGTCACCGTCATCCTCCATATCCAAGAAGCTGCTGAAAGCGTCGGAACCACCACTGTGTCTCCAGGAATTCTGCAATCGCTGATACGGACCCTTATGGGATGTTATCTCCTCAGGGACGGTGCTTGTGCCTAGAGTTTCCCCTCGGTTCAACCGGTTCCCAGGAGGAGTTCTAGGAGGCACGGGCTGCGAATTGCTTCGAACATTTCTCGATCCTTGTGCATTGGACGCCAGGGTTGAATCGGTTGTACGGTTCTGGGTCCGAAAGTTGTTGGGATCAGCGGAGGGTGGATTGGCTAAGGTGGATTTGGGGTTTTCGGAACTCGCACGAATATGCTGTCGAGTTTGCAGAGGAATGGGGCGTCGGGAGGAAGTTCGACTAGACGAGGTGGGGTGTGACAGCGGAATTGATGAAGATTGTAGAGCAGCTACATCTATAGAATGAAGGTTAGCATCACCAGCAGAGAAAGCGAGTTTCGAAGTCGCAATCAGAACGGTATGGTTGGTGCGATGGGGTGGTCTGAGTGGTCTGAGTGGTCTGACAATCAAAGGAAGAAGGGGAAGTCGTCAAAATAAGAATGAAAGCGAGATCACGAGCACGGCAAACCCATCGGTGGTGGTGATAGGCAGAGCAGTGTGCGTTGTGAGAGTCCCGGCTAGCAGAAACGCGAGTCTCAGACCGCAAAATAGGAGAGGACTAAGGACTAAAGGACGGTGGGGAAAACGGGAAGGACACTAGCGTCATAGCAGAGGGAAAATCGTCTTGGTGCGAAACTTTTTCGAGTCAAACAGCCAACCAGTGACGTGTCTGGTCTTGACAGGGGGAAAAAGGAATCATGCCGAGAGGGGATTTCACGGGCCAAAAATTAAAATGATAAAAATAAAAATAAGACAAAAGTAACAAGGGAACGATAAAAAAGAAAACATGCTATCACGGGCGAAAACGGTCGGGAGAGAAAAAGAAAAGAAAAAATGTGGGCATGGGTGTCCTGGCCAGGTAAGAATTCCTGCTATTGTGGATTCCGGCAAGCCAAGGTGGGGAATGGAGCCACCAGGAAAAGCCTTACCGGCCGTTCGAGCTATTATAGCCCTGAGAATGTTGGAAATGCATTTCTTTTGCGAGTCTGGGGCGTCTGGATATGTGTGATGAACCTCGATGCCGACGAGCACTCGACGTGCTTGGTCATAAGTAGCTGGGTCGATCCGGGAAGATGGGATTTGACCCTCGCATCTACAGGCCACGACAATAAACGGGATTGTAGCCTTGGGCAATGCACCTATCAAGGGTTCAATCATTAGTTGCCCGCAGCCCGCAAGAGTCCACTGCTGCCTGGCTGGGGAAAGAGGTGGTGGGAGGGGCTGGCCAGGAAAGCTGTTTCTGGGCTGAATGGGCTGAAGTCATAGCTAGAGAAACATGATATATCGTCTGGTAGTTGGCCACAGCCAAGATGTAACAAAGCTACTGTAGGCGGGGACTTTTGATAAAAAATTGTCCACGTACTAAATATTCGAGGAAACTGGGCCACACTCCTGGGATCGTGTGAATCAAAAAGGACGAGAATACCGTCAATGACGGGCAATTCCTGTTCTCCGATGAATTTGGGCCAAACGATTCGACCAGTTTCATCAAACGAGATTTTGTGGCTCGCGATTTCCAGCAGTCGCACGAGATAGATGGTTCCATCCAGTGACATTTTCTTCACCGAAGAACGTGATATGGGCGGTTGTTTAAGGTCCAATGCCCGCTGCACAAACGTGGACTTTCCCACGCCTTGTGCACCTACAATGGCCAAATTGACTTGGGGAAGACGGGGTTTAGCTGTAGCAACAGACTTTGTTTCATCGTCATTATCCCATAACAATTGTCAGCACATATTAGAATTGACATTTGTTCGCAATCTTGTTTTCCCAGGATCCTGCTCCCCCCCCTTTTTTTTTTCCTTTTCCCTTATTCTTCTTTTCCGAGGGCCAGGGCGGGGGAGATGGAGGGGGACCGAAATCAAGTTATGATGCTGTGCTTTTGCTTGATATAGTACATACCTCACTCGAGCCATTCGATGAGCCATGATAATCTGTTTTGTCTACACTGGCCGGCGCCATCTCGTTCTCTTCAATAACGGGTCCTTCTAGGTCATGGCCCTTGGCGCGATTCCCGGGGTAGGCGTCCCACGACGGCGCGGAATAGGAGCGATTTTGTAGAGGCGGGCGGCGAGGCTGCTGAGGGACAGGTAGCCGATCCTGGGAGACCTCACTTGTTGAGCGTGTTCTCGGAGGGCGTGGAGAGGTCATTATATACAGGAGTGGAGCCCGTGGAAGGGCTCAGACACCCAGACGGTACAGAAGGGAATTGTGCGGGAGACAGCCGGAGGAAAAAAAAAAGACGGCAGATCATATCCCAGATCCTGAAGCTATAACACCATCTGCCAGGAAGGCTGTGCCATTGCCATATACTCCAAGGAAGAAAAACCTTCGAATAATATCGATCAGGGAATTGAAGGAACGGAGCAGGTTATGTGTGGGGAGCCGCTCTGCGAAAACCGCGAGTGGTGTTGTATATCTGGATGGTGAAGGTTTTTTGATATATTTTGTTTTCCTATATGTGAGGGACGGACCGGGTTCAGAGCATGGCTGACAAGCAGTAGAGCGGTCCTACATCAGGGCATGGGCAAACTTGAAGGTATGGACGATAAGATATGTGGGGCGGAGTGTGCGCACGTCGGCGAGTGCAGCCAGCCCAGCCCGGAGACCTAGGCAGAGGGCATAAAAAAGAGCAATCGAGGTAGAAAAAGATCAAGGTGTCTCACCCACATACCAGGGCTCCGTAGATAGCGGTTTAATGTTTGGCGAGGGGCTTCATGTTGGCTGGCGATAGCGTCTTCGTAGGCGTAAACCTACAGTTGAATCTTAACGACATACCCTAACTAACTTTAACTTCCACCGTAAATACATATCCAACGACTCAGCGATATAAATACTACGTATATACAGCCCAGCTCAGCACCATAAATTACAGACAGTTTTACCTTGGCCAGCGCGATGAGGGGATGATGGTGATGACGATGACGACGGTGATAGTGAACACAACCGTTAAATTGAATATTCACGGTGTCCAAGGGATATATTTCGAGGCGATTCTGAAGGCGCCTGGGGCCATTCAGCTCCCCACCGATCTGCTGTGGTTGACGGCTCTGGATGCGGTGGTCGGACAAGGATCCATCTGCCTTGTCTCGAGCGATCTTGGATGTGTTCACCTGCTCGGCCGTCTCTGAGATCTAGAGCCACTGTCAGCGCTGGGTGGCAATCCAATCGCCGCCAAACAAAAAGCTCCGGTCGATCAACTAAGCGTCGACATGGGGCTTGGATATGGAGCTGCCCTTCCCTTCGTGTGTCATGCGGGCGACGTTTTCGACGGAATGACTGGTATCATACATGACCTATTTCCACCCAGCCCAGCTCTTTTTTTCCTAGTCTGGATGCGGGGGGAGATCAGGAAATTGGGGGGCAGAACTATGGTAAGCCATGGGCTGCGGGGTTGGAGCGAGCATTGACTGGATCCTCTTCTCAAGAGACGATTCGATCATGGCCAAAGGGACAGTACGTAGGTACTGTACATCTACATTCCTCTGTTTTGCTCCATGCTTGGAGCCTTGGAGTACATCGATCGGCATTCTGCAACAGTTCGGTTTTCGCAACGTTTACAGCCTGTTGTCTCACGAAGTACGTCGGTTGACATCCAACCAGGAAGTGTGCCACATGGTAAACCGAGGTTAGGTTTTGGATGAAGCTGAATTGTTTCCCCAAGATCTGCTCCTGAGTTGGTTTTCCCGAGAAGATACTCATTCTACGTGGAAGAAAACAATCTCGTAAACGTGGTATAAACTGTGTATCTAGGTAATAAATATCCAAGCCTCCTCCCTCCCAGGCTGTGACTGTTTGACCTACTCTCTGACCTAGCCAGGTGAAACCAGCTTAGCAGCAGATATAATAGGGATGCCTAGGCACGTTTAGCAGCATCGTACAATCTCCTGAGATGAGTCAGAAATTGTCGTTGCATATGCACACGCCAGCCCGAAACTGTGGAGGGCATACATGCCCCAAAAATCATCAAATGCGCGACCCTGAACTCGGAAGCCGCTGCATGCGTGCGTCTATGAATGTGCAGCATACGGATTCCGCGCGATCGATTTGTTAAGGAAGATAAGGTGACTAGCCTATGTGCGCAAAATGTATCTTAATAGCACGCGATAGCGGAATGAAATAATCCCATGATTCATTCCGCATCAAGGGAAAAATGGTTCCCATTATTGTCCGATTCCAATAACCAACCACCAATCACCAATCCTAAATAAGAGTGACCATTTCCCCGGAAATAAGTACTTCCCATACCTTGAGCCGATGGTGGTGATAATGAGGATCTTCAGCCTTCGGGTTGTGGCTGCATACTATCCCTCGGTGTGTTGTTGCCCGCCAGAACCAAGGCGGCAAACTGCCTGAACCCTTCAATCTCAGCGCCGTTGGCAGGCCCATTATTACTCTCTAAGGTCTCCCGCAACCGTCTAACTTTTCCCAACCCTCGGTTGAAACCTTTCTCCTCATTCCAGGGCCCTCTACTCCTGCCGCCTCTCCCGGAGAATCCCCCCCGCCCACGTCCCCGGCCACGACCGTAATTGCTATGTTTCATCTCCACCCACTCTTCTTCGAGAGTTAGTTTGTATATCTCTCGTAGCTGAGATCGGAGAGCGGGGAATTGGGTAAACAGGTCCTTCAGCGCCTGGGACGATTCTAGGTTTTGGAAGTGAAGGGCTGCATTCGGGATGTTGGAGGTTACGAGTACGTTGGTCGTAGGGTTGGCGTGAGGTTGTAGGACGGGATCTATTGTGCCTTCACAAACATCGACAGGTGCAGTTTCATATGTACCGTTTTTTTGAGCGTTCTCAAGTAGCCCCGGCTTCTCTGACTCGTGGTCCTGCTCAGGAGCGCTAGGCGAACAGTATGGCTTGTGGGATTGGGTGCAAGCGAGAGAGCAGCTGCGCATGTGGTTCGGTCTTGTCAGTATTCCTGAAGCTGAAACAAATCCACATATGTCAAGGATAAGGAAACCATAAGTCCCCTTACCTTTGCACATTACATGTGGGACAACGATACTTGGACGGCTCGGTTGAGCAAACAGCGCAGAGCGCCATGAGAAGCTTCCTGAATAAAATCAAATTTCAACGCATTTAGAATAGGAGCGAGATAATGTGAATGGATTAGATGATCCCTTTCCCAAGCTAGCCAGCTACTTCTTCCGAAAACTTCAAGTCCCAGGCTTCATTCTTTGTATGTTGCGATTGAGGAGTCTGTATTTCGGCAATTGTTTACTAACTAGTTAGTTCAACGATGGGGAAAATGGTGATTATATAATCACCAATTTCCTGAGCTTCAAACCTTTCTCCGCATCTGCAACCACCATCCTACAAGCCACATAAAACTTACCACTCAAAGCTCCAAGCATGGCATCCCAATTTCCCTCTCAAGCCCGTTCTCTTTACCGATCTATCCTACGGGAACTACCCCAGCGCCCGCTCTCATCACCATCACCCCTCACAGCCCGAATCCGCATTCACCTCGCCTCGCAACCGTCGCCGGAGAGCAACAGCACCAGGCGAAGGCAGGTGGCACAGGCACAGATGGAAGAAGCAGAGCAAATTATGCAGTATTTGAGGGCTCAAAGGCAATACGTCACGTTGCTGGAACGTTATAACCCAGGCGCCAATATGGATGAGGAGGAGCGGGTGAGGTTGACCGCGAGAAGGGTGGGGATGGAATTACCCATTGAGGCGGAGGGTATTGAGAAGAGCGAATAGGAGTGGACGGAAATGGAACTGATAGAGGGTGGAAGAGAAGCTATGAGGAATGGCTATGAGCTTTGAGGATTCGTTTAATCTGTGAAATGAATTTGCTCTCCTGCCAATTCTCATGGATGCCTTTTGTTTCCAAGGGGGAAAGAGAGAGATTCTGGTCTTGGCGATCCTACTGAGATACAGCAAACGTGATCTCGACGATCGCTATCCTGGTTCTGCTCCGTGATGAGCAGTGCGATATCTACCTTCCGCGAACACTTTGCGAATTACACAACCATCTAAAAATCGTTTTTTTGCCCCGATTGTCAGATACAAGTTGCCAAACGAGCCTTTCTCTTCATTATGTATCCCGATAACCTCCCACATCCCTCAGGAACGACAATTTTCCACAATATATCCAATGCTCGTTTTATAAATTAATGTGATGTCAAACCTGGACAACATTTCTTTCTTTTGTTTGGAAAAAGCAAAGGCTAAAGTCTTATGTGCGGAAGCTCTTTCCGGTCAGAGACGGGATGCGTCTTTTACCTCACTGCGCCGGATTCGGAAGCGGATGAATTGGTGACCTTTTTTTTTTTGTTTGGTTATACGGTTGCTCATTTACGACGAGGGTTAGTCCTGTGGAAATGAGGACAAGGAGCTTGCTATTAACTTATTATTTGTCAAGCATACGCGCTGCGTACACATAAAGCTGGTTAAGGTGCATATACCTATGATCATCTTTTCCAAGCTTGGGAGTGATGGGAACTTTTCTTTGGTTGTTGGACTATTGTATTTTTACACGGAGGAATGCATGTATACTAGTAGACTACATATCCAATATTGAATAGGATGCCACTGGCTGCAAGGCGCAAACGGGATAATGATCGTCAGCCTGTGGTTGAATGAGTATGTGTATATAAATATAGATTTCTACTTTCCGAAGAAAAAATAGAAACAGAGCTGTAAACAAAGCGCTTCGCAAAGAATTATGAATTAAGACACTTGATTGCTTGAGCTCCCCTTTCGGTATTTATCACCAATGAAGAAACAAACAATAACCAAAAAATAAAAAATAAAGAAGTGCGCGGACCATGAACTAAGTCACAAGTCATCCTATACTGTTTCAATATTTGAATACAAAGTGCCGATTACTTGAAAAAATTTATTGTATCCCACAGAACGCCCTTGACAATGCTATGCTATAGGATAACATAAAATATGGAGAGTAGTACAAGGAAATCAAACGAAACCGTCCAGCAAGGACAAATAACAGAGTAAACAATGAAGTGTTACAGGGTTAACCTTTTGAAAGGGGCAAATATGGATACGACTGGGCGTACTGCCACAACATGGGCATATCCGAAATATCATCAGGTAATGTTCAATGAGTGTGAAGTTTTTGTTTCAAGAGATTATACAGGGAGAGTGCGGGGAAAGCAGAGAGAGCGGCAGTAAAGCGTAACGAGAAACCAAGTATTGGAGACCTGCTCATTTTTCGCAGCGCCATTCGCCTAACAAAAGGTCCAAGGAAAGAAGTATGAAAATCGTTATGGCAATAGTCATGGCAATTCGTTTGTTCTTGATCATGGAAAGGAAAGAAGAGAGTGGGAATGAAAGAAGAAGGGAAATCGCCATGAATGCGAGGCACGCGGCTCGAACTGAGTTTTGTTCACTCCTCAGTGACTTTCTATAAAGTTTAAATCCGTCCGGGGGCTCGCGACACCCGTCCGCCCTTGTAATTGCTCGCAGCGGAGTTGAAAAACCTCGATATGAAGCCGCCGCCGCCGCTACTGGATCCGTTAGCCGTTTTCACCTTTTTGGCAGGCTGTTGGTAGCCGGACATCGAGCTGAGGGGATGTCGCTGTTGTGGTTTGGGCTTCGGGTGAACTGCATTTATGTTAACGTAGCTGTAGGCCATTGAGGCTGGACTGGCATGAGTTTCTGCTACTAGAACATCGTCACTGGCGTAAGCGAGTTGGCCGATGCTGGCAGGTGTGCCCCGAGAGCTTGGAGCCAAGCTAGACGAGCGAGACGATGAACTGGGCGCCCTGGATTCGCCACGGGACAGTGGAGGCAGATCTTTGATTGACGGAGGTGAGATTGATCGGCCTGATCGGTAAGGTGAAGGGTTTCTCTTTTGGCCAGTGCGATGGCCCTCGAGCATGGACGTGTTAAGCCGAGTCATCAAGTCTTCGCTAGGGTCGGTTGAGAAGTCGTCGCTTTGTTCATCCATATCGAATTCATTAAGTTGAAGCATTTCCTTTTCACCTTCGAGTTGAAGACGCACGCGGATCGGCGCGAGGAACGGCTCGAGATATTCCAAGAGATCCTGTTCGGTGACACGAGTTTCCCAATTCAACAAATAGAGCATCTGGCGCTCCATTAAGTTGACCTCGGGGAGAGAGAATCCGAAGTCATTGAAGTCCTTCACAACCGAATAGCGAGCCCAGTGTTTATTCTTCGGGCTTGAATCGTTCAGATTTTTAGCCGCAAGGATTAGGGACGCCAGGAAGATGCGGTGGGCTGTGCAGCGCATTCCCTTGGACATGGGAGGGAGCTTAGCGCGTAGACGGCCTAGATATACCAGGGAAGACATCAAAGTCGGAACTTCGACGTGGGATCGGTTCACAATCGAGCAGATAAACTCAGCCAGCGATGGGAGAGGTGGCGACTGAGGCACCGGCTTCTCCGAGGCATCGAGAGGGGGGGTTGTCGGAGGTGTTAGAGGTTTAGGTTGTGACAAGCTCATCGGAGTAACATGTTCCTCGCATCGGATGACCAGTGCAGCTTGCTGGGCAAGGTATAGAATCATCTCACGGGAGACTGGAAGCGTCACAAACTCATTCAGAGCGGCTTTGTTGTAATAAGTTGCTGGTCGCGCCATTTCTGTTCTATACGGTGAAGGACTAGATCGTCTGTCCTGATAATGTGGGTTGAGTCAAGTATACACCAGCGTGGTAAAAGCGTCGAACGAAATGTCTAAACGGAGTGATTGCGCAAATAAATAGGGCTCCTTTTCCGGAAACTCTCATAAGAAAGCAGAAATTATTCAAACAAATATTAAAATGTTATTGTGCAATAACTGGGTAGAGCCTAGTTAGATGTGTAAAAGCAAGGGAGTGAATTAATTGCGAAGTAGACAGTATCTTCAAATCCCTGTCCGGCAGAGGATTTCGATCGGAAAAGGAGTTTTCTGGCACCCTCAGTTGACACCGTTGTCGTCTTCCAGACCTGCCTGGGAGCTGCAGCTGTTTGTGGAAGAGGGAGAAGAATGGTAGAGCTAGGTACATGGAAATGTCAGCCACAAACTCAACTATCGGGGCTCTACCCAGTTCAAACAGGAGGCTCACGCAGAGCTGGTGTACTAACAAGGATTTTCCAACAATTCCTTGCTTGTGCACAAGAAGAACCAAGCTAAAGTTGGGTGAAGCTACTATTGACAAAACGACAAGACACAGCAGGGAGCATGCGGATCGTGTCTCCCCAGAAGGCCAAGTTTTTTTCGTCACAGCTTTTTATAGACGAGTAGAAAACAAAAACGGAAATCTAATAAATCAAGAATGATGAAGGATAATAGCCTCTAATTATAATGAAAGCGGAAAAGATAAAAAAAAAAGAAAAAAACGGCCAACAGAGGAACCAAATGGAACGGGAAAAGGCCGTGAACATGTGGCTAAGTCTTGTGAAAGGATCGGACGGAACTGGACGACATCATTCGAATATATACACGGGCGTGTCGGCTCGATCCGCAGGGAATGCGAGGGAAATAACGGAGACGTCCAGATTTAGCAAACCCTAACATGGTACATGCGTTTCGGGGGCGGGCGGCTGGTGAGGGTGGAATGGTCCATAGGGTCAGGTTGACCGAACACAGGAGAGTTGGCGTTTGAGCCAATGTTGGGCATGAAGTGGAGACGACAGACAGCATTCGAGCTTAGCAAGAACATGACCAACGCAGGAAGCTGCAGAATCCTTGGATGCAACAGTATCCACGGGGGGGAAAGTTAGACGTGTTTGAAGGTCAGAACCGCGAGTCTGGTGAGCGAGTCAAGCTTCTCTGCACCCAGACAGCATGACGGGAATCTTGGTAAGAGAGGGGCAAAACTCGACGTCCCATTCGCTGTAAGGTTTGGCAGGAGGCCGAACCAGTTTCAGGCATGCCCCGTTTTGTCTCGAGTTTAGCGCTGGACTCGGGCCTGGGGAACGCTGGGACCTCTGAAGATCACGCTTGGAGCTTGGAGCGCTGGTGCTGGCTCTGGCTGCCGAACCCTTGCTACCGAACCCTGGGCGATTCCAGCCGAGACGCCGCTTCCAGAGGATTTCTTCGTGGCCATGGTATAATGGTTAGAGCCAATGATCGAGTGTGTTCTCGAAAAGATTCAGGATCATGTAACAAACCACTGCCTTGTCTCGTCGTGCCCAGCGCCAGTGATTGGCAGGATTGAACGCTATTAATTAACCTCGTATCACTGGCCCAACGATTTATTATAACCCGCGCCCGTTATCTCGAGAACTTTCTCGGATTTGTTGCGGATACAATTCACATTGAACATCGGCTTCTCGACATCGTAAGCTGTCGTTGTACGGGACCCAACTAGGGCTAGCTTGCCAGAATAGGCGATAAGCCCTAATTGACCACCAGATGCAAAAGAGCAATATATATCTGACTTCGTGTCTGTATGTACAGTACATCCGTAAACTATGGATTTGTTTTTCGCGAATTTCCACCGTACTACGTCTATGCGTCCTCTCCATCTCCCACACGCAGCAAGAGTGCCTCAATTGATGCGTTGTTTGTCCTCCTTTGGGCGCGTCTGCGAATTCAAAACAAACTCATCATCTGTTTTGGGCATTGGTGGCTCGCTGAAGACTTGCATGGGTTAATTTTAGGCATGCAACTCCGCGAGTAGTCGCCAGCCCCTATTGACTCGACTCCCCTGCTCAATAAATGATTCTTTAATTTGCACGATTATATCGTGGATCTTGCTAGCCAGTCAACAACCTCGAACCAGAAGAGTGAGTTGGCATCCGAGGCAGCGAGTTGTGATTACGATGATTATTGAAATTTTCGCGCCTGCCATCGGAATCTTGCGGCTCCCCTCTCCCTTGTTTCGAACTTCTGTGTTGTTTTGATTTCTTTCTGATGCCTCAGCTATCATTGGCGGAGTTTCTTTGATTGGATATTACAGCTCCAACGCCGCCGCCGCCCTACAACAAGATGCCGACATCCAAGGATTACACGGTGTAAGTCGCGCATTGGCAAGGAGCGTATTTCGGAGTCAGGCACGCACTCGCCGGATTCAGCCCTGTCGTGGCCTGAAATGAACCTTGTCATTTCAGCTTTCTCGTCCAGAGAGTGAGGCATGATTGTCAAAGCTTCCAAAACAATCCGCAATGACCAATGATGCCTCTGTAAAATCGAAGAGTTTCCATTATGAGCTGCTGAAAACCAACAAGACCAAACAAAAATACTTCAACGCCTTTGGCTCTTTGGCTCCTGTGCTCGATATTGAATATGGCAACACAACAAACTAACATCACAAAACCAATAACCATGGACCAGGTCTAACAGGGACAATAGGGTCTATCCCAGAATTGCATCAAACTAGAGGCGCGTGGCTTTTCATAATCGGCACTACGCCCCGTTTTCCAGCGCAAGCGCCCGATCCTCAACCTCCCCTGCGCAGCCGCCACACGATATTTTTGGATTTTGGCGCTGAACATGGCATGGATTTAGATCCACTCACTGTGAAGAAGCTAGGTTGGGAACTGGATATATAGCTCCTCCCCATAATGTTCTACTTTAACTAGATAACTAACTAGAAGGATATGCATTATTCATCCCGCTATTGATGCGTCAATGCGAGGAATGGCCTTGATCCCTGGATGGCGCTTGCAGGTTGAATAGGGGACCTAAATTTATCTCTAGAGGCCTTACTCGATTGTTATTCTTGTTCCATTATCTTTCTGACATTATTCTATGTCGGTGGTAAAATTCTGGATCTGCGTCTAAAATCTTGTATTCTTGGGCGCTTCTGCTCGTGGATAGAAGTAATCTTGTCACTATTTCATAAGCCAATGCCATACCATGCACGCCCTATTCAGAAGATTTAGCTACCTTATGCTCAGATTGATTGAATGAAACAACCGCTTCATTTCTGAGAATAGAATGTGAGCAGTCACACGTGATGGGGTAAAACTTGAAGCCACCACCGCCGCACTTTCTTTTTTCAGATGTTCAAGTTGTAAAGGGGAGCCCTCGTTATTAATTATGTGGCCATTTTGACTATTTTCACCATCCGCATCAACTTTGACAGGCTCCCTTTTCACGGCAATTTGGATCGTGTCCACTCGTCCGTATCCTGCACCCGTTCGCATCCCAGAGTTGAAACTGGAGATTAGCCGATCCGATGACCGCTCTGATCTCCAGCTTAACTATGTAGAAAGAAGTTCAGAAGTGGTACCAGCGGTGATTTTTCCTTTTCTTTCAAACACCTTCTGTATATATGATTATTTTCCATAATCGCTCAGCCCGCTTGTGAGCCATGCTCTGAGGAAATAGTTCGGGGCCCAGTGCCGACATGACTATTTCAACTTGCCATGGCTCATGTATTCTTTCTGGATCGATCTTTTTGCGAAATCGCTTTGATATACCTCTTGGTGGAGTTGGGTCTTCCTAAAGTCAAAAAGGAATGTTGAGCCCAGGGTTAGTACTCAGAGCCACCGTGACTTCATCTTTCAGTTTTCAATATATATAAAACTATATATCAATATAAAACAAAGGGGGAAAAAAAACACTACAACGGAGCTTATACCCGAATAACAATCCAATCAATCTGATCTATCGCGTATATCTTCTTATCGCGGGCATCATATCTCACCGGCTCTCCTAAACGGATATGGGGCTTGTATACTTTGTCACACAGGATCCCAAGGTCACCTTCGCAGTGGTGGGGACAAGCTCCGTTCAGGAGAACAGCTATGAATACAAGTACTTACTCCCAATCCTCCCTTCATCGCCAGCAGTCCCTGAGCTCTCCCAATCATGCCGTCTCTCTCCAGTTCTGGATGCTATATTCATTTTCGCATAATTCCAATGCCGGCTTATTATCAAGCGCCAAAATTCGTTACAAAAAAGCTCCAGGCAAATGGGGCAAAATCAAACTCTCGCCGTCTACCTCGTCCAATCTCTGCAGCACTGTGCCACTCGTCTGGATCCCGCAGACACGGCATTCGGGACTTAGATTGCTTAAAAGAGTAAGAACTGGGACAGGCGATACTATGCTATCCCCCAAGGTTACAACCGTTTCTTCCCCGGCCACCTTGCGCGCACACTCATATATTCGAGACTTCTCAAGCATTTCTCGCGACAGCTCGCTGGTCTTAGACCAGGCTTGCGATTTCAGACAATGCCGACATGACGTTACAGCCAGTGAAAACTTTGAAGTCGATGATGGGCTTAGTTTCGCAATGTCAGAATTCAGGTTCGACCGAATTAATATCATCCTCGTGCAGCATATGCAGAGGACAAATAGGCTGGATTCACCCGTGGCAGTATCAGCGTCCACGTCGGTCACGTTGGGCTCATCTAGATGGGTAATGGTCAATATCCACTAGACATGATGCACCATCCGACAACAGAAGTGCTAACCTAGGTTCTCGGCTAGGTCCTCTTGATGGCCGTTCTCGGATTCTCTGTCTAGATCATTATCTTCGTTTGGGCCCATTTCTTGGCCACATGACTTCTCGGCAGTATTCGGAGGCGTTGACGTGTCAGGCACAAATTCCTTGAGCACCCGCAATATTAGTTAGATATTCATAAATTTGGGAGGTATGGTTTGCCATACCAAGCTTGCGTTTCCGACTAGCTTGCGGGTTAGCCAGAGGAAGGGTTCTTTAATGTTGAAATCACGCTTTACAGATATATCGTAATACTGAAGGCCCGCCTCGAGACCCGAGGTGATGTCGCCGTATCGCACCTTACGCCCCTTCACGTCAACTTTGTTACCACACAATACAATCGGGATCTCATCGCCAGCCGCTTTCCTCAACTCTCCTAGTCTAGCATGAGTTCAAGGTCGCTCAAGGGCAGGTCAGGGGTTAAACTCTGACAAGATAAAGTAGGAAGGGCAAGAATGGAGAATGCTAACACATACCATACCAGGTAAGAACATTTTTATATGTAGTTCGACTTGTAACATCAAACATAATGATGCCTGCATCGCTGTTCATATAATATCCATCAGAAATGCCTCTGTATTCTTGTTGCCCAGCACAATCCCATACATCAAACACAATGGGACCAGATCTCTGAAATATTTTAGCATTTGCTTTCTTTCAGGGTTGGAGAATTCACTGACTGTCATAAAACATAGTGGATGGACCTCTACTCCAAGAGTTGGAATGCGTTTCTCGCTAAACTCGCTATAAAGATGCCTCTTCACGAAAGTTGTCTGTATTTGCATGCTTAGTAGCGTGGAATCAAACAGTGGCTCTGATAGATGATGTGCCTTACTTTCCCTACACCTCCATCTCCAACGACTACCACCTTGAATGTACGAACGGGGAACTCCATGTTAGTAGGAAGTCGTAGATATTGATGGTCAAAACGTTTGATTGAAAGTGAGCTCCTTGTCTTTTATCCTGTTCAATTCCAAGGGCAGGGTGGACGCTCAGGAACATAAAAGATCATCAGCAAGGCGGTAAAAGCAGGATGCGGGGGAAGCTGTCGTCGTACAAGAATAGAACAGCACACTTTCGGAGACCACACCCAAACATGGGCTTATGCGTATGAGAAACAAACTTCCAGGGTTGAAGTACGTTATGGGAGGGCTACATCCAATCATCCGTCTAGCGGGGCTTCATTACGTCCAGTAGCGTGGGACTGAGCGCGCAAGGCAGAGATCGTAATGCAACACCGGCGGTTAGCTATTTTACTCCCTACCATTAACTTCAACCTACACTGAGTGAGGTATTACTCTACCGGCACAGTGTGAAAAGAGATGAAGTTCTGGATAACGTGATCTCACTTCTGCAGAGAGAAGAGAGGGCTGCGCACTCTCCAGTGCAGAAGATAGAATCAAAGAAAAGAGAATGAGAAAGCAAGGAGATGTCATTTTCAAAGTGGCAATGCTCTTGCCAGAACAGATCTGGCACACAACTCTGATAATTAATAATAGCATATGGTGTAGTGCACTTCGCACTCTGCTAACCGGCACGATACTTTGATTCTTTTCGTAGTCTGAGAGGATGAGTTTATCTTCTATAATAGTGATCAAAAGGCTTGGTTGTTCATAGATACATCAACATAAATACTAGTATAATTTGATTAGTTTTTCATCAAAAATGATTGAAATTTTAACCTTTTTCTTTCATTTTATCGATATTTTACTTATAATAGAGATAAGCAGACTCATTAGATTGAATTTAGAGAATAAGATTATGTTGGGGGGATTGGGTTGGGTGATTCGTACCCTCTATACCACCATGGCGCTGGTGGTGATTGAGCTCTTTTGCCCTAGTGGCCTAATAGGTTATGAGCCCGTGTAAGCGCGACTGCTACAGGGTGTGCCAACATGCTATCACAGGTTCGAATCAGACCAAGGCCAGAGGAATATCCCTTACTAATGCACATTCTCTTGCCAAGATGGGGGAGATTGGTGGTTAGGCACCCAGGAAGACCCCAGGCCACCAAGGACCAATGGCAGTAGGGTAGTGGAACTTAGGAAGAGCCAGGTTCCCCCAGCTGGCCGGATGGTAGAGTGGGTCCGAGGGGGGGTGTTGGGGGGATTGGGTTGGGTGATTCGTACCCTCTATACCACCATGGCGCTGGTGGTGATTGAGCTCTTTTGCCCTAGTGGCCTAATAGATTAATGATGATATTAGTAACTAGTAGTGATCGAAGGGGCTGATTGTCATTTGCAGGGTTGGGTGTCTGCACAGGCCACAATTTGTTGGTGGCGTTTTTAGTGACGTCGGGTTTTCTCGAACACCCTCTATCCTAATTTCTTACTAACCTTTTGTTAACTACATACATAGTATGTGGATGGTGTAGCAAATTCTTCAAATGCATAGCACAATCCACCACACATTGTTTGCCCACCGCAACTTGCTGCTTCTTCATCTGCTATGATATATCGAAAACTATACCTCTTCACAGTAAGATTGCGTTTGCCTCCATGATGGCCTCGTCGGCAGGCGCCCCCCAATCTCCCGCAGTCGCACACCACCTGCGAAGCCTTGGTGTTGGGAGTACCCCTCACAGCCTTCTCCCCAGAAGATATTCAATGAAATCATTCATAAAATACCCACAATCCAGAAATTCACTGAAATCATATATGAGAACATTAGCCCCAGTGATGGGGCCTTGATTTGTCAGTCACTGGAAGCTTCAGAACACGTCGAAAGGAGAAATATCAGGTCTGACAACCACCATTTGAATGAATAAACATCAAATATGCCTGCTGACATCTGATATGAGCTGATAATTCAGAGTCAACTTTAACGCTTTTACAAGAACGCTTCGAATCAGGATAATGCCCACAGAGTTACACGATGCCCATCAACGGTGGGCTATTGACGCGTTAGTAGAATGGACTCAGGATGGTCTACTGAGTCGTGAGGAGCAGAGGGCCCTGGACGCTGGTGTCGGAACGAGTAAGTTCTCTTCGCTTTCTGGTGAGTTCAATATGCTAACAATACATTTCAGCCTTTGATGGATTTACCGGTGTTTATCAAGGCTCTTACAAAGAGCCAGATTTTTTCTTTAGAGCTGATAACGACGATTTTCCTTCCATTGTTATGGAGTCCGGCTGGTCTGAGTCATTGCCTTATTTGCGGGCAGATAAAGATCTTTGGATTAAGGGGAACGATTTCGTACAGCTTGTCATCTTGCTGAAGTGGCATAACGTCTCTGGAGGACGAGTAAAGGGGAGTGCGGAAATTTGGAGACGTAATGGGACTGGAAACCTTGCCACCACAGAAATGGTCTGTATTCTTCTATTGGGGGAGTCCGTGGCCCGAAGCTAACGAAAGCTTAGACAATTTTCCCAGTACCAAATACCCCAGTTATAAATGAGCACATCGAGTTTACCAAGGGTCAGCTCTTCGGAGCAGCAGCAATAGGGTGTCCTGATGCGGGTACTATGCTGAGTCTTCGAATATCAAGGCTAAGGGAAATCGCTAAGGAGAGGCTTGTTAAGAATATGGGATTGATGCCCGCGTAAAGATCGTCCATTCGCGATTTGATGGATTCCTGGGGGCCTGTTTCAAGAAGGGATTGCGGGGCGGATTTTGCAACATTCCGTACATGAAATGATTCCCTCTTTCAGTATGATGTAGCAATGAAGTTCACGATCTAGGATTTGACAGCACACGCTGCAAACCCCGCTCTTCATGCTAGCTTGTGTATATGGTTTCCACACTGAACTGCGGTCACAGTGTATAGGTGGCGGGATGGTGAGCCACGGCCGCTGTGGGCTGGGCCAATCCACTACACCCACAGGTACAAGTGCCATATAATAACACTACTTAAATCAGAATATCTTGAGAATAAATAAATTAATTATCTACTACTCAGAATCAATGAGTATATTTGATAGTTGATGAGATATACTAGCATATGAACCCGAGTTAAACCACATTTTCTTAGTCACGTGTAAATACCAAGTTAGTTAGCGCCCCTGCCTTCCAGGGTTCAATTTGTCTCACGGCTTCCAGGCGAATCTTTACATCCCAACATCACATCACAGCCACCCAGGTATCTATCCAGCTATCGAGAAACCATTATCTTTCAATCAGCGGTCTAGCTATCACAGCCAGCATTTCACGCTATACCGGGCATCCCAGACTTCTACTACCACACTTAAACTACTTCTCCACACCTTTACCCTTCATTTCTCCCCGAGGAAAGAGCAGCTACGCAAGTAATTATGGCGGGAATCTCAAGTAGTAATCAAAATAACAATCCAAGTCGTCAGCAGATGTTTGAATGGAGCCCGGAAACCAAGGTCCTCGCCAGCTGTTACTCCGTCAACACTAGAAGCGCGACCCTCAACAGTTTCCATTATTGCACTACAGTTGGCACCGGTGAGTTCCATATCTTAAGTTCACCTTCTTCATCCCCTTCCATAGCCGTGAATTGCAATAATGGGCGATTTCTGGCTGACAAATTTTTATTCAACACTCTAGGAGCCCAGTGGTATCCCTGAGGTCCCCACTGGGCATAAATTCCCCCCGACAAGTCCTCCCACAAATGTGTCGGCCACTGCAGCAGCATCAGCAGTGGTGGCCGACCAATTCCGGTCGTCACCAAAAGCACCGGGATGTGATGGGGAGGCAGTGCAAACTATCACGGAAGAGTGTGAGAGGCTCTTCTGCGACACATTGTGGGCAATGTTCCTTGGTGAGAGGCAACTTGCTCCACAACAGTCGCTGGTGATAGGTGCGACTCACAATGACAATAACAACAATAACAAAGGGGTAAACGTATCCGAAATAGCGAGGAAAAGGGCGGTTGGGCGAATTCAGAACTTTATTGAAGTATGGGATTATGCTGGTGACACGATATACAGGGGTTTTGTTGCTGCTGATGGCAACCGAAGAACGCTGTTTGTGTTCTTTGACAACCATATTTGTGCTGGGCAAGGGTTGAAATCTGGGTTCGTCCATGACCCCTTTTTGCTCCTGTTGCTTCTAGACCTCGTGCTGGTACCAGTGACTAACCAGAATTTCATGGTAGATTGATGGCATTGTTTGAAATTGGCAGCATGACGGATCTCGGCTGCTCAGAAATGGTTGCTTGCGTTGATCGATCGATGGACGAGGTGGAGCTCGATGCTGTAATACGAAATCTAGGCTGGGTTGGGTTTGAATTGAGTACTTTACGTGATTGGGTGGTGCCTGCAGCGAAGGGGCAGTTTATCAGTAACAGATGGCTGTTTATGACAGTTGAAATCTGATGTTTTATCGTCCTGGACTGCACCTGTTCTTCTGTCTGGTTGTCTCTCTGCTAAATATCATGTCAGATACGAAGTGTCAGTTAGCTACACTATGGGTTAAATCGAACAAGCATGTTTTTGTTGTCATCCCTATTGTGGACTAGTGCTCTGCACATGCCTCTGCTGCTTGCATGCTAATACAACTCAGACGTCCAACAGTTTTTTGATCTTGTTGCTCCTTGCTGGCCTGGGGTCGTGTATAACACGTGACTTGTTTAGTTGCTTACTCACCCCTCGATTGCTCTGGCCCAAAAGCGGGGGCCTTCAGTTCCACCAACCTTGGAAACCCAAATCTTGGAGCTTGGGACCGAGTATGGAATCAGCTCTGCTCGATGCTAGGACCGACTAAAGGTCTCCTTGACTCCTAGATGACCCAGGGCAATCCTTTTCGCATGTGGCATGCCCACGGTCAGGCGCCAATTCGGATCTGCAAGGTTCTAAGATCACGGAGAATACATTCTCATTCACATAATGTCATCATCGATCTTCCCAACATATCTCCTCCCCTCCATCCCATTCCGCAGGCTCCTCTGGAAGACAAATCAAACAACACCAAAAGACACGGCAAATCCTCCTTCCCCAAGCAGCTATCATGGGAATGAGAACGATGGTGATAACACTGCCGTTATTAAGACCCCTGGCTTCCTGCAGGGTCATAAATCCTACCTCCGCTGCGCTCGCTGCTCAGCAGATCTATGCCTAACTTCTCAGATCATCAGCAAGGGCTTTACGGGCCGGCACGGACGTGCCTATCTCGTAGCTGCGAACCCATCTACAGATGGTACCTCCATAGCCCCGACACCATCGATGCAGCGCTCCTCACTCCCCAATACGGTTACGCAGCAACCAATAACAAGACAGCTCGTCACAGGCACTCATACGGTTAGCGACATCACCTGTCGTTTCTGCGGGAGTCTGCTGGGCTGGAAGTATGTGGCTGCGGAGGAGGAGTTGCAGAAATATAAAGTTGGGAAATTCATTTTAGAGACGAAGAGGATTACTGTATTCTCTTCATGGGAGAATTGTGATGAGGATGGTCGAGGGAATAATTATGCTTATTCCTGCTCACAAAAGCCGTCGGGGGATGACAATGACAATGATGTGGAGTTTGATAGCCAGGATGAGGAGGAATGTGAGGATTTGTTTTCAGGAATGTGGAGCCCCTGGTTGGCGGCGCGGAGGAAGAGGAATCGGGCCGTTGAACGGCACTCGTTTGGTTAGTATGAGAGGGAAAAGGTGAAGGAGGGGGGATTCATGGTTTGTATGTGACATTTCGGGTTTGCTGGAATTTTACTTGTCTATCTTCGAGCGTGTTCTGCATTTGATTCCGTTGGAGTCCCCAAGCCAGTCGAAGCTTTGTCCGTTTTTGTCAAATTCCGGAGTTAAGGGAACGATACCCATAATCTTGATGTCAAAATTAATATAATTAAGCGAAGTCCTAGTTTGTTCAATTCTTCAAAATTGTTGCTCATTCCCATTTTGCATGGGGAAATTTACCTATCCCATCCATATTTCCCCCGATGTTAACAGAAAAAGAAAAAACAACTAAATAATACACCTTTGTCTCCGCAAAACTGATAATATCCATCACCCACATAAAATCGTCGCCAGCAAAAATTTTCGGGTATCGTTATAACCACTTATTTCGAGTTTTCAAAGCCAAGGTGGATGATATGCAGAGATGCGTATCGGAATTTGATTGTACAAGTACAAGGGGCCCTCCGGCCTCGCGAAAAGAGAACACACAAAACTTATTACTCGTCTGAACCTCCATGATCCAGTCTAACCCTTTTGCCTGGGCTGGGCTCGTCTGCGGTCCCGGCCTCTGGCTCTAATTGACGCTTTCCGGAGGACTCTACTTCATCTGAAGTTTCCGCCATTGTCGGAGTCCGTTTCTTCTTCCTGACTAACAACGAAAGGTCGTTTGCGCCTTTCATGGCCTCCTGTAGCATAGTGGCTTTATCAGTATCTGAAGATTGGCTTAGGACTTGACTCAGGATTCCGTTGAGAGCATTAGAATCTGAGAAACCGCCATTGCGATCATTTATAGACACTGGAGGTCGACGAAGCTCAATAAGCTGTACAGAGGATGATCGTGTTAGTATGCGTTTTGATGCAATAAGATGCGGCAAGGATGCACTATATGTAACTCACTCGTTGCTCCATATCAGAAACAATTTCTTTGACATCTTCAATATTCGATTTGATTTTGTTGACAGTATCCTCCTCCATGTTTTCAAGTTTCTGTAGTTCTTTTGATATCCTTAATTTGCAACTCCGAATCGCGGTTTCCATGTGGTTTGCTGCCTCGTTTCTCTTTTCCTTGTCAACTTTTGTGACCTGCTCGCCGGTAGTACCTTGACCATTCTCCTCCTTTTCAGGAGTTATGGATGAGAACTCTAAAGCCAGGGAGAGCTTGTAATGACACTCCGCAACGCTAGCGTCTTCTAATGGAAACAGCTCCGTTTTCAACTCCAAAGAGGCCCTTAAATCGGTAACAGCATCCTCAAACCTCTCAGCCTCCAAACAAATTTCTGCTTGTAAATCGTATATATCTGCAAGTCGTTCTTTCACATTGCGCTCCTCGTCCTGCTTCTCCGACTCCAGATTTTCCAGTTTCCGGAGTAAGAGTATGCGTGACAAGTCTAACATTTCAAACGCGTTCGCAAATTCATCCTCCTGTTCCTCTTCCTGAGCTCCGTCGCCAGCATCACCGTCATTCTCCTCATCAGAACCCGAATCAAAGTCCTCGTCCCCTGTAAACTGGAAAAGTGATGACGATTGCGGTTTTGCATTGTCAGCTATGCTTCTCGTAGCTTTCTCATCGACTGTAGAACCCTCTGCAATCGCACGGGCGATGATTGACTCGTTTGGTTGCCTAATCTCAGATCTCGGTGTAGGATCTCCCGTCATGCTCCTAGGTGGGTTGGATGCTTGGCCGGAGACTTTTGAGCCGAGGACATCGCTTTTCCTCACGGCAAGATTGTACAGCGATTTCCCGTAAGAGTATAGCAGGTCGGCGTTCTCAACCGACATTTCGCCATTCAGCTCCGCTTGGAGCTCTGTCGCCCGAGAATATAACTCTGCAGCAGCGTCATAGTCTTTAATGGCATCTTTGGCAGAAGCCCGCTCAATAAGATCTGCCAACTGAGCCTGTTTCGATTCGGGTGGTGGAGCTGTAGTTTGCAATTCGCGTATGAGAGTGCTACTGTCTGGCGTTGCTTCCGCCATCCTGGACGAGCGAATGAGAGATTGGATTCAGAGAGCTGCCCTTCAACTCAGCGACCAAGGGTGAATGGATGATCTGTAGAGTAGTTGGCTTATAGAATAGATAAGTCAACAATGACAGTGAGGATATGTGAAAGTTGAAAAGTTTATCAAAGCTGCCTTCATTTCTTTGCTCTTTAATGGCTATTTTTTGTCATCACGTGCAAATGCACCCATGTTGCGACACGTCTTAGTCGCGTCTTCCCTCAACCTATAACGTTTTGATAGCGCACGGAAATTCAACAAGATCCCAAAGGCCAGGGGAGTATCTCAGTTGTAGCTCATTACTTTTGTTGTGGCACGGCGACTCAATGATTAATCCTTATTGCAGGATGCGACGATAGCGGCGAATTTGCAAATCTATCATCGCCATCGGACGTTCCACGGGATGTCGGAACCAGCTTCTACAGCCGCCTCCATTCTCCCCATCCTGTTACCTCCGCCCACGTTACGTCCTCTTGCGTTCAGAGTATTTACTAAAAAACATAGCTTGACTATTACAGCTTCTAGTCTACAGTCGCTCGCTACGTTTGTGGGGAAGAACTGCGGCTCAGGATGGCGGGAAGAAGGCCTTGCAGAGCTCGTCCTCGACGAAATCGCGAAAGCATGGAAAAAGCGTGGAGGCGGAGTGATCCTTGAGGATAGCGAAAGTGGCAATGCTTTGCTGAAGTCAATATTACGGGCTATGGAAGCCAATATGAGTGGTGGGAGGGTTATTATTCGCGACCCCGCGAAGGGCGCAAGCGGTTCGACATTGACATTCGGCCTCGAAGGCGCGGACAGTGAGCTGAGTCGAACTGGCAACCAAAGCGAAAGCGGCCAAAATATTCACGAGGAATCGTTGGAAATAGGAGAAGATAGCTCACTGAACGATACAAGAAGGTGGATTAAAATTATCAGCGCATTCGAACAACATCGCCCTGTCTATAATATAAATAAGAAGAATTTCGATATAATAACTTCGCCTCCTTCCTTATTCCCGCCGCCTTATCAGAGAGCCAATATTTTGAGAGATCGATATAATATCATTTACCAGAGGATATTACGCAATGAGGCTTTTCGAATTCCGCTCCAAGGATCGACATCCTCACATTCCAGCACAACTCGTTCCTATAAACTGACATCGATTGCTAATCTTCTGGGGAGGACTGGTACATCGCATCTGCTCCTCGGCCTTCTCTCTATGTCCCCGGCTGGAGACCTTTCCCTAACAGACCCAACCGGAAGCATCGCTCTTGATATTACACATGCCCGCGCTATTCCAGAAGACGGGGCATGGTTCGCACCGGGAATGATAGTCCTTGTCGACGGGATTTACAGAGAGGAGGGAGTTGTCACCGGATCTACATTGAACGGATCAGGCGGGGTTGGCGGAACAATCGGTGGAACGTTTACTGTTGCATCGGTTGGTGGACCTCCGTGTGAGCGGCGTGAAACTTCCACTGGTGCAGGCAATCGGGGCGGGGATGATGCCATGACCGTCGAAGGCGGATTTGGCTGGGTTGACTTTCTAGGTGTCGGGAGTGAACGAGGCAGAGGTTATCGGATGCGACAAGTTGAAAAGATCTGCCTTGACAAGGGTCCGCCCTACGAGCAGCGGGATATAAGAAAGCGAATAGTTGTCATGAGTGAAGTTAATCTAGACGTCCCAAAGACAGAAGGGGCGCTCACACATGTCTTCGAATGTTACGCTTCACTCCCGGAACAACAGTTACCGTTAGTCTTCATTTTGATTGGAAATTTCGTCCAACATGCTGTCATTTCCGGCGGAGGGAGTGGGGGTAGCATCGAGTGCAAGGAATATTTCGACATTCTTGCTTCCGTCCTTTCAAACTATCCGCGTCTCTTGCAAAACGCAACTTTTGTATTTGTTCCGGGAGACAATGACCCTTGGGCGTCTGCCTACTCTGCCGGCTCGTCTACGACAGTCCCGCGAGATGCAATCCCTGATTTATTCACATCCAGACTCAAACGTGCGTTCACACATGCTAATAATGAATTACCTTCTCGTATCAAACATACACCGGGTCAAGCCGTCTGGTCATCCAATCCCACACGTCTCAGTCTTTTCGGGCCCGTGCATGAACTTGTCGTGTTCAGGGATGATATCTCAGAGCGCCTGAGGCGTACCTCGATTGTTTTCAAACCACAGAACCCACAAGACAATTCACACACCTCAAACGAACCCACCAACACGGATAATGATATGGTTGTAGAAAGGCTAGATGATGACGAAGCTCGCCCGGCGGAACGAGGTAATGAGGAAGGAGAAGAACTCAAACAACAACAGCAAATGGAGGATAACCTCCACCAAAACTCAACTACAGCATCCCAAGTAAATCTCCATGCATCTCGAAAACTCGTCAAAACAATTCTCGACCAAAGCCACCTCTCCCCCTTTCCCCAACACATCCGGCCGGTTCTATGGGATTATGCGCCCGTCTTACATCTCTACCCGTTACCAACGGCTATGATCCTAGCGGACTCCGGCGCAGAACCATTTGCGGTTACGTACGAAGGGTGTCACGTTATGAATCCGGGCCGCCTCATACCAGAGGGGAGTAGGAGCTTAGTGAGATGGATTGAATATGATGTAGCGAAACGAAAGGGGAGTGTAAGAGAAGAGCGGTTTTAAGATGATCATGGATCGGGCGTTGTTAAAGTTATGCCTTCCGGTTTGAGGTATTTGGTGCGTTTGTCCCCCCCCCCCCCCCCCCCCCCCCCTCTTTTTTTTTTAAGAGGCCTCTGCCGCTTAGCATTTTTTGAAGCATTTTTGCATATGAATAATGTTATGTCCTCCCCCCCTTTTTTTTCTCTTCTTTGTCGCGCATGCATCTTAGATACCCAAAGATTTATCCAAGATTCATTTTTGGGGTTCAGAAAAGCAGGTTAAAATTTCCGTTCGATAAACTCTCATGTCAAAAGTTTTCATCTTGTCACATATGCGCTTCTGGTCATAAAGAAACCCGAATAGTCTCGTCTACGAAAGTCGAGATAGAGGTGGAATGTATATAAGTTAAAAATATCATATAGAAGCCAAGCCACGACATAGCTTTATCCATTATCCATTACTGCCCTCGCAGCCCAAGAAGACAGCACTGAGAGTGAAAAAAATTTATCTGAGAGTAGTACGTACATGGACAGGAACCAGGTTAGTTACAAGGGGTCACTGGAAGCGCCTAAAATAAAGATCAAAATCGGGAAATGAAGAGTAAAAGGGAATATATAGATATCACTTGAAAATTCTGGGAGACATTTGTGTCCAATGCTGGTGGAATAGTTCCTTCATGTTGTCCCATCTCCTAAACCTTGGAAAAAATTCAGCGTGAACGCTTTCAATTAATTAGATGGTCATGATAGATAAAATCCACGTCTCCGCCATTGGTCATAGTCCTGGTGGCATTGATGTTCTTTTTGATTTGCGCGCTCTTCGTATCCTGCTTCACTGCTTTCATATCTGTTTGTGTTTGCATTCGTGCCCTCATGGCAATTCCGTTATTGGTTGCTGGGAAGCCTTTTGTCCGTCCCAATTCTCCCTGCCGCCCCTGCATACCGACGCCCAACGCCCATACCCGCCTGACCGGACGTTGGCCTTACTTTATTATCTGTCACCCTTCTACCAGAGGGATTAGACTGAGGTCCTTTCTACCCCTACGATCACAAGCCGACGTCGTCACTGCCACCGCTACTTCCACCAGAACCAGGGTCAAGGTCAGTACCAGTGCCCCCATTCCGCTTTCCCAGAGGATTCATGCCCAAACCGCCACCCGTTTCCGATGAGATATAATCCGTCAAGACCCTATGCAGGGCGGAGACGAGGTTTCCGATCTTCTCGCAGTCGGCGATGGCACCATTGCCCAGACCCTGCCACCCATCTCCACTGGCACCAAATATCTGCTCTTTCAACTTGAGTTCCACGGCCTCTCGACCGGTTTTGTCTGACATGGTAGTCATGTCCCGTAAAACCCACACGACTCGATCTCTTCGTAGGCCTGCATGGATGCAGAAGAGGTATCGGAGGGAAGGGTAGCGGAGGTGGAAGATCTTTGAGCTTCGAGTGGTAATTTGGACTCCGGAGTTTCCAGGAAGATTGCTGCGTAAACCGGTAGAAATGAGCTCCAGAGCTTGGAGAATTGGTCGCGTGATGACGAGCAACTTTAGGACGGCCTCTAACCCGGCTCCAGCTCTAGCTCCTGGACGCAGGCCATTAAGCGTAGATGTCAAGGATTCTTTGATGCGTCGGTGAGGGTTTTGTGGGTGGAAATCAATACTCATGCGTAAAAGCATGAGAGGGGCTTGTTTTGATAACAGTGTGGCAGAATCGATGTCAGATTCTATGGATTGTTCGTGATAGTTAAAATTGATAATGGCGCGTGCGCCTTCATCTGCAGCATATGAAAATTTTATTTTGGAGAGAGAAACGGATAAAAGCTTCAGGGACTTTTGCTTTAAGGTGTTAAGGGTAGAAATTACGTGCTCTAGTTGTTGGAGGCGGGCAAGAAGTTGGATAATCATAGGTTTGCCGACGGGGGTGAGAAAGCGCATGGCAAAACCCCGACCATTGGGTTGGAACGTTATAGTGGGATCTAAATGCACTGCTAGGAGAGCTAGATCTTTTATTTCTCTTGAAAGATTCCCGTGCGCTAGGAGTATGGCGCATTGTGAGGATGGATGGATTCCCCTGAACGAGAGACGAACTGTGTCTCTAACCGCGGGGTTCTTGTCAGCTGTAATGGAGGGAGATATTCGTAGTGCAGAAGGAAGAGAGCCGCTGCGGAACCGTATAAAGATACTTGGTACCTGGAGATGCGGCCCAAGAGAGAGGTTCCGTACGGAAGGGAAGTAATGAATTCCATGGAGTTCTGAGAGATAACAAGCGTTGACGTGAATGGCGAGCATCCCCGAGAGAGCGTAATCTAGTTGGCTGAAGGAGGCGTAGTTTAACCGCCCTGGCAAGCCGCTAAAACGGCCAGTAACCATGCGAGCTGATTGGGGAGAAAAGGGGCCTTTATCCCTCGATGGCGCACGCAATTCGACTACCCACCAATTATCTCCATCCATGCTGCAGGTATACGCGATACCATAATTGCACTCCCAGGATTTGCGAAAGAACAGAACTGATCGAAGGATGTTCGAGGGGAAAATACGCCGAAGATCTTCGTTTTTGATATCGCGTGAGTTCACCGTCTCCCAGCCAAGAGCAGTGGCAAGTGACTCAACCTCCTCTATCACAGCTGTCGACCGAAGGCGGGAGATACGGAAGAGTATATCGTCGATAATGGGTCTTTCGAAGCTTCGATCAATATCATAGCGGTTTAGCAGCAGAGGGGTAGGGCGGAAGATGATGGCGCCAGAAACCGGTTCAATCATCACTCTAAGGCTTCTGCCCTTTGTAAGCTGAACATCGAGGAAACAGTTGCCTGGCTCATTAATAGATGTTTGCAAGCCAACGGAAAGAGCTCCGCTGGCGTATAGACGCCCTTGCGATAATTTTGTGTACGTAGATTGAAGCAAGAAAGATATATGTAAGGCAGTAACACTGCGAAGGATAGTTTCCATGGAAAGAAGCTCCGGGTCCAATTTGATATCTTTAGACTCCACTTCCTTGTTATCTCTCATCCACCTCAAGCCAAGAAATGGCGATTCAGTAATCGATCCATCATGTGTTTGCTCCTTGCGACGACCGCCTTTTACACCGATTTCGATCCAGCTCTTCGGTCCGGGTCTATTGATCCAATACTGCACGACAAGAGTGCGGTGCAAAACCTCCACACGTAGAGTATCAAGCCAGTGTTCCCGAGCCAGCTCGACAGCCTGGTGAAACAGTATGGTGATTTTGTTCGATAAGATCAAATTATGCAACAAGTTATAGCATCCTGTAAGGCCTGAGTGCATGAGAATGGCATTCACTCTGTTATCCAGCTCATCCAAAAGCCTTCCAGCTGGTTTTGGAGGTGAAGGGGAGAATAAAAATCGAATATCGACGAAGAAAAATTGCGAGGAATGACTCTCTTGCGCAATAGAGAGGTCAACCTCAAACTCCGTCGGAACCTTAAAAGTGACTCTACCATCATGGACCACATAATTTGTGAATGCTCTGGGTATCTGGTCGTGCAGTACTAATCTTGTCCGAATCGTCTTATTGATTTTCTTCAGTGTTTTAAGCATCTTTTTTGGCGTTAAAGGTTTTGGTGGAACGAACGAACGCTGAAAAAATGAGGATATTGAATTTAGTAATCGAGCCGCCGTAAAAAAGGAAACGAAGAGAAAGAAGAAAGAAGAAAAAAGAAAACAAAGATCCAGGAGAGATAGAATTACCTCTTGAATAGCAGCCACCCTCCCAGTTGCTAAAACCTCCAGCGCCATCGCAAGATCAGGGTTCGCTGTCTGCGCCCTGATCAAATCTCTCTTCATCTCACCAATGGACAAAATTGCGCCATTATAGCAATCGTATCGCATGCGAATAAAAGCTTGAATGTCTATGAGTCTGCTAACATCGGCTGCCCGTCGACTCCATTGAGAAAGAACAAGAATCTTGATGAAATCAGCCCGCTTCGCCTGGGCAAATTCGAGGATACGAAGTTTCTTTTGTGCATTTTCCGCGGAGGATGGACTGAGGGTGTATTTGCCGTTGGTCGTGGTTACGGGGCCAGCAGCAGCGTGAGTTACGGTTGATTGCGGATTCGCCAACTCTGTTATTAGATCCGTTAGGTCATTCCAGCATTGTTGAGTGGCCCTATTGATGAGATGACCCAGAGGGAAAAACCCCTGGGTGATATGCACCAGTTCTGGCGGCAGAAAGTCATCAAATTTGGGGTTGGAGAGACAGGCCGCGTCTTTCGCATGGGAAGGTCGATTTGAATGGTTTCCGTTATTATATGGTGCGAGGGAGGCGGTGGTTGAGAGCGTATCATCAACATGTTGCCGTTCGATCTCCCGTCCTGGTCCATTCGCGCTGGTACCATCCATGATGATTCCCGGCATCTCTAGACGGGCGACGACAAATCGGCGCGCCCCAGCGGCGGCCCGCCAGCCCCGAGACTCGTATGTATGTATGCGCAAAGAGCAATACGATGACTCGGCAGTAAGAATGCGTCACGAGAAAGCAGATATCTCGGGGAGCAACACTGGGAGGGCCCGATTACGTGGATGCGCGGCGATTAGCGGGCCAGAAATATGTCCTAACTAAAAACTCGGCTGGGGCGATCGAGGGGATACCGAAGAAAAGACACGCGCGAGAGTTGGGGGCCATCTGGCGGTGGTGGATAGTTGGGGTTGGGGTGGAAGATCGACGGGGGAAGGATTCTGATAAGTTAGCTGCGGGAGAGCAAGCAGTTGAACGTTGAGAATTAGGTAATTATTAGGTAACTAAGGGCCTCACACCTCAGATTTCAAGTTTCCTTGGCAAAAATCGAGCCCTGCGCAGATATCATCGACTATTTTGTGAGTTACCCACTAGAATTACATACATCCTCTACTTCCTTCATCTGAAATGAGTGTAGGGCAGTTTGTTTTTCTATATTTCTCGGACTCTAACCATCTAGCTGATCCTAAGCCTAATTTCTAAGCTCCAATCCTGTGTTAAAAGGTGGCGAGAGTGCATTGATGCTGCTGAGAAGTCTGTCAGTGTAGTTTAGATGGGCTGACCCTGTTCAGATATATGGTCAGGGCTGTTCAACTTTAACGGGTCCTGCGCAAGGACTTTACCAGGTAGCTTTCCAACATCCTAAACACAGATACACACAGTACATAGCTACGGTCTACTGCGTATGCACGATATCGGTGAAAAGGTCACTAACTTAGCTCGTTGCCTGACTAATCTGGCAAACGGAGTAGCCAAGCTATGCCAAGATATTAGCGTGCTGAAGCTGCCCAAACAGGCAATCCTGAACTGGGGCTGGAAAGAACAAACTGGCCTCATCTCGCGAGGAGGCTATATATACTCGACACTTTGGCGACAACCCAGCTTCATCCTAGGACTGTATCCATCACCCGTCCGCTTCAGTCCAACAACACGCCAAGTGTTCATAGGGTTGCGTGCACGTCTGTCCTTCTTTACTGGCACTGAATTGAGTCTTGCCAGAGGCCCCTGGGTCAACACCCTTCCTTGTACTCCCTTTTTTCCTGTCTACTATCCTGTCACTATGCGGCAGTTCAGAGATTTTGCCTTTGGCCTGGCTGCCCTAGGGCTCACGGCTCTGGCGTCTGCTTCTGAAGCTCCTGCTTCTGAAGCTCCCGCTTCCGATGCAGAGTCACATGTGCATGTCCTCGAGAAAGCAACGTTCAACGATTTCATGGAGCAGCACCCCCTGGTCATGGCGGAGTTCTATGCGCCATGGTGCGGTCATTGCAAGGCTCTTGCCCCTGAATATGAAGTTGCCGCAGCCGAGCTCAAGGAGAAGAACATCCTCCTCGCTAAGATTGACTGCACGGCGGAGAGTGAACTGTGCAAGGAGTACGACGTGGAAGGTTATCCCACAATCAAGATCTTCCGTGGTTTGCAGAATGTCAAGCCATACAATGGCGCTCGCAAAAGTGGAGCGTATGTTTTCCTCTGCCCCCTATTCAGGTATTATCAATTTAATTTCATAGCTGACTTTTTCCCATAGCATCTCATCCTTCATGTCCAAACAAGCTCTTCCAACAGTCAGCCAGGTAACGATGCAAAATTTCGAAGATGTGAAGGCAATGGACAAGGTCGTCGTTGTTGGATACTTTGCTTCTGATGACAAGACCTCGAATAAAACTTTCCATGCTGTGGCTGAGGCCCTGCGTGATGACTTCCTCTTCTCCGCAACAAGTGACCCCGAAATGGCTGCTGCTGCAAACGTAAAGCATCCGGCCGTTATTCTGTACAAGGACTTCGACGGAGGCAAAGAGCTCTTCTCAGGGAAATTTGTTGAAGAAGACATCACCAACTTTGTGAAAGTTTACAGCATGCCTCTCGTTGGCGAAATCGGACCAGATACCTACAATAGCTACATGGGTGTAAGTTTGCCGAGAATTCGTATAATCCGAGCTTAACAGGATAATGTTGCGAGAACAATCATACTAATGCCTCTATCAATAGAGTGGCCTTCCACTCGGCTACCTATTTGCCGAGACTCCTGAAGAGCGTGAAGAGTTCGCAGCCATGTTGAAGCCTATTGCCAAAAAATATAAAGGTCGCATCAATCTTGGAACCATCGATGCCAAGGCTTACGGAGCTCACTCTGACAACCTGAACCTTAAACCCGAGAAGTTCCCAGCGTTCGCAATCCACAACCCTGCCGAAAACAAAAAGTTCCCCTACGATCAGGAGAAGAAGATCACCCGGGATGACCTCGGGGCATTCGTTCAAGCCGTCCTCAATGGTGAGATTGAAGCCAGTATAAAGTCCGAGCCTATCCCTGCGAGCCAGGAAGGCCCTGTAACCGTTGTCGTTGCCCACACCTACCAAGAGATTGTCATAGACAGCGACAAGGATGTTCTTCTCGAGTTCTATGCCCCATGGTGTGGACACTGCAAAGCGTGAGTTTTCTCTCGAGCCCTACTAGCCACTGATCATATTTGCTTGTATTATACTGAGACGTCATCTTGTAGCCTCGCGCCCAAATACGAACAACTCGCCAAACTCTACGCCGATGACCCAGAGTTTGCCTCGAAGGTCATAATCGCCAAGATTGATGCCACCGCAAACGATGTGCCAGACGAAATCCAGGGATTCCCAACCATCAAGCTTTTCCCTGCGGGCGCCAAAGATTCTCCAATTGAGTATCAAGGCTTGCGCACCATCAAGGAGCTGGCCCAGTTCGTGCGGGATAATGGCAAATATAGTGTTGACGCATATGATCCGGAGAAAGTAGACGAGGATAGCGGTGATGTCACCAAGAAACCCGAGGAGGAGAGTCCTTCGTCGACAGAGGCCGCTGCCAAGGAAACCAAGGCTGAATCAACTGGTAAACCGGAGGAGACTGCCGGTGAAGCCACCCGACATGAGGAGCTGTAAGCTCTGCCGCCATTTTTTTTTGGTGCAATATCGATTATGCCATGTATTGAAAAACTGGGATTCTTTGGTTGTTTGTCTTGTTTCGTACTATTAGTTAATTGAATTGAATGGTTGTCCTTTTTTTTTTTCTTGTTTAGTTTTCTGTTTGAAATAATCTGCGTTTATTTGATGTGTTTTGCCTCTGCATTGCTATTTTAAATGTATTTTGTTTTTTTTATATAATCCCCTGCGCGAAGCGTGCGAGGGTTTGCATTTTGTGCTTGGGGTCATGCTATTAACCAAGCTAAGAAAGAAATAACTCTCTACGTTTTACATCTCGTTGAGACCTAGATACCTGTACGAGCTTAGCGTTTTTCCGATTTGCAAGGGCTTGTATCAAGCAGGCTGTCAACCTCGTTTCGCTCCCTGTAACTATCTCTTGTGCAAAGTTTCCGATTGTGACAGATCACATAATTAGTGGATCCTGCTATTAACATTCAATTGCGTTGGGCTAGCTATGGATGGATCGCAACATGTCTCGAACTTTAAAAAATTTTCCAAGACTCAGCCGAACGCTTCGAAGCTTTTCACCTGAAATCAGGAAAACCTTGAAATAAATAAAAGAGATCGGGGGAAAACCCAATTGAACTGAATGGAATCGAATGAAATTAATCAAAAAATAAATAGATAAATAACAAAATCCACGAGGGGAAAAGGAGAGAATTGAAAAAAAAAAAAATTCTACACACCATGTCGAAAGGCCATTTGCAGCCATCGGGGGGAAAACGAAAAGAAAAAAAAAGGAAAACAATCGACGGGCTAAGGTCCCAAGAGTTGATGATTTCTGGCCAGCAATATGAGAAGAATGCACACAAACACGCCCGTACTCAAGACACACAAAACTCCTGTGTTGCGCTCATATACAGTTTCCTGAATCAATTAGGAAGTTCATACTCCGCCTCCGCTAGAGCAGCCAATGCATCAGCATCATCATCCTCGTCTTCCGATAACAGAGACGAACTGGGGATCCCGCCCCCATTCGCCTCTGTGGCTTTCTTCCCATCGTCCCCTTTCGGTACGATAGCTTGCGCTTTGGCCGTAGTGGATACTGTGGTGGAGTTGTTTTGAACGTTAGTTTCAGTCGCTGTAGCTACAGCTATCTTCGTTTTTGGTGCTGTTGGTGGTGGTGATGATGATGTTTTCTCCTCGATGAGAGACCAGTCAATAATCCCATCTTTGCCATAACGTTCCAGAAGCCATTCATTGGTCTTCTTAAAGTGGCCGCATTTAAACTGTAAGAAAAGGAGAGAAGGATGAGAAAATCGCATTCTTCTGTTAGCCAGGGTCGGGAAAATTGCATAGCCAAAGGTGAGATGATGATGAATAGGAATAAATGAGCAATCGTACTACGGAGTAGAAAAACTTACAAATCCACCATGCGCACTCAACGGACTGGGATGCACAGACTGCAATACGCAATGCCTCTTCTCCTTGTCCCGAAGAATATGGGCCACACGCTTTCCTGCCGGCTTACCCCAAGCTAAAAACACAACCCCACGCGTCCTCGTCTTCGCCACCACATCAATGACCTTCTGAGTAAACTTCTCCCAGCCCTGGTTTGCGTGGCTGTTGGCATTATGCGCGCGGACTGTAAGACATGTATTTAACATGAGGACACCACGGTTCGCCCAGGGTGCAAGGTAGCCTCCGTTGTTGGGTGGTTTGGTGAAGGAGGGATAGTCGTTTTGAAGGGCTATGTATATGTTTTTTAGTGAGGGAGGGGCAGGCATGGGAGGCCGGACGGAGAAGCAGAGGCCATGGGCTTGGTTGTGGTTGTGATATGGATCTTGGCCGATGATTACGGCGCGGACTGTGTGGAGGGGAGTGTGTCGGGACCTAAATCGTGAAAAAGGACGGAGGAGTAAGATTCTGACTTCTTCTATAGAAGGACTTTGTTCTTTCTTGTCTTACCATGAATACACCTCCTCCAGCGGTGGGAATATCTTCGCACCTCCTGCAATTTCCCGTTTCAAAAACCTTTTCAGATTCAAAAATTCTGTAGTGATCACCTCATCCTTCAAATGAGCCAGCCAGCTCTCGTCCAATGTGTCTATTTCCAGTTTGAGCAGTTCCTTCTGCTCTGCTGTTAGGCCAGCAACCCATTTCTCCTTGTTAAAACTTACTTTGGGGCTGGGAGCGAAGGACAGCTTTGTTGTGTTCTGCGCTGCGGAATCCCTAGCCTTGGGGGCGCCAAAAAACGACGTAATACTTCCATTTGGCTTGGGTTTCTTTGTCTCTGCTTCAGCAGCGGTTCCACCGTTGTCCCCTAGGTGGTTGGCATCCCGTTTACGGGAGACAGTAGACATGGCTGCTAAACCAACGGGTAGGGTATTTGACGGGTGAGAATGGCAGACTGTGTAAGTATGAAGAACGGAATGACTCTGGAGGATGAGAGTCACAAAACTTCGAAGCATACAGGGTTTTATTCGCTTTTGTCTGATGCCTCTGTGAGTTCAAAGGGGTGCCTGGACAGAAGGACAAGAAAAAGAGCTCGGCTCATCGTCCGCCCAGGCAGGGAGGCCTAGTGGCTGAAGGTCTTATAGGCAACGCTGAAGCCAATGGACGCGTGAAGCAAGCGTGTGGAGGCGTTTTGTCACGAACCACGGTCACGTGAGTCAGTGTGTCTCATGAAAATGAAGATATAATTACAAGAAGGTAATTAATTACTGGTCGAAGTGATGTCAAAGTCTGTTTCTTTTGTAAGCCTATGAAAGTCGTTTTTAAAACTACATTGATTTGTTTCTCCACAAATATGGTCGTCCATAACACTCGTATCGTTTTTGGAGACCCCACCACGGAGAAACCGAAGAGAGCAAGACCACCGAGATATGACACCGAACGACCGATATGAAACTAAAAGTGAGAGGTGAAGTAGGCAATTTTATTATTTGCATCTTTTTTCCACGATATTCGGTCCATGCTCATCAAACTCCTTCTTCGATATCCACATTTGATGAAATGTCCCCAGGCTCGCAACAATACTCCCCCCAAGCCATGAACCAAATTTCCGTTCCGCTGTGTTGCCAGGCGCAGTTATACGTACCCGGGGACTCGGGAACATGTTCATAAGCTCAAAGTTCAGTCGATCATTGAAGCCGTACAGCAGACTAGTCGCACCCGTCACGACTACATTGGCGAGCAAGTGCGGTCGGATATCTACGTCGACTTGATTTAGAGAGTTTCGGATTAGCTCTGGTATTGTTTGGGCAGCAGTGGGCGCTGGGAACTCTGGTTCTGTATCGGGAATCGCCGCTTGAGCGTCGAATAGCGATTCAACTACGCGGTATCGCTCGGCCCCAAATACCTGGTTGTAGCCGTCCGGGAACTCGAAAGGGCGGCCTGGACTCCCCCTAGCGATCTCCTCATTGGGGATGCCATTGGGGCCGGTGCTGGATAGGGAATGCGGACCGGGCCAAACTTGTACCACACACTCTTTGAATTCAGATATTGTCCGGTCTTCCAGGAGTCGACGGAAGGATGGGTCTGGGGCCCGGTCAGCGGGAATAGTTTTGTAGGTTGCTTGGGCCTGTTGACCAGCATCCACTGCTGTCTTAGAAGACACGAGGTAGTGTGGAGTGATTGTTATGGGTTGTGGCGAGTTCGTCCTGAAAAGGGCGCGGATCTGTGAGGAGATAAACTCTCCACCAAGAGGGGAGTGTTGAACGCCCCTTTTAAGAACTAGGCCGTCGTGGACGGGGGTTATGGAAACGCCTGATGCGCCAACATCAACAACTAAGGCTGATGCTTTGCCTGAAGCGAAGCTGGACGACATACATATTAGTACCGTATATCACATTTCGGTTCACCTAGAGAAGGGGAAGTGCTGGCGAAGCGGAGGAACTCACGCAGCTAATGGTCCATTCCGAGCCAGATAGAAGGCAGGGGTCCCCCATTTCTCCATTGCTATTTCAATAGTCTTTTCCCGTGCCTTGACAGGATTCCAACCGCACTCTGTCATAAGTAGCGGGCTATCAGCCAACGGCTTCTCTTCCGCTTCCACGACATCCATCTCCGCCGGTAGGTCGCCGTTGGCAGTGTCATTTAATCCATTAAACAGAGGGTTCCCGGACTTGGCCCCCGTTAACCGGGATGTGAATGAGTATTCCCATACTTTCTCTGCTGCGTCCCAATCCTCTACTATCCCCTCTCTCCCCATTGGATTGTGAATGGAGAGCCCCGGCCGTGGCGTGACGTAGATGCTGTCTCCATAAATGTATTTGTCCTGGGCATCTGTAGTGTACTTCCCGTAGCAGGTTGGAATGACAGATTTCGGTGTGTCTTCGCCCGCGAAGCCGGCGCGTACAGTTGAATAGCCTGGGTCGAGGATAATTGCGGACACCTCGTCTGCGAAAATTGGAGTTAGCAGATAGGATACCCGCGCGGCTTAAAGGAGTAAAGATGTATGGGACATACCGCCGCCGTATTCAGCGGTTGCTGGAGGTACTAGAGAGCTCATCTCTATCCCTCGCGTACTGTGTTGTGAATATTGGTGAGGTTGAAATCTTCAAGAACCTGAAATACGCAAAGCGTATATCACAGAGCTAGCACTCTGACCATAGAAAAAATCTTAAATGGCAGTCGCATGTAAATAGGCAATCGGGAAATGGTGTTGGATGTATGATAGATAATTCGATGAGGTGGTGGTGTTGATTTAATAGCTGCAAGGAGTGGTAAAAGTGGTGGGGAGCAGAACCGAGGAGTTGTTTGCAGTTGATCACCAACTTTTGACTTTGGCCAACCATTGGCTCCAGGCTTGATCCCTCGCCTCTTCACAACTTCAACAGCAACTGACTTCAACGCAACTCCAAACTACGCTCTCCTGCTGTGTAAAAAGCATTCAACAACTATCCTCTAATAATTTAACAGCTATGTCAACCATGGAGACTGAAGAGCTGCTCTTTAGGCCGGTCAAGAGACGAAAGTTCCTCCGAAAGCGCTCGGAAACTTCGTCAGATCAATCACAACCACCACAAGCCGCTCCGGCTCCCGAATCCTCTACTCGCCGGTCCGCAGAGGTGCATGATAGAGAAGCCTCAGAAACAAATTCAAATGAGCCGGGAGAAATGGGCACTGGTATTACAGACATCTTTCGCCTTCGAAAAGCCATCAAGAGTCGAAGGGGTGGCGTTGAGTTTACTGCCTTGCCAAAGCCTGTCGATGATGGCCATGGCGAGTCTCAATTGCAAGCTGGATCTGTGGCTCATGACCCTGAAAATGTGGTTATCCGAGGCATTTCGGATCGCTTTGTTGCCCATACTGGTCAAAGAGTGGATGTGGATAAGCATATGTACGTTTTCCCCGATATCCATTGTTATTTGTTTTCTGTATTTGTATGAAGGATATTCTTCTGTTTTATCCTTCTATGGATGAATAGGGGAATGACTAACGTGATAAGGATGGCGTATATAGAGTCAGAGATGGCTAAACGTCATGAAAAACACAAGAACAACAACACCGCGGATCATCATGACCAGCTAGCATCTCAGGCCGCAGTGCGAGGCCCTACCTCGGATCTCGTGCTTCCCCAACGCCAGCCAGCATCGTTAGGCAAGTTGCATGAAATCGACCTGGGACCCGACGCAAAACTCCGTAATATCGAACGGACTGAAGCAGCGACAAGAAGGCTCGCAGGCGATCAAGTGCCGGATGAAGATGAGGATGAGGACAAAGACGCCACTTCCAACAAAGCACGACCGGGCTCCAAGGATGGCAAAAATTGGCGGGCCCGGAAGAGAAGAAATAGTGAAGATATTAGACGAGATAAGCTTGTTGAGGAGGTTCTTCGGGAGAGCAAACGTGAGTTGTCTCTCTTATCATCTACTTACCATATGCTTTACAACATGTGCACATATATACTTCCCCTTTTATTGGAAGCATAACAAACTAATATCTACCTTCGTTTCATTTTACAGTCGACGTCTACGATGAGCCTGAAGTTGTTAGCCAGCAAAACGATGAGCAAGCGGCAGACGATCGCATTGCGGAGCAGTTCCGCCGTGACTTTTTGGATGCCATATACTCCAGGCGCCGTGGTGCTCGGACAAGGACTTCAAAAACGACTAAGCGGGATGTCCCCCGTGGCCCGAAGCTTGGGGGAAGTCGGAGTGCACGCGCGGCGATGCGGGAGAAAGCCGCCGCCCAAAAGTGACCATGATGTCGCGTATGTCTTGTTATTTTACTATCATCAGGGGGAGAAAGTGAGATGGAGGATGCCATGTATTGTATGGCTTCAGGGCATATTGTAGATATATGTCCGTACCCTGACGCTCATATTCTTCTTGTTTTCTATCTGGCACTTTTGTATTTATTTCTCAATTTTCTTTTTTTATCTGACGCAATGAGATCGTCTTCAACATGAAGCCATGCGTATATATGTATATATCTATATTATATTGTTATGACGAGTTTGTTTTATATTCCATCAAGATACGGGCCCAGCAACATCTCAGTTTCAATCAATTTGGAAGGAAACAATATATACTGTCAAGACCAACGGTACCGCTATTGACCGCTGCGAACACTGGGCATATTTTTTTTTTTTTTTGGAAGACTTGCACTCAGTATTCCTTGGTGGTGGGTTCATTGAGAAACGCAATGCCCGTCGATATCTATCTAATTCATTAATCGCTTCATCCACTTGCTTGGTACGACAAGAATTTCGGGACATTTTTCATGCTCTAAAATTAGATGAACGGTTGTGGAGAAGTTTTCGTCTCTTGGGCCATGAGTTTGGTTCCCCTTCGTAACCAGTGGGGTTCGCTCGTCGAGCATTCCTCTCAGCTTCCTCCTCGCCGTGAATCTGTTGATCGTTCAAGCTTTGCTTCCAGATCGAGATCCGCCCCTGGCCTGGCCACAGTGGACCCTGATCAGGCTTCTGATTTGCCAGCGATGAAACACTGCGCCCCAGCTCCTCACTAGTTGACGAAGACGCCCGAAAAAAACGGACAACAGACACGGACACGCAGATACTGGCAAATAGTGAGGCGTTGCTTTTGCCAGCGGGCATTAACCCCCATATTTTCAGGGAACTCCATACTGCTGAATCTGCAAGGGAGATATCTCGCTCAGTTCCGCCCGAGGGACTCGGCACAGCTCTCGCTCTTCGTTCATTTGAACTTCCTCCTCAAAGGACAAAACCGTAGTCGGCCACCTCGTCGGCATTCTAAGCATGACGACCTCAAGGACAACGGCCAGCAAAACGGTGTGGATCCTGTGGCTGAAACTATCACAAGAAGCTATCCACTTGACCGTTTCCATTCAGCGCCAGACAATGCCTCTCACTGGTCCCGGCTGCCAATTTGGCTTCCGCGCTAGTTAGCTCTCCTTGCTTTGTCAACGCAGTCGTGAGACATCATGCCCGCGGTCCAAGGGGAAAAACGGGAAGGGAACAAGATGTACGTCCACATGGGAGGGCGGAGTTGGGCTGGATCGCTGGAGTGGATTCTCCCCCTAGATTGCTGGCATGATGCAAGGTGATACAAGCTGGGCGTGTGTCCTGTGTTCCCCGCGCCCATGGTTTTGATGTCGATTCGTTTTTTTCCTGCTCTTTCGTCGAGAAGACTGAGGAACAAGAGCCGTTAAGTTAGGTTAGAAAGGAAATCAGCGGGTTCTCATTTCCATCTCTTCTAAAAAATTATCTCTTTCTCTCCCCTCCCCTCCCTCTTGCTTTGTCTCTTACTTCCCATTTTTCTTGACAGCCTGGAGATAGTCCAAAACAGCTCCACAAAGGAACCAGCTGCAAGACATTTCCTTGAGCTGGCAAATCATGTCTGCTCTTGTTTTTGCATAAAGACTCCCAGCGCGTAGATGTTTCCTCCTTCCATGTCAACCTTCCTTATTATTCTCTCTTGACTCCTGGGTCTCTGACTCTAAATATACAAATCCTTTATTTTTGATTTCTTTATCCATACAATTTTGGAGATTGCCAACTTACGCCACATTCGCCGCTTGTGTTTGCTTTTTACAGGTGAGTGCATAATTTTGCCCACGCCATCGGGATTACTCTCTTGTCTCTGTTTGTCTCGGAGTGCCTCTTTTCTTTGAGGTCTGTACCATCTTTGTCTTGTCTAACTTTTCATAGCTTCATCGTCTGGGATAGAACTCGTCCCAGGTGGCTTCCCGACTGATTCAGTCAATATGTGGATCCGACCTTGGTCAATAACTTCCCTTCTTTTGGCCTGGAGCCTGTTTTCACATCACGTTGATGGAATAGATGTCCTGAAAAACAATGGCTTCACATCGTGCCTTGATAACTCCGAGATCAATGTCGAAAAAATCAACCTAGAGTTCGACCGCACTACCAATGACTTCATCTTCGATGTTGCAGGGAGTAGTTCAAAGATCCAAAATGTGACGGCAGTGTTGCTCGTCGAGGCTTATGGCCAGAAAATCACTCAAAGTTTCAATCCCTGTGATGAGGCAACAAAAGTCGATCAACTATGCCCTGGTACGTTAACTAGATTTATTGACTTGATTGGTATATCTCATATTGACTCATGTCTGTCTACAGTTCCTGCGGGACGATTTACGGCCAAAGGAAGTCAAAAAATTCCTTCCAAGTTCGCAGAGAAAATCCCATCCATTGCATTTGCAATTCCCGACCTCCAGGCACACGCGACCATGCTCTTAAAATCGAATGACGGAGGTCAGACCCTTGCTTGTATCAGTTCAACTGTAGGCAATGGCAAATCATTAGAGGCACCCGCGGTATCATATGCCGCAGCTGGAGTCGTAGGGGCTGCCTTGGTATTGTCAGGCGCCGCAGCTTTGGTGGCAGGTGGGCATCCCGGTGCTGCTACATCAAGCCCGACATTCGGTGAGGTTGTTGGGTGGTTTCATTCGATGGCAACCAACGGCATGCTTAGCGTCAACTACCCGCCGATTTACCGCAGCTTCACCAAAAACTTTGCGTTCAGCACCGGGCTGATTCCTTGGAAACAAATGCAGATGTCGATTGACGATTTTAGAAATAAGACCGGGGGCAATCTGACAAACGACAATGTCCAATTCCTTGAAAATGCCACGCTTATATTTGACGAAGGGTCTGGTACCTCGAGTAATGCAAAACGTTCATGGAATTCCATTTTCAATTCTGCCGGTATTGCGGTTCGGGAGATATCCACGTCGATCAATGAGACATCCAAAGCAGGTGGCACTGAGGACGAGGGCGGCATTAATCATGTTGTCAAGGGAATCCAGGCATACGTCGAAATGCTCTCGGTTCCGAAATCTAATACCTTTATGACAGTGCTGTTGATATTTGCTATCGTCGTTGCGGCCATTGCGGTTGGTATATTGCTCTTCAAGGTTATTCTTGAGGTCTGGGCTATGTTTGCATCTTTTCCGAAGAAATTAACGAACTTCCGGAAGGATTACTGGGGAATACTAGCGAGGACAATCACCAATTTGATTCTCGTGTTGTACGGCATCTTTACCCTCTACTGCGTTTTCCAATTCACCCGAGGCGATTCATGGGCCGCCAAAGTCCTTGCAGGTGTCACCCTCGCCATTTTTACCGGGATTCTAGGATATTTTACGTTCAAGATTTGGAGTGTGGCTCGAAAATATAAGAAAGTAGAAGGTAGTGCAGCTGCGCTATACGAAGATCGGGAAACATGGCGGAAATACAGTCTTTTCTACGACAACTACAGAAAGGGATATTGGTGGATTTTCGTCCCCACCATCGTCTACATGCTTGCAAGAGGTTGCATCATTGCTGGGGGCGATGGCCATGGACTCGTCCAGACGGCTGGCCAACTTATCGTCGAGGCAATCATGTTCATCCTCCTCCTGTGGTCGAGACCCTACGAAGCAAAGTCAGGCCAATGGATCAATATATCCATTCAAGTGGTCCGTGTCCTCTCTGTTGCATGCATTCTAGTCTTCGTTCAGGAGCTGGGGCTGTCAACGACAACGCAAACAGTCACTGGTGTCGTTCTGATTGCAGTTCAATCAGCACTGACTGGCATCCTTGCCATTTTGATCGTTGTCAATGCCATAATACTTCTGTTCAAGAAGAACCCACATTCCGCGAGGAGGCGGAAAGACCCTGGTAAGTTTCTTGTAATTAATTCCATTGGACGAAAAACGAGTACGGAGTATGGCTAACGATATCATTTAAAATTTTCAAAGAAACCATGGATCGAGACCTAGATAACCTCACTCCCCTAGACGCTCGAAATTCCCTTCTAGAAACCGTTCCCCCGCACTACTCTTCTTGGAGAGGCTCAACGGGCTACTACAACCGCACCTCCCCTTACGATCCTTACATGGGTTCATCCACTAGCGAAAAATCTCACCACATGTATACAAACAGCACCGACCATTTAATCCCAGCAAATGCGGACAACATAAACCATATGAATATGAGGGACCCATCACCCGAACGACAATTTTCGAGGCCTATGATCGGACAGGCGTACTAGAAAAGAACATGTCCAAACTCGGGCCATTACCTCTCAAAAAATCTCCAGACCTAGACCACACACATACATCACCGCCACAAATCGGTTTTCTTTTCATTTTCCTCATTGTTTTAATAATGTTTATGCTATACTACATATACTACATTTCCTCTTTCCTTCTCGCTTTCGGCCCCGATCGTTCTCCCTATTAGCGATTTTCACAGTCTCTGGTTCAAGCCATATATATATATATATAGAATATCCACACAATGTACTACGACGTACTCCATCCGTAATCCTTTTTAACTACCAACATTCTTGCCCCTTTATTGTGTACTAATGTAACTCTCTGTACTGTACATTTGTTTTGATAACATACGCCTAAGGGACATAAGCATTTTCTTTTCTTCTCCGTTAAAAAATAACCAAAGGAAAGAAAAATCCTTAAGCTTCTATTCTCGTTTCTTTCTATGTACCCACCGTAATCTACCCAGGTAATTGAAATTTTGGGGTATCATGCATATCAAAAATAAAATTTAAAATATCTTCTCCTTTAATCCCGCGTTTAGCAAATAAGAGAGCGTCTATTCAGTGAATGAGTCTAGTCAACTTTGATTTCGGGGGAAATAAAACTGCATAGTTGTCTCGTTTTTTTGTTTCATGGTGCTTTTCGTCTTGTTTAGGTAAAATATTGATATATTACAATACAACTCAAGAAGGAGAAGGAAGGAGGGAAAGTAAAAAGCCAAAGAAATGAGAAAAGAAATTACAATTCGAGAAAAACGGATCAAATAATCAGATGAACAACGCAGATTCGAACAGGGCAAAAAGAAGGAAGGAACCACAAGATTTGATATTTGCCTAGAGAGAACAAGGAAAATAGAGAGCAGATCGAAAAAGAGAAAAAGTATGAGAAGGAACATAACATGGGGGCCTTGACATGATAACACTTGTTTGATCCAACTGGTTGGGAGCCAGGTATCCGCGAGAGAAGTAGAGAGAGTAGGACAAGATACAGGCTGCTAACTGCTTCATTCGATTTAACTTTCTTGAGCCGCAATTGCTGGAGGATTCCGTAACGTGTAACTCCGAGGCGGTCCAGGGGTGAAAAGATGATAGTTGAAATGGAAAAAAGAAGGAAAATGGGCAGAAGCGAACGGGGAGCGTTGGGGAGCCATCGGTAAGCAACAATAAACAAGAAAGTAAGGAACAAACATAAACGGTGGGCGAGTTGAGGTCGTGTCGCAATTATTTAGAGGAGGCTGGAGTGACATGCCGCCTGAAAATTCGTAGTTATTCGGTCACCAAACGTTCCTGCAGGATGATCGCCAAGTAGAGAAATCTCGTCATGCTTTTTATGGCGTAATCGTGCGATTAAACATCAAAATAACCAGACTTGCTGGGAAGAAAGCCTTTTTTTCTATCATCGTTATATTTCTTTGATTACTTAAACCATCCAATCCATTTTCATTATCCTATTCCTTTCAAGTGCGAGCGTAAGGATGGAATCCCCGATGAGCACCCCGTCCCCCACCACGGTAATTCGCCCCTGGCTTCCCCGCATTCCTTGGGCCAGTAGGTGCATTTGCTGGCGGCGCACTTTGCGGTTGCGGTGTTATGCTCTTGTTATTCCCAGATGATGGCCGAGCACCGCCATGTTGTGGTGGCATACCGTGATTTGGTGACATTCCACGACCCATACCCCCTCCACCTCGGTTCATATTGCCACCCCCCTGTGGACCAGTTGGAATATTTGGTTGTGGGACATCATCGTACATTCCTTCCCAGGAGGTCGGGCCACCTGGTTGGTACGGGGCAAATCCTCGAGATGATTCAATGGCCCTGCGTGCTTGTTGCTGTTCGTACTTTTGTTGTTCAAAGGCAATTTGCTCTTGAGCATTGTACCCAGGGCCACCTCTTGGGCCGGAAAAGCTACCACTCGGCCCGCTCATACCCATATTTGGACCGCCGCCGCCACCCATTCCACCCGGTGGTCCCCCACCTACATTCCCACCCATACCTCCCATGTTTCCTCCCATACCAGGGCCTGGACCTGGTCCAGGGTTCATGGTCGTGTTGATTTGTCCTCCCATTCCAACAGCTCCAAATCCAGGTCCACCCGGGCCCTGTCCCTGTCCCTGTCCCTGGTTCTGCATCTGTTGCATCTGTTGCATCTGCTGCATCTGCTGAATCATAGCAGGATTCATCATGCCTTGCATAGCCTGGAGACCGGGGACTTGTGAGCCAGCACTAATAGCTCCTTGAGACCCGCTTCCACCCATGCCGCCCATCGCGCTCATCTGTTGTAACATCGCAGGATTCATACCTGCCATGCTCCAATGTGGTGGAATTCAGCAGGTTGGCCTTGAGCTGCGGCGGCAGCCATTTGTTGTTGCATTAGCGCGAAATATTGCTGCATACGCTGCCAGTATTGTGCCATCATCTGCGGGCTCATTCCACTCGTCAAGCCTCCTTGACTTTGTGTGCTTTGCTGCTGCGAATTCTCCTGCCCGGTAGAGCGATCATTGTCCCTGCCGAAACGTTCCTGCTGATCTCTCATACCGCGGCGCGAACCCCTGCTTCGATCGTCCTCCTCCCTCATGTTCCCGCGAGGTTGTGCTTTCTTGACTTCTATCGGTTTCCCGAGGATTTCTAGCGGTCCTGAGAGGGTCGCTTCGACGGCTGCCTCGCTGTCAAAGGTTACGAACCCAAACCCTCTAGGCCTACCACTATCCTTATCGATCATGAGGGTAGCATCCACAACGCGACCAAACTGCATAAAAAACTGTTTAAAGTCTTGTTCGGTTGCCTCTTGGCTAACTCCACCGACAAATATTTTACTTGTCCTCTCCTGTTCATCTCTAGGAATGGCGCGCTTCGGGTCGATCTGTTATTTCAGTGAGCTTAGATGTTCTCATAGAGATATCAACGGCTAGCAAACTATCACAATTTATTTCACATCTGATTAAGGTGATAGCAAACCAATAGAAAATATTGATCCTTACAATTTTGCCATCGAGATAATGTTCTTTCACCATCACCGTGTTCACAGTCTTGGGGTCTTTGAAAGTAAGGAAGCCGAATCCTCTTGAACGCCCGGTGGCGCCGTCACGCATTACTGTGCATTCTTGGACTTCCCCGAATTGGGAAAAGTAGTCTTTGAGTGATTCTAGTAGGTGGAACATCTGTGGTCAGATTTTTATAAATTCTCCCGGAATGGTTTGGGTACATACGATCAGTTGTTTCCCAATTCAGCCCTCCGATAAACATTTTGCTATATAGATCTATTAGTCATAATGCCCCCAAAATAAGTAGAAATTAGCAGAAACGGCTGCTCTAATAAATCAATCAAAGAAATAAGTAGAAAACAGAATAGACAGAATAGCGATGTAGGTAAACATGAGATGTGGTAGTGCCGACATATACAACGAGGTGCTGCTGAAAAACATCAGAGTTGTTGAACATTCCGATTCCTGGCCGCGGCTGAAACCAGTGAGAGGGGGCGGAATTCTCGTGTTTAGCTTTCACTACCAAGCACTGATCCGACAAGTCTCGTTCGCGGGGACGCTTGGTTGCAAGGGTTGGGTTAATTGTTGTAATTTTGGACATTTGTGAGGTTTTGAGAGAGGAATCATATAACTCCTTTACAAACGGATTTTTGGGTTGACGGGTTGAAATCTCTCAGGCACACGGCTCACTCAAGAGCATCGTCGGATATGCATTCATGCAAAGCTGAAGTCAGATCTGCCCTGTATAAGACGTAGTTGTAAAATATTTTTGGGACGACTGTATTTTCTTTTCTGTTTCTGCCCGAAGATCCTCTGCTTCTCTAAAAGTCCGTAGCTAGGTAACGCTGTTCGATACCCCAGAATTCAAGACAGCTGAAGTGTCTACCTCCTGCTCTGTTCTATCAAGATATATCGACAAGAAGCTTTTAGTAGCAGCTGTACTATAGTCGCTTGAATAACTGGCTCGCTTGGCAAGAGCTTCGTCTAAGTCTCATCGACTCCCAATTCCTTCTCACAGCGTGCTGGCTGATAATCCGATACCCTTGTTCTGATTATTGTCTGGTTTTCCGAGAACACTATGTAGGATCCCCTTCCTCAAGACATATCCACCCGATTCCCTTTGCTCTCAAGTATCCACACTTCCGGTCTGAGTAGCTTAACCCAGTAGCAGACCCCATCCGACACGCTTGCACAAGCCTCCATCAATCCCCGGTGTGATGCCAAAGTTTCCTTACACGGGGCTTTGTCTTCAAATGTGGGCCAAGCAAATATATACGCGTGGATGGGCCAGATCACGTTTTTTGTAACGAGAACCTGAGATGCCAGTCGATGACATCGGAGAAATTAACCAGTTCGGCAGCAGCGATCCAAACAACCCGATGCAGAAAATAATAACTAAACAAATATGATAATTCCCACTTCCCCATGATTCGCAGCATCGGTCATGGCCACACGTACTCACCACCCGTGACATGTGAAGGAAATGACAGTACAAAATATTCAGAATGATGTAGATACAACTTACCCATCTTCTTTAATACCGGTTCCATGACTCCCATGACTTCCTGGCTCTACATGGGCTGGAATATGATCACTCTCCTGAGTCATTGGTATCGGCTCGTTGGCGCTATTCCGTTGGTCTCCATTTACGGAATGCTGCTGCTCCGACTGAGGTTCTGTATGATGGCTCGGGTTGTTGTCGCTAGTTGGTTGCTGGGGAGGAGGTACGGCAGGCGCGTTCGTTTCGTTTTGGGTGGGCGGTTGGGGTTCAGGGAAACTAGGAGGAGCAGCTTGAGGAGCAGCGTGCTGGGAGTTGTCATCTGCATCGTAACTGTTTCCAAAAACTTAGTACAAGCGATTTATAACCTTTAGACGGGTCGAAAAGTCAGATGCCTTCCGTAGAGTAGAAGAAGCATACAGATCAGCAAAGAGATCTTCCTCAAGATCCTCTGGCTCAGTCATGGCGATGTTGTCCCGGAAGTCCAAACACCAAGAAGGCTCGATGAACTGGAGATATGTTGTATATATATAAGGCGCCCAAGTTTCAGCTACAGTCGGCTTGGAGACGACAACTGGTGGTGTGCGTGTTGTTTTGATTGAGCGAGTTTGAACGGACACAAGGATGGAGAAGGCGAGGAAGTTGAGGTTGGAGACCCGCGGCTTGGCAGGCTAATCCAAATCGGGAGCAACCTGGCGGCGCAGTGCAGTTGAGGTGTTTACACGTATGGTATTGTCACAGTATCACAGAATGAAGCCAGAGGGCCATTTCCATGTATTTCGAAGATGAGAACGAGCCGCGTCGTAGAGCGTCCTTTGGAATAATAGGGTATGTACTTAGAAGGGGGGGAATACGGATTTTCCTCTGTGCAGTCGTCCTGGAGGAGCGTTGGAGGCACCTGTCGCTCAACAAAGTTGGTGCTGTTGTTGGAAGATGGCAATACCGTACTAAGCCGGTCCGTATAAACTCCACCCAACAGCTCTTCCATGGCCGTTGATGACATCGTACGCCTAAACTCACCATATGGCGATATAGTTCTTCTCCCCTCCGCCGCACTGAGTTTTACTGGGGATTCTCTCCTCGTTACTCCCGTAGTTACCTCTCTCGATCCCAAGAAGGCATCCAGATATGGCGAGCAGGAAGACAGCGCAGCAGGTATATGGTTCACTACGGACATGGTGTCGTAAAACTCATGCTGATTCTAACCTGTACGCTCAACAGGAGATGGTTCAGGTCGGTCCGTATTGAATATCGCCTTTTGCAAGGAATCATAATTCTTCGCTGCAAAGCTGCAAAGCTGCAAAGATATAATCTTCTTCTGACGGTTTTACTAACATTCTACCTCGTGTTTGCTTGGTAGACCAAACAGAGTGCGTATGTCCCCCGCCCAAGTATATACTAAACAATCTACTGACAGCTTGAACAAAGTCGAATAGCACCGCCTTTCTGGAAAACCCGTTCACCACCGCAACAACAACCAAAGCCTCATGGAGCAATTGACCCAAATACAGTTATCGGAGCATCCTACTCCCACGCGGATATGGTGAGGTGAGTTCAAGACCTCCATCCTTCTAAAGTGGGTTCGTGTCCCTGGTATTGATATTTGACACTGTTACGCACCTTAGGACCACATCGCCTTATACACGACAGCACGTATCGCCAATGTTACCTCGTTCTAGCAATAATAGCCGGAGTAGTAGTTCTGCCCACTTGACCGAACCAGGGGGAAGCACACTACCAAATCGCCAGCCGTATGCAAGCTTAATGGCACAAGTCGGTGAAGACTGGAGCCATGATGATGACGGATTCGAGGATGAGCTCCTATACGATGACGATGAGGATGAATTTGGGCTCCCCAGCGTTACGAAAATGCGCAAAAACGCACCTGCTAGACCTCAACGCCAACTGGGGGTGAGCGATGAGCGAGGTGGATCAAAGAGCCGTTCAAATGGCTCGTCAGCTCTAAAATGCAATTTATCCCCAACGAGGTTACGTGCTAATAGTTCTGATATCGCGGAGGAAAGGGGCATCCTGAGCTACCCAACGGCGAAAAAGACTGATGGCAAAATTTTGCGTCCACAGTACAAGGAAATATTGACGGGTAAGTTTCAAATGCATTTCAGTGATGGCGATAAATAGCTAAGAAAGTCTTCTTGGAGATCCCGCAAACTCACTCCACTTGATTAACCACTCACCCCCTCCAACAAATGGAACCCCGAAACAGCTAGAGGGACACTCAAGCCGGATAAGCAGAATCAACAAATTCAAACGCATTCTCCAAGCAAGCACCGTATCCCTTCCAGAACTTCGCGACCTCGCGTGGTCGGGCGTTCCTGATGAAGTCCGAGCGATGACTTGGCAGCTGCTATTGGGATACTTGCCAACCAACAGCGAGCGTCGCGTAACAGCTCTCGAGAGAAAGCGGAAAGAGTACCTTGATGGTGTACGACAGGCTTTCGAGAGAGGGAATTCAACTGTTGATAGGCCCAGTGGAGCAGGTTCCACATCGGATGGTGGGACCGGAAGAGGCTTGGATGAAGCTATCTGGCATCAAATCAGTATTGATATCCCTCGTACAAACCCTCATATCCCGTTATATGGCTACGAGGCGACGCAAAGGTCGCTGGAAAGAATTTTATACGTATGGGCTATTCGACATCCCGCGAGTGGATATGTACAGGGGATCAACGATCTTGTTACACCATTCTGGCAGGTCTTTCTAGGGACATATATTACGGATCTTAATATAGAGGAGGGGATGGACCCAGGACAATTACCAAAAGCTGTTCTTGATGCTGTTGAAGCTGATTCATTCTGGTGCCTAACAAAACTTCTCGATGGTATCCAAGATAACTATATATATGCCCAACCAGGTATACACAGACAAGTTGGAGCGCTCCGCGATCTCACGATGCGGATTGATTCCACACTGGCAAAGCATTTGGAACAGGAGAGCGTTGAGTTCATGCAGTTCAGCTTCCGCTGGATGAACTGTCTTTTGATGAGGGAGGTCAGCATTCAAAACACCATACGCATGTGGGATACATATATGGTATATATAACTTCTCATTTCCTTTCGGAATCTTTACACGGCTAATATCGAACCTAGGCCGAGGAACAAGGCTTCTCCCGATTCCATCTTTACGTGTGTGCGGCGTTCCTTGTCAAGTGGTCCGACCAGCTCCTTAAAATGGACTTTCAGGTTTGTTTCCATTTATATGCCACAAACGGAAAATGGGAAACACTAGGCTAAAATGTTTAGTAGGAAATAATGATGTTCCTCCAATCTCTTCCGACTAAAGATTGGACCGAAAAAGATATCGAGCTTCTATTGAGTGAGGCGTTTATTTGGCAGAGCCTGTTTCAAGATTCGAGTGCCCATCTCCGGTCCAGCGCTGGAACGCCCTCTGGTCCAGGGTGACAGTGACGGATTTCGACTTTTACTCCGGCACTTGCAACGCGCCAAGATAGAATCAGGTGTTCACATATCTAAATTTTTGAGCCGCTTAAGGATTGTTGTTTTCTTTCGGGAGATCAACTGAAATGGATACCCTTCTGATTAAAGGCCCACAAGAGTTTGAGGAACTCGCCTTCATCACACATTCGTGCGCGTTTGTCTGCAAGGCCGGTTTCGTCCTCGAGAACCTGTCTGACCTTCTCTCGGACGAGTTCCCGTACTTTCCCTTTCCTTTTGCGGGCTGGATTTTCTTTGGAGGCATTCAAATTAAGTTTTGGCTCCTCGTCTGCAAAGAACTCCGGCACATCCCCACCGTCATCGTCGATGTCCATAGCGCTGCCCAATTCTTCTTCCTGTTCACCTGGGTCTTCGATCGTGTTCACGGATTTATCCTCGGGCTCTTCTGCTGGCCCATCTTCGACTGGAATATTGTTCTGGGCACACCATGTTCGATAATTCGACTCCAGCATGTCGAGTACACTGGTGGTACCAAGGAAGCTGGATCTCATCGTCTTATTTTTCCGCACAAAGGCAACTCTTAAAAGGCCATCCCATTCATCATAACTGATTTGTGGGCGTGGGTTTTTGGGAACAATGCGAACCACACTGGATTCAACGGCGGGCGGCGGTTTGAAGTTATTCTTCCCAACTTTCATGATGTGGTCGATTCTTGCCCACATCTGGGCATTCACAGATAAACGGCTGTAGAGCTTATCGCCAGGTTTGGCAAAAAGGCGCATTGCGAATTCTCGTTGGAACATGAGAATGCATACTCGTGGTGCAGGGTTGGTAGCGAGGAGTTTAAAGGTTAGAGGAGAGGAGATCTAATAGTTATCAATCACATTGTTATGATCACATTCTGTCCAAAGGCTCATGATAAAAATTATTGAAGATTTTAGCTTACCTGATAAGGAGTGTTGCTAATGCAGACATCGAAATATGGAAGGTCGGTTTTGATCACATCGCCTAGTAAAACTTCAAGCCGCTTTTGTTCTGGCTTCCCTTGCACTCGCTTTGTAACTTCCGCAGCCATCCGTGGGTCCAACTCGACAGCAATGACTTTTTTCGCTTTCTCTAGTATTTTGACAGTCAAATTACCTGTGCCGGGGCCGATCTCAAGGACTGTCTACAAAATCAAATTAGCAACGACACTTAAAATATGTATATATTATATATGGGTGTGCGGCGTTGGATAGCATATACATCACTTTGCTTTAGATCTGCCTTGTCCACAATAGCCTGAGCAACACCAGGGTTTTTTAAAACGTGCTGGCCAATGTCTGTATTCATACGGAACACATTGTTTGCGGCCTTGGTTTTTGCAGCAGCCTGAGCATAAGGGCTTGCCTGGGAAGCGCTATTGCGCTTCTTTGATAGTGCCTTGGGCATCTTTGCTCTGCTCAGCTGCCGGCCAGATAGTCGGAATAGTGGTAATATTAAACTCCTGCCTCTCTGTCGCATCTTCATGGTGGGATGAGAATAATTTTCGTGATTTTGCTGCATATCCGGATTTATGTTGTTGCGGGCTCCGAGATAGCTGGGTGAAGGCTAGAAAATACGATTCCCTCAGATGCAACAAAGCTCCGCCGGATCTCAGCTATCTCGCTTTCTTTCTCCTTGAACTAAAAGTTTGTGTAATATTTTGATACACTATGACAGGCCGTAAAGACTTTCTCAGCCAGCCTGCCCCAGAAAATTATGTTGCTGGTTTAGGCCGGGGTGCCACCGGATTCACCACTCGGTCAGACTTGGGCCCAGCTAGGGAGGGTCCCACTCCAGAGCAGATACAGGAAGCCCTGACGAAACGCGCACTTTTACTCGGTGCAGCTCCTCCAACCGCATATGGCTCGTCAAATAGAGGTGAAAAGGGTAAGGGGGACAAGGCTGATAAAGCAATTGAAGAGGAGGAGGATGACCGGTTTCAAGACCCCGAAAATGAGGTTGGCCTCTTCGCATACGGACAGTACGACAGGGATGATGACGAGGCGGATCGCATATATCAGGAGGTGGATGAAAAGATGGACAGGAGGCGGAAGTTAAGAAGGTTTGTCTCCCCTTTTTTCTTTTCACAAGCTTATCTCTCCAATCCTATCATTCTGAAAGCTGTGGGTTTATCGTGTTTCCATGAAGCATTTTGGATAGATTGCCGACATGAAAATCCTTTCTCTACCCTAGGGAAGCTCGAGAAAAACAAGAGCGCGAAGAATACGAACGAAACAACCCCAAAATCCAGCAGCAATTTGCAGACCTCAAACGCTCCCTAGCTACAGTAACCGATGAAGATTGGGCAAATATCCCGGAGGTCGGTGATCTGACGGGGAAAAACCGACGGGCCAAGCAAAACTTGAGAAATCGATTCTATGCCGTACCAGATAGTGTTATTGCTAGCGCAAGAGATTCTACAGAATTCAGCACTACTGTCGCTGAAGACGGCACAGAAACTGTAGTACCGCGTGGGGAGACGGATGGCACAATCACAAACTTTGCAGATATTGGTGCTGCGAGAGATAAAGTCCTTCAGGTTAGACTTGATCAGGCTGCTCAGGGGTCGACAGGCGATGCGACAGCTGGAAGCGCAACCAACATCGATCCAAAGGGTTATTTGACAAGTCTAACCAAGTCCGAGCTGAAGGCAGGGGAAGTGGAAATTGGAGATATTAAGCGAGTCCGAGTGTTGTTGGAATCAGTCACTAAAACAAACCCTAAATATGCACCAGGATGGATAGCTATCGCTCGTTTAGAAGAAATAGCGGGCCGGATCGTTGCTGCAAGGAGCTATATTGCTAAAGGGTGTGAATTATGCCCGAAAAGTGAAGATGCGTGGCTGGAAAATATAAGGCTTAATGATAATCACAATGCGAAGATCATTGCGGCCAACGCGATTAAAAATAACGACACCTCAACTAGGCTCTGGATTGAGGCCATGAGACTAGAATCAGACCCGCGGGCCAAAAAGAATGTTCTTAGACAAGCAATTCTCCATATTCCACAGTCTGTTGCTATTTGGAAGGAAGCCGTTAACCTTGAAGAAGACCCAGCAGATGCACGCCTTCTTCTTGCCAAAGCAACGGAAATGATACCTCTTTCAGTGGAGCTATGGCTGGCCTTGGCTCGTCTTGAAACCCCAGAAAATGCGCAAAAGGTCCTAAATGCTGCGCGAAAGGCAGTCCCAACTAGCCACGAGGTTTGGGTTGCGGCTGCTCGACTACAAGAACAAATGGGGACTGCTGGCAAGGTCAACGTGATGAAACGGGCTGTCCAAGAATTAGCAAGGGAATCTGCCATGCTAAAACGAGAAGAGTGGATCGGAGAAGCGGAAAAGTGTGAGGAAGAAGGAGCAGTCCTTACTTGCGCTGCTATTATTCGGGAAACCTTGGGCTGGGGCTTGGACGAAGATGATGATCGGAAAGATATCTGGATGGAAGACGCGAGAGGGAGCATTGCTAGGGCCAAATACGAAACTGCGAGAGCGATATATGCTTACGCGCTGCGAGTATTTGTCAATAAGAAGACTATCTGGCTTGCTGCAGCCGACTTGGAACGTAACCATGGCACTAAGGAAAGCCTCTGGCAGTTGTTGGAGAAGGCTGTGGAAGCCTGCCCACAGAGCGAGAATTTGTGGATGCAGCTTGCCAAGGAAAAATGGCAAGCTGGTGAAATTGACAATGCCAGAAGAGTACTCGGAAGAGCGTTTAATCAAAATCCAAATAATGAAGACATCTGGCTCGCGGCCGTCAAGCTAGAAGCAGATGCGAACCAGACTGAACATGCAAGGGAACTCCTCTCTACCGCGCGTCGCGAAGCTGGAACCGACCGTGTCTGGATCAAGAGCGTGGCTTTCGAGCGCCAGTTAGGAAACACGGAACAGGCTCTCGACCTCGCCAACCAAGGGCTTCAGCTTTACCCTAAAGCCGATAAGTTGTGGATGATGAAAGGCCAAATATACGAAGAACAAAATAAATACCCCCAGGCCAGAGAAGCATATGGAACCGGTACCAGGGCGTGCCCTAGATCCGTACCCTTGTGGCTCCTCGCATCTCGCCTCGAAGAAAAAGCAGGGGTTGTCGTCAAGGCACGATCTATTCTCGACCGAGCGCGTCTCGCAGTGCCCAAGAACGCGGAACTCTGGACTGAAACCGTGCGTGTTGAACGGCGTGCGAATAACATAGGACAGGCCAAAGTGCTCATGGCAAAAGCTTTACGAGAAGTCCCTAATTCAGGTCTTCTATGGAGCGAGAGTATCTGGCACCTGGAGCCGCGGACTCACCGGAAGCCGCGAAGCCTGGAAGCCATCAAGAAAGTGGATAATGATCCTATCCTCTTCGTGACAGTAGCGCGCATCTTTTGGGGTGAGCGAAGACTTGATAAGGCAATGACATGGTTTGAGAAGGCCATTGTCTCGAATAGCGATTTGGGCGATGTGTGGGCGTGGTATTATAAGTTCTTGTTGCAACATGGTACAGATGTAAGTAGAAAAGCCCTTCCCTACCATTCACAACTTCTGAATCGCTCAAACTGGTGGCCATGAAACATGTCTAATGCATCCTCGTCTATCCAACAGGAAAAAAGAGAAGACGTCATCAGCAAATGCATATCCAGCGAGCCGAGGCACGGTGAGGTTTGGCAATCTGTCGCGAAAGATCCAGCCAACGCGCAAAAGTCGACGGAGGAAATCCTAAAACTCACGGCGGCGCGTTTAGAATAGAATAAAGATAATTTTGAATGCTAAATATACACTCCCGATTTCGTTTCAATCTTGAAGCTGTATTCACATAGATTTTTTAGGGTTTATCCCTCAAATTTCCGGGTGGTTTTTTCTTTTTTTTCTTTTGGCTGGGAAGTTTTTCAAACATGGGAAATCTGGTGAATACCTTATGATTGATTATTTTTTTTCTTTTGTAAAACACAGTTGTTTCCTAACAGTTAATGGGGATTGCTAGAATGATATACCTACGATAATGATATGAAGATACCTGCTCTGATTTTTATTAATTCAAATACACCAACGCGTTCAAAATTACAATATATATGAACTTGGACAATGGAGTATATAACAATAATATCCCGAATCCCGAATCGCGCTCAATGACTGCGCGCAATGGCTGGTACGAAAAGACAAGCAATCTCTGCGGATATTCAAGGAACAACAGAACGAGAGGGCTCAGCCTTCGCTTTCCAGCTCAAACCATATTAGCAACGAAACCACTCCTCCTGGGTATTATATAGAAAATTACCTAGAACAGTGGAGCATGATGCCCTGTAATGATGATCCTGTGAGCAATATAGTTCACACAAGGCTCACCCTTCGGAAGTATAAGTATATAGGTACAAGAAGGAAAACCAGAATGAAGAACAGAAGCAAAATAGAAGCCGTGGATCAACAATGCACCAGACCCTCCAAAGCGTGAAAACCACGTAAAAGTATCCCAATGTAACGAGTAATGAGCCCAACCCATCACGGTCGGCAGTCATGTATACAAAAAGCAAGCAGAGAAAAGATATGAGAAGCAAAAACAAAGGCGCAGGGCGCAAAAAAGCAAACGGCCAAAGGGAATAAATAAGCAAAACCATTCAAAGGTGGCGGAGAACAAAATACGAAACCAGTCCCTAACGCCTACTCACCGACTCACCCACTCCAATGGTAAATGCATAACCTACCTCCCCGGATCAGAAGAATTAATGGAACATGAAGCGAAAGTAGAACTGATGAGAGCAGCAAATACATGTCTCACGCAGCCATCGAAAGGCAATCATCGAGAAGGCTTCCTAGTTGTGCTCGATCCTTGGAAGTTGCGCCATCCCACTCCCAACCAGATTCATCGATATCCATATCGTCAGAGTACCCATCGATGCCATTTAGATTGTTAGTATCATTTATACTCTCCAGGTAGTCTTGTCGTTCAGCTTCAAGCTCTTCCTCAACATATCCGCCTAATATCTCATCGACAACCAGGGGCATATGTCCCAGCAGACCGCCGCCAAGTTCCAGAGCCAATCTCAAGTCCGGGACACCCAGCGCCTGTCTTGTGCTCGCTTCCTTAGCTTCAACAGGTAAGAAGCCGCTGGTGGTATTCTTCACTAGCTCTCCACGGGTGAATGCCATTTCTTCCCGTTCAAGTTGCCGCCGGTATTTCCGCGTCATGGTACCATTGATGGTCCCTGATGGCCCATTTAGTCTTGTTCTTGCGAACACGATGGACAGGAACTCCTTAACGAAATTTTCGGTTGCGATGGACATAAACACCGCGCATGGAAATGAAGCCGCATTAACCACCGATTCCTCGTAGCATATCGGGACCATGCGCGCATATATCGAATCTGCATCTGGAAATTCTCCGATTTCAGAAGCGAGGGGTTGCGCGTAACGTTTCCGAATTTCGAGTTCCCAATCTAAAAGCATGAAGTTAACTTCTATTCACATCTCGCCACCATTCATGTACTGTTATCCACCTACTTGTCTTGTTCAGGCCTCCAGCACTGGCGGGCACTTGATCTGGGAGACGGATCTGTTTGGCTTGATGATACTCTTCCAGTGGATTGGGTAGAGAATGCGGGTCCGGCTATTAAGAGGGAAACATATATACCGGTTAGATCACCACCGTCTCTTCATACCCACCTGTATAGACATAGACAAACATACCTCAGGAAGCGCTTTTAACCGCCGTCTATCCTTTGGCGGTAATTGTTTAATCTCCGTTTTAAGTCTCTGTTCCGCAGCATCGCCTGATACAGGTTTCGATACTACTGTCGGTTTATCGTTCGCCGAAACCCAGCTTGCAACGCCATGGTCTGGAAGGTCTCTCGTAAGGTTTCCGATGATTGCGCATACGAAATTGTTATGCAGATGTTCGATTTTGGGGTCGGAAGAGAGGAAATGATCGACTCGCGATGAGAATTCATTCTGGTTTAAATGGCCTTTTGCACCCCGGACATAAGGGAAAAAATAGACGGAAGTGCAGCGTTAGAATAATATGTCCTCTTCTAGTTGGTTAACGAAAAGGAAGCGTAGTTATAATAAACGCACCTAGAAGAAGGAGAGCGATGGCCTCCTTGTACTCCGTCCATTGGATGCCGATGGCCGCCTTTAACTCCGTGTATATCGGCTCAAGGTCAAGTCGCGGAACAGAAATGAGAGCTTTGGATGGTTTCTGGGTGGTTACCGGAGGGGGGACAACAGGTTGCTTGGTCGCCGGGATGGTAGACGATGAATTTGTCCCAGTCAGAGCTGCGGGATCGATCTGCATCGTGTTTCAGGGCCAAAATGGACCACCAGCGCGAGGGGCTGCGCGAAGCCAGAGGAGGACGCGGATTAGGCCCTCATGCAAAAGGAATGGACGGATATATACCAGAGATGATGGGAAAGGGGAAGAGAGGTCATTGAGAGACGGGATATCGGGGAGGATGCTGGATATCTGATGGAAGAGTTGTTGGTTGTGCCTTGTATGGCATGGAGTGAAGTTCGGATGGGGGCGGTGGTGATTAGAGAGTGCGTGGGTTTAAGTTTGGACCAGGATAGACTTTCGAACTGTTGTGTACACATGATATTCGGAGATTTTGAATATCTCTGTTCGCTTGAATATAAACATAAACATATTATTACAAGAGATGGAATTATTTTTCATGGATTAAATAAAACGCGCCCTGTCTCCATCCTAATGGAGCTTCAGTACATCCTCATCTAGTATCCCAAATAGTTTGCTTAATTCACTAATAATCGCCATTATTTCATCTCCCAACTGTCCGGTAACTAGAACTGCACAAAATTCGTACAATCGTCAGTATGTTGCCGATATATCGTAAGAATTTCTTGTAGGGGAAAGATGAGCTGGCAAACATACCATATGCATAGAGTAAGGCGTAGTCTTCATCTGTTGTCAACCGAGATACCGTGGTATCTTGGCGGAAACGGTGCAATCGCGCGAGGAGCCTGTCTCGCGAATGCTCTATTTCCGGCAGAGAATCATTCAGAGGGTACTCGAGTTTCATGGAGGATGCGACCACTGCGCAGGGCATTAGTTCCAAGTTGCAAGCGAAACGAACGAAAAGTGAGAAAGGACAACATACCAGACAACAAATGGCTTATTCGTGCAGAGAGTTGCATTCTCTGCGGTAGGGTATATGCTAACAACGCCATCTCGCCTTCTGAAGCAGTTAGATTCTTCATGATCTCGAGATTCATAGCCTGGACAGCATCTAACATCCGTCGTGTTCGGCTAAGCAGCGTTACATACGTAGCATCGGGAAACGGGCCGCGCAATTCAAACTCTGACCGTGCCGAAGTATGAAGCGTCTCCAAATGGACCAGGAATCTCTGGAGCTCTAATTTTTCCCTAGGGGTGAAATATGCAATGGCAGGCTTTCCATCCGTCATCGTCGACAGGGGTTCTCGTTTCCATATCACGCTCATCCGGAGCCACAGCAAACTTAGACCATCTTTCAGCTTTCTCCGCCCACTGATAGGCCAGATCACCCGAGTGATTAGGATTCCCCAAATAATGCCAGTTAAGACAGCAACGACACGGTGGACAGCAATGTCAAGTACTATCGGTGTATCCCCGCCTTCATCTTTGCCATCATCAATATCATTTCTTGAGAGAGAATAAGCATATAGAACAGTGAGGTTGTAAGTGAGCATGATAAAACGCCCCATGGGACCCTGGCTTTTAACCAAAATAAGGAAGGCGGTGCAGAATGCCATCACCCAGCCGATGAATGCAAGGGCAAAAACGTTTCCGGAAGTGATTTTCCAAGCAAAAAAAGCGCATATCGCTCCAAAACTTGTTCCCAAGAACCTAGCATATCCAGTTGTATTGGACGCACCAATTGTCATAGAGCAAACAAGCATATAGGATAGCAGGCCCCACTCCCCCCGCCAATAAGAATAGAAAGGTCTCGTCGATGGTATGAAGGAAGGGAGAGCGTACAGAGCGGCTCCGGCACCGACTTTGATTGAGAATTTTGTTTCGTCTCGTCGGAAGATACGGAGTGCTTTCCAAATTTTGTACCTAAACTTGTCTCTCGCTGATGGATGATCTGGCGGTTGCAACGAGGTATCTTTACCTTGCATAGAGGAATTTTCGGGCGAAACACTCGTTTCCCCGCGCTCAGTCTCTGACCCTATTTGCACCGTTACCATTTTATGCAAAAACGCACGGACTTGGAGAATTACTTACTTGAAACTGCAGTCCATTTATTGATATGGTCAGGAGGGGTGGGGCGCCAAAATCTGAGCCAACCCCAGGACCTGCCATTCGGCCGCTCATCTGTTTCCAATTTAAGTTCATCAAGAACTTCTAGGATTTCTTTGAGTTGCTCAGCAAACGCTTGGAGAGAAAAACTGAAATGGCCACAACTTGCTGCAACTTCTTCGTAGTCAGCTTCCGTCTCAACTGACTTGGTCTTGACGAAATCCTTCTGCGGGTATACCATATTCAGTGCATCATTTCGTGCACTTTGATATAAATTAAGAGCTCGGTCCAGGCTGGTACGAAATTTGCAATTAATGGCGACTTCATATTCTGGGCCTGTGCTGTACGGAATGTCTCCAAGGATTTCTGTCACCGTGTATGCGAGTGCACGCTTCCCCAAACAAACAAAGAAAGAAAGAAAGAAAAGTTAGTATGTCGGTGAGAAATTGGAGAGTTATATTCCAAGAAATTGACCAAGCAGTAAATACCATTGAAGGGCCAAGGTGGGCAATGAACTTCTCGAATATATCTGCGGGAGACTGTGGAACGAAGTCATTTCCTTGGCTGGAAATTAAGAGGGTCTGATCCAAGCCTGTTGTTGGCCTGTCGCAATGTGCCATATCCAGAATCGGGTTTGGCTTAGTCGGTTCCTCTAGAGGGTGTGCAGTTGGCGAGAAAATTGAGGGGTATAATCCGGAGCCAATATAGGAAGAGGAGATTCCTTCTTGGGCGGGAGAAACGTGCGAAGGTTGGTACGATTGTTTTAAAAGGTCAAATTGAAGAGAAGCAGCGCTCTGAAGTCCTCCGATATTTTGGGTGATGTCCTGAATACACCGAACAAGCTTTTTTTCGAGGCGATATTCTCTTTCCGTCCCGGCAAAGTAGTGTTCGAATTTAGCCTCTTGAAGCCACTTATCCACCGCAACATAGGCCTTTTTGTTCCGGTTTGAAGCATTTTTGAAGGAGTTCTGGCCAAGGTATTCTGCAGAGCCTTGCAGGAAGCTTTCAGTAATGATTGCTAGCATAGTTCCCAGTGAACTAGTAATCTCAACCAAATCTTTGCGAAGTTGCGTTCTTGCAGACACGGGAAAGAGTAGAAAACAGACGGTCATAGTCGCGATTGCTCCCATCACAATCATTTTTAAAACCTGGAATATTTTAACAAGAGACAAGTCACCCTGTTGAACAGCTCCCTCCTTTGTCAGAACTGTAATAATAGCCAGGGACGCAAGAGAGCAGGCCACATTCGCCAACGGGTCAGCACGCCGAAGCTTGACCCATCCAACGAAGCCCAGGCCGCCTCCACAGAAAACGAGAAGGACGATCGCGTTTCCAAGCGGAAGGAGATCGAGTTTGTCCTCAAAGAACAGTGAAATACCCATGCTAGCCACAGATATGAAGGTTGCATATATAAACGCTAAGAAGGCGTGCATAGTTGCTAATATCATGCTACCCCTCGTCCTCGCTGGATGGAAGTAAACCGTTATCGTAGCCACCATATGCTTTCCATCTTGCCGCCCAAGAAAAGCTGCAAATACTGGCAAAAATGTCCCCAAGGTGCCAATCAAATAAGCAATGCTGCATTTGATCACACCTTTGCCCGCCTCGGAAGTGATAAATAAGTATAGTGAATATGCAAGGCTTGTAAACTTTTCAGAGCATTTGCACCAGAAGGTCCCGGATTTGGTGCTTGAAGTCGCGGCACCGCGACCAAGTAACGGTTCTCTTTCCCCCAAGCCACCATTTTCCCTGTCCCGCGATAAATTGATAAGGCCTCTGCGTCGTTGCCCTGTACTCGGAAAGATGAAGGAGACCTGTCTGAGCTAGAACGCGAGCTCTGTCAGCAAAATACACCAGAGGTTGAGAGCTATTGCGCCGACAATAGCAAAAAGGGGAGATTCATTATATACCTTGGGTCTGACGAAGCGACGAGCCGTGGATGAGGCAGGCGTCATCACGTTTGGGAACTTTCCCACATGGCTCGGTGCGCAGATTCAGTGGTTGGCATTGATGTTGTTGCCCAGTGGTGGTGGTTTGTCACTGGCAAGATATTTAAATAACCAGACCAGTGCTTCAATGCAGATTGGGACAAGGTCCACGCATTCAACTAATTACTGCCACACGACAGCACACTAATTGCAAGCCCCCAGAAATTTACATAAAATTATAGGTAAGAAACCTTATTCAAATAACTGATAAACATTATTTTGCACGTATAAACGGATAGCTGTAGTATTAGGCGGGTCATCATTCCACACCTGTAAGAATCAAATAACATTAATCCATTCATTCATTCAAGGCTAGGAGCTAAGCTGGCAACCACCTCGAGGTCATAGGAAATTCGAAACGAACTGATTTCATGGTGATTAATGGCGCATCAACTCGTGGTTTATCTACTTAAGATCTTCGAGCTGCCATATCTTAATCGCAGCATCAGACCCCACGGATGCGATCTTAGTGCGGTCAGTGATCCAGACCACTCCGTTGACCCCTTCCTTGTGAGCGTTGGGTGCCTGCAGCCAGTCCCCAGGACAAGCCAAACTCCAGATAAAAATGCTTGTATCGAGACTCCCACTGGCCAGATGGGTGCCCTCGGAATTCCATGCGAGAGAGTTGATTCGTGCGGTATGCGCAGTCCACCGGTCTGTAACAATGCTGCCATCTGCTGACTTGTAAACTAGTACGCGCCCGCGCGAATCGCCCACGGCTAACAAGGAACCATCTGGCGAGAAGGTAAGTGCTGTGATCGGGTTTCTTGAAGCCTTTATTTCTACTGAGGGAACGAGATCGTTATTGTTAATAGAGCAGATTCGGACGGACGAGTCATCGCAGCCGATTGCAGCAGTGGTACCATGCGCAGCAATGACGTTGAGAGAAGTAGGCTCGCAAGGGAAATTGCTTATTTTAGCACCGTCTTTGAAAATCTCAACACCATCCGAGTTTGCGACGAGAACTATGTTATTCGCGGCGGCGGCGGCGTTTTTCGGCTGGCCGGCAAGCTTAGTTGCGCTTCCAGTATATGTGTTTGTAGTTACGTCGACAGAACGAATCGTGTCGTCCCAACCGACGCTGTAAATGCGACCATTTCCTTCACTTGTAGCTGCTAGACCATTGACATAGTTAGGATGACCCTCGCCGTCAACACGTTCTTCACACCCCTGAGTTATATCGCAGCTGTATAGCCTGCCGTCGACACTCCCAGTCCAAAGGGTTTCTTTATTGCCAATATCAAACCGAGCCATGGAGGTAATGCTTTTCTGATGACCTTGGATGACGCGAGTTGGCCTCTCGCTGCCTTCAGTTAGATAGTTAAGGTTACCAGAGAGAGCCAGACTGATAATCAGGCCATCACTTCTTCCAGCCGGCCAAACAACTCCAACCTGCTGATCCGGTATGCTCACGGACCCTTCTTCGCCCATCTTCCAATTCTGCACGACTTTCCCATGCTCCACATCCCAAATCTTTACCGTCCGGTCTGCGCTAGCTGTGACAAATTTGCGCGAGTCCTGCGACCAGGAGACACCCAGTATACTACCTGTATGCTCCCCCGAACCTATTTGAGCCTTGGTCTCTCCAGTTTTCCCATCGTAGAGCCAAATCCGTCGATCACCCCCGACACTGACGAGGTTTGCGCCATCCGGGCTGAAAGCGAGTCCGTAGATATAATTGACATGATTCGATCCAGTGCTCGTGTTGAATTTGAAAGGTGGACCATTGTAAAAAATTAGGGACTTGTCATCTCCTGCGGTGGCAGCGCGAATGGGCCGTTGCTGCCGGATGGACACGCAATTGACTCGCTGGCTGTGGCCAGTAACCTCACCAACAGAATTGCCGCTATCTGCAGTAAAACAATGGCCAAATCTCTGTTTCCCTTCGCCCACTGCTATGATCCGCTGCGAGTCTCCGTCCCATGCAAGGTCGTTGATGCGGCCGCTGACAATGAAGTATTCGCCCTTTGTAGCACCTTCCCCGACGCAGTCCCAGACCCTGACAGTGCCACTCTCATCGCCGCTGGCGACATAATAGCCAGAAGGTGAGAATCGCGCAACTGTCGTTTCCGCTTTGTGGTCTGTGTATTGTCTTGAGATTGAGGGGTTGTCAATAGAGCGGATGAAGATAGATTTGTTAGACTAGGTTTCCCAGCGAGTTATCTCAAGTCAGTTTTCAAAATAGGATCTCAAGAAGTAGATAGTAAAAGCATATCTCATCTGTTTCCTAACGTACTGCATAGGCTAACCGTTCGCCTTTGGAATCGCATGAGAGCTGTGTTGGCTGACCTCGAGTGGTAGAGGGGCTCGGAGCCAGGATGATATCTAGATTAAACATGATCAGCGCCGATGCTTACCACCAAGTCCAAACGACTGAGCTTTACCGTTTTTAATGGCCATTCCGCGGGTATTAATTCGCAGCAGTAGTCAAGTTCACGGACATCTCATCTAGGTCACAAAGGTTGTTGATGAATCGCGAACGCCTGGAACTTGCTGACACTAAGGTGGGGTGATAAACTTCCTAGGGTTGCCCTTGTAGCAACCGCAACTTGAGCCAACACTTCAACTTCTCCCAACAGAGTAAGGAGTCGAGTGCGAATAAGAAAACGGGGAAATAATGAATGGTAGTAAATTTTATATCTACAAACGCTATGGTACAGAACATAATCCTTCATCTCCTCCAAAAGCAGGGGAGGATAAAGCCAAATTTCCCAACGCCCATTTCGCAGTCTATGTCAAGAACATCACGGTCTCAGCCCTCGTTGCATTTTCGATCTAGCCTCAGCAGCAAGGATTTCGGGGTGTCTGTGAACGCTCGGCATCAGGCCCAAGCTTACAGCTCTTCGAATGGCTTTAGAGATTTTTCGCTGGTTCACTGGTCGCAGTCCAGTTTCGGAGGAGTGTCTAATACGACCCATTTCGGTCACGTACTCGGACATGATAGCAAAATTCTAGCCATTCGACCAGGCAAGAAATAATTAGAATGCGCCAACTCAAAGCGACAGCGCATAGAGAGTAACAGACAAAGCGGAATTTGTGATATCATGTTCGGATGATGCAGAATCTACATACCTTGTACAGGTGGAGAGGGTTCAGAGACAGGGCATCAAACGCATCAGTCGGCGGGCTTTTCTTCTGTTTCCACTTCATCATTTCCGCCGGACTCAGATCGTGCGGAGAATATATATCGCCACTCTCCCAGTGTCGTTTCTGCTGTCTTTCGAAAGCCCGGGCTCGCTGTTCCTGTTGAGCTTGCTTCTCGAATCGCTCCCGCATGGCCAGTTTCATCATCGATTCGCGTTGGCTTCTCTCTGCAGACATTCCGTATATTAGATGGCGTTTATGTCGCTATATCTCTATGCAGAGACACCCCAATTGAATTTCACATACCAGCAAATCGGCTGTATAACGAATTGGTAGAACTGGTAGAATTGCATCGTCGCTGGCCAGCCTGTAGCAGGGTCCGGTTGCTCGGAGTATGGCGGACAAAGGAACATATTGAACTCGTCTTAAAAGCCATTGTATGTCCCCAAATACGTCCTGGACTAGGATCGGGAAAACAGGAGTCCAGGTGTGGAAAATCTCTGTCGTTAAATACGAGTATTCAAGAAGAGTGCCAGTGGAGAAAGAAAATATGAAGATGATATTTCGATGGTTCGATGCCAAGCCTCGCGGGAGCTTGAAAGCGGCGTCTATTTATTGTTCTTGAGCAGCAGAGCGACAAAAATTCCAATGACATTGAGACTCAGACCACTGCACATTAAATACCGATTTAAACCGTTGAATATCAATGATTGCTCCGATAGCAATGTGTGACTAGCTATCGACTTCTGTGCTTCGGAAAATATTTTCCATTCATATTACTTCGCCAGCGGGGAATTGTCTGCTTTGGACGTGATTGGGGGCATGGATTAAAGAAAATGCACATTTTGTGAGCTCATATTCAAATAAAAACTCCTGAGTTGAACTGACATTGTATGTACCCATATAGGCGGCTACAGCGGTGAAAATCATGCGATCCTATCTCTCTCAAAGAGCCTTTCGCGTGATCCTAGGAAGCAAACAATTCTCCCACCTGCGATGCGGCCTGCGGCTGGCTGTATCAACTCCATTGCGTACCGCCCAATGCGACTACGTATATAAAATACAGCGGAGATATCTGTTTGGATTCCCTACAGTTAGCCCGGCAGATATCCAACCCGAGACCAAAAAGAGCGAATATGTGGATTATGGGGCTCAAGCAATGAAGCAGTTGGTGGAAGCCTTGGAAGAAAAATCTCCATCGACACCAGACGCAATCGCGAAGGCATTCTCGTCTTTCATTCAGCATCGACTTGAGAGCCCTACGGATTTAACAGCTGCACAAGCAAAATTCTTACTGTGGGCATGGGAATATTTGGACAGTGTCGTCAAGGAAAATCAGTCGGCGAGCTTGGAACAGAGTATTGCGCAACCCGAAGATATCCTAAATGCCCTATCGCAATCGCAGTGGGAACCCTACGCCAATAGCGACGTGTGCTCCCTTTCGAAATCTGTTTTCCGAAAGATCTGTCACAACCTTGATGCGGAATCCGGCGCTGAACCATTTCCCAGTCGGGAGGTCTTATATCCATATTTACATATCCTAGCGGCCACTGGTGGACTCCACGAAGCCCTCCAAGTGATAGACAATTACCGGTCATCTGTCTTCAGAAATGCGGGGATAAAACCTTGGGTACCTGTGGCAAAGGGTGTTATGAAAGAGGGACTAGGCGCTTTGAATATAATCTTTGAGCACATGAAAAAACATGAAATTCAACTCGACCAAAATACCCATGAAATATTGACGGTGGCAGCTGCGAAGGAGGGTAGGGCATCAACAGCAAGATTTATGTACGAATACAAGATAAACAACCGTTTGCAGCCTACTCTTGCTGCGACAATTGCCGCTGCAAATGCGATGATTTGGCACGGCAAGGCCGGTTGGGCAAGAGATCTACTCACGCTTCCACGCCGGAACCCAACACCAGAAATTAGAGATGCAGTTTTGCTTCTAGCCGTCAGAAAAGGACAAGGAGCAGGTGATGTGGACAAAAAGCTAGTTGATCTGTGTACAATAAACCCTGACTTAGGGTCGACTTTAACTATTGCCACTATCAACAAACTTTTGGAATTCAAGGTCATCAAGCACGAATATGATGGCATTGACGATATTGTCTCACTTGCCAAAGCGTGGGGCCTAGAGCCAGATGGGTTTACAGGCATGTCGAGGGTGATTGTTCCTTTACACGCTGGTGATATCCCCGGCGCACTATGTCTGTATGAGGAGCTAGGCTTGCGCGAGCTTACAGGGAAGGCTGTTGGTTTGTGGAATATAATTTTGAGAAAACTCTGCGTGGCAGCACAAGCCGATCCTGAAGACGAGACTGTCCTAGCTTTCATCGATCGCCTCCTCGAATCAGATTGCCGCTTTGAAGCTGCTACCTTGGAAGAGCTGTGCCGAATGCTACTCCTTCGCCATGACCTAGAGGGCATATCAGAACTTCTAAAGCCATTGGCTAGTTCTTGCAGCATACCAGGGCTCTCGCAAGTTCTAAACCCATTCGCACAATTTATTGCTGACCCACATGAGTCGGCCGAAACCGCCTGGGAGGTTTATGACCTGCTCGCGCGTGCGGTCCCTTACGCGCCCATGGAATTCTGGACACAGAACATGAAACAATTTTTCAAGCGGGGCCGGCCAGATCTAGCATGCCTTGTGTTTGGACATATGCGTAAAAAAGTGAATCCACAAGATCGTCCTACCGCCCATACGTATGCAGTGTGTTTCCACTGCCTCGCAAAAACCGCTTATTCAGAAGGCATTTTTCTTGTGCACAACATGTTGAAACTGGACGTCGAGGTGGAATGGACAAGGACATTACTGCACAAGCTTATGGCAGCATATACTGCATGCGGAAAGCACGAGCAGGCGATGGAATGCTTCAGGGAGATTTTGCATTCGGACGAAGGCCCCTCTTACTACTCTCTTACGTTATTTTTCCGCGCATGCGCGACATACCGCAAAGGGCTACAGGAAGCGACCGAGATGGTTGAGAAGTTGAAAGCGCTCAATCTCCCTCTGAATAGGAGGACTTACAATAACTATATCCGCGCGCTGAGTGTCCATGGCGAGCTTGAACGTGCTTCAGACGCTATCAGTGTAATGCACGCAGAAACCGGAGAAATCCCTACGGTGCCTACGTACGTTTTCCCATCCCCAAATCCCTCTCCAATTCTCCACACATACTCTTCAGCCTCTCCCTTCCGCTTCTCCAAAGTGACTATTAACTAACCAAACCTCCTCCTTTTCCTTTTCACCACAGTATTGGGCTCCTATATAACAACCTCCCTAATCAGAAATGGCGCGACCAGGCTGAATCATGGGCAAGGATGGCCTTTCCAGATCTCTGGGCCGAACTTGAAAAGCTACCCTCAACCGTAGATGAGGATGGAGTTCGATCTTATGACCTTACCAATTGGGATGGAGAAGGACACTCTAGAGGCTTGGAGAACGATGATTGACGATGATTTTCCCTAGTCAGGAAGAGAGCGCAGCGGAGCTAGAAGATGACAAATGTTGCAAGACCAAGCGAAGGGCCTATGGACTTGTCGGTCGGCAGCTCCGATAAATATATCATTCCAACACGGATTGGTTGGCATGCAATGTGCATACTGCATATTTTGGTGTTTAATTTTGGTGTTTAATGTCAAAGTATTTGAAATCCATCCATTTCACTTGGAAATGGGGCGGGTTTCTTTTTGTCGCCTTGCTTTTGTATATTACCTAGATAGTTCTTTTAATGTACAGTAAAAACGAAGCTCCATTGCATAGCCTCACTGGGGCAAGCAAGCATACAAAATTCTCAACCCCCTGATAGTGGACGGGTTCTCGGCATGCCTTCAGCAGTCGGGTTATCTTGATGATAAATGTTTGCTAAGGGGGGAAGTAGATTTTGCTCTACATGTATACATATATACTATACTTCTTTGGAGCTCGTCAGTCAAGATCATTAAGGTGAGTATATCCAGTGTGCAGCACGGAGAAAGAGAGGGAGAGTCGGAGAGAGAGGGTCGGAGAAGGAGAGGGAGATAAAGAACACTCACTCACCCCGTTCTCAAAGACCTTTTTCCTCCCAACTCAAGGAAGACATTGTACCTCTACCACTAAAACTATCTAGATCTAATTTGTGGTAGAGTTGGCAAGTGCTAATAACGATATTCGGTTTGTAGATATAACTATCTCAGGCTGATGAGGAGATACATTTGAAGAAGAAAATGATGATAATGATGATCAAAGACACAGGCAACACACACAAATCCATTTCCCGTACGAACCTTTGCGCGCTCCGATGTAAATAGAATATACATTCATATGTTAAATGCGAGAAAAAAGAGACAAAGAAAAAGGGAAATGAACCAGGTAATCAGAGCACAATATTTGGTTGATTGAAGATTCTCGTAACAGTGGCTCCAATGAAAGAACTATAAAAGGAATTCAAATTAACTAAATCAGAAAAAGCACAAGGTTAGGAAGGCAAAACATGCCGCTTAAACAGCGAATACCAGATGATCCCATTGTAAAGAAGCAAACGAACACAGCATCATTATCGTCTCACGTCCAGAATCCAGATAGCCCTTCCCTCCTGTCCAGCATCAGGCACAGCCTACTCGCCAGCTACTTTCAGAGTATCATTCCTATTTCGCAGCCCCTACGCCTTCAGTCTTGGCCTTTGCATTTGCAGTCGCAGTCGCAGTCTTAGCAGCTTTCTTGGTGATGCCCGCTGCGGTAGAGGCCTTCGGTTGGCGCCCACGCTTGCTGGATGAGCTCGAGCCCTCCTTCATCGACTTATTCTGGCTAATACTGTCCTTGCCTGTCTTAGACTTCGCTGCGGCGTTGGTGCGGCGTTTCTTGATAACTGGGGAAGTGGATATGGTCTCGATTATGCGCGGGCGCGCATTGCCGGTTGCGCCGCGGGTAATTGCCATTGTAGTTTATTCTTATTTCTGTATATGCCTAGTGCTTTTAGGTCGAAGTTGAAGGCTGGGAAAAGAGAGAGAGAGGATTGTGGAGAGGGTTTTTGTTCGCGCTGAGAATGCGATTGCGTTGATGAGTCGACTTAGCGACTATCAGATCACCGCGATATTTATGTTGCTGTCCTGGTAATAATGGCGACGAATGGCAAACTAAAGAGCTTATCTGTTAATATCTTGTTCAAAACTCAAGTGCCCTGTTTGGGAGCCAAGTCGAAAATAATAATCATAATAAAAAGGAAGAGAATGCGTCAGCCATGGAAATTAAGTGCGCTCGTATATCCAAATTAGAGACAGCAGAGGATTGGGCAAGGATAAGTAAGAGTCACGAAATATACATAACATCTAAATCTTACCTTTGAGAATGAAATACTTTTCAAAGGCTTGCAAGCAATAACAAGTAGAACGTCTCTGGCAACGTTGCCAAAAGTTCGAATTTGTTGGAGGGGGATGCGACGCAATCAAAACAAGCACCCTTGACTACACAAAAGGAGAGGCGCGATTCTTACCTTGTCTGGATTTATGTGGAAGGAAGGATGTGGACCACCAGAAATTTGATATAGCAATAATTCAAATATTCGCGACCGTAGATCCTTAGAAACGGAAGCAAAGCAAGCAGGGACTTAGAGGATGCTAGAAGAGATGAAGCATGAAGGGTTGCGCTTGCGGAAGATTGAGCAGTTCTTTTCTTTTCTTTTCTTTTGCGGCGTTTCAGCAGCGGCTCAAGAGTTCTAGAAAGCCAACAACAGTCAAGAGGTCAACACTTATTCGGTGTCACAGTAACAAGCGAGAGGGGAAGGACCGCAGCTGGAAATTAAACAGCGGATGTCTTTTGATTTGATTTTTGATTTGTTTTTTTCCATCAACAACGCGGGTTTCAGGGGATTGAACAAGTGCATTCTGGCGCCAATACCTGGGCACTTTGCCAGGCTTAATGGGGTTTAATCAAGTCAAGCCTTCCCAGAATGCGCTGCTGATGGACAGCTGTAGTATTGCTAGTTAGTTAATGACTGAGAAAATGTGTAGACTTTTGGGCAGTGATCGTGCTTGTTTGCTCCAGAAATATAGCAATCCATCTAAGTGCACCGATTTCGACTGCTAGATCGAATTCGGGAGGTCCATTATTGTGTAGACTTATTTATCTGAATGAAGCCTGCCCCCAATGCCCAATGCCACCGATCCTTGACGGAATAGGTTGCCTTTGTTGAACTTGCCGGCTCAATAAGACTACCGATACCGCATCCCGCAATGAAATGACCTTCAAGTGGTACCAGGATTGATAATCGAAGCGGGATCTAGTTTTTGAGAAAACACCGATAATGAGCCCCTCACGAATTTGTGAACATTTCCGCTATGGGAAAATGTCATGAAGTTGGGATATGTGCGTCTCATCAAGCAGTGAAGAGTAACTACATCCAACATCTTATGGCATCTGTGGATGTCAGGAAATCGCAGGAGTGCAATGGGAGCGGGTTCATCACTCGGCATGTCTGTTCAGTCCCAACCTGATTTTTCAGGGGCGTTTGCGGCCTGTCCCAAAGCCACACGAAGCTGTCCCAGCCTCCAATCTCCTCTGAAATGTTTTTGAGTCGTCCAGTAAATGCGCCTGCGAACTATGCTGCATGGAGACGCCTGGAAACATTTGCACTATTTCAATCCAGGGACATAGCTATTTTCCAGTTTGGGACATTTCTCCATACAGGTTTAGGGCTTAAACCCTAACTCCCCTACACAGCTTTATATACTAGTTAGTAGCAAATTGCAAGAATGAGGGGAGAAACAAAAGCATGATTGATTTCAAGGTATTGTCTTTTATTATACGAGCATGCCAACATGATATTCCAATTACATAGCAGATTCAACAAATGCTGCTTTGTCCCCCGTTGTAATCTCTAAAATGAGCAATCCATCACGTGATTCCATATGGATCATTTTTGATCCAGTTTAGCACCGGCGGAGAATCCGCATTACATAAGCTCCTGCCGAAGGACACACAGAATCCCGTTCAAAAATATCTCCACCATCCAGACTGAGCCCTGTTGAACTTCCTCGACAACGCCCCGACGACGACACGACTCCGACCACGACAAGACCCACAATCGCCTCCATCCCTCCTCGATCTTCTTTTCAAGATGACCCACGAGTCTGTTTACTACAGTCGTCCCAGGACCTACGGCAAGGGAAGCCGCCAGTGGTAAGCATTATGTCATATATGCACTCTTTCGCTCCCGAGGGAACAGGGGCAGGAGATGGGGAATAAAAACTGGGGACGGACTTCATCGGAAGGATGGGCATCCATGATAAAAAGGGCTGTGTTATTTGAAGAGATTGTGTAGAAACAGAGGGGAATTGGGGGGTGGGGGTTCGCGGCGGCGAGAGACAAGCGGGAAACAAACCGACAAATATTGTTTTATGGGCAATGTTTTACTGATTTATCGCAATTTCTTCGATATGATATAGCCGCGTCTGCGCACACAAGGCCGGTCTCATCCGCAAGTATGGCCTGCTTGTCTGCCGTCAGGTAAGTGAAACTTAACCCTCGTTCCAGTCTGATGGTGGTCCTCGGTTTTCTCTTGATAGAGGGGAATTTAAGTTTGCTAACGCTTTCTTCTTTTGCGTGGCTTCTAGTGCTTCCGTGAGAAGGCCTCTGATATCGGCTTCATCAAGGTAATTATTACTCTGGATATATACGCACAGCCCACACAGCCTTGCTTGATAGCAATTGGCGATAAGATATCACATCCCTCAGGGGACCGGCGGGTTATTCCGGCAGAGTATATGGGACAGAGAAAGAGGGCGCGCAACCGAGGGGAAGCAGGATATAGGAACTAACCAAAATCGTTTGTCTAGTACCGGTGAACCCTTGCCTTCCCCGTCTTGGTAAATCGCACACATATCCTCCCCGCACCGCATATATCGACAACGAAAGAAAACTTCCGCCCACCTACGCTACGACCTGTCTGAACTTAGTCCAAACATACCCGAATACCTGTAATAGAAGAGTTCCATAATATTTTTGCCAGAAGGGAACGAGCGAATAACATAAACGAGGAGATAAATTTCAATAAATCGAACCGATTGACTTGATGTTGGCTAAGGTGGTGGGGATTTGATAATGAGGTAGCAAGGCTGAATATAATATGCGATTTGTTGAGAGTGTTCCTCCCTTTTTATCTCTTCCTCCATTTTCCGAAACCTCCCCTCTTCTTTTTATTCTCAAAATCTCTTTTTCCTTTGTAATGTGTTGTCGAGAATCCAAGCATGTGGTGTTTCCCTTTTATATGATGGATGGATGGTGTTTTGTGTGCTTGTTTTTTCTCGGTCTTAGAGCGCCCAAAATGAAAGGAATGAGAAAAAACTTTTGAAAGTCCAAGTCAATTCTACATATTCCGAAGACATATCAATCAGGCTTTCCACCCTTACACACCACAGTCCTCAGATTTCCACTTACGGACGCATTCGTGTCATATTCATACCATAGTCTAGGGTAATAGCGAAGTCCGCGCCCTAGAAAATGTAGAAAATACTAAATACAACAGGGCGGACGGGTGTACAAACATGAGGACTTTGTTCGTAGGTGGGAGAGCTATTTAGACCCGATAGATATTAAGCGGGATTAAATAAAAGGAAGTAAGAAAGAATCAGGTGGGTAGAAGTAGAAGTTCAAGATAAGAGAAAGATATATGGAGAAAGTGGAAAAGCCGGAACAAAAAGATATTCTAGAAAGGGGTGGATGATAAATTCCTGAAATTTTGTATAAATATAATAGTTTTTGTTTACAAAAAATAAATTCAAAACATAAAAAAGCGCCTATCAGTATCAAAAAAGGAACGGAAAGAGAAATGAAAAAGAAATTCGCCATTTGCCAACTGAACCTATATTGTCACTCAAGTCATCTCTTTCTTTTTGTCTAGGTGTTTTTTCTTCTTTTCTTTTGTTTTTTTTTGTCTTTCCTGCTTGGCTTTTTGGCCTTTTTATTGTAAGATAGATATCAGGACACAGTGAGTTATTATTAGTATTATTAGGAGACGTTTTGTTTGTCTTTTTTTTTTCATTCCCCATTATTTTCCCCATCCCTCTCCGGGTTAAATTTTTTTTTCTTTTAAAAAACAAATCCAAACTCCAGATAAGAGCTTCTTTATCTTATCTTTTACGTTTCGTTTTGTATAGCCTGGATATGATTGAATCATTTCTTCTGCTCTATGAGTTTTGCGGTTCTCTTGGACATGCTGTGTTTTTGGGGGGTGAGGTGGTTAGTTTTTGTGTGTGATGCAAAGAAGTGATTCGATTAAGTAAAATGGGAGAAAGAGAGAGGAACGGAAGGAAAGGTCATGGGAAATACGTACAAATCGAAGAAAGAAAACTGGCTCGGACTGCTGCCGTACTCGTAGACGAAGCGGCTGGCAAGGTAGCTGCCGAAGATGGAGCGGAGGTAGTTGGTAGGCACCTAATGGTTTTGGATGTTAGAATGGAATTTCGTCATGTTACGCATGTTGATTGATTGTATTGAGGGTTGCGTCGGGAGAACGGGGAAAATTAAAAAGAAGAAGAAACCACCCACCCTCTCCAAAATCGTCTCCAGCCCAATTTTCTCCAACAAAAGCTTCGGTAAAGCATCGCGCAACACATCCTCTCTCAAAATCTTATTCTCCCAAAGCTCCGTCTTCTGTAACTCCTCGTCGAGCTTTGTGATGGCAAGACTAAGTTTATCGCTAATCACACTCCGCGGCATCCCCGTCTCCGCATGCTCGCGCCAGATGGCTTCGAACTCCAAACGCGCGTTTCGCTGGATGGTCTCCTGGACCTCGCGCACGTACGCATTGTAGAAGGGCGGGATGGTCCCGTCTTCGCGCACGCACATGTTCTCCTCGAAGCCCTTGTCGTCGAAGGAGAGGGAGGCGAGGACCTCGAGCGAGGAGGAGGTGACGCCACCTTTGTTTACGGAGGCGTCTTTGAAGACGACGCAGCCGGCTTTCTCTAGGCGGATTTTGCTGTCCTGGGTCAGGAAAAGGTTGGCGCCCTCGACAATGTAGGGGATGGTGGCTTTGCCGTTTTCGATCAGCCGGCCAACGTTGCTGAGGTCGATGGATTCCGGCCGCCCACCACAAGGGACGAAGACGTCAAAGTTCCGCCCGCCACGGAGGTGGAAGGTATTGCGGAAGACGGTGCCGTTGTGGACGAGTTCGCCGTCCGGAAGGGTGACATTGGTGTCATCAACGAGAACGCGGTAACCTTCAGGGGATAGCTTGGATACATCATAGTGGACGATCATGGCGCGCTTCTTGGCTAGTCTGACGAGTTCGTCGCGGTCGAGACCCTGTGGGTCGACAATGACGCCAGACCCGTCGACGATGGCGCAGTATTTCTCGTTCCCGAGGAGGATTTCGTTGGAGCCCAGATCGCCGTCAGGGCCGCCGGTTTGCATTTTACGGACTGTGGATGGGTCGATGCCTGTCTTGCGGTAGATGCCAAGGACATACTGGCGGACAGATAAGGTGGTCATGCCATATCTGTCATGGGGGATACCGCCGAGCTTGGGGCTCTTGCCGGTAAAGAAGGACTTCCACCAGGGCGCACCGCGCTTTCGCGCATGGTGTGTTGCCCAATCGACTAACTCAGCAGTGTTCTCGTCGGGGCCCATGAAGAGAATCTCATCCTGTCCGTGGAGGTCGACTATTGGGTCTTTGATACCGGGGCTGACGGGCGGGAGGAGCAGGTCGAGGATACTGTCGACGTACTTTTCAAAGGCCACTCTCGCCTTGTTCTGATGGTTAACGTCGAGCAGGATAACGCCCTTAGCGCCACCTTCAGGGATATCCTTGTTCTTCCGCTGCTGGGTATTGGCGAGGTTGTAATTTTCATCAAACAGCGAACGGGCATTAATGGCATAGGCTTCCTTGTCACGACTTTTGACTATCCGGATACCACCACGGGCTATATCGCGGAAGCGGAGATGGAAGCCGCGGAACTCAGAGCTGATTATGAGGAACATTCCGTACAAGCGCTGGGGGTATTCGTGTTTGGGCAGGAAATCCGCGTTGAGACGGAAACTGAGGGCGACCTTGGTCGGGGTGTAGAAGTTAGTCTTGAGGACAGCGGCGTTGAAGATGCGGAATGAGTTCATGACCATCTCGTCATTCTCGCTGACGACGGTTTTAGAGACCAGCTCGTCGAGGCGGTCGTGGTCTAGGGGCTCATCAACCTGTAGACGCAAGTAGCTAAGCGTGGGGAGGAAGTCATCAGGAACCCCTTCGACCATCTGCACGTAATGTGTTTTGGCGAAATCAAGATACAGCTTGTGGATGAGTTGGGGGTATTTGTTAATAATCTCGAGGATATAATCTGAGGTGAAAGTTTCGGTACGAAGTCGCTTCTTAATCTTCGAAAGGAGCTCAGCATGCGAAGTGTTGCTAGAGTCGAGGAGAGCGGTTAGGGAGGTATATTCAGATCCCAGGCGGTTCAGGAACTGCTGCACGAAGACCCATACGCAATGGGCGTAGATAGTCTCTTGTAAGCTAAGACGGCCACTGGCAAAATGGCTCTGGAACTTGTTTTGAGGAATACAGTAGAGCAACGAGATCTCCTTCATGATCTGATGGATCGCAGCTTCGATGGGCGGGTGTTTGCCAGAGACTTCTGCGCCTTCCATGGGTTTCAGATAGAGCGAGACCACAGTGATACCATTGGAGAAGTTCTCCAGGTACTTGCGAGAGCTTGTAAGACGGTAGTAATGGTAGAGATCAGACAGGGCGCTGAACATGCCCATGGCGGAACCTTGGCGGTATGCGATGACGAGTCTCTTTTCGCGACTCCCTTCAATCTCGAACATTTCAATAACAGGGCCAGATCTAGCCACGGCATTGATAATGATCTCCTGGTAAATTGCCTTTGTGTTCGCGGTAGCCTTTTGCAAGAAGCGCTTCTCACCCACGATCTCAATATTGGTCTCCTCCGGGTCTGGATGAGGCTCGTTGAAGAGACATTTGTATACGAAGTAGCAACGTAGCTGCTGCTCATGGTTATCTGGAAGGGAGCTGGCAGAACGGAAAGTTTCAACACGATAGCTGTTCTTCGGAGTCGAGCCATTGATGTATTTCTCGTCGATGCGCTGCTCATAACGTGGCCCATCGATGGCACTTATCCCGGGCTTGCTTGTGTCGATGTAGACAGCATGGTCAGCAGCTTCCTTATCCAGCCTTATCTCCAGACGCTTATCATCGCGGGCATATGCGGCAACTTTCGCGGCGTAGAGGGAGAGGATATGGCTGACGATAGCATCGACGGTCTCGGTTTGGAAGTACATGTCGTCAATGCCAAGCATGTTGTAGAACCAGTTGGTTTCCGACGAGACGAATTCAAATGGGATGAATCCCTTCTCCTCGAGCTGGTCCATAACTATTCCAATTGGTTAGTCATGATCCCAGGCTAAATCTTTTTTTTTTTTTTTTTTTTTTAGTTTAAGAAGTGTGTAAAAAACTCACCAGCCTCCATCTGCTTCTTCTTCCCCTCAAACTTCGCCGCGACATACCCGGGGCCTTCCTCAGACAATACACGATGTGTGCCACCTGGAATGCCCAGATGCGTGGGCTGGGGCGATGGCTGACGGCCCGGAGTGCGGATGACCATATCCAACTGTTTATTGACGAGGGGATGTCTCTGGAAGCCGGTGGTGGGGGTTCCGGTGCCAGAGCCCTCCTTGGACGAGAGCGGAGTGGCAACGGGTCTGGAGAACATGCTGACGCCGTTGGAAGATGCGGATTTTGGTTTTTCGCTATCCGTGGTCACCGTTGCGGAGGAGAGATCGGGGTTTGGAATGGTGGTGGGGTTGATGGTTGCGGGTTGTGAAGACATGGTGGAAACAATTGTGGGGGATGGGGGGCTGGAGCTTTTTTGTTCTTTTTTGGGGGGAGGGGTTTCTGTTCTTTTGATCTCGATATATTTCTATAGAACAAACGGTATTTCAAGGAGAAGAAAACCGGGTGCAGCGATTAACATAGAGATGCAATGAGAGATTTGAAAAACCAGGGAACGCTGAGACACCACGATAGAGAATGGCTGGCGGGGCGCGATCGATTGCCCAAGAGTTGGAATGGAGGGGAATCCAAGCTGAAACGGTGATAATAGCTCCCAGATAAATTTAGAAGCAGGGATAGGTTCAAAGAGGACTGATTGGAGAATTGGCGGAAATCAGACGAGCAGGGAGAAGAAGCGGGGGACGAAGGGAAGTACGACTGCCATGAGACAGACAGACGAGAATTCTTTGCTATTGATTATTGACTTGATGGCATGGACATGGAGACGGAGATGGGGTCGATGGGATATATAGAAAGATCCATACGTGCATATATGCGCTGTAGAGTTATAGATATATATATCTATATATATATTTTTTAAATATGAATGGAGGATGGATCCTGGGGGAAGGAGAGCGAAAGAAAAAGCAAAAAAAACCTATGTATCATGTAATCTGTATGGTTATACCACGTTGCACGCCTTACAAGTCCACAAAACGGCTTACCCTTCCTCACCTGGGTACTCCGTACAGTAATCTGTATTCCGTACGTCGTACGCCATTTTCCCGACTGGTCTGCCCGGTCACCGTAATAAAATACCGATAAATATCGACGCATGTTACAGAGTCTCCATACAAGTGCAGATCCCAGTGGCCAACCCCAGGAAATGGTGTAAGATATACCGCTGCATACGTCGTGACAATACACACCCGTCACAGGCCAACCAGTCACAGCTCCACGGCCAATCACGGCGACCGTGGCTGGTGCAGTTGCTGGCGGAAAGCGTCGGTTGAAGCGGGGTTGGGTGGGGTTTTGGGGCGGGTGCGCGGCCAGGTCTTGCGCATCACGCGCGCGAAAAGTGAGGGAATTATTTTATTCCTGGCTCCGGAAAAAACGACTAATACGTGGTAACTGTCCGTTACGCGGTACTGGCGATACGGGGGGTCGAACAAAGGCCTGGCCAAACCTTTTTATGCTTAACATAAAAGCCAAACGGGAACGGCAAAGGTTGAAAAAACTCTGTTATTCATGCTCCCCGTCATAGTTATTTAGAATTGCAGGCGGTGGACGTGAGACGACGGTGTGCGTATGTGGGTGTTCATTCTCCCTGGCGATAGTTGGGCCAAGCTGCCGCAGTTACCTTATGCATTCATGGTCATGATCAACAATCCCAACAAAGCATCCCGCTTCTACCATCACCTTTCCTTTTCTCATCCTCAACAGTAATAATGACAGGATAGAACGGATGCGTAATCGCTCAATAATCACTGCGTAATACAAAGCCTCTGTAGGCCACGGGGTCAAAAAAAAAAAAAAAAAAAAAAAAAACACGGAGAAAAACCTCTGTGGCGGCGCAAACAGTGGTCAAACCCAGCTATGATACATGATACATGATACATGATACATGGCGGTGGGTCCCGCTCCACGTGATATTCCTGATTTCAAGGCTGGGGAACAAGGAGGAAAAACATACGCAGTCAAGGCAGGAAAGGCAGGAAAGTCTCCACCCGGCTGGCACCTTGCGTCTGATCCCTTGCAGATCGGCGGCATTAATAAGACAGTCTGGGCCCAGCGGAGGTTACCTGCGAGGTGATGCGCAACTCCCAGTCCTACTCCTCCATCCGTAGTCCTCGGAAGGAATAGCTGCGATCGCAATTGGCTGGGCTGTCTACAGATAAATCTTCACTTTCGTCCAAAGCGAAGTTCTCATAGTGAGCCGCCACTCGGGAAAAGTAAGGCCTCTTCTTTCTTTGTGGGGGGGGGGAATGGATACGTAAATCTATCTATCCATACTTTAACTTAACGCAGCAGTAGACGCTCGCCTTGTCGGGGAAAGATTGCGTTCATTGGCAACCAAACACAATTTGGATATGGAAAATTTTTATATTTCCTTGTCTCCCAGCTTCCCGAATTGGAATGGGATGATACGGTATTCTAAAAACATTGTTGTCGAACTCTGCTTTGCCCCTATGTTGGTGACGTCGTCTTACCGAGCAAGCGGCGGTAATCCTGGTTACATGGGCTTGTCAGGTACCGCGGCTGGATATCCAAAGAACAATACGGGGGGCGGGGAGGGGGGGGAGATGGAAGTCCCTGTAATCCTTTTGATCCTTGATGGTTGACTCTGAGAACTGGATAGCATTTGATTCGCTCCCAGTTCGACGGGCACTCATCAACGGTGTGCTAATTACTAGTACAATGAAAAATTTTCTTCCATCGCTCTGCATAGTGATAACCTCTTAAGATGCGAAGAGCACGCCATCATGATAACAATCCTCCTCATCCCTTTTTGTTTAGTGCAACTGCGAAGAAGTCTCTCATGTTAGCACCCACATCTCTCTCTCACCTCGAGATAGTATCATTGAACTTGTCAAAGAGAGTTGTTTTCTTCCTTTTGATAGCCCTCGCTGTCTTAAAACGCAACATTGCAGCGAAGCAACTCGTATCCGTAGAGAATAGAAATCCCTAGGTATGAATAAACATGGTGGTTATCGTTATCAGTTGGCTGGATAAAAAAAAACGTCTTGGATCACTATACGGGTTTGGTAAATGATATTCCGCACATAGCTCCAAGGCCCTTCCTCGCACATAGATATATCTCTGTCCAGTTTCTCGCACGGTATTGTTAAGAGGGTATTTAGGATCAAAAGACAACTGGCTCACATAAAGATCGTTATCGCCGCATGCAGCGCCAGAGGCAATATTTGTATCATATTCCACCACGCACCTGTGGAATTTTTATTCTCTTCCTGTTACTCCTTGATGTGATACGACACGGGAAAATAGAAAAGAAAGGAAAGAAAATAAGCCTGATTTCAGAATCCACGACAAGGCAACACGGAGGAGTTACTTGTAGAAACTGAAGTGTTTTGTTTTCGCTGCGGCTGCTTTGCTAAGTCCAAGACAACACAAGACAAACTCCTCGAAATGAAGGGAAGATAACGGGTCGGAATATAGTACCCATGGGTTGAAAGTTGGGTGCAGCAGCTGTCCAGTATGAACTTGCAAGAAGCTATCCGCGTTCTTTTATCTATATAATCTTTTGTTAAATGAATATCTGCAGGTTGGAAACCATTGCGATCCTATTTCATAAAAAGCTCGCTCACCTGCATGTCACAACGGCCAATATGGGCTTCTTGGGACCATTTGACTGTTGTTCTCCTTGTGTGTGTATAGCGTATGTAGAAATAGAAGTTGATTTTGGTGAATGGAGTGCGTCAGGAGTCGTATGTGACTAAAAACTCCGGAGTACGTCATAGGGCGATATAACGAACTGCTCCCGTAAGTTGACCTGAGAGTTAGCATATATTGAATCGAAAATTTTCCAATGCCAACACGTCTTTCTGCCGAGATAGAAACAGCAATGATCGTAAAAACTCATGTCTGTCTTCAAGAGCCATCTTTGAGACAACGATCAAGTAAAACCGACTCTTCACTCGCCAATGCGGGACGTTGGAACCCCGTAAAGGGCTCGACAAATATCTGAAATGTAACCCCCCACCAAGAAGAAGGGGGAAAAAAAAACCATAGCAAAGCCATTCATTTGGAGCCCCGTGGCCTCAGGCATGCAACCTCTGTTTCCCCTTGGGATACTCCTCGCCCATCTTCGGGTTAAAGTGGGTACCGATGCCAAACAACCCCTGCCGTAGTATGAACCCCACTGGCTTCCGTCCTCCACCTTTTTTTTTCGGCTCGAATGGACACCTGGGAGCGGGGGTCGGGAGGGTCGGTTAATTTTACATACAAAAGTGTAAATAAAACAACATACGGCTGGCTGGCTTACCCGAGGGGTGGTGGCGGATCGGCGCGGAAAGCTTGATTGCAAATGCACAGTCAATTTTATTTTAAATTTCGTTTATGCAAAAGTTAAGGAACAAGAAATTAATGAGACGACTATGAGCTTACCTTTGAACGATTTTAGAGAGAGGAGGGGGGAAGTTTATGATAAATGAGAATGAGAGGCGTTGAAGGCTTTCTTTTGTAAAGAACTGGATGAAAGAAGACCAAACATTTTCGCAGGAAATATATGTTTCTCTCGAAGACACAATGTCCTCCCAAAAAGCTAGCTTTGTTTCGGATATACTGCTGATATCAAAATTGCATTTCTGGCAATTCATCTTTTATCAGCAGTCCTCTTCTTTTTTTCTTTTTTTCCCTTTCATTTTCGGAGAAATTGATGGAGGAGAAAACAAAAAGCAAAATCCGTAAATTTTAGATAAAATACTCTTTGGTAGAATACTTGCTGTTCTTGTTTCGTTCTTCCTTCTGAGGTGACATTCAAGATGGGGAAATTTTTTATTTTCTCCGCGTTTTTTCCATTTTTCGTCCGTTTTCCATTCCCCACGAGAATGTTCCCCAAACCAAGGAAGAAACTAGGCTAGGGATCGCCAGGCTTGATGCGACAGCCCCTTTCCACTTTGAACTCGCAGAAGCTAGCTGTTAACTGCCCGTTCATGAGATAACTAGATGAGCGGTGAAATCTTATTCAACCTATCAACCGCAGGCCTCCCCCTGGGGAGAGACGGACAGGGAGAGTGAGAGCAGGCCGGGACCGTAGCCAAGTCTCTAGACAGATGCTAAGAGGGGAATGAGGAATCCTATGGAATAGAATTGTTAGGGCGAGATGGAGCTTTCGAGAGCTCTTTCCCCGAGCACAAGGGATGGGGAGTGAAGGGAAAATTTGTTGCCTGGTTGAGGTAAAACAACGACTGCAATCATGGCAAATGGTTTCGAGCTCTGGAGAGAGATTGATTTTGGCGCAACCAGCCAGAACGAAATGTTTGTTGCCTTGGAACTCCAGGGCTCAAGCGGCGTATGGCGGAGACATTCGCAGCGGACGGGGAGTTTGGGATTCCGCTGGCCCCAGGCCAGAGTAGTATCTGCAGCGGGAGCGGGAACGAAATGCTTCTTCGCTCCCTCCGGCGGAAGAGCAGTCCCCGGCTTCATTATGATCTAGCGGGAACCACCGCAGGGAACTCTCCGCTACCTCGTCGATAGCTTCAAGCCCTGTTTCGACAAGAATCCTGAGTCCATGTGAAACGGCAATGCTCGTATCAATTCTCACGGCTCTTCACATGAGTAAATATAATTCTTCCCGCTACACATACCCCCCTCACAACGAAGTGCGTCACCATTCCACAAGAAAAACCAAAAGGCGTCCTAGCAGTGTTTGGAATTAAGAGCCCGGAGATCCAACGCCTACTCCCCCCCCTCGATCCGTCTTGTGCAAATAAACTCTCGTGAAAACACTGCACCTCCGTATCCACACAAGCACAATCGAGCCAGATCCATGGATTATGTGGTTTATTGCATTTGAGTACCCGAAGTACTAGTATGCATCCATCCAACTAGTTAGATTCCGCTCACCGCCGCACAAAGTGGGGGTTTGATAATAAGAAATAGTCCCGAAACTGCAAACAGGCGAATTGCATAAGTAAATCACGCTTGAGATAATTACCAGTAAGTAGCGTTCACCTTACCTCGGCTGCAAGGATCATGGAAGCAAGTATTATTTTTCTTTTGAAGCTCAATTTCCGCAAGCCTTCTGGAAGGCCGCTTAGCGCGCGGTACTAGCAGGGTTCAGAGGTTAGCCGGCGGCTGTTTAAATCTGGTTAGCGGTTGTGGCGCAATCAATTCTCCTTTCTTTTCTTTTTTTTTGTTGAAAAAAATATTAATAATAAATAAATACCCATTCCCCGGACTTTTTAGCCTTTTTTTTTTTTTTTTTTCTGGGGATGGCCATTGGAAAGTTATTACATTTTTATGTGTTTTCTGTTTCTTTCTCCTTTTTGCTGATGGAGTGTCAGCCACTGGTATTTTATTATTCTCACGAAGGTTTCGTCCAGCAGGTTTGTTATCGTCCGAAGTTTCAAACAGTATCCGTAACAATGAGTCAATCACTTAGCAATCTGACAGGGGCAAGGACCGAGAGCTCTCCCAGTGGCTGTGATCCAATGGCTCTGATTGCACGGTTACTTCAGCAGTAAGCTCCTGCTTTCCGCTTTCCCCACAAAGCCACATGGGAAATAGTCGCAGCCGCGGATCTCGAAGTGAGATTTTCCTCCAAAAAAGGGAGGCCTCCTGAGATTCTGGTGAGATTTTGCGGTGGGCCTTGGGTTTCAGCGCTATGGACTAGTTTGTTTGAGAACATGCTCCCTCAGTTCAACCTCTTCCGTCGTGAAGTTCCTGCTGCTGGGGTTACATACGGAGTACGTAGTATAGGGGAGGAAACGTAAAATGATGCCGCTCGATGCTCAGGCCCTGTATTTAACTCTTGGACTTTTGGCTACTAAATCGAATCCAGTCAATGGATCTGTCAATGGAGTTTTGACTTGCCAATAGGTGGCTATTTATCATCTGAACCATAACTTCGGGATTTCGATAAATCTACACTCAGTTCCGGAAACGGGGGGATCCGCCTGGCGATGAGTTGACAGTTGGTTAGCCCATTCGGTCCCGCTGTTCCCCGGCCCAATAAAGGAGAATGAACTTGCAGAACGTGGGGCCAAAAAAAGCTATTGGGAACGGGATATGGGGAAGCCGGGGAAGCCGCGGAAACCTCCCACAAAAACTAGTCAATCGTGGAAAAAGTGACACATTATGAAAAGCAAAGGGAAAAAAAAAAAAAAAAAAGGAAATATGACACGTTGAGAAGGGAACGAGGTAGCCTGAGCCCAAAGACCCAGTGAAAAAAATGGACGATCAATGCCCAACGAACCAACGACGGAACGGAGAGGCAACGAACTGACGACAGCACAACGCTGATTGAACATGATGACCGGTGTTTGATGGTGGGTTCTCCTATTGATGAGCTGGCACCAGGGGCCCGGGTCGCTGGGTCCTGTGCAAACAAACGCTGTTAGCCTCTGACCCACCTTCCACACAACCGAGCCCAAGCCATCGCACAGTTTATGATTAGTCGTGAGGCTGGACCGGGGTATCAATCACCCTTTGACCCAAGCAACAAAACCTTGTTACCCTGGAGAAGCCTGGAAAGAAGCCTGGAATCGTGAAAGGCAGCCTGAGAACTTGGAAGGACCGCCGATGGCCGCGTGTTCATTTTTGGCTCCTTTCTTTCCCCGGATATCTGAGATACTCGCGATCCGCCAATGGCCGAATGATATCAAAATAATAATGCGCGGAGGGATGGATGCATGCATGCCTGCAGAGCTCCAACCTGCAGCAGGAGTCGAACAAAAATACCATACCATAACTATCTGATCTGTATTATTATTAAAGGAACTCCGTCTTCGGGAGGGAGACACATCAGAGCCTGTTGGGCTGCAACTGCGACGGCAACAGAACACCCCAAGCCCAAGCACTGGCTAACGAAAGCACTTCTCGATCATGTTAACGAAAGCAGAGCTACTACAGATCTGTACATAGCAAATAAAAAAAAATAGCCTTGGAAACGCTTCCCAGCGGAGGGAACGGAAGTTCGGAATCTGTGGGCAGTGGATATCATGACTGGACAAGGAGGAGCCAGGAATAATAATCAGGACCCAGAGAGGTTGTTATTATCCGTGAACGTAATGGGTTACAGGATTCAACTGAACAAGGTGGGAGCGAAATGCCTGGCCCTGGAAAGTTGGAACACAGTCACAGTTCCAGCCTGAGTCTTGAGTCTGACGGGCAGAGACACATCCATCCTCCATCATGTCATTATTGGTTTTGCATCGGATACCTGTAACGGGCCTCGACCTCCCCGATGCAGGTTAGGTAGTTCTACGGAGCAGTTGTTTTAAGCCAGTTACACGAATACAACTCCGTTCACTAGCGAAGTGACCTCAGGAAGGGCTTACCCCGGTTTTTATCTTTTATTTTATTTTTTTTATTCCTCGTTGGGTATTGCTCTTTTTTTGCTTTTTCTTTCGGTCTGGGCTGCGTCGTTGGGCGATCACCCTTCAGGTTCCCAGCCGTCCATGTACCGGCATATTTAAATATGGAGCGGGTTGGCCGCCCTGTCCTGGCACTCTTTTCTGCTGACTCTTTTTTCTTTCTTTCTGGTTTTCCATTCTTCCTTCCTTTCCAGCCTCTTCTTTCTCCATTAAATCAAAGTGCTACAGTCGTTTTAAGCTCTACCACCTGCATATAAAAAAAAAACTGGACGCTCGCTTCGTTTTCTGGACTCAGAACCTACCCTACCTACATACCTACCGAGAATATACTACACGTCGTCCTCTTCACCTAATCGATAATAATACAGTAAGAACCCAATCCAGATACCCTCAAGCCGAGAAGAAAAAGTAAGTAGAAGATCTCTGTTCTGTTGTTCTCACTTTCGTATTCGGTTTCTTCGGACGATATACATCTGCGAGCCTCGGCTCTCGTGCCGCCTGGGAGCTCAACACATGGGGAAAAGTGAACACGGCCAATTTTGCTCGCCATCCACGTCGGCAGTAGAGTAGCAATTATTAATATCAATCAAAAGAGTTCTCGTGTGGCGAGGACGAAAATGCAGAGAACTCAAAATATCATGTGCAAAAGCCGCAAGCGGGGGAAATATATATACATATAACGTTGGTTCATCCATTTCATTTGCTAACGGGCCCATCAGCACAGAAGAAAAAGATTACACAGTAGCCATTTCTCCAACCTTCAAGCAAACGAACACAACGTTAAACGAGAAGGACTCGAACCTTTCAAACAGATCCGAGAGGCGGAACAAAAGAGAAGACCAAATCCTTCCAGAATCCCCGAAGGATCCATACACATAGCTCGATTTCTCTCCGCAAACCATCCAATCACCAAGGAATAAGGGAAGGGGAAAATAACCATAAAACAAGAAAAATGCCTGCCACTATGCCCCAAAGCTATCACCACCAACACATCCTGGCCCCAATGCCCTCCTCAAAGTCCTCAGGAAACGGCAGCAACGGGCCGACCGGCACGGGCACCACGGGCACCACTGCCAGCACAACCAGCAACACCAACGGCGCCAGCGGCATAAACAGCAAGTCCTTCTCGACATCAACCTTCACCCAGGAGATCTCCCGCGCCATGCAGGCCTCTTCCTCGCAGCAGCCCAAGTACGCCGCGTATCCGCGCGTCATGGAGGATAGGTTCGAGCATCCACCTCCGCCGCCGCCCTCGCCGGTGGGCTGGTCGAGGTCTTAAGGAGCTGAATTTCTGAAGTATCTGTTTGTGTGAATGCTTCACGGAGCATGGGACGTCGCTGATGTCGTCGCTCGTGGCTCTGTTCCTTTTTTTGCTTTTTCCTTTCTTCTGTCTGACCCTTCGCTTTCGATATCCCCCCGTTCTTATTAATCTCTTAATTCTTTCTTTCCTTTTTCATTTCCTGTCTTCAGTCGCTTTGGTTCTTTGTTTGAACCGCCTCTTTTTTTCTTTTGCCGGTCATATCAAATTGGGGTTCAGGCGTATGCAATTTCCTCCCTTTTTTTTTTTTTTTTTGGTTTTCCTTGCAGGGTACATCATATGCACATAGATTGGTAAATATATAGATAGGACCGGGCCTTCGTTTTCTTTTCTTTTCTTTTCTTTTGTTTATTTTCTCTGGGCGTCAGTCCCTGGGCGTATTTTGCTTTTAGGATTGACATTCACTTTTATTTATTGTACCCTCCCTCCCTCGCTTTCCCCTCTCTTTCCCCTCTCTTTACTTTCCTTTTTACCTCTGTCTCCCATTTCCATTCTTTTGATCCAATTTTGTGCAGTTCGTCCGCAGCGAAATGGGCATGGTCCCGGCGGAGGAATGTTTCAACGTTGGCCTCAACTCACCACTCTGATATGAGTTGCATATCCGAACCAATGCCCATGTCCTATAGCTAGCTTCATACATTATACCACCGTTAATCGAAAACCCCCTTTTACTGAATAGGACGCGAAAATGTCCCCGCCAACATGGGTCACCCCCTATTTAGGTTATGTCGTTTTGAGTATGTGGTAATTTGAGATTCCCCATGATTTCCGCTGCGCTGAATAGATCCTTGGCATCGGCACAAAGGATTCGGCATTTGGAATTTCCCTTGTCGGGTATATATATATACACATGGGCCGCGGGATGCCGCGCATGTGTTTGTAGTTCCGTTGACATAGGTGGAATGTACTGTACCTGTTCTCTACGGATGCATGGATACATGTACAGTACATCACTGGGAAAATATTTAACCATCGCACGGATCGCATGGCCCCGGCCCTTGCGAAATGATTCCGGGTGATCTGACGCTGCAGCGCAAAACCCGTCGCACGAGGCCCAGTCACAGAGTCTCAGCCACGTTTCGCAATAGCTACCCCTCCGGCAAATTGTCGGAAAGAAAATACCCCATATCATAAATAATGAACTGTACGTAACAAATTCACTTCTCCCCCACAACCTCCCCCCAAAAATCCCGCAGGTTCCCGTAAACCCATCACTGGATGTAAGGGGCCGCTCACCCGCATCGACCCCTACCACCGGCTTTTGAAGGTACAGCGTTCTCTAGTTGTCGCGGCGCATGTACCTCCGCCGCCGCCGCCTCACTCCCATCACCTCCATGAAGCCCTGCCATTGCGTAGACGTAGCTGACTCCAGCATCTACTCCTGCTCCTGCGTCTGCCCTGCTCCAGCTGGCTCCTCCGCACGCGCATAAATATCCTCCAGCTCTCTCAACGCATTCACATCACCCTGCAGCACACGCCGGTTAAGCATTTCCAGCTCCGCCATCTGCTCCCCCGTGCGCGCCCAACCACGCAACCTGGCTTCGAAGTTCTGGTTGCGCTTTTGGGAGAAGGTGGTGCGCACGATGTCTGACTCGCCCTTGGCGCGTTTGGCATTCATGAGGCGCTCGAGGAAAAGGGCTTGGTTTGTGGATGGGACACGGGGGAGTGCTGCTGCTGCTGCTGGGGTAGTTGACACTTCGTCATTGTCAGGTATTGGCGCAGATGTGGGGATAGAATTATTATTATTATTATTACTACCGGCCTTCGGTATCTCAGAGGAGCCGGTAATCAAGTTCACCTTGTGACCTAGGATCTTAACACGATTGGCGGAAATAAGATCGTAGTCTCGATGCTGTCGGAGGCGGGGAAGTGTGGAGCGTTCTTCAGGCATTGAGAAGGTCATCTCTGTTCCGACAAGGTCAACCCATGAGCAAGAAAAGACCTGGTTTCGGTAGGAGATGATGGGATTCTCGGAATGCAAATCCATGATTTGGACTTGATCTTGGTCTTGGTCTTGGTCTTGGTCTTGGGTGTCCGGATCAGTGTCTGCGTTGGTATTGTCCTGTTGCTGATCGTCACCGGCATTTAGAGATGTCGCATGCGGGGAGTCTAATGATGTGGTGGGAGCAGTGGGTGTAGATGCAACGCGCTTGCGTGGAACTCGAATGGGACCATTGCATGTTGTCAGGTCGAGGTTCAGGTAGAATGTCTAGATATCGCAAAGAGCATTAGCAGTAGTCCGTTTCCAAATAGTCGGACGGAAGCATAGCCAGCTCAGACGCTTCTTCCAGACAGGGATGTTATAGTTAAGGTTTGCACGCACCTCTTGCGAGTTATCGTCATATTCATATTCATATCCAGAGTCAGAATCATCTGATGCGACCATCGTAGTAGATGTATGGTGGGGAGAGGGTATAGACCCGGGAGCGCGATTCATTGCGCCGGAGGCAGGGCAATGGCTGGATAAGACAGATAAAGATGTCAGTATCAAAGCTTAAACCATTTAGACAGTAATGTCTCTTGTAATTGATGCTCTGCCACTACTTGCTCTTGAGGGGTTAGGTCTGGGACGGCTTCATATGAAGCTCATTCACGAGGAATGGAGAGCTTGAGATCTCAGGAAGAGGGTACTCCGCAGCGGGAATTTTGAGCTCAAGGGTCAGTCATCCATTCATCCATAATCGCAATACCCAGTTGCGGGAAGCTATCCTAAAACATGGCTTGGAAAATTGGCCCCTGAAAGATGGATTCAAGGGAGCAAAGATACATAGACGTGATAGCAACGCTGTTGATGTTGTCATTGTTCGAAGGTCAAGGATCAATCGATGACATAAGCGGGCAGCGATGAGGTCATCGGCTGGACAGGGACAAGGGGAGAAGCTAAAAAAATGAATGAATGAGACGATGAAATATCAAAATGGAGGAAGATTATTAGGATAAGATATATATATCTTTGAAAGCTGAATAAGTAGACGTCATCTGCTCTGCGCGATACTGTATGTCGCCACAGAGTTCTAAACATAATACTAGTATTGCTCACGCGCCTACTGAGGGAATCCAGGCGCCTCTCACTGACTGATCAGTATTTACTCCAAAACACACTGATGGCGATACGCGATAGGATGAAACAGCCTTCTGCGTTAAGATAACGAATAGAATACTCCGCCGGCTCGTTTTGGAGAACCACGCTGGGATCCAGATCGACAACTGCCAACTGCAGCTACAAAGGCTGAAACTAACGCGCATCATCCATTTTCCAACATTCAACTTCTGATATCTCCCACATATACCGAGCAGCGCTCCAAGCAAATATCCACAATGTGATCAATCAATCGCCCTTCATTTCTCACGCCTAGCTCGCCGCTCTGATGCTGGTCATCCGTTGCTAGTGGGTGACGAGACTCGGACCATCGATAACTCATCTAACTCTAGCAGTTCTTTGAGGTTATTAGGAAGGTTCCCGTCGTGCCTGAGTGCGCCCATACTAGCCGTGACGCTTTGCTGCAGAGATAACTCCAAGCTCTCCAAACTAAGAATAAATAGAGTTTTGCCTTTTCTCTCTTCTTTTTTTGGTACAGCTGGAACCTGCCTGTATGAGGGGCAATCACAAGCTGCTGCAATCCCAACATCAGCGCTCTCTCCACCAAGTCTTCACACGATACTGGGTTAAGAGTAAGTGTTTCTTTTATAATGAGAATACTACAAGTCTCCCCCTTACTTGCTTGCTCATTTTATACCCTTCGCTCTACAAATTTGCAATTTATGGTTTAAACGTTGGTCTTCCCTCCCTCTCCGTCCACCAAGTGGCCGTGACACTTTTTGACGAACTTGTGACTTGGCAGGGGGGTTAAAACTTTTGTTGATGTTTCCCTTTTTCCTCCGTTGATATATTTTTGTGTGCAATACGATCTTTTTATAGATCCCAAAGTGAGGGCTGTGGTGGACCTGATGATATCCATGCGCCACGTCCAGAACCAAGGTTCCAGGGAACCTGTCCTTTTTCATACTCTGCCGCCTCTCCACGAAGCAGCTTTCTCCAGCACTCTGTCTCTATTCCCCTTGCCCTTCCGAAATCAAGCCCGAACGTGACATACGCTTACGCTGTAAACAGTGGCGATGCGGCATATGCTTGTTAATGGCGGGCAGCTACCGCTCCTTCCCCCGGCCCTGCCTACCCAGCCAGTACATCTACATCCCGTAATTGCGCATCATCCCGTTCTCACTCCAACACCCCTTGTTCCACATATCAACGCACCAGATGAACTACGAGTTCCATCTCCAGACGACGACGACGAAGAAGAAGAAGACGGAAACCAGACAATTGTTGTCCCAAATCTTCCTGAGCCTGAAATCCCCAAACCGGGAGCGAATAATAAACATCCGGCAGACGTACCGCGCGGCGGTCTCCCGCTTCCCGAATCTGCGTTGATCCCTCAACTTTCTACCAACCCCTGGACGCAATCGGATCCTTCTATCTACCAGCAAATGAGGACAAAATCTCGGGCAGCGATCACCATTCTCTCAGCTTTAATCGCTTATGTCTCTATAAACAGCCTGGCTAGGGCTCTTAACCCTTCTGCTTTCATCTGGTATGAAGAGGATAGGGAAGAAAGTGACTGGGTTTCGACTTCACATTCCTGGTGGGATCGTAAAGCATGCCGATGGCTTAGTCTGTGTGGAGCTACTCACTTTCGACTAAGGGGTCGTTTTGGACCTCGCAATCCTATACAGGATGGTGATGACGGAGAGCAGGAGGAGTGGGAGTCCTATTGGAAGAACGGAAATAAAACCCGCCCTGAAGATTGGACCAACGATGAACGCCGTTTGCGCACGATCCCCGATTATGTCCTGGAATATGCACCCCTAGTCCACCTTTTCTCTGAAGAGCAGTTTTGGCCCAGTGATATTGCGAAGCATCTTTACCACATCACACCAGAATTGAATTACACTCCTATTCAGGCTCAAGCGGAGCATCCCACCCTCGCTAACCTCAGTGAGTTTAACAAGTATCAGGGTGGAAAATATGTATTCTTGACCAGTAAGGACAATGTGGAGGATCGACCATCTTGGCTGGGGTCGGAGGATAACATCCCAAAGCCTGATGATACAGAGGACGAATTGGAGTGGCAGAGTGGAATTTATGAGGTGCAAGAAGATGTGCCGCTCGAGGAAATGGGGGACTGGTATGATGCAAGGAATGGCAGTCCTCAAATGGAAGGAGGTGACGAAACGCACCACGGTTCGCTTTCGCAGGCTCCTCTGGCGGAGGGCGTTGACAGATACGATTTTATGGATGATGGAGCAACCCCACGGCCAGATAAAGGAGGTATACGTGACGGTGTGAATGACAAGCCTGGCCGTAGCAAGGCACCAGCTGTTTTGATCGTCGTGGATAAAGGCCATGGCATTGTGGATGCGTTTTGGTTCTACTTTTACAGCTTTAATCTCGGCAATAAGGTTCTTAACATCCGTTTCGGGAATCACGTTGGCGATTGGGAACATTCACTTGTTCGGTTCCACAACGGTACTCCAAAAGCTATCTATTTTAGCGAGCATTCGTTCGGGGAGGCTTTTAGCTATGATGCTGTAGAGAAAATGGGAAAAAGGGTAAGCTCCTCTTCCAAATCTGATATAATTATGTCATTTTGAGCTATTCCAACTGACTCACAGTCCTAGCCTGTTATATATTCAGCCTCTGGGACACACGCCATGTACGCTACACCAGGCACCCACGCCTACATTCTCCCCTGGGGATTGCTGCATGACCGAACTGACCGCGGCCCACTTTGGGATCCCGCCCGCAATTACCACGGCTACACATACGATCATAATAACGACGTCTTACGTGCCTCAACCGTCAACCCCCAGTCGCCAACCGCATGGTTCTACTTTGCCGGCCACTGGGGCGATAAGTTTTATCCCCTGGGTGACCGGAGACAGTATAGGTTCGTCGGGCAATACCACTATGTGAACGGCCCATATGGCCCGAGATTTAAGGAGCTCGGCCGTGATAAGATATGCGGAGGTGCTACGACTGATCCATGTGTGATTAAGAATTGGATTGGAGGTGGTGTGAGATCGAAAAGGTGGGTAGATGTTGGGGAAGGGGAGGAACTTAGAGACGAGGATATAGAGAAGGTTTTAGAGAGGAATGGCGCGACGCCGTTGTGAAATGGAGTTTATTTCTTTCTTTCCTCTTTTTGTTTTTCAGTAAGATTAAAATGGATAGACAGGAGGGTTGGCTGGGTGCGGCGTTTGTGGGGGAACATGGGACTCTTTAATGGGGAGTTTTTAATGATTGTTATATTCTGAGCTATGATTGCTGTGGGTTTCTTGTCTCTGTTTATTGCAATTTCCCCTGGAGGAAGAGGATGAATGAGGAGGCGTCTCTTGGGACATATGCTTTTTTCTCTTCTTTTCTCTGCTTTTCTTCTCTTCTTCTTTTACGAGTTCTATCTTATTATACCCCTGATTATTTCATTTTTATCCCGGGCGTTTTTTCCAGTATTGGTTAACATGCCACCAGCTTGTATACATACAATACAACATATAGACATACATGATCAGGGCGTTAGACGGTGGGATAGAATAAGATAGAATGGTAAATTGGAATCGGTAGCATGGTTGTTGTTATTGTAGTTCTAATTGTTGATTCTCTTGGCATTGTCCCTTGTTTCTCCTGTCAATGCTCCTGTCCGTTCCTTTCTGTTTCAATAGTAGAAAAGCTTCTGGGAAGAAAGCTATGTATATATATATATATGGTATGTACAGTACATGTAAAAGATATATGAAATTGGAAAAAAAGGAAAAAAAAGTTCATTCAAAAAAAAAAAAAAAAAAAAAAAAATAAGAAAAAAAAGAGGCGGCTGTTGTTCAACAAGGAAGAAAACGCATGAAAAAAAACAAAAAACTATGTTAAGCTAGGTGGTGGAGCTGGTTCCTAGATACTTTAGAATTGAATGGTTCAAGAAAGGAAAGAAGAAAAGAGAGCGGCAAACAAATTGGATGTTAAGAGAGAAAAATATGGTTGGAATTGAACGTGTGAAAAAAATCGCAGAAACTCCCAGTCTCCTCCACCTGATTGATTACTGTCATAATCCACCCATACAAATCAATGAAAAAAAGGGAAACCGAATTTGAATTCGGGAGAACCCCAGGTCTGTCCTGCGCGCGCCCGAGCTTTGGATAAGATAAGATAAATAACACGCCAGAGAAATACCTACAAGAAAGAAAAAGCAAAAAAAAGAGGAGAGAAGAATAGAATTATCGAGGGCAAAGAGGAAAACAAATGGATAAAAGCATTGCGCAGGCTTGATATGGAGATGAAGGGAAAAGACATAAGAGAGACATTAGAAAGTAAAAAGGGAAGGAAGAGAAGAGCAAGAGATAAGGGATATAAATAATAAAACGCCAGCCGTAACCTCGCCTCACCAAACCTGGTACGATAAGAGAAACGATCCGAGAATAACAGAGAAAAGCGAAACAAAAGGTGATATAGACAAGAGATAAAATGAGGAATAGTGAAAATAATAAACATGAAAAACTATGGGAATGTGATGGTGAGAGTCGGTATGAATGGGATGGTGAAAGTAAAAAGACTAAAGTAACACCATGAGATAAAAAAAAAAGGTTATGAAAACGGCGGGAGGGAAAAATACAGTGGCCGGACTGTTTTTGACCCCCGATTTCGGATTGCCTGAGTGCAAACACAGGGGCTTGGGCAAGGAGAATGAAAGTAATCTGAAGGAATGACTCCTGTGGTACCTATAAGGTTCCACTCCGGTCAGGGTGTAAATCGGAGAATATAATATCGGGATCCCAATTCTGACATATGGTTGTGTCTGAGCTGGGTAAATGGATTCCAAGAGAAACGAAAGGCTGGGTGACAAGAGAAATGTACTCCGCTAGGTAGCGAAAACACGCTGTGAGAAGCGAAAAGTTATGGGAAGACTGGAAGGGCACGACTGTAGTTGGTTCGAGCCGAACATTGAGAGAATAAAGGAAAAAGAGATTTAATTCATCAAGTCAGTCCCGTTCAGTCACGTCCTTGAAGGCCTCTTCCTCAACCCAAAGTCCTGCTCCTGCATCTCCCTGATCAACCGCAAAGTGTCGGGGTCAGCGTCCGGATCTGAGAAGCTGCCACGGTCACGACCCGTCAGTTTGCTGCGGCGATGCGGAGAGGTCGGCGAGGTGTGTCTGTTGTTGTTGCTGCTGTTGGGTTGAGGAGGGGGATGGCTTCCTTCAAGGCGTTTCTTGTCAACAACGGGATTGTGCTGCTTGGTTTCCATTTCGTGTTTTAAAGAAGAGGTTGAGGAAGGAAACGGGTGCACGTTTGTGCGGTGATACGAAGAGGATGGGCGGGGGGAGGGAGAGGAAAGAGAAGATGATGATGGCTTTTTTAGAATGGAAGTAGAGGCAGATGGAGATGAGATAGCTACTGACAAGTCTGAAGGTGCTGTTACGGTCGCGGGTGGAGCGCGTGTTGCCGTCGTCATCTTGCGACTGCCCACTTCTGCTGCGGGAACAGTGGCTTCAGGAGCATGGCGCTGGTGACGGGAAGCGTTTCGGCATAAAGTGGTGAGAGCATCACTGACGACAGACCGTCCACCATAGTGTTCTTGCTGTTGTTGCTCGTTCTTCACGGCAGGCTTCGCTTCGCCATCGGTCTGATTAGGGTCGACTTCCATATCGTCTGCGAGTGAGGTAGGAGGAGAGACAAGGCTGCTTGCTGGGCCCGTGGTTGCTGATAAGGACGCAGTAACTTCTGATGCTGTCACGAGATCAGCTTTCAATGTGGGTGGTGAGGCATATGATGTTTGATTCGTGGCAAGTTCGCTGTGTGTCGGAATTCCAGCATTCTCACTGGAGACCAGCTTCTCATTTTGCCCATTCATACGACCCTGCAATTGAACAGTCTCAAAGTTCAACTTGGTCTGAGGAAGTTCCTCTTCAGAATACTCAGATTCTGGCCTTTGACGCTTGCTTAACGTGGGGGATATATTGCCATCGCTGGATCGAGGACGTTTAGTGGAACTTGTCGCTCGGGGCTTTGACCGCTCTTGCGCTTTGACGGGATCTATCCGGCCATTTTCATCATGGATGCAACGACGCTGAGCGCAAAAATGGTTAGAACATGTTAAAACCTTTGGATGGAGAAGATATAGAATAGAGAAAAACTAACCTTGCTCTTCCGACACTCGTCACAAGCCTTGCTACGGCCCTTCTTTCCAGGATTGGAGGAATTCGGAATAAACCCTTTCATCTTGCCTGAGTTGGCTTGGTGGGTCATAAAGAGTGCTGAAGAATCATCTACGGAGCTAGGCAACATCGCATCCCGCTTCCCAGAGCGGTGTTCTTCAATCCCATCCATATATGTAGCTGAGGCAAGGTTCAAGGACCCAGCAGTTGCCATATCCCTGCCATTGAGGTGTTGTTGCTTGACTGCCATGGATGTTACAGTATCTAGGCCTTGCTCATCTTTATGTCGACAACGGATCCGTCGTTTTCGACAAGCATCACACGCAACGCGTTTTGGACCCAGGCCAGTCGACTTGGACATCAAACGCGGCTTAGTTGCATGGGTAATTTCGGATTTCATATCAACAAGAGAGGCCTTTCGTTTCGGCGGGGCTGGTGTTCCGCTTGTGGAGGGTGCATTCGTAGAAGCAAGACTGGTACTGGAAGTACCACTCGTATTAAATTCGGATAACTGATAGGAGGGACGGCGACCGGTTCTCAATTCAAGGTTGTTATTGAGCTGTGGGCTTTCAGCAACGATATTCCGCTGGGAGCGTCGACTAGGTCTACCAGCTGGTTTCCTACCAGACATGTCAACCTTAGTATCAAGAGATATGGCACCCGGGCATGTCCAGCTTGCGGCATGCTCATTGCCGCGTTTCCAAGCTACCCACACCCCGAATTTTATGACAGTGTTAACGGGATCTGTTGGTCCTTTAGGAATGGATTTTTTCACAGCGTTCCTAGTTTCTGTCGTGACCCCATCAACTTGGTATCCACCGGCAATCAAAGCAGTCCTCAGGAGATATTTTGCTAGTTCAGGCAGGCCATCCAGTTCTGCTTGGGAGTAGAAGCGTGCATTGTAATACAGTGACCCAGGTTCGGCACCATTGCCATTTTCTCCGAATTCATAGTAAATCGGATATTCGCGGTAGAAGCGGTAGTTTTCGTCACGCGAGAATGACTCCAAAACTGTCTGTGGAATGGGATCGTCCTCCAAGTACTTGATGGCAGCATACCACATGATTTTCTGAAAATATGGGTAACGGAATTTCTTGGGGACCTTTGTGTCCTTCTCGATTTTAGCAACTTTAATTTGCATTCCATAGTTCATCATTGTGAGGAAGTTTCCGCCAATGACAAGGCTATCTTCCGGTGTCCAGACGGCATGGATCCATCCAGATGGAATAAGCATGGTGTCACCGGCTGAAAGGTCAACTCGATAGCATTCCTTGGTCTGATTTCCGAGAAAAGTAGTGTCCTGCGCAGCCGAGTTACACCATTCCTCATATTTCTTCAGGTATTTGTCCTTGGGCGGAATGAAAAAGAAAGTTTTCCTTCCCTTCAAAATATGGTAGTAGACAGAAGAGCCACCAAAATCAATGTGAAAGTCGGTATAGCAATCTGCAACAGACATTAAGACGTAGAATTGGACTTTTGGAAATTCTCCTATGGCTTGCAATTCGGCAGGCCACACGTGGTCTTGGAGATCAAGGTCGCGGACAATTTTGGGTCGTCGAATGAGCCTTCCTAGAGGACTGTTGGAAACCTCGAGGCTGATTACGTTGCGAACAGTTTTTGACGCAGAATCGTCGTAGTAATAATCTGCCCAGCGTTGCATGTTCCATCTCTTGTCTTCCCCCTGCTGTGATTTGACATCTATCACCTCGACTCGCTCTTCAGGTCCATAAAGCTCAGCTACATGTCGAACAGTAAGACCTTGCGGGATGACCATGTCCAACAAATCCTGACCGCAATCGAGAACTTCGTTGAAGTCAACATCATCATCGGGCATGTTGTCAGCGAGTTCATCAAATTCCTCCTGTGTGGAGGCTTCGGGTGCATAATAATCGGCTGAGCCAGGGACAGAGGAGCGTGTGTTGAGAGATGCGGGAATGATTACGGGTTCAGTCATTCCTATACCTCGCTCAAAGTATTCAGCAGTGACCAACTCCGGACGTATCCGAGCAAAGTGGTCTGGCAAAAAAGTGATCTTCCCTTCTTTGATTGGCTGGATGTAATGATGCTCTGGTGTTTCGGTGGATGACATGACGAACCCCTGATTTAGGCTCGCATAGTCGATAGCTGTTCGTGCGCGGGAGGACTTGCGTACGAAAGTAGTCGGTCCATGTCTAGGTCGACACCCACGGCAGATAAATTTGTCAACTATCCTGGTGTCGCGGTCACTTTTGAATCCCGCACACACGATATGAAACCACCTCATACATCCATCACAATTTATCCAAGTCACGGCCTCCTCGTCTTCACTGTCAGACGCGATTCGATCGAGGTTACAAGCTGCGCAGGTTGCCTGGTTAGAACTGTCGTTATCGGAGTCTTCCTCTTTCAAATCGGACGTAGGCACACTTTTTGGACGTTGGAGTTGTGCCGATTGTGTTTCCTGGCCATTAGGGCCATTTGCTTGTGCACTATTATGATGTTGATCTGGAATGTGGTGTGGATCGATCAAGTCGTCCTCAAGGGCGGGACCCATCAATGGGGGTAGAGACGGTCCAGAGAAGCCATTCATTAGTGGTCTTCCCGTGAATGCGGAACCGTCAGACCTCGATCGAATGCGTGATGGGGTACCATTATTGTTGTTCCTGAAGAAAGCAGACGATGGTTTGTTCTCCGCAGTAATATCCCATCTTTTCGCCCACAGGTTAGCAGTATCTGTGGCCCATTTAACGCCGAGCTGCTGGCCGTTTGCTAGCTCATGCGCAGCCAGCTGCTGTGGTCCTGAGCCCTCTTGGAGGGGTGGAAAATTGCTGGGTCTCGCAAAATTAAGCAACAACTCTGCATCGGTTTTCATGCTATCAAAGGTGGAAACATGGCTCGTAGCAGGCCTGGAAGCTCCCATTAGCCAGGTAGGTGATGGTGCCTTTTCCGATCGAGCGCGCTTGGATGGCCGTTCAGACTGATCTGGAGCAGGTGCGTGATGGGTTGTTGGGGATATGGCAGTAGGATGCTCATCGTAGGCAAGAGGCGCAAAGGTTGGACTTGTCGCGAGTGCAATGGTGGCCAGAGTATCGATGTTTGAGCCGGTCCTTTGGTGGCCGACTCTGCTAGCGGGGTTTGTATTTCCGTCGTTGCTGGATAAAGCGCCAGAAGAATAGTGGTGACTAGAATGATCAAGACTCGCCCGCCCGCCCTGGGAAGCATTACTCCACCCATTTTTTAATGAGGACTCTTTCTCTCTAAATGTGTCATATCGGGGTTGCTGGGGGCCATCGTTGGGATGGACGTCGCGGGTGGAAAAGGATGAGATATGGACGGGAGCGCGAGGTGAGATCGACTCGATGGCATGTCGTGGCGGGGAGGGAGTGCGATAGCGTGATGGCCGGACGTTGGATGGATTCCGAAAGGACAACGTATTCGCCATGACGGCTTTTTGGAGGTGGTAGGCTCACCGAGAGGGGTCGAATTGTCGAATCAAATGTATTGCGGTCGGTTTCGCGTTGTTGATAGCAAAGGCGGGGAAGGCAGTGTTGACCACACAGGCCTAACAACTGACGATAGGGAATGCGCGAGGACGCATTCCCGATCGATCAGGGAGTATTACGGATTCGGGTTTATCGGTGGGAGTGAAGCTATTCCGATGGATAGGGTGAGGGGGATGGGAGGCGGAGATGAGAGTAGAGGTGAGGAAAGCGGCTGGTTTGGGGGAACGGCTCCGAAGGCGGTTGTCCGCAATGGAGAAGAGAGGCTAAGCGAAACGGGTGATGGATTGACCTGGGCGGCGCTTGGGGACAATTCCAAATCAGAGCTCTTAGCCACCGTGGACGGCAGCTATAGAGTGACAGCTGTGATGATATTAAGGGCTTTTGAGTGTTGACGATCAGAACAAGATAGGCAGATTGCAAATTGAAGTTGCGGTGGGAGCGACGAGGAGAAGTTGACGCAAGCGTTGTGACTGGTATGGGCAATACACGACGGTGGGTTAATTACACCGCCAGGGTAGTTCTGGAATACAATACGGTATTGTTCGTACACCACCACCACATCCCGCTGCGGCCCGTCATGCACAATATAAACATCGACGGATTCTCCCTTGCTCAATTTGGGAGCAGATTCTTTATACTAATTGTTTAACATAATTGCTCTCTCTGCCATCTTGCCCCGAAAATGGCTTCTCCATTGTGTTCTGAGAGAACACCCCCCATCCCAAGCGCTGCATCGCATGGGCTTCCAAATTCTGAGCTGCCCCCAAGGTTCATACAGCAACATATCGGGGCTATATATCGATAGCAGACCACCATCTCCACATCCCCAAGGAAAACATGCCCGCTACCACCATGGAAATGCCTCTCTTCCTTTCCAGGTGTTCTGCGTGGAACCCGCGTTTCAGATTCACGTCTTCATTGTCCTTCCGCAAGATGCCGTTTCGCATCATTAGCCACGGGCCTTTTGTCGAGTACAACTCCCTCGTTTATGATTTTGATACCGGCGGGTTTAGCCAGCTCAGAATCCGTATATCTAGACATATAAAGAAGTGGTAACCAGAGATCCTGGAGAGGGGGAAGTGACGGGCGGCGGGGTCGGTATGAGGTATGGAAAAAGTATCGCCCTATTGCATCTCCTATCCAAGAGGGTTATTCGCTCGGGGTTTATAGTAGTTTTAAAAGCAAGGACTGGCTTTATCTGGCTTCAGATAAGAGTAGCTTCTATAGGAGCCTCTACACCTGCTACAGAGTTAAAACCCTCCGGCCCCGGCCATTCATCCCTCCTCTCAGGAGCTCTCCCCTGCGACTAGCTGCCCCCTGCAACCCTACAAGAAAAAATGTGCGCAGTTATACCCCTCAGGAGCTCCCGCACATTGAGCTAGACCTCTTCCTTGTCCGCCTATCCTTCCGTTGGATTGCGAGGAAACAGCACCTGGAACGGCAGATCCAGTCCCCCACCCACAATCGCCCCTTACTGATCAGGCCCTGCGAAATAGAAATAGTTCGCATGGCTCCAATTACACGAATAAATGACATTTCAAGCGTCTCTTGATGGGGGATGATGGCGAGTAAATGTTAGCTCCCACGTAACGGCTGTCCCCTCGTCCTGTCAGTTACTGTGTCGATGGTGACTACGCTCTTTAGCCTTCTCCTCCGGAATCTCCCATCCACCATACCACTGCTCGCCCAGCGCAAGCTGCCTGCTTGCTTCTGATAAACGACCCCAGAACCCCCACCACCACCACCACCACCACCACCACCATCATCGTCACCGTGGCGTACCCGCCATGTGAGCCGATATCTTCCCGGTAGCCAGCAAATTCATCATTGGCCCGGTTAGGAGGAGTCAGGCCCCTTTGCTTGTCTCGCTTGGTCACCTGCGAAGAAAGCAGATTCGTTTCCCTCAACGCCCACCTAGATCAGGGACCAGGCGCCGGGATTCCAAGGGGGGTTGAATTCGAATTGACCTACGGTTGTTCTCCGGTCTCTAGTCCTCCTCTTTGGGGCCGCTGTAGTTTTAATTGGGTATTTGTTGTGATGGCTCATTTTCTATATTTTCTTTTCTTTTTTCGGTAAATGCGCGCGGTGGTGCGTTGGATGTTACGTGGTTCTTGTTGTATAGGAATGACTGTTCATTGGTGATGGAAAATGAGGAGCTGACTTTCTGTGGTCTGATGCGTTCGTTCCACTAAGTTGATGCCCTGCGCACGAAGCGAGGATTCAGCGCGGGTTTTGTTTCTTGTCCTTTGGCCTTTGGTTTAGTAATTATGTTGTTTGGTTTGAGGGGGAAAGGTGCTGCGGGATGAAGTTTTGTTTTGGGCTGCTTCCACGTCATGGCATGTGAAAAATCCCCTTGCATGGTATTTGAGAGTGTTTTTGCTGCCATTTGTGGTTTTATGTGTTGATAATCAAGACTGGAAGGGATCTTTTTTTTTCTCTCTCTCTCTCTCAAAAAGATAGTTTAAAAAAGCTGTAAGATGAGGATTTTCTATTATTCTCCCTTTTCTAACTACCGAACTTACAGCGACATAATCTTATATCGATCTGTCATCACCCACAGACACCCTCCGAAGAGCTGCTCTTCCAAGGCCATCCCCAACGATTTCAATCGACGACGCAAGCCAAAAACTACCCATGTAAATGATTACATGCTCATACGCTCCCGGCCCACAACCGGACGAAGCAGGCAGTGGGGACAAAGACTGCGCAAAGCCCCCAGACAAAGAATGAAACAACGCCGGAGACAAACGTAGCAATGAAGGCGAGGATGTAAATATTGTTGAACCGGTTACAGGGATGGCCGAACGCAACCCGGCCCAGCGTGGAGGCGACATTTGAAATGCTGACAAGAGAAAGGCACTCATGCGAGGAGAGACGCCGGTCAGGGTTGCGAATGTCGGCAGATATATCGAAGGGACGTAGATGGCGAAGCCCTGGAAAAGGTTGGAGAGCGCCAGGACCCAGAACTGAGGGATCTGCATGAAATAGAACTCCCATCGCCGCGGTCTGTTCATTTCGGTGGACTGATGGAAGTCTCCTTCACTTAATCAGGGGTAGTACATTCTTGGCAACAGTGCTCCTGAGCATTGTGCGGTATTCGTACGTCGCCGGGAGACATTCGACAAGAAAAAGCAAGCCAACACTGCTCACCCCACCACCAGCAAAGAAAACGCCATACGCGAAACCTCGCCACTCAAGGAACTATTCGTTCAACATGCTCACAAGCATGTGTACACGACGAGAACACCATTCAAATAAAGCGCCCCTTGACTGGCAATGAGTTCTGGAATAGAGGCAGCGAACGAAGCCCAGACGAGTGCTAAAATACACATGACCGAACCAGCAACTACCATGATCTGCTGCCAGGCGTGAAATTTTCTGATCAGAGCGGCCACAAGGAGAGTCCCGATTCCCCGGAAAGACCATGCTTATCGCGACAGTGCCAATTACGGGAATGTTGGAGTTGTGGAGAAACTGCGCGGAACGGCTGTAGTGCTCCTGAACACGCTAAATATGTTGAGGACTGTGGCTCACAGTTACATGGCTGGGAGATAGTAGATAGATTACGGGCTTCAAAATCAAGCTCATCTTACCCCATATAAGGAATAAGCCGAGAATCGACAACCAAGCCTCGGTACCTTGGTTCGCAGGTGGCAAGCTTGGATCAGGCTCGTTGCGCTCTTGGGGGAAGCTTGGATGGCACTCATCGGTTCATCTGATCCTAGCTAAATAGGCATATGGGAGGTTGAGAAAAAGAAAAGACAAGAAAAGAAGAGAAAATTTGGTGTATGGGAGAAACCTGTAGACAGCTGAAAATGAGGGGATATTCCGAGTGGTATGCCGATATTGATGAGCAACTTGGCATGTTGGGCGGGGGGTTTCGACTAAACCTAGTCCTTGAGGGTAAGATTGGACTTGAATTAGTCCAATTAACCGGGAGGAAAGAAGTCGCACCAACAGGGTGGCGTTGTTCTTGTGGCAGGATACCTCCGGATTCTGAAGTAGCCGTTCGATTGATTCCGTTGGCAAAGGAATAGATATATATCCATGATCATAAGTATTACCTGCGGAGAGGCTTCGTTCCTGGCCAGCAGCGTGTCTTGCCGGGGAGATGCATGAAACTGGTACTCGGCCGAAAAATCTTATGTCTTATAAAAATCGGCGAGAGCAGATATCTAACTGCATGGTTATGCTGTTGTGTACTCTATGCGGAACATCCCTTTAGATGTTGCACTGATATAAGACTGATTTCGCCCCCCAGCGTGTGTAGAGATGGGCAGATACTACACAGGGCATGCATTAACAAGCAATGAAAGGAGTACCAGTATAGACAGTCCATTCGTGTAGTGTGTGTAATATGTGTTATGTACTGTACATGCACTTGCGGGCGTTGGTTTATTGTTGAACTTAGCACATTGAGTGATCTCTTTAGCTGTGGAAGTGCAATGACAATAATATCAACAAGGACAATAATAAATGGTCAACAGCTGTCATTCACAATTCACGTGTCGAGCGTCCACGATGCTTCGATGCCCTTACTATTCTCAACACGTCACCACGCAGCCAAATAACCTTGGAGCTTCTGTTGGGCGAACCTTTGTTCATATATTCTGTTTCGATGTTCAAGCGTTGTTTCCAGGGTCTCTGAGTTAGGACTAGCCCGGCCTAGTGTATGACATAATCCACGCTTTTCCCAAAGAGGCAGTGGCCCATTCTCAATCCACTATCTTGTCGTTGAGGGATTGAATCATATCATTGTAAAAATAAATATTGATAAAAATCTTCAATAATTAAAATAAAATATTTTTTAATTTAAATGTTAAAAAGAGTTTTTTTGAGTAAATTATAATAATTCGTCATTTTAGCAGCGGTGTGATTAGCCGAGTAAGCAGTGTAATTATCAATCTCTCTTGCCACGATCTCCCGCCGCGCCGTGCCTCGTTTTCCTCCCGTCCATCCCCAGCTACCTATATCCGCAGTGCATCACCCGTCTGCCCACTGTCCCTTACGCCAACAACCAAACACACTACAGCGCGTCTCTGGCCCCCCAGGCAAATCTCCGTCTTTGTACACGAACCTCGCTTCAGAGATATGAGCCGCAGCAGCAAGCTTGCCCCGGAAGCCAACAGGTACTAGAAGCTATCTATTCGTCTACCACCCGATACCTCTCTTTGGTGCGACGAGTATATATATGTATAGCGCTAACATCGCGTGGCAATCTAGGATCCTTTTCGTGAAGAACCTCAGGTGAGTCAAATACCACGTCCGTCGTCACCACGGAAGAAGGGAATTCCCCACGCGACAACCCAGAGATACATATATCTTCCTCACGAATCCCCCTTCCCGCGGGTCCTACTCCATATGCGATGACAATTAAAAAAGGAAAACAACAAGAAGAAAATAAACTCTAATGATTTCGCCTTGAAACATACAGCTACAACGTTACCGCAGAGGAGCTGTTTGATCTTTTCGGGAAATTTGGCCCTATTCGGTAAGGCAACAACCATTTCACTCTCTCTGGGTCTCCTTAGGGCCAACAGACCACTTTTAGCACAGGGGACATACCTACTGACTCGTGATGTCTGCGGGGAACTATATACAGTCAAATACGCCAGGGCATTGCGACAAACTCGAAGGGCACTGCATTCGTCGTGTACGAGGATGTTGCCGATGCAAAGCAGGCCTGTGATAAATTGAATGGCTTCAACTTCCAGAATAGATACCTTGTCGGTTAGTTATAAACAGACACCTACATACTCTTCCACCCTCCCCTGTTCGAGATGGGAATTTGTCATGGGGCAATCAGCCAGAGCAGCAAGCTTGATATTTTGCCACGCTGGATATAGCAGACTCACTGACCCCCTCTCTTTTTCAAACTACAATTTAGTTTTATACCACCAGCCTGAGAAGATGGCCAGATCGAGAGAAGATTTGGCCGCCCGACAAGAAAACCTGGAGCGACTAAAACAACAACACGGCATCGACTGATATTTGCGGCTGACTCTCTCTTGCTTCTCGATTTTTATGTTTACATTTACCTGCCTCGCTTTCTTGTTGATTATTTCATTTGCTCCCCCCCCTCCCGCGTGTTTATCGTTATCTCTTTTGTGTGCCTCTCCTTTCCTCTTTCCTCTCTTTCCTCACCTGTTCCCCATCTACCATCTGATTTCGAATATCGTCCCGTTCGCTGTATCCCTCGTTTTTCCAGCGGTCAACAAATTGTTCTAAAATTGCCTATTTCAGGTACATTTACCCCTCCTACTTTCTAGGAGTTTCTATTTATTTATTTACTTTGCCGCGAATTTTCGTGGGACTCGGAGGGTGCACGTCAACTCTATCCTTGAGAGAACGCGGGACAATATTTGGGCGTTTTTTTTTTTTTTTTTTTTTTTTTTTTTTTTTTTTGAAAAAAAATCTTTCTTTTGTCGTTTCTACACCCAACCCAAACTACATTTATGATATTGACGCGTCAGACTCATGTTTATCACGATTAGTACTGTTATTTATGTACCCTGATAAGTTTTATCTACAGGAAGGATCTGGCAAAATGTTCAATGAAATAATATGCAATAATATAACTTACTTTTATGCAAATGAGCTTGGAGCAGCAAAAAACGTCACAGTAAAAGGATACAAGGGGGAAGAATCACCTTCCATGCACTGACTGTCTTCTCGGCTAAGAATGCTGCCTAGTTGAGACCTTCTGACCCTGAAGCGCCAACGTGATCTTGGCCGCCGTATCATGGATTGAATTTCGAATCACTTTCATTTTTGAGTAAAGATCATAAGTTCTGTTCAACAACTTCTTAATTCTCTTCTTCAACTACTCAGGCATCTACAGATCTGTATTTTGTAGTAAGATCGGAGTGCTCACCGCGGCAAAGGCAGATCACCTGACAACCGCCGAAGCCATCCGGTGACCTCAGCCCTCTCAACCTCAGAAAACAATATGCACTGCAGACACAGATAGAACTGAGCAAAATCCGATGAAGCAGTGGGTTTATGCCCATCAGCAAACCTCCCACTGCATGCACTATCGTCAAAAGAAACCATTCATCCCAAAGTGGATTAAATTCAGTATCAATCAATCAACCACAACTAGCCCTGGCTCGGCAATCGGGTCTGGAATCGAATACCCTTTCAACTAGCTGAGCTCAGCAACCCCGTTTCACTCATTGACCTCAAGGTGGTCAAGGCGGAAATAGAAGGAGAAGAAGAAAAGAAACAAACAAAACATAGTTAATCCAAAAAGAAAGGTAAAACAAGGGGGGAGGGGTGAGCAAAGAGAAGAGGAAGCTAAGCAAAAGCAAAGCGAATCATTCGACCGTTCACACGCCACATGCATTCGATTCCTAAGCACCAGTCTCCGCCTAAATACTTTCTCCTCGCGAGGCAGGAAACATCACCCGTCTCCAGCTGGCGGATTTCCGTGTTTCTTTCATAAATACCACCTAGTGCCAGCTGCTGGCCATGGCAGACCTGCTGTCAACACAGACTTCACATCTCGTCACCGCCATCGCTCTTGCAGCATCCCAAACCCTCCTACCGTCCTCAACATCCACCTCCACAATATTTCTGCATCAGCAACAGGAGGAGGGCGGCGGCGGCCCGGGCGGGGACAGTGACCGCGACAGTGGTGAATGCCAGCTCCTCGGCTCCTTCGCGTTAATCGTGCAGGCCGCACTGGGAGCCCTCGCGCTGCTGGCTCTGGTGTACAAGCGATGGCGAGAACGGCCACAGCGGCCCGTGAAGGTATGGGCCTTCGACGTGTCCAAGCAGGTCTTCGGTTCTGTCCTGCTGCACCTAGCCAACCTGCTCGCATCGATGTTTTCTGCTGGCCAGATACCAGTGACGGCGACTTATCAGCCCAACCCGTGCTCGTATTATTTGCTGAATTTGGGGATTGATGTATGCTGTTTTATTCATTCTGATACCTTCTTCCCCCGAGACCCTATCTCTCTCTGGGCCTGAAATCATCCTAATCACAATATACAGACAACCTTGGGCATTCCCATCTTAATCTTGTTCCTCCGCATCCTCAACCGCGCCGCGCTGTACACCCCGCTCGCCAACCCGCCCGAATCCATCGAATCGGGAAACTACGGCCGCCCACCGAGCGCCTGGTGGTGGTTCAAGCAGTCCATGATCTACTTCTTCGGTCTGCTGTGTATGAAAACCTGCGTCGTCGTGCTGATCCACATGCTCCCCTTCATCGTCAAGATCGGCGACTGGGCCCTCCGGTGGACAGAGGGCAACACAGCGGTCCAGATTTTCTTCGTCATGCTTTTGTTCCCCGTCATCATGAATGCGATACAGTATTACATCATTGATATCTTTATCAAGAAGCCGATCCCTGTTGTGAGGTGTGAGCGAGTGCCGGGTGGAGACCTGGATGGCATTGATAGCGATGATGATGGCGTTGCTGGTGGTGCTGGTGCTGGTGGTAGGTTTGATGATGCAGGGATACAGCGGCGGGATGACGATCGACATCGACGAAGGGGTTTGCTGGCGGGGATTGACGATGAGGATGCTGAATTTTCGAGCGATGAGGGAGACCGTGTCGTGTTTCCGGATGATGACGAGCGCGGGGTGAAGCATTCGTTGGAGGCTGGTGATAGAGGCAATGGTGCCACGACTTGATTAGTGCATCCATCCTGATTTCATTTGAGAGATACGCAATCAATATGTTTTTGTTTTGTTTTTGTTTTGTTTTTGTTTTGTTTTTTGTTAATTTTTTCTTTTCGTTGACATACCCCCTTCCGCCCCTTCTTTGCTGATTTTTTTTTTCTTTTTCGGTTATCTCTTTCATGAAAGAATACCCACCCTGTGCACATTATTCTGTACTTTACCTCTCTGCTCTACTGCATTATTCCATGTGCGGGATGTTTGGCGTGTTGGTGAAAGTTCTGACATGTTTGTTGTTTCATTTCATTTCTATTCTGCATTAACATTGTCGTCTTCGTCGCCGTCGTCTTCTTCTCTTTGGACACTCAAACGCTATTTCTTTCCCCTCCCCTCTCCTTCACGAAATCCAACGTCCAATCAGGAAAACATTGCATTGCATTGCATTTTATTTTGTCTATGTTTTTCAATCGTACTTTACCACTCTTATGGGTGATATTCTACGCCCCGTTTTTTCAATTGTTGGGGGGTTGGGGGGCGAGGATAATGTGACTTACCATGAATCATCTTTACATACATTTTCATATTTTATCTATTGAGACGTTTTTAGGAGGCCTCTAGCTTTCTTTTTTTTCTTTAAATTATTTCCAGGTGCTGTTGCGGTGAAGCTCTGGCGCGGTTGTGTTTATATATTTGCCAACGATTTTGTATCGTAGTTACGTCAAAAAAAAAACCCCGATCTCGGCAACAAAGGTCACATGACATAACCATCTCGTAGCCTCAGGCATCAATTAAATTTTACTTTGTCCAAGAACCTTGACCGAATAGGAAAAAAAAAAAAAAGTTGAACAATTGGACAACCCCAAGCAATTTATCATTCTCGATATTTCGTCTGTAAAAGTATGGATGAATTTCTATTTCCCACAATCTAGATACTTTATTTTATTTATTATCCCTTCCTTACCTCCTCCTATTTGTCTCCGCACGTTGAACATCCAAAGAAAAAAAAAAACATTACTATAACACTATCCCCCAAACCCAATGCCCTCAAAGCAAAAAGTCCGCGTGAAGCAGAAAAAGCCAGCAGCAGCAGCATCCGCACTGCCAACGACAGAAGCAGGCTTTTTCGTCGATACTCACGGCGCTTCGGACGGGGACGACTTCGCTGACAATGCCATTAGCGAAAGTGAACAAATACCCAAGGATGCAACGGAAGAGAGGCTTGAGCGGTTACTCTTTGGCGATGCGGCGGGGTTCCATGATGCGCTAAGGGATCGGGATGCTGGGGCCATGGAGATTGCGTTGAGGGACGGTGCGAGTGGGGGTGGAGATGGAGGCGTAGAGGAAGAGGAAGCGCAAGAGGAGGGCGGCTTGGAACATGTTGATGATGCGGATGTAGGTTTTTACTTGCTACAGATATAATAATAAACGTATCGTATCTGCTTTTTCCCCTGATCCGGTCGAGCGCCGCACGATCGAAAACTCTCCTTATACTGACGTGTGTAGCTCTTCTTTCTAGACTCCGGTACGGCGGGTGTGGACGATATCGAGCTGCCAATCGCGCAGAATGCGTCGAATGGTCAGCGCGAGAACGAACCGCCTGCGGCGTGGGAAGACAGCGATGATGAACGCATCACTGTCTCCCTGGCGAAAAATAATCGGCTGCGAAAGCTACGAGTCACGGCAGAGGACGATGTCGTCACGGGCTCGGAGTATATACGGAGACTGCGCAAGCAGTATGAGCGGCTACATCCTGCTCCAGATTGGGCGAACATGTCCGCTAGAGCAGGTGGGCGAAGTGCCAAGAGAAGGAAGGCAGGCGCTGCACAGTCGGATGATGAGAGCGTTTTTGGCTCTGATCATATGGATACTGGCACTGATGGAGAGCACGAAATGGCCCTACAGCCGCTGGCGCGGCTGTTGCAAAATGCTGGAAATCTTACAAGGGGCGAGGATAACGTCAAGAGCGGTGGGAAGCGGAAGCTCCGCCAGGAGGTACTGGATATTCAACGGATGAAAGATGTTGGGCACGGTCAACCTGTAGGTTTTTCTTTTTTTTTTTTTTTTTATTTCTTCTTTTCAAGAGTACGACTCCAAATGATTTCTATCGTGCTAATATTGCCTTTTCAATGCCAGTCCGCCATCGAGTCTCTCACGTTCCACCCGCACTACCCCCTGCTCCTCTCCTCCGGGCCAGCCTCAACTCTCTTCCTCCACCACATCTCCCCCAAATCCGTCTCTCCCAACCCCCTCCTCACCTCCCTCCACGTCCGCCGCACCCCGATACACACTAGCGCGTTCTCCCCCTCAACAGGAAATCAAATATACTTCTCCGGCCGCCGCCGCTACTTCCACATCTGGGACCTGGACACGGGCAAGGTTGAGAAAGTCAATGGGCCTGCCGACCGCAGGGAAGAGCAGAAGTCTATGGAACGCTTCAAACTATCTCCCTGCGGCCGGTGGATGGGTGTCGTCGGCAGCGCGCGCAAGGGGGGCGGCATTGTAACGATCCTCAGCACCACCACTCTCCAGTGGGTTGCACAGGTGCGCGTTGACAGCCACAATGGCGTTGCTGATTTCGCGTGGTGGAGTGACGGGGAGGGAATGTGTGTTGTTGGCAAGAATGGGGAGGTTAGCGAGTGGGATGGGCGGCAGAAACGTATTGTTGCGCGCTGGGTTGATGAGGGCGCTGTGGGCGCGACAGTGATTAGTCTTGGTGGGAAATCTGGAAAAGGGCTGATCGGCGGGGATAGGTGGGTGGCGGTGGGGAGTTCGAGTGGGATCGTGAATGTGTATGACCGGAGGCCGTGGGCTGTGGCTGCTGCCGAGATCGAAAGGAAGAGCAAGGGGAAGAAGGTCGATGGAGAGATGGATTCCGGTAATCATCGTGGCGGCGGTGGTGATGGTGATGAACAGTGCGGAATCCCACGCAATCCAAAACCGACACGCATGCTTGATCAGCTGACGACGCCCACGAGTCATCTTGTCTTCTCGGCAGATGGGCAGTTGCTCGTCATGGCCAGTCGGTGGAAGAAGGACGCGTTGAGATTGAGTATGGAATGAACCCCTAAACGATGCCTGCACATTCTATTTCGTTAACCCCGGTTGGCTAATTATGATTTGCACACAGTTCACCTCCCTTCATGCACAGTATACAAGAATTGGCCTACGTCCAACACTCCGTTTGGGCGCATTTCGGCCGTTGCCATTGCGCCGACGTCGGATAAGTTGGCTGTCGCGAATGAGCAAGGGAAAATACGGTTGTGGGAAATTCATGGCTAGTGCTGTGGTTGGCTCCTTTTTTTCTGTGCTCTACGTTTATACGGGTCATTTGCAACAGGTATGACCCTGGAAGGAGAATCATGGCTTCCAGGGCTGGTTGCGAAATATTTGAGATCCTCCATGGCTACAAGGTTGGGGTTATCCCCCCCCAAATGGAATAGAGATGGAAATACCCTTTTATGGAGATAGTAATTTATTATGTTCAAAGCACACAGGCATTCAAACAGGAGCATTAAAAACAGGAGCATTAACAACAGGAGCATTCAAACCAGCAACATTCATATAGAAAAATCCAGACTGAAGCTCAAACACAAGCCGATCGCAAGGAAACGATAACACAGGAAAAACCCCGCTACACTTCTAATTACCAATGGCATGGATTTCCATTCTTTGCTTGATGTACCAGTTGCCTGCTCAACGCCGCAATAATCCTTCCTAACCGCTCCATGTGTCTCTCTGCATTGGGAATGAATGGTCCAATTTGATGCATCGTGAGAAAAGGACCCGAGGACCCATCCCAGTCCCCTTGAAGATACGCCACATATTCTTTGGTGTATGTAGCGATTATAATGTAGATTTCATGGCGATCCTGGCTAATCATGCATCGCCTGGGGCCAGTTAGCGTTTTAGTTACAATTGCTCGTGAATAAATCCTCTTACCGAAAATTCGATCTATCCCCTGTACTTGGTTCATCGTAGATCCAAGCAGCCATCTGCGCACTTTCTTGCATCCACGGTTCGGCATCTTTTCTAACCTGGGATTTAACTTCCAGGATGGCTAATGACCGTGGCGCATTTTCAGTAAAGAATGCGAGGTGGCCGTCCGTTCGTGCCTCATAAAGGCATTCCTTGTCAAGAGATTTGTGTTGTCTGATTCGAAACGCTTTCCGCTCAAGAGACCATCTTGCATTTGTGAAACCAGGCATCCGCATGCATAATCCTCGCAGAAGTAAAATGAGAGCCGTGTTCACGATCTGCTCATCTTTAACCAGGGGCAACCACTTTGCCTCATCACTGGTTACTGGTGAAATGGGCTCGATGACACTTCTCACCCCCAGAGATTGAGGGGATCCGACAGAGCTCATGTCGTCAATGTGTAGCTCTTTAATTTCGTTCTCGAGGGATCCCACCTCTAGGTCGTCTGACCCCGGGTTGGGGCTCCTCGGGGCACGACTGGGTGTGGAAGGAGGAGAATTATTTCCCCCCGCAGCCTTGCGTTGCAGCCGAGTTGTAACATTAAAAAACACCTTCTTCGTTTCCTGTGGCCCAAGTGTTGAATTTTCTATCTCGCGCTGGAAGTCGTAAAGCAAGTCAAACGTTCCTAGATCGGTCTTCCCATCGAATCCCTTTGATATCTCTTGGACATATGGCCCCCAGTGTTTGTTCCAGGCCAGATCCTTAAGGTCTTCGGCGCGGTATTTGATATCATACTCTTTTTCAAGATCGATTTCGTCGGGCGCATACGATTTCCAAAGAACATGTAGCGCCAGAAATTGCGCCTCTTTGATTTTTGATGCCGAATTGAAGGTTTTAAGATCTTGGATTGAGGTTGACTTTACCTCATGTTGATCTGCAAGGAATCGCCAACGTCCTGCCGTGGAAGGCACACCAATGGCGATCTCACCGTCCATTGCGACAGAGGTTACCGAGAATGTAGGGGGTTCTAAGCAATTATAATTGAAAAATGAGACGATCAGGTCACAAGCGGCGAGGAAAAATATTCAAGAAATATCACTGCAGCTCCTCGTTCGCCGGAAGGCAAGAGGACAGAAACGCTGCTATTTAACCTCATCGTGGAATCGTCGGATAACTCAGGAGCGCGCGAAGGGGGAAAGCCCGTTGGGCATAACGCTCAAGAACGACTGCGTGAGTGCGAAAATGCGAAATGGGAGGGAGGGAGGAGTAATCCGCGCCAGGCATGAAACAGCGCCATCTTCCTTCCCGCTGAGCACTCGACTCGCGAGCAGGGTCACGATGCGTGTCAATCACATTTTAGCGCCTTCAATGAGAATCCTACAGGGTGGGGGGGAACAGGGGAGGGGCAGGGGGAGGGCAGGGGCCTATATATATATATATATATATATACATAGTATATGCGCTGTACAGCGGAGGCGCCCGGTTGAACATATATCCTGGTCAGGACATGGGGGAGGATACACCCGGCGTGCTCTGTCTGTCCACGGCAGGAGGCGTAACCACCAACCCGCATGTGCAGCGTACTTAGTCGGCGGTAGCAGGCACTATTGGCGGAGAATAGCCTGGGATGAACCTGGGATGAGGCTGAGATGGGGAGGCGCTGGAGCTGGAGGTCGAGGGTTGTTCCCGCCAATCAGACGCTGCGGGGAGCCGCTGCTGTTTCCTGGACAACATTCACGGTGGAACTTCCTCCTGGACTTGGACACCAACTGTTCAACTCTTAACTCTCTTCTCTCACCCTGCTTGTTCTCTTACCACAAGTCTCAATATCCCGTTATCTTCAGTCTCTGACATCGTCTTCTCGCCCCTCTCTTCTCCACAAGTTCACCACTCACAGCATTGTCTATCTTCAAAGATGGATCAAATGCTGCACGAGAGGAAGAAGCAATATATACGCGCCAAAATTGTTATAGAGAAGTTCATAAAAGAAGGGAAGCCCATTCCTGTAAACAAGGAAGAATACCTTGAGGCTATGAAGGTGTGTGATAGGATTGCACAGATTTATTATCGGATTCTTGATTGCCCAGCGTGTTTCTTTCAAGCGGAGGATTCCATCATCAAGGACGACTTTACTGTCATCACCAACGCCGAGCCTGTCTTCTTTTCACAAATGCCCATTGCCGATCTTCGAGAATACACGTTTGAGCCGCTTGGCTCTAGAAACAGATTTCGCGAGTATGGCAACGAGGAATATCTTTCGGTGGTCGATATTCAAATTTCGAATCTCCTGAGCACTTCATCAAAAGAAACCCCCGAATATGAGGTCCTACATCAATATGGCAACTGGCATAATGAAAGGCAAGTTTATCACCAAATTTGGATCCGCACACGAAATACATTGCTAATCCTAGTTTTAGAGCCGTACGAAATATCCGTATGCCTTTGGAGCTTGTAAAATCTCGATCACCCGAAAGATATGAGTGGCGGACGCCATTTATATGGGGCCTGAAAGACCTACCTCATACAGTCATCCTGTCATTTCAGGCTACTAGCTCGCCCGCGCCTATCATGCGAGGGGAGTTGTTATCCATCCTCAGCGTGACCTGGTGGAAAAACAAGGTCATCATTGGGAAGGGGCACAAGTTCATTCCGGTATGTGTTGTCGCCCAGTGGACTGACTATTTGAAGTCGGAAGAACAAGATGTTGAGTATGATTTTCCATCAGATCCTTCTCGTATCCATTCGCACCGGCAATTTTCGAACCGTTGAGGCCTATTACGATGGGTCTAGATTTTTTCTACGATACGGCAAGCCTGTTCCTATGAACTTCACCGAGTCCATAGAAGACCGTACTAAGGCTTTCGAATGGGCAATTCAATGGCTTCTCTCCTCCCCACTTGGGGATACCCGAAACTTGGAATCCATAACCAGCATGGGATGAGGAGTCAGGTCGGGACCAGGCTGATACGAAGAACAAGGAGCCGCTGTCGTCCTCCGCCCCTGCGATGACCGGACCAGTGACTTTCAAGTGCACCTCCTGTATTTGACCTTACCTGATTGTTAGTATCTAGCTTAAAAGGAATGGAGGTTTTCAACATCGGCAACAGATACGAAATGTGGATTTCAGGTGGCTTTCTTTGGATGGCCGCGCAATTGCATGCTGAGAAACTACTCGAGCTGAGCCGGATGACAGATGTCTCAACTGAGTGGCGTGTACTTCCTTCCTGTGTTCCTTTGCTCTGCATTTTGGTCTCTTCTCGCTTTACTTTCTTTTATATTTCCCCTTCTCTTGCATCTTTCCTTTCCTCGCGAGTAGGCCGTAAGGCATGTTAAGTTTAATGAAAATGTTTTTATTTGGAAGCTTTCACCCTCCCACCCTGTGGCGGGAACCAATCAGGCAGACGAGAAAGGGAGGAACATATTTTTTAGATTTAAGACAGACCGCTTCCGATGTACTTCCATTCCCAAGAAGCTAATAAAAAAAGACGAGTTAACGAAAGGGAAATAGAAACTGGTCTATATACTCCGTATACTGACTCTGATACATCATTGGCCACTCTTTTTGTTTGTCTTCTCCATCCTTGTACAACAATCACAAGACAACCGCCCAGCCCCTAACACATTTTCTTAATTGAGTCCTTATTCCTAATCCCCACCAAATTACCTTGTTTAACCCTCTCAAGCGTCAAAGCCGCAATAAGTGCCGCACCGACGCCAGACCCATCCTCCGCTCCGCTCATCACAACCCGATCCGGTTCACTATCTGGCCAGTCAAGGATCTCCCGCAGGGCTTTGGCGCCCCTGGCCTTGAAATGCGGGTACTTCTCGAACACTGACCCGTCCGCCCCGACATGGCAATGGGTGATATTTTTCTTCTTGCAGATGGCCGCAACACCGCAAGCGGAGAGGCGCGCGGCACGTGTGCCGATCAATTCCGCCAGGCGTCTGCAAAATTCTAGCTCCGAGGGCAATGCGTAGATCCCCAGGGTGCGTTCGAAGAGATCTCGCGTTTCTGACAGGTTCTCGAAGGGATCTTCTTCGATGAAGGCTAGGAAGGAGGAGTCCAGGGAGTATGGTTTACGTAGTTGGGAGACGTCCTGGTTAGCAAATATAAGCTTTCCCTTGTTGTCGTAGAGGTCGAGGAGGACTAGTCGGAAGATCTCGCCGAGGTAGAGACCTGCTGTCATTTTTTCGAAGGCTTGTTGGCCTGGTCGGGGTGAGTCGCGGTCAATGATTACGTCATACTGCGTTCGGGGGAGGACAATGAGTTCGTTGTCGAAGGCGCCGTATTCGCAGTTGATAGCGACTGGGGTGTCGGGAGGTAAATTGTAGTGGGCTATTTTCGGGATAGAGCCGGCGTTTTCCATGTAGGCGGCGTTGACGCCTGTGCCGAAGATACAGCCGATTTTCATCTCTGGGTCAGTGTAGGCGGAAGCAATAAGTGTGCCAGTCGTGTCGTTTACTAGAGCGGCAACTTTAATGGGGAGACCCTGTAAAGTAATTAGCACCATATAGCCAAAGAAAAATGGGAAAGGGGCTGAATTTTTAACCTTCTTAGCCAAAGCTTCTTCTAACATTGGGACGACGTCTTTGCCCTCGACGCCGTCAATATCAAAGCCCTTGGTCCATCTCTGTAGGACACCATGGTCAACATATTCTTGAGTAGCAGGGTATGAAAAGGTAAAGCCCAGCGGCAGGTCTGGCAAAGCCGTGCAACCGTCATGGTAGTATTCCATAAACTGCTGCACACAGTCGGCAATATATTCCCATAGTTCTGATGATTCGCCGCTCTTGAGCTCTTCGGGGATTCGATACTTGGACTGTGTAACATCGAACTCTCCCTTCTCTTCGGAGAGCTCAATTTCGCAGACGCGCAGGTTGGTGCCCCCCATGTCCAGAGCCAGAAATGTGCCTTTCTCATGGCCAGTGGGAAATCCTAGAACCCAAGTTACGTTCATGGGCTGGGGAGGAAAGTGAATTAGTAACCAACAATCGGATCACTTCTCTGCATGAGGGGCGCGGATCAGGAACGCAGGGTTGGGAAATTTACAATGTTTCCGCCTTCGACACTGAGGCCTTTTTCATCCACATTGTTAGAATACGTGGAATATCTAATAAATATTTTAAAGGCTGCTCTCAATCGTAATCCATGCCCTCTCTGCTGCCCACCTAACCACCTCTGCTTTTCTCGTGCGTAGATATCTATCCATTGGCATTGGACAAACAAAAGGGAATAAAAGAAGCTCACCCTTCTGTAACTCCTTGATGAAATGCTCAACGATCTGCTTCAGCTTCGCCTGGTCAACTGTGAAGAGCTCTTCCAGCGTCTTGAGCTGGTCAAGCACATCCTTCGGCATATCAGCCATTGATCCTAAGATGAAGCTTTGTTAGCTCTCGTCGCTACGTTTTCGCATTGACATATGACCACATATGCATGACTGCCTACTACATGGCTCAGGCGTATTCTAAAACTGGAACGCGTAACTGGGACTCACTGGCAAATACTCACCCTTCCGGGAAGGTTTTCGGCGGGGTGTTATAGCCATTGTGATCTCGGCGAATGGCCTTAAATTGGAAGATATAACGTAGGAAACAAACGTCTATTGAGTAACCCAGAGGCAGGATACTTTGATGACAGGTTGCGATCAAGAGATGAGGGAGGAATTGGTGCTGGCAGAGAAAAAGTGGTTGGGATCGAGGTTGTTGTTCCCAGCGTGCCCCACAAGCAACTTGTTGGCGGTCTAGTTACATATTATGACGACAGTGAGAGTAGTAAGCAGCCTGCATGGAGTTCGAAGCAACGGCACCAGCACGAGCATTCCTATGCTCTTTCGTCCGAGGTCGCAAGCATGCTAGATATCTATTGTGCCCCTGTTTTTTAACGCTAATATCATTCGTCCCTGGGGCTACTCTAATTTTAAATCGACTACGGATTTAACATATCACTTCGACTTTTCTAGATACTAAAGGAATCGCCATCGTTATTAATGTAATAGGAATTGCAAATCTTGCGGGAGAAAATCGAAACATCAAATACTTCTAACTAATGAGGATATGTAGTCATAAATTTAAACGCTCGTCATGTTGGTCATCATCGTCGTTAAATCTTCATAATTCCTGGTCTAGGCCCATGATTCTATGCGAGGCAAGGAAACAAGGGCTGTCCAGTACCTCCCCGAGCACTCTCAGGCAGGGTCGAAACCTGATGTCCTGAGTTACTTTGTTGTTTCTGTCTCCTAGCCAGTTCCCTTATTAGGTTCCGTGGTTGGCGGTGGAGATGATACATCCTGGTTTACTGCACTATCATCGGCAGATTTCGCCTCTGGCTTGCTTTGTTGCTGGGCCACAGGGTCGGGTTGTTCCGATCGAGAAGGCTGATTGTCCTCCTTCTCCATTTCGCGATTGATATCAACCCTGGAAGTGGCTGGGGATTCACACTTGCCTGGTCCTTCTGGCCCTTCTGCTCTTTTTGCCGTTTCCACCTTCTCCCCTATATGTAGCTCTGAACGGACTCGCGCCTCGTGGGATCGCGATATTTGAAGAGTGTGCTCCACTTCTCCTGCCAACCGTTCGACCTCATCACGTAATTGTTCATCCTTGGAGCGAGCTAGTTTTTCTTTTTCCTTATTCGTCAAACCTGCCTTTTTAGGATTTGTCTGCGCCCATAGTTCCTCCAGCTCCTCCCGCCAACCCAACGCCTCTGCGAATTTCAGCACACCATCGTCACACTCACCCAGTAGCAAAACATCATCTGGCCTGCTACCGAGGCCCCCAACCCTATTGAGATTAATCAGAAGGCGAGGACACCCATCCCTGCACAGACTAGGTAAACTAGCGAACGGCTGTACACTCAAACTAGTGCCCATAATAATGCACAGGTCTGCCGTAGCAGTGAGCGTGCGGTTCATGAAGAAAGTCTCTGGCAGGGGCTCTCCAAAGAACACAATATCAGGTTTCACTAGCCCCTGACATCCGAGACACCGAGGCACATCATCTGCATCTATAGCCTTGCGCATTAAATCTTCGGGGAATGAAGTTTTGCAATCGATGCATCGGTGGGATGCGTAGCTTCCATGTGCTTCCACAATCATTTCCCCCGGTACACCTGCTTCCCGTTCCAGACAGTCGATGTTTTGGGTGAAGAGCTTGAGTAGACGGCCTTTATCGTAGAGGAGTTTGATAAACGAGTGGGTGAGCGTTGGCCGATAGCGGCCGGGAAACATCTCCTTGGACAGGGCGTAAAAGGGGAATGGATTTTTGCGGAAGTAGGAGATATCGAATACGGCTTCTGGGCTCGGGAGATTTAGACGGGCGAGATTTGCGTAGACTCCCGTATCCGGAGAACGGAAGTCTGGGATTCCTGCGGCTGTGCTAATTCCCGCACCAGTCTGTGTATAGTCGGATGGCGAAATATTAGAAGGGATCATATATGTATGGCATGTAGGGATCATAAACTCCTTACCAGGACCACAATCCGTCGAATGTTCTTTTCTTTAATATACTCAGCGATCCCTTCGAGCGAGCGGGATTTCAGGGTTGTTGGTGGGGTGCTTTCGTCCAAAAGGACAGAGCTTTCATTCCCCATTTTTGGTGAGCGGCGAGGGGGCGAACAGCCCTTTTTATGCCTGAGTCTTCGGCGACGGCCTATTTTTACGTTTCGAGAGTGATTCGTAGATATTGAATTCTGAAAGAGAGACTTTGCCGAACAGAGCTTTCTTCTGGTTCAAACTGACGAGTCGGAGTGGATAGTAACGAGAGAAAGTCAAGGCGGAAATCTGAACGAGAGAAGAAGAAGAGGCTGATAAAAGCGAACCGGAAAAGCTTGGTGACTTGTTATTATAATGAATGAATTACATATAATTCCGTTGCCTTGTTTGCTTCGTTATTTGAGGTTTGATATCGCTTGTTTCGCTTGGGCCCGCGGCTAATTTGTATCAAGCCGCGTGTGTCTTGGCTCCAGTTGATGTTCGACAAACAATTTTCGTCAATATAATCAGAAGAGACCTGGACGGGTGTTTCTATGCTGCACCTTGAATTAATTACATATCCTAAGACTCCATTATGGACTTCAGCTTAGAAAGTCTCGATTTTCTAAATCGGGGCCACCAAGAAATGGCCCAACCTGCCAGGACACCCGTTGCTCCCTCGCCCGCCGCCGTTGTCAATGGCCATTCTGACCTAGCGGCCAGGGACAGGAAACAAGATGACAAGCACACGAAGAATACTGCACCTCAAACGAGCGATACCCGCGAAACTCAGCAAGTCAATGGACACGGTGATTCCACACACAATACCAACCCTGAGAACCCGCCTGACATTTACAATGCGCGCACAATTGCCGATATCAAAGCCACCTTATCCCATCTCCATGACCGTGAGGCTGCAGTAACTGCCCGCCTTGATGCACTCGTAGCTTCGCAAAAAGACTTCTCCCGCGAACTAGGCCGACTGGATCTGCTCCGCGCCCAACTAGGCTCGCAAGTAACCACTACTCGCGCAATCAGCCATGGCATGCTTGCGGATGCTGCTAGGACCGCGGACCGCATCTCCAGCGCCGTCAAACGGCTCGATCTCCAACAATCGCGTGTCAAGGCTACACTGGACGTAGTGGAACAAGTTGTAGAGTTGAAAGCGTGTGTGCTAGGCGTCGCTGGGTCCATGGGAGCATCGCAAGACTGGGAAATGGCTGCGAGTTACATGAACCGTGCGTCGAAGATCCCCAAGGATGTCATACTGGGTGATTTTGCAGTGGAGATCGTGCCTACGGCTGAAGTTCCGGATCCGCCAAGTGTGACGCTGGAGAATGCAGCGGAATCGCTCTGCGGGTTGTTCCTGCGGGAATTTGAACGGGCAGTCAAGGACAACGATGATGCGAAGATCACGAGGTTTTTCAAATTGTTTCCGCTTATTGGGAGGTCGGCTGTTGGGCTGGATGTGTATGGGCGCTATGTGTGCCAGGGCGTGGCGACACGGGCAAGGGCTAATTTACATTCTGGACCGGGTGGGGAACTAAGGAAAGATGGATTCTTTTATGCGAATGCGTTGACCAAGTTGTTTGAACACATTGCGCAGATTGTCGATGGGCATGGTGCTTTAGTGGAGAGACACTACGGTCAGGGCAAGATGACGAGGGTTGTGGAAAGGTTGCAGGTCGAGGCGGATGTTCAGGGGGGTATCATCTTGGAGTCCTGGAGCGATGACCGCCACATTGATCGCAAGTTAACAGATATCAAGTCTTATGCTTTTACGTTTCTTGTACAGAGCTTCCTGCCTGCTCCCCGGGGTATGGGCACACCTCGAGCGAACTCGCCGGCTAGTCGCGATGTAGCTTCACAGCGATCAAGTGAGGACGAAGGGGTGGATATGAAGGAGATTGATGGACTTTTGAATGAGATGGCCATTATGCTGGGGAGGTGGTCCTTATATTCCCGCTTCTTAACTGATAAATGCATGGCAAGTCATTTTACCTTTTTATTGCTACTTTGAGCGGTGCCATTACCTACGGATAATTGTAGACTAACAAGACTAAAGAACGGTGATGAGGAAGAATTCAAATTACCGGAGTTCCTTGCACAATCAGCGCTGTGTCAGAAGATCAGTGATCGCCTCATCCACCCATTCAACGCAATGACTACATTTTTCCTCCGGCGGTCGGTGGAGAAGGCTTTCCAGTTAGACGAAGGACCCCCAGAACTGACGTTAAACCGACACCAACCCCTGCGCGCTAACCCGCCACACATCACTTCGGCCGTGGACGACGTTATGTATATTGTCAACAAGGTTCTTCAGCAGTCGCTCCGCACTTCGCAACACGACGTCATGGCCAGTGTGACGCCAACTCTCGCCCGGGTTCTTGGCACTGATTTCATCGGTATGATCCAGCGCAAGATGCGGGATGAAAGTTATCCCAGAGGAGCTGCAGGTGGCGCTCCATCTGAAACTACCATCATTGCCTTCCTAGTGCTTCTCAACAACCTTGACGTGGCCATCGAGTACATCCAGCGCATCGTGAAAAACCATGTGGAACCCTCGAAACCCGAAATTGGCCGTAATCGACCCGGCGACACCGCAGCCAGCGAATCTCCGCTCGCCAACCTCTTCCCGCTCGGCGACGAGGCCCAGAGAGTAGGCAGCATGCTGAAGTCGTTCTCCTCATCATTCGAGTCCAAGGCCCAGGATCTCGTCAATGATGGGACTCAAGTCTTGTTCAATAATGTCATCAAAGCTCATATCCGACCTATTTTAGCGGAATCATTCCGTGACATCGAGTACCAACCGCGGGATGATGTTGTTAATGAGAACGATGTTGCCAACGGAGAGGGGTTGATGGATGAGGCCGACGGCAACGTCGTTCGTCACCGGTTTGCGATAGCGTGGGCGGATCTGCTAGAGCCGATCGCACGAATCCTTAGTGGACGGGTCTTTGAGCGGCTGCTTGGCGTGATTGTGGCGGCGCTGGCGAGACTTTTAGAAAAGCGTATCTGGTCGTATCATGGCCGAGTGAATGCGTTAGGGGCGACGCAGTTGGAGCGGGACGTCATGGGGATAGTTAGTGTAGCGGTGGATGTGGGCCGGGATGATGGTGGTCGCAAAGGTGGTGGCGCCGGGGGTGAGGATGGCGCAAGGCAGTATGGGGGGGCTCGATATCGGCATCGTGAGGCCTTTGGACGGTGTTTGCAGATCGTGATGGTGATGGGTATGGAGGAGGAGGAGTGGGAGGAGGTCATGCGCGGCAACATGGAGGATGTGGTTGATCGATTGAGTGTGGAGGAGCGGGTGAGGGCAAGGGGGATTGTTGTGAATTGATTATGGTTTTCCGAAGGAAGATGTAGGAACCACAAAGGAGCACGGAGCCCGTTTTGAATCGATTTACTTCCGCATTGGGTATTTTGCAATCGACATGAGCGGACGAGATGTCTTCAAACTTTCAATTGCATCATTGTTGCACATTTGTGGGAGTGGCTTGATCCTACTTAGATAGATAGCAAGATGGTTTGTTCAATTGAGTGCTTATATTCAGTGAATAATGTAAAGTGTTATCAGAGCTGTATCTACTGAATCATGGGCCTCCGAAACCACCCGGTCAGCACCAGCCTCAATGCGTTGTGGTTCTCCACCAATAATCCGGTTAGAGGGGAGAGCGTTTCCTGTGTGAGACCAAATAATAACTAAACGAAAATAAGCATTCCGTGGCTTTTCCGATAATCCATGGCATCTATATAGCGGGCGGAGCCCAATGGAAGGAAGCTAACTTATCATCGGCTTTTAAGCTTGTTATCAGGAAAGAGATGAGGTTTTTTTCTTTTTTTTCTTTTGTCTGCGGTGATTTTTTTGTGGAGGCCTGGGCTGGCCGATTATTTAACCTCAGTAACAAAAGAAAAGCAAAAAGTCAAAAAGAAAAAAAACGCTCAATGGCATGTTGTTATCTTTGTGCTCCGTTATCGATCTAGTTTGGAGATGGACCAAAAGTCATTACCGACGCTAGAAACTTATAGAGTACCGCTGTGACAGTACCAGCTGAGGAATAGGGGGGTGGTGCCTAGAGCTGGGCTGCTATTTAGGCGCTGCGTCCCCAAAACTCCAGGCAAAGGGAACCCGGAATTACTTACGGTCCGGTATTGAGATTTCCCTATGTTCCACAGAAACAGTGGTCGCCACCAGTTTGGACGTTTCAACCCGTTATCGGCCAATCAATGAGCAGAGAGATGAACACAGCGACGTTGTTATTTGTATACTCCGTATGCCTGGTATGATATCTACGGCGTAATGTTGAGATATGCATTGAAAAGACGTAGCAAGAACTAGCATTCTCCATGTTAAGAAAGAGGAACAGAGTAAGATATGTAGACATACTATGTATACATGCACCGTACAGGACGATCTAGTGCAGGGCCAGACATGTCCAGCAGAAACACACATGGCCTCTTTGGTGCTTTGCCCATTCGTCCACCTGGTAGCGGCCATGGAGCCAGCGGGAAGTGGGTGATCCGTGGCTTGGCTTCAGGAGACAGATGTTGGAGTTACCAGAATGATAAAAATACCTAGTCGAGTCTTAGTTTTATCATCAGGCCCCTAGGTCGTTATCTTCTCCATATCTCCCACGTCTTTATCTCTTCTCTATTTATAGTGTCCGCTTGTTGATAACCAGGTATTATTGAGGGGGGGACCGATTGATTTTCGTGTCCCGGGATCCAATTAAATGTTTATTTCTTTCGTTATCTCTTCCTTGTGTTCGAGTCTTCGAGCTTATCTTCCGTCTTTAATAACCTCGTAAGAGTAAGAGTCGGTACTCCGGCACTCACTGTCCGTAGTTAGGGGTTGCAAACCTGATATATACTCCTGCGTATCTTAGCTCTTAGTTTTCTTCATTCACCTTCCTTTTATTTTCCCTACCTGCCAGACCGCCTGTTCCTCTCCCATTTCATCCCTCGCTGCTCTCCATTCTGCTTGTAAAAAGAAGATTGAGTTTTCAAGCTGTAACTTGTTATACTGGATTTCATTTACTAGGAAATCACCGAAGGGAAACAAATGAGAAGCAAAATATAAAATAAAAGAGAGACGAACCCGGTAAACTTACCAACACAGGAAAGGCAGGCAGTAGACCTCCTCGGGGAACAATATGTCGGTTCATCCGGGCCCCTATGTCCCCGACTATGCATCATACAACTGGATCGGTGCGCCAGCAAACTTCGAGCTCACAACCGATTCGGACCTGGGAGGGAACTCCCGTAAGTTTCCCCAACCCCCAGAAGCGATATTTCCCAAATACACTAACCACCCCGATAAAATCCCAGGAGTCGAAAACTTAAACAAATGGTTTCAACCTGGGGACCAAGCGTACCTAATCGTCGCCTCAGCGATGGTCATGGTC